GAGAGAGAGAGAAACCGGTTCATTTTATGATGTGAGCTGCGACGCTTTATCTTAAATAATAAGAGAGCTCTAATGCCCTGCATGAAGCGATGGCAAGTGGGGCGTATTGCGAAAGAGGGTCATTCACAGAAAATAACGAGTGCTGTTTTCTGAAAGGAGTTCAACATCAAAATCACTCACCAATAGACGACGAAGCATTTTTACGCGAGATGTACGAGGATCAGATGGATCTTGCAATTCTATTTAAAATGGGTTTTTTGTGTGGCGAAATTCCAAGACAAGGGAAGCTGAAACAGTCGATACCACACAGAAAGTTTGAGTAGCCCAATCCGCAAGGGAAGCTCGAGTAGTCGCTACCATCATCACAGCTTTAATACAACCAAATCGCGTGGGACTCAACGGTTCGTCTCCATATCACTATGTACTATAGCGTCATCTACATCACGTGACAGATTCGCCGCGCGTCAAGAACTTCAGCGCAGCGTACCCGTTTGCCCTTCCCTGCCACCCTCACTATCGCAATCAAAAACATCGAAATACCTTCCTCTATTATCAATGAAAGACTGCCCCAAACACACTCTACACTTCCCTTTCAATTCATTAAATCTTACACACCAAAAACAATTCCCTCTCTCTCGCTCTTTTTAAAATCTGAAATTGTCTCCACTCCCAGCCAATTTTCCTCTCCAAACGCATCACAATGCCCACCATCGCTCGGCGCCTTTCCGTGTCGAGGCTGTCTTCCAGTCCAAAAGCACACATATCACTTTATACCAATCTGTCATACCATCTCAAACTTGTCGTAACTCTCCCAAAAGTTCACCAAATTACCCATAATTTCACGTTCACCTGTAAAAACACTTAACCAAGCCACCAAAATCCTTCCCATCCTTGTTTCGCGACCGCTTTCATATGATATACCCATTTCACATGTTTTTCTAATTATCAAGCTCTATATATATTTTCAAAACTGTCATTTTGAAAACTAGTGAATACAAATCACCAGCTCAAACACCAACTCGCAAAGTACTCACAGAAGCACGAACGTACCGAGTACTTGAGTCCTTCAAAGGTCAGCGGGTATTTGACGAGACGAAGAGTGTTTAAAGCAGCGTTTGAGGCCCTGTTTTGACGGAAAAGGCGTTGGCTTTAGTAGATACGTTTCTCAACAAGTTTATATCGTCCCCTATCCAGAAATGGACTCTGCAAGCGGCATTGTTGACAAAGTTAACGCGTTTGCTGACCACGGTGCAGACGCCGAGTCTGAGCTGCACAAACAGGCGGATTCAGACCGGATGCAACGCTCAAATGAGGAAACTATTGCAGCTGCAATCACGCAGCTGAACAGCCATAATGGCCACGATGCAAACTCACAGCGCACAGACCAGTTGGACGCGACCACGGGCCTGGTCTCGGTGCCCGACCACGATGCAGTTTTCACAGAGCAACATTTTAGAGACACTTACGGGTTTGATTTCCGCAATTTCAGCATAAATCCGTGTCTCAGTCCAAACTTGGACACGTCCATTAGAGACGACGAATTGGATCCAAAAACAGCCGCTCGTTTCGACAATTGGCTACGACTCTCTCCGTTCGGGATTTGGGTGACTAAATACGCCACTTCAAAGCCCTACGCGCAGTGCAAGTACTCTCAGTGCCGGCTACAGTTTAAATTTGACGGACACGCCAACACGTCCAATATCATCAAACACATGCGTAGACGGCACAAGGAGGACTACGAGCTGTTCGTGTCGTTGCTAGGACGTGATCACAAACAGAAAACCGCCGTTGCCCCTACTGGCAGTGCCTTCGACGCACAATCAGCTCAGGCTTCCGCGCCACGCAAGGCTTTTTCAGTGCGCAAAGAGCTTACACCTTTGCTCCAAAACAAACAGTTTCCGCAAAAACAGTTGAACGTGTTTATCGATTCGCTACTTCCGCTAAGCACTGCTAACTCATTTGCGCAATTTTTGAAAGCTTGCAGCTTCAACAACAGCGACTTTCTTTTGACTCCCGGTGATATGGTCTTGAAGCTGGATGAGTATTTCCACGAGTTTGAAGCTCAATTGAAGGAGACGCTGAATTTCACGTCAAATATCAACCTTGTTCTTGAGACTTGGGCTTCACAGGACAACAAATTGTTTCTCGCGGTAATGGTTTCGTTTTGTCCCAACTTGGCACTACAGGATCAGGCTTTGAAGAAGGAGTCTATCACTTTGAAATCAGGTCCCAATGTGCATGTTTTGGACTTGCTGGACATCGGAAACCAATTATCGACCGTTGTGCCCATAGTTCTCCAAACGCTTTCGGATTACGGAATCTCGCAAAAGATAGGTAGTGTCACATTAGACTCTGGTTCCAACTCGACTTTGGCTTTGGCAGATATACCAAACCAATTGAAAAAAAGACTGCAAGCCGAACAGGACAAGAGCTTGATAGAGATCAGAAGTTTAAGTCACACTTTGGAAAACGTTGCTGAACTTTTGTTGCGAATTTTCAAAGAGAACTATTCAAAACTTGTTGTTAAGATCGATGGGCTGTTCACGGTTTTGCAGAAGAACGTTTTTTTGAAAAAATTGTTCAGAAGGTATTTGAACGTAGCTGTTCCTACAAGCTTACAATCTGACCCTTTTTCGCGGTATAGCTATTTGTGGGCCTTTTTGAAGTTTGAGCAAGAGTTTAAAAACTTTTGTTCTACTGGTGCCCACGAGAACAAATCTTATGAACTTCGGCCAGACGAATTTCAATTGTTTTCGTACTCACCCGACGAAATTGCTCTTCTAAGCGTTTTCCTCAAGACTACTGGCGTTCTATTTGACTACATCAAGAGTCTTTCAGACGAAAACAACGACATTTTGCCTAATGCTATTAATTATTACATCCAAGTCGGACAGTACTTCCAGTCGTGTGACAGACTTTTGAGTGGAATCTACGAGGATCGAGACGTTTTTATTTGTGGATTGAGAGACGAAGATCTTTTAACAATTGACGAGAACAATAAAAACAGCATATTCACCATTATTTCCACTTGCAGCTCGTACTTCAACCCGCAACTCGAGTGGGCACTCAAACAAGGCGGTTACTGGGTTGCACACATGTTGCAGCCGCACATCAAGACCACCAAACTGGCAGAAAATTTCGATGACGCGCGGTTCAAGGATGAAATGCTTCGGAATGCGTCATCGTACGTGGAGCATTACTTGAAAATGCAAAGTGTCAATTTTGCAGTGGAACTGGAAGAGGAGACCACTGGCAGGAATATGCGGTCGAATCTGAAACGCGTCACCAAACCGGGCTCTTCGAAAAGGCGATCCGATTTGGACATGGTGGGCCAGGATGCGTTGGCGAACCTAGCGGGACGTGATTTGGGTCTGGGGTCAGAATGGGCTTTATATCTGGAAGAGCCCATTGAGGGAACCGATGACGCTGTGAAATACTGGGTGCGGAATCAGAAAAAATTCCCAATGATGGCGAAACTGGCGTTGTCGTTGCACAACAGCAAGCTGTCGAGTCGCAGGATTGATTCGTGGTTCCAAATGAGCCAGGGAGCGCTTAGCGCGGCAATTTCGCAGGGAAGTATGAGTTTGAAGCAAGCGGTTGTGCTGCGGAACCGGCTGCTGAGCTTCCAGCCTGCGCAGACATTGAATTTTGTAGAGTTCGTGGCAGCAGCGCAGTGGGCTTCGGACGAAAACCGGGCACTAGGGGCCGGAGACGCTTGACGACAAACAAAGCACTACTGAGCACTTCAGATCGCTCGTGCCTTGACTTCTATACTTGAACAGCTCTAAGTAGACAGTAGTTGACAACAAATGGTACTATGCGATTCTAAGCTTATTTACTATGCGATTCTAAACTTATTTAAAATGCAATTGACGCATGAGGTGGGATCTGCGATTGCCATTTCGAGTCCAATCTTGTGCTCAGCCCACAGTGACAAGCACCACACGCTTTCGTTGCTTGGCTGCCACCCCTGCACATTGCACTCTGCACTCACTGGATGTCCTTTATATACCTAATTTACAAACTCATGCACCCATGCCAGGTCTCAACGGGCCTCGAACTGCACCATACGCTTCGTACGCGCCTTGAGCAGGATCCGATGGCCACACTCCTTGCATCTAACTGGGTCGGTTCTCGATAACGACAGTTTGGCAGAACATTCGGCACAGATGTACTTCAAAGTCGCCGTTCTCGCGGCCGCGGTACCGGCAGCCGCAGCATCTAGGTTGGTAGGGATCTGGAAACCCTCGCGCGACATGACGATGCTGGGAAAGACGGACTGGAGTTGAGTTGATGAACAGTTGTAGCGATGCGATGCGATGCCTTGACGAGAAAGTTTGACTAATTTTGAAAAAAATTTGAGATGCGAATTAGTACAACGTGATATGGGCGAGGGAGCCGATCAAAATTGTAAGTAAATTTGGACCAATTGGGGGTGAGGAGTGGTGTTGAAGGCGCCACGGGCGTGTCAGGTTGGTGTGTAGAGTTGTAGCTTCAAAATGTGGGTAATTTGGGTGCGCGTTTGGATCAGTTTCCGACCCAGAATTGACCGTTTTCGCCGCGGTCGATTTCTCGTCTAAGCTGTCGGCTTAAAAGCACGCCTACCTCGTAGCGTTCCTTAGTCTTGCGGTCCAGGTATTCTTGTAGCTGTTGCAAGGCATTGGAGATCTTGTGGGCGTCGTCTGGGGTCAAAGCACCGCGGTCGCGCAGATCCGAGAGGTATTGGATCTCGCGCTGCAGTTTGGTGCATTTGCAGGTGAGATAGTCGTGTCTGGCTTGTAGTTTCTGGGCCTGGGAGTGGTCAGGGTTTTTGGAAACGGAGACCACGCGGAACGGACTTGGATTGGACGTTTTGCGGAGGGTGTGGGGGTGGGCAGAGGTGCGAGTGTGGGAGGGTCGAGGGAGTGGTTGGGGCAAGGTCGGGGAGTGTGGTGGAGAGAAAGAGGGCGAGTGAGAGGACGAGTCCAATTGCGTAGAGTGTTCAGCAGAGGTATCTTTAATTGGGTGTGAATGCGTAGCAGTCTCCACAGGATGTGGGTTTGTTGTAGTTTCGACAGGTTGTGAGTGCGTAGCAGTCTCCACAGGATGAGTGTTTCTAGCTTCCTCTACAGGTTGTGTGGTTCTAACTTCCTCCACAGCCTGGGCAGAGTCTTCACTGGCGTGTGCGCGGAGTGTACTCTCCATAGGGTGCGCATCAGTAGCATCTTCAACAGATTCTATGGTTTTATCAGTTTCCACACCGTCTCTCGCACCGGGGACACTCCCCGCTACCGTACCACCTTCTCTGCCATTCTCGCCCCCCTCCACACTCCGCTCGCAGTTCGCTAGAAACTTCTCTCGCAACACCTTTCTTGCGTCCATCTCTTCGTCCAACGACGCGTCGTCGTCCGGCAACTTCCCATTGCCGTCGTCCAGTTGCAAGTTCTCGTCGATCACACTGTTCATCTCCTGGATCTCCAGCTCGATCTGCGACATACGTTTCCGCAGCTGTTCCTGGTCCATGTTGAACCCAAATCGGGAGGCTCTTTGAATGGGCTCTTGAAGCTCGAGTCTGGGGTCAATCGCTAGCGAACTTGCTGCTCCGGTGCTCTGGCCAATCGCTGCTGCTCGCGCGCTCCAGTGTGGCTTGTGCGCGGTCGAAAACGCGAATGAACGGTTGGTTTTATAACAACTGTTGTGGTTGGTAACAGAACAACCCTGGAAATGTTCAAATAAGCCGTTGTTGGGAACCGTGAACAGAAAACTGGACGCGACAGGGAAAATGGAGACGGAGCACGCTTGACAGTGCTATGAAGAGGATCAGACGATTGGTGCACGGGAGCGGCGACGTGTCGCGAGTCCGGGACGACTCGTCGCAGGCCCGGGACGGACCTGCGAATTGCCCGGTTGGACACCCAGTAGGACACCCAGTGGGACACTCGGTGGTCAAGAAGCCCATCGCTAGCTCCGCATCGCTGGCCAGCAGCAGACTGGCAAACAGCGAGGCCGAGCCTCGCAACCGGTGTCCCGATTTCCAAGATGTGCGCGACGTACCGTTCGTGTCGACCGTGCTGGGCAAAGGAGTGCTGGCGTTCCCCAGCGAGGCGGCGCTCGCTGCGTTCCGCCAGAACAAGCGACGATTGGACGCGGTCGACGACGCTGGCGCCCTGGGGTTCCCGTTTCTGCACGCTACCACGCCCAGCGTGTTCAAGAGCATCGTCAGTCGCAGCTCTCCGATCATGACGATCCACCGGTACGCAGCGGTGGACGTTGGCTCTGACATGGCACAACACTACCGGGAGGACGACCGGTGCGTGCAGGTCGCCGCGTGCGGCGACCTGCGAGTCTTTAGGCTCGATTTCTGCGAAGTGTTCCAGCACATCGACACCGGGTCGGGCCACGTCCTGTACCGGTTCGTATTCCGCATCGACAATCGTGTCGACAACAACTGCTTCACACTGCGTTTGGCGAGTCACGTCCATCGCAGGGACTGCGACACCAGCATAGGAGGGCTCAATCTGCGGTGGCACGGCACGTCCGGGCTTTCGTCAGTGTTCGGGACCGGTGAGTTCTCGCTGCGGGTGCTGGACGACAATATGCCATCGTTCGTGGACTTTGCCTCGGACAACGAGTACAGCATCGCTTGCCAGAAGGCGACGTCGCTGCGACCGGTGTCGCAGCTGCCAACCTGGGGCACCTACAGCGACAAACGCGGGTCGATATTGCCCAAGAACCGAATAACACGACATGCGAACTTCCAGGTCAAAGAACTGGTGCCCTGCGGCGAGGGACTCCGCGATATTCCCTGGGACACTTTGGTGCTTACTAGTATGTGTTTGGTTCTACATGGGGTGGAGTGCAGCAAGGATAAAGGGTATTCGTACCAATTGGGCGGGCAGGGCTTGGCTATGGTGATTTGAGTGGTGGGTGTGCGATGAGGGCTTTCAAATCCGGGGCTCGCACCTTCCACATTGGCCATGTAACTCATTAATCGTGGGCTCAAGTGCGCTACGATTCCGATGTTTGAGTGATGCTTGTAGTCATCGCGGGCGCAACTGTGATACCTCTGCTTATCCACAATTGAGAGCGTCAGCGATCAATTGTTCTTCGATGCTAAGGGCTCTTCACTAATTTACAACTGTTCGATGACGCTCTCAGTTGTTGAGCGATGCCAAGAATTCTCTACTGCTTCACAATTGAGAGCGTCAGCAAAACTCAGAGCTCTTCACTTATTCACAGCTTTTTGCTGGCGCTCTCAATTGTTCAGCGATACTAAGATCTCTCTACTAATTCGCAGTTGCTCGCTGACGCTCTCATGTGTTCGACACTACCAAGAACTCTCTACTAATTCACAATTGTTCGCTAATGCTCAATTGTTCAGCAACACTCAGAGTTCCTCGTTATTCACAATTGACCGCTGATGGCCTCCACTGTCCACCTAAACTGATAATTATAATAATACTCTTCTACTTCACAATCGATCGCTGACGCTCTCGATTGTTTAACGGTCCGTCTAGTTCCCTTTTATTCACAATTGGTCGCTCACGCTCTCAATTGTTCAACAGTGCTTCGAGTTCTGTCGCTGACGCTCTCGATTGTTCAAGAGTGCTTGGTGTCCTTTTCATGATATCTTATTATACTACATTAATGTACAGGTTGTCTCGTATACTGCCCTCTATGCACTGCCTCAAGTCGTCTAGATTGAGATGGTTTGGTACACCGTACTGGTACTGGTGTAAGTGGTGAACGCATCCACAGACTGGCTGGGATCTGTCAAATATATCGTTGTGTAGTAGTCGCTGTCATCGTAGTAGACCGTGCAGGACCCGTCCTGGCCGAACTCGGTCGTGTAGGCTTCTTCATCTAGTGAAGCGGCAAAAGAGCGGGTAGAAGAGCTGGATGGTGTCGAAGTAATAGTAGATGTGGTTTTGGAGCTGGTGGGACTACCGGTGGACTTGGAAGTTGTGCTGCTGGGTAGTGAAGAAGCGCTTGCAGTCTTGCTTGTAGAGCTGGAAAGGGAGTAGGTGGAAGATGGGTATAGGGTGCTCGTGGAGCTGGAGGCGGAAGTCGAGCTGGAGACGGAAGTCGAGCTGGAAGTGGAGGTGGAGCTGGAAGTGGAGGTGGAGCTGGAACTGGAACTGGAGCTGGTGGAGCTGGCATTAGAGCTAGAACTGGCACTAGAGCTAGAACTGGCACTAGAGCTAGAACTGGCACTAAAGCTAGGACTGGCACTCGTGCTGACACTCGTGCTCGTTTGCTCAGGCGAGTCCGTCTCTGAGCTCGTGACTGACATCGTAGACGTCTTCGTGACTGCCTTTGTTGACGAGGTGACCACCTCATTCGCCAAAGTTACCGGAACTACCTCGGTAGTTGTGTAGTACAAAGTACTCAAATAAGTTGTCGCAGGCCTGATAGTGCTGGTGACAACTGCGAAGCTGTACACCACGCCATCGGACGTGATGTATCTGACATTTTCGTCAGCTTGCACCCAGGAGGTGAGAAGCGCTAGTGCTGTGGCCGCTTTGAAGAATTGCATTTGTTAAGTGAAGGAATGACTATAGTTTAGGACTGAATGCACAAAAAAAGAATGAATGAATGAGCGAACGGGTCAATAAAGGAGGGAATGAACGCTGCTGAAAGTGGGTAATCAAAGGCCAGTCACCGGTAGCTAAAGGTAGAATTAAAAGTTGGTAGAAAACGAGTGTGTTGTGCTTTGCTGGGTTTCGAGTTCTCAAAAGTTCTCTGCTCTCTCACATTCTTGGTGTCTTCTTATATCCCGACAGCCACCCGAATTTTACCCATCAATTGCTGGTATCCTTGCTGTGCTGGGCTGCGTTGCGTGCACATCATTCACTGTTCAGCCCAGCCCGACACAGCACACACCATGATTTTCGGTTTTGTAATTCTTACACTCCTGCTAGTCGCCACGCCAATGCCGATTTGTAGTCATCCAACTCTCCTGTTGCTGTTTACACCAGGGTCGACCTGCTAGTCGATCAAGCACTGTCAACCTTATTTCCCAGGCCTTTGTCCCTAGACGATTTTTTTGTTTGTTGATCTTCACAACTTGAAGCCAGCATCATAAACTTTTCGACTGTGGAATGTTTGTTTACATTTCGCAGGAATCGTAAACAAACAATAAAGCTTGTCAACGGTCAAACCAGTGACGAAAAACGTAAAAAGTGAGATATCTCGACAAGGCTGCGCCTTATGTATCGTTCAACACCGTAGAAAAGCTCACAACACGTTTGAGATTCGCGCAAACTAAGTGCGAGAGCGCTCAAGTATCGTTACATCATAGTTTCCGTTTTTTGTCATCGCTGGGCGTGTGAGTGTGCGTGTGGCGCTGGAGCACCTTGGCCTCGGACTCTATCAAACCATCGTATCATGTTTTTGGGAGGCTCCCCAAACACAACGTAGTACTCACAGAACATGCACATGGGCTTGTCGTTGTTGATTAGTTTTGAAAAATCTGGCGCAGTCTTGGTACCGCGAGGATACTCGAACGTGTCGAGGGCTTCGTGACAACAGTGGGAACGCGAATGACGCGTTCCGGCTGGCTGTGCCAGAGTTGCTGGTCTGTCATTGCGAGCCAGCGGGCTTTCTGTCATGTTGACATCAACGTCAACGTCAACATCAAAATCGAAGTCGATGTTGGGCTGGGTTCCGTGTGGGCCGTGCTGGGCAATGCTGGAGGCCACCATTTTTTTGAGATTATCGCTGAACTCGCCGGGAAACGAAAGAAGCTCCTGCTCGCCTGTGTCGAATACTATCTGTTCTTCTTCCTCTTGTTGCTCTTGATCTTCCTGCCCTTGCTCTTCATCTCTCTGTACGTCTTTTCGCCGGCGGTGGTGGCTAGCGTTAGCTGTGTTTCGAGGCATCGGGCCCTTTCGTACCACGCCACTGTTGCCCTTAGATTTACACCTCACTTGTTCTGCCAGCTGGGTTCGCTCAGCTTCGTCCTTACACTGGCTTGATGTAAATTCCACGAACTCATCACCATCTTTATCCGGGGTTTCTTCGCTCTCAGTTACTTCAAAGACTCTCTGAGAGTCCTTCTCACTATCCAGAGCATTCCCAAGGTACATTTCCATTGATTGGTGCTTCCTAAAGCCGGGACTTTCTTGTAAATGGTTGGTTAACATGTTCGTCAACGCTTTCACGCCTTCTTGCATCATAACGCTGAATTCGGCGCGACCGTCTTCGGGAAAACCCTTGGCAGATGTCTTTTTGAATGAAGGCATTCGACCAGTAGCTTGAAGTCCTCTTTACGGTCTGTGCTGACCAAAACGTTGACGCGATGAGCTTCTTTGGCTAGTTCCTGTGAGAACTACCTATCATTACTATGATCTTTAAATATATATCATGTCGAACGAAAACGTAGACATCTAAAATACGCTAACAACACGGCACACCTTCATCGTCGCCAATCGAGGTCCATTAGTTTCGTTTTAGAGTTCTCTGCTTTTCAGCATTTTGCACCAGTTTTTCATTAACGAATAGCCCCTTTCTTCTGCGGATCATGTTCATATGCTTTCCAGCGAGATTCTCTTTATCAGCAGTGTCACCTAGATCTTCCAGCTCTTCCTCGGTCGTGGGAACCCAGAATGGATCCAAATCAATTGCCTCAAAACCGGCAAAAACCAATTGTGGTTGTGCTGCGCCGGAAGTTTTCTTACGAATGTCCTCACTGAACCCGAAAGCTTCAACAACCGGGATCTTTGCCTCGATTTGAAACAATGGAATACCATCCTTCATCTCTTCAGACACAATACGACCGCGTCTCTGTTGCACGACGGCGTAAACTTTACCCAAAACCTCCACCGAGGCCTGGATGTCGCACTGGTACATGGCCCACATGATACGCGGAGACCAGTCCAAGAACGCAGCGTGAATGGAGTCTCTAGTTGTGGTGATCAAGCGTCCAGCAAGATTGGGCAGTCCTACCTGATGATTTTGCAGCGCTAGGCTTTCTATCTCGTCATTGCTCATTTCATGCACGTCCTCGATAAAAACGCACATACCTTGAACAGGCTCTTGACAAAGTGGACCCTGATTGACCGCAAGCTCAAACCCATTAATGATAGAACTTCCATATTCAAAAATCGTGCCATTGGGGCCCTTGCGAGAGTTGTTGAGACCTACGCAGTTCGAGATAAGTACATTTGGTCCTACTCTTCTGCCACCAAAAGCAGAGACATCGAGACTACAACGGGACCAAACCTTATCCTTTATAGCTGCTTCGGAAAACAATTTGTCCAGCGAGGCTCTGAATTCCTCAGTCTTTTTCGATTGCTCCTTGCGTTCAGAAATAGCCTTGATCTCTTTTTCGTTTGCTAACAGGAACTCTGTTATTTCGTTCGGCAATGGAATGGTTCTGATCTTTAAAGCATACTGATCCAAGTACGTTTGAACTGTTCCTCTTCCAAGTTCTGCGTCTTTGGGCGGATTCATGTCGGTAGTGGATAAGAAAGATTCCTTGTATGGAATCGCTGGTTCCGATGACGTGATACTAATGCCAGCAAACCTTTCTGTTAAATCCTTGAGACATCTTTCTAAGTGTAATTCACCGGCAGCGCACAAAATATGTTCTCCGGTGTCCTCAACATAAGTTTGAACACATGGATCTGCCTGGTTTAGCAATCTTAGGCCTCGCGCGAGTTTGTTCATTTGTGTTGGATTCGTTGGCTCCAAAGCAACGCGTACAATCGGTGTGACGTGAAGATTTACACCTGCCAAGTTTGCACCCTCAACACTGGGTTCAACAATGGTACCATTTTTCAAAATCTTTCCTGCCAGTCCACCAATTCCTACAATGTTCCCAGGAGGGCATTCCGTCAAAGGCACCAAATCCTTACCCATGAAGATGAACAAATCGGTTACTTCAACCTCTTCGATGTGTTCCGTAGGATTGTGGGGGTCATACTTGGGGCCTAAGACAGCAATTTTTTGTCCTACTCTCAAAGTACCACTGTAGAGCCTGGCAATTCCGATCATAACTTCGTCACTTTCCTCGAAAACATCGTCATCATCCTCGGCTTCTCTTTCTGAAGCGTCCGTCTCAAAAGGGTCTTCCTCCTCGTATTCAAACAATGAATTCAAGGGATCGTTGGCTTCAATCCCAGCTGGTATAAATTCTGGTTGAAATTCGTTGTCTTCATCTGACTGTCCTTCGAACTCATTCTCATACTCTATGCCAAGATCTAATGCCAGGTCCAACTCCGGAGCGGGCTGTGTCACAATTTGAAACTCGTCGTTTACAGAGGGCCTAGAAGTCTCATGACTTGCTTGCTCATCCAAATTTGGCGTCGCCGTTGTTTCTTGAGCTCTGGCATACATGTTCGATTGCTCGCCTTCAGGGTCCTTTGAGCGAGACAAGTTTTCAGCCAGCTCCGCGGCTTTCGCGGCTTTCAGAGCTTTTTCGCGAGCTTCTCGACTTCTTTGCATCAATGCATCCGGTGAAAACGGTGTTCCATTAGTCAATGGCAGTTCTTCTTTAGGAACAGATATCATCTTTGAAACAAATGCACAGACGGAGCCATCTTTGTCGCAGCTTTCCATTGCAGTGTAAAGATTAGTGTCGATCATTTCATGACCTGGTGCAGTACCAATGATTCTTTCCATTTTGTCTCCTTGGGCTTCTAGTGGTGACGGGAGTTTTTCGATCACCGTTAGCAGGACAGAGACACTGACAGGCAGCCATTGTCCCATAACGGTTCGCAGCAGATTCTTAAGGTCCTTTGACCGCAAATCTCTTGGGGGAACTTTGATGTTAAGAGCTGTGGTGATTTTCTCTAAAACCTCAGAGTCTCTGTCGATCAAGACGTTGTTGTAAATCTTCCATATGTTATCGAGAATCAAGGTCACAAACAAGGGCTTCAAAGTTCTTCCTTTCAAACCCTTGCTGTTGATGAACTTTTTCGTCTTTGGGTCCATGTAGTATTCACCCCATAGCACTTTTTGTAGATTCTCTCTCTTGGCACCGAGTTTCTGCTCGTAGAATTTGGCCAACTGACCGATGTTGAACCCCCACCCATCTATAGCTGATGCAAAAATGACATTGTTGTTTTCCGGCCTGAAGTAAATGTCCGAGTCGTCCTTCTCGACAAACTCGGCCGTATTGTTGTTTTCTAGTTGTTCCCTCCATGACAGATCGTCCAATATTCGCTGTCCATTGTAAAAAGACCCAATAATGGAGTTGACTTGCTCAATTATTTTGTTCAAATGCAAAAATGCCTCCTGGGGGGTCAATTGAAGCTCCATGATCAAACGGTCCATCTTATTTAGCACCAGGACCGGCTTAAGCTTCTCCACCCAGCATTGTCTGAGAACTGTAACAGTTTGCGAGCACACACCTTCAACCACGTCTACAAGTACAACGGCCCCATCGCAAAGCCTTGAAGCTGTGCTGACTTCGCTGGAAAAATCGATGTGACCAGGAGAATCGATCAAATTAATGAGATGCTCGTTGACCAAAGGGTCCTCTTGACCCTCCTGTTTGCGCAAGATTCGAAAGTACAACGAGATAGCACTGGATTCCATGGTGATGCCTCGAAGCTGTTCGTCTGGCCTTGAGTCCAGAAATCTTACTTTCCCGGCAAGTTTTTGAGAGATAATACCATTGGATGCTAGCAACGAATCCGATAGCGAAGTCTTACCGTGATCGACGTGTGCTAAAATACATATGTTTCTGATGCATGATGGATCTTTCTGCAATCGTTTCGAAGTCTCTGGACCCACCCTTGACATTGTTCAGGTCTGATTTTGTTGATGGTTTTATGTAAGTTCTTGTAGAATTTAGAGTTGATTTACCAAAGTAGACCATCTTTAAATCCAAAATGAAGCTAGATTAAAGAATCAACTCGATGAGCGGTACAAAGTGTCCACAGTGCGATGTAGAGCTTAAAAAATGCCTGATCCAACAGAACTACAGTATGGTGATGTGTCCGAACTTGGCCTGTAGTTATCCCTTCAATGAACGAGATGCGCTGAGCAGTACTGTCTATACCAAAGATTCCGAAATCCTGGATGCTGCGAAGAAACGGCTACGACAGGAAGAGCAGAAAGATGGGGGTGAGAGTTAAGAAGCAGCGGTGTGCGTGGCGGTGTGCGTGGCAGCGTGCACTACTGGCGGAAAAAAAGTATGAATGGTTAACGATTTAAATGCTAGAATGTCTATGTTATTCTAATTTACAGCTTGTCAAGTCTTGATTGCTTCCTGCTACGAGCTCAAAAATTGTAGCTCAGCATGTGGTTTGTTTCGTGACTGTTGCCCTTATGGACGCTGACACTGAACTCGAGATCGTCGTCGGTGGTCATATCCCATGTCTTGTACACCATCATCAGCGCGAAGATGTTGCAGAGACTGCCGAAAAACAAGCCGTCTAGGTAGTGTTTGACGCCCGAGCAGATAGAGTCGGAAAATGCATAGATAATGAGTTGTCCCGCGAATAGGAAGAAGACCCCGAGCAAGACAGCTCCAGCAGCCCACAGATTTCTGATCACAAATACTGAGACCACCAGCTGGCACAAAATGTAGGACACAAGGGCCAGAGCGTTGAGCACATACATCACGACGAAAAGGGCCATCGTGTTAGAGCTGGTGAAGGTGGAAGAGGTCTTCCAGGCCTGGAACGAGAAAATAGCCACCAGAAAGTTGACCACAAAGCCAATGAAAGCGGAGCCACGGGTCAGAGCCATGGACTTGTGAGTACCGTCTTCCCAGAAGCGGAACCCGAGAAACCCTAACACGGCCATCGTCCAGCAGCATGCGCCGGCGAATGCGATCTGGACGGCCACGAAGTACGGGTACGACGACGATCCTGGGGGAGACACCCCGCAGTCGACCACGAGCGTGAACACGATGAGGCATAAGCACAGCTCGAACAGGAAACTGTACTCGGATCTGCCGATAGCGGTGTATTTCTGACGCGTCGAGTAGATCATGAACAGGATGACACCGAGCGCCCCGATGTTGACGAACGCGTTTCCAATTTGAAACACCACTGTATTGGCGACATCAATAGAGCGTGCGTAGCAGCGGGGCAGGATTCCCATGGTCAGGTTCTGTGGATCAAAGTCGTGCACGGTCTGTTTTGGGCCCAGGACCAGATGTGTGGACGACTTGACCACTGAACACAGCGGCAGTGGTGTTTTGGAACAGATAGATGCAAAGTCCCCGAATCCCATCGATGAGAGAAGTGTGTGTGTGTTTATCTGTGTGTGTCTTTACAGGACTTTTGGGATCAAGCGATGAGCTTAGATCTATATATAGTAGAGCCAAAATTGACGTGCTCGAGGGACGATTTATAGCTAAGCGAGCAGGGCGATTAACTTGAGCGTTCTTGAATGAAACCGAGATTTGCTAGCCGTGCGATTGCTGCAGAAACACAATATTCGATGCAGATGAGCTTCTGTAGGAGTCTTTTGAAGATGACAGAGGGTTGAATTTTGTGAAACACGATGTTTTACAGGACGGTTGACGAAAATTAAAGACGCGAAAACAGCGTAGTCACGTTATTTTTGAGAAGTGAACAGCTCCAAGAACAACACCGGATGCTCACGATCTATCAATTGTTGTTTGCAATCGGTGGGCTACGTGGAGGGTGTGGTGGATGTGTAATTTTAGACCCGGGAAAGCGAAACTGGAGTCAGGAAGGTTGCGGACATTTGAGTGGTGGTGTGAGTTGTTGACGTGAGTTGGGAGGCTAGAAATTGATCGGAGAGCGTTGAACGGGGTGAAATAGGACTTTGAATAGGGTGTCTAGGATCTCAGGTCTCGAGCAAGTTACTTGTAGTGGAGTTTGGTGTCACTGTGTGCCAGGTAAGTACGAAGTGATATGAAAGACGTCTAGGGCGTCACTTGTACAAGTAGAGAGCTGAACAATTGAGAGAGTTAGCGATCAATTGTGAATACAAAGAGGGCTCCTAGCTTTTACAGCGTCAGCGAGTAAGGATAGCTCTCTTAGTTTTATTGAACATGCGAGAGTGTCAGCGAATAAAGAGAGCCTCTTAAAACCATCGAAAAATCAATAGGATCATTGAAAGAACAGAGATCTCGTAGTACTGCTTTCGATTGTGAATTGATACAGATTTCTAGTACAGTTCAACAACTGATCGCTGTTGCTCTCAATTGTCCAAGAGTGCTGCGAATTCTCTAGTTTATTCGCGAGTGATCGCCAATGCTCTTGATTGCTCAGTTGTACTGTTATATCTAGTTTATCCACAGTTGAGAGCGGTAGCGAGTACTACGAGTTCTAGTGCTTGTAGCCATTAGTGCTTGTAGCCATTAGTGCTTGTAGCCATTCTATTTCGTTACCACAGTGCTCGTAGTCTACAGTTAAATATCGATCGCTGACTCTCACTTGTTCAGTAGTGTTTGTGGCCTTATCTTTATTCACAACTGATCGCTAGCTTAAAGTCGTCGTACGTATTCAAAATTGCCAGTGATAATCCAAGCTCTGTGCGTAATCGCAATTGTTCAGCGACACTACACGCTCTCTACATTATCACAATTGCTCGCTGACGCTCTCGATTATTGAAGAATACTAAGAGCTCACTATTTATTCACAATGAATCGCTGGGACTTTCAGTTGTTAAGTAGTGCGTGTAGCCCTATAATCATTCACAACTGCTCGCTGGTGCTCTCAATTGTCTAGCAAAGCTTATAGCTATCCTACGTCTTGTTGTTAATGGAGAGCGTTAGCGAGCAATTTTTCAGGAATGCATGAAGCCCTTTGTACTACGATATCTCTACTTCTTCACAATTGATTGCTGACACTTAATTCGTGATAATATTATGAGTTCCCTACTTATTCAACTTGATCGCTGACACTCTCAATTGCTCAATAATGCTACAAGCCCTCGGCTTATTCACAATTGAGAGCATTAGCGCACTACGATATCTCTACTTCTTCACTATTAATCCCTTACGCTATCAATTGAGCGGTACTACTACTAGTTCTTTTATTATTCACAATTGATCGCTGGAGCTCTCAATTGTTCAACCATGCTTGTAGCCTCCAGGTATTCACAATTGATCGCCGACGTTCTCAATCGTTTAATAGTGCTTGTAGCATCCTTCGCTAGCACTCCCAATTGTTCAATTGTGATTCGAGTACTCTACATATTCACAATTGATCGCTAATGCTCTCAATTCCTTTACCGTGCTTGTAGCACCCTTCGCTTGTAGCACAATTCTCCAGTCTATTCACGTGTCACTCGTACCCATTCATGACTGCTATTTCTTATACACCCATACACCCATCAGTACACACACAAAAAACTATCCCGTGACAAAAATGTTTTGCGTCGGTGGCGCTTGTGCGTGGGTGGGTTTAGACAGACTGCCTGCCCACTAGACCCCAGGCTGGGGTCCGTTGCTGTCTTTGCCTGGGCTCCCCGGCATCCAGGCTCAGTTCTGCCTAGGACCCACCCAGGGCTCCGCCTACGCTCTACCCAGCACTCCGCCCAGTCGGACAACCCGACTCTACGCTCCGCGAGTTTCGCAGGAATGGAAAACTAGCATCGATCTACAATATCGTCTATCTGAACTACGTTGTTCAGCGTTCGTGATACAGTTTTACCACCAAGTAAAGAAGTAACAGTCGCAATGGGTATGTCAATAGACGTGTGAACAGAGCACTGTGGGATAAGCGAGAGCGAATGGTGGACAGAACGACGGCCAAAACCAGTGAATCCGATGGGAAGTTTGAAAGTTTGAAAGTTTGAGAAGACTTGAAAAGTGAGCCCGTGGAAGTCAGCAAAGCACTTTGAAAGTACTTTGAAAGCACTTTGAAAGCACTTTGAAAGCACTTTGAAAGCATAGCACTGGGTGTGCATACATGCTGGAACGAGAACGGCGCTTCCAGGCACACCAAACTGTCTAGAGGGCACATGCAAATGACAAAACGAAAGCACTAGTAACAAGGAAAGACGACCGAAACGGCTACGCTCCCCGCTCTCAGCTCCCAGCTCTACGCCCCCTTCCCATTCCCATACTAACCTCTCCCCCCAGTTAACGTTCCAAAGACCAGAAGGACCTACTGCAAGGGTAAGCAATGCCGCAAGCACACCCAACACAAGGTCACCCAGTACAAGGCCGGTAAGGCTTCCTTGTTTGCCCAGGGTAAGAGACGTTACGACCGTAAACAATCTGGTTTCGGTGGTCAGACGAAGCCTGTTTTCCACAAGAAAGCCAAGGTCACCAAGAAGGTGGTTTTGAGATTGGAATGTGTTGTCTGCAAGACCAGAGCCCAATTGTGCTTGAAGAGATGCAAGCACTTCGAGTTGGGTGGTGAGAAAAAGCAAAAGGGTCAAGCTTTGCAATTCTAAGGGCCAGTCTCCTTTTACTTCTCAGTTTTACTACTACTTTTCGCACGTTTTGGTCATTTTCCACACCACATTGTTCCATCTGTAACTAAATAGGTAACAACAAGATGCTATAATCAAACAAAAAACAAAAAAGCGTTTTCAAACAATCCAAGAAAGCTGTGGTTGATAGATGCGTTCAACTCGAGCTATAGCTGTTTGCACGCTTGGTGGTGCCAGTAGCCGAATAGCTTGAGTTTGACTAGTTTTAAGCTTTTGACTGGGGCGAGCTACCCGTACGACGCGATTTTGAGAATTCTGGTATATTACAGTAATAATAATAATGATAATAATCCATCTCTGTCTGTAGCCAACTTTATGATTTATTCCAGTTTGAATAAATCATCGCCAAAACTGCCCATCTGGAGTCGCCCTGGAGCATGTTTAATGGTTCTAACAATGCTTACGCCAAGCCCGGCGCCTCGTACGAAGCCCCCGGAATGAAAAGCGACCAGTATAGCGGCAACTACAACAACAACAACAACAACAACAACAACAACAACAACTACAACGAGCCCCTCCACTATTCGACAGCATCTAACGGGTCGTTCAACTCGTGGTCGCGTCCGCCAATGACGGCGTTCAGCTCAAACTATCTCAGAGAACAGGACTCCCATCCTTCGTTGCAAGATCATCTTCAGCACCATGCAGACTCGACAAGCAACGCTCTGGGATCGTCCATGAATGGTGGCGGGTTTGCCGATGCTCCAAGCCTGGCGTACCCCTCGACCCCAACCACGTCGCATCTAAACTACGCGTCCCCACAAAATCAGAATCAGAACCTGTTGAACACGCCGCCTCCGGTCTCCACATTTGCCAACGGCGCCAACAACGCACCCAGTCTCTACAGTCACGGGAACAACTCTCAAAGTAACCTGCGCAACAACGTGTATCCCAATCTGCAAGTCTCGCCCGGCAAGTATTCCGTGACGTCAGACTACCCTTCCGACAACCACACATTGCAAAGTCCCCAGCATCTCCCTCAGTATAACAACGCTAGACAGAGTCCCCAGCATACGCAGCAGTTTCAAGCTGTACCCAGCCCCCAGCATCCACAACAGTACCCCTCAAATACCAGTCTACATCAACACAGCCCGCTAAGAGGTCTTCAAGGGCTGGCACCAAGCGATTCACAGCCACGCGCAGCAGCTGCTGCCGCTGCCGCTCCTGTGACTCCCAACTACATGTATTTCGAAAGACGCCCAGACCTGCTTTCCAAATCCATTCAAGACAAGGCTGCTACTGCCAAGTTGAAGATCGAAAACTTCTACCAGTCCTCGGTCAATTATGCTATAGAACGTAACCAGAGACGCGTGGAGCTCGAGAACCAGTTGGTGTCTCAAGATTGGTCGGACGAACGCAAAAGCAGGCAGCTTTCCACGCTGGGCAAAAAAGAGTCCCAGTTCCTGCGACTACGTCGTACTCGGCTTTCTTTGGAAGATTTCCAAACCGTCAAAGTCATCGGTAAAGGTGCATTCGGAGAGGTTAGGCTAGTTCAGAAGCGAGACACTGGGAAAATATATGCCATGAAAACTTTGTTAAAATCCGAAATGTACAAAAAGGACCAGTTGGCGCACGTCAAAGCTGAAAGAGACGTGCTAGCGGGCAGCGACTCGCCCTGGGTGGTCTCGCTGTATTACTCATTTCAAGATACGCAGTACCTGTACCTTATTATGGAGTTTTTGCCAGGTGGTGACTTGATGACCATGCTCATTAGATGGCAAATATTCACTGAGGATGTGACAAGATTTTACATGGCAGAATGCATTTTGGCCATCGAGGCCATTCATAAACTTGGCTTTATACACAGAGACATTAAGCCAGATAACATATTGATCGACATACGAGGACACATCAAGCTGTCCGACTTTGGGTTGTCGACTGGGTTCCACAAGACTCACGATTCCAAATACTACAAAAAGCTGTTACAACAGGACGAAGTGAACGCTGCCACGGGCAACCTTCAAAAACCGCAAATGGGCATAGCGGCGAACAACTCGGGCAAAAATCGGAACACGATGTTTGTGGATGCCATTCATTTGACCATGACCAATAGACAACAAATTCAGACCTGGAGAAAGTCGCGTCGGTTAATGGCATATTCCACTGTCGGTACACCGGACTACATTGCGCCTGAGATTTTCTTATATCAAGGTTACGGCCAGGAGTGCGATTGGTGGTCCTTGGGGGCAATCATGTACGAATGTCTAATTGGATGGCCTCCATTCTGCTCCGAAACGCCTCAGGAAACATATCGAAAGATCATGAATTTCGAGCAGACATTACAATTTCCGGACGATATCCACATTTCGTATGAAGCGGAAGATTTAATTCGCAGACTTTTGACGCATGCGGATCAGAGACTCGGTCGACACGGGGGTTCTGACGAGATCAAGAGCCATCCATTTTTCCGCGGTGTCGACTGGAACAGTATCAGAATGGTGGAAGCGCCATATATCCCCAAGTTGAGCAGCATCACGGATACCAGATTTTTCCCTACGGACGAGTTAGAAAACGTTCCCGACAGTCCAGCCATGGCTCAAGCGGCCCGCCAAAGAGAAGTCATGATACAACAAGGTGGAGCTGCGGCCAATCCGGGAAGCAAGGAGGATCTGCCATTCATCGGGTACACGTATTCGCGGTTTGACTATTTAACGCGGAAAAACGCTTTGTAGTTCAAGCTTGGCCTAGCTGGTATTGCGCCACTATATATCTCAGAATTACGTACCATCTTTACCATAATTTCAAAAGGGCAAACAATCGAAACACACAAGAAAGCATCTCAAAGAACACCATGTGGCGCTAAAGCGTGCTACAGTTACAATTACGTAGCACAGGAGCATAAGAAGGCATGTAGAAACAGCTGATTCCCAGTATTTCCTATTTTCCGAGGAAAATCAACACCAGGCGCCCAGCAACGCTCTATAATTCTGTCTACGCTTCTTGCTGACCCTGAAACCTGGAGAAGCTGGAAGTGTTGTCCCTCTCCTCTGAATGTAAACGTATGGGTCAGCGTGAGCGATATAAAATGATGTTGGTCCTTTAAAAGAGAGGTACAGAGGCGAGGAATTCGTGATGATCACTCTGCTTTTATAGTCGCCATAGCAAGTAGGGTAACTTCGAGATTTCATGTCGCCAGGGCTAGTGAAGTTGAAGTGGAAGTAGAAGTGGAAGACACTAGCAGAGACACCAGTGTCTGTAGAATCCAGAGGTGACTATTGGATTTGTATCCGTTGTTGAGCAGAGAGTGGCTATAAATTGTGTGAATTTCTGGCGCTAGGTGCGAAAATAAAAAGGCGAAGAGAAACGGGTCAAATTACCCAAACGTCGATTGTAAATGCCACTTTCAAAGCTTTCGGCGAGTTATTGACACTTCAATTATTGAAACGACACTCCTGATTTTCTCTCCCACAAGTTTCATAGTTTCGTTCACATCTGGAGCTTATCCATGGCACGCTAAATCGAGTTTTTGATATGACTTGTTCTACCTCACATCCTGGCCATACGAAACTCCACATTTAGTGCTGGACGTCCTGTGATTCGGGCACGAACCCTCGCAAAACTTGTGGTGTTCGAGAGTAAAAGTCGCGATGTCAAGAGCCAGCAGTGACAGATTAGTACAGAGTGATAATTACATTTCCAACCGGTAAGAACCACCCATCACTGGAGCACCTCTAAAGGACCTAAACGCTCTGTAAAACCCGCCGCGACCGCCCTCAGGCTTTGGCCGGTCTTTGCTGCCGTCTCAATTTCGTGTGTAGCCTTTTGTAGATAACAAACCAGATCCAGGCGATGCTGGTGACAGCTCCGAATATCACAGTCTTGTAAGGTTCTTGGACTTCTAGAAAAGGATACGGGTAAACCGCACCGGCGTCTCGGTCGACCAAAACTGTGAGATACTGGTTGTACCCGATTCCCAGTAGCGTCACCACTAGCCACGCCGTTTTTTTGGACATCTGGAAAGGCGCTGGCTCAAGCACCAGATAGTCCATTGCCAGATATAGCACAGGCAGAAGATGGATGGCACAGTCCACAGACAAGGGCAGTGGGACCCTGGAGCCGTCTCTGACGTTGTGCATGATTAGGGGCAGAAAGAATAACCGCAGCGGCCAGTACACCAACGCGACCACAGTTTCAAGAACCAGCGCTAGAGGGAGTGCAAACTGACGACTAACACGCACTAGAAACCGATTTTCTCTGCGGAAATACGATAGCAAGGTCAGTGCGTTGGTCACGATCGTGGCCATCACTGCGATATTGGTGAGGAACTGGCGATGGCCTGCGTCACGCAAACCCGCAGGAAGGACGACCTTGACAGCTCGGTATTCGCCCCAACTGCTGGTGCAGAAGCTTGCCAAGTGGATGATTGCAGAGGAAGTGGTAATTTTGCCCATTACGAAGGTGGAGGACAGTGGAGCACCGACGGAGGGGTACACACAGGTTGAATAGTGCTGAAAGCTGTAGTGTAGATTTTAAGAGCCAACTTTCTCTTGGATTTCACAAGTTCAACAATTTCTTGACTGACCTAATTCCTATGTATGAAGCTTTGCAACCAATCGTGAAAGCTAGTTTATTGTGGCTTAGAATTTGGAGACTGGTATTACTAGGTGTTGCTAGTACTGCTAGTACTGCTAGTAGCGCTGCTTCCTTTGCCTTTGACCTTAGTGTCTTGCTGTCCGCCACACCCTATTGAGTTGTTTTTTGACAGATGGCAGCATCTCATCGCATGGTAAAGGTTGAAAAAGTTGCAAGTTGCGCAACAACAAGATGTTTCTGAGGTTTCTGACGACAGAAACAGTCGCAATTTGGAGTCAAGAGGCTCATCGTGTAGAGAAAATTCCCAGCTTTCGTCTGATGTAGCTCTCTCTGCGCTGCAACCCAGGCAGACCCCCGGCGCCAGGGTCTCAAGATTTTGGGATTTACAATATCGCATCGGAAGAGTAGCAATTTGGGCGTAATCCGGGAAATTACGCGCACTGTACGTCTCGCACCGTGCTGATTAAGGCGAACCCGTATGGATTACCATTTTTGAATTAGTCTCGGAACGGGCTTGGGAATGCCCAGATTGGGTCAAATTGCGGTGACGAAAGCTTAACAGGGCTCAGTGAACCTGGGAACAGGCATAATATTCGGGTAGCCCGTTGCTTGGGAATTCTCTGTGTTAGCAATCGGATGCGAAGAGGTGGGGATGAATCGGAAGTATAAATAGGAAGAGTGTGTGTGCAGCACACTCACGAAGCTTTGATGTGCGATCGTTGAACCATCGATAAAATAGCCATCAGCACAATGCACGTCATCTTGGCTCTTTCATCTGTTTTGGCCGTGGCGACAGCGTCGCCTATCGCTATAATCTCGGACCTTTTCAAGCGGAAAACGTCGGATTTCGACCCGCTCATGGTGTGGCCTGGGAATCTGACGCAGATGTCGAATTGGTCGAACTGGACCAACCCTTCAAACTGGCACAACGCTTCGGGAGTCAATTCCAGCGGCAACAGCAGTTACAGTGGGCACCCCAGCGCGGGCTGGCCCTCGCCCAAGCTGCAGGTGTTTGTCACGGGCGGAGAATACCAAATGTCTAACTGGACCATGTCCTCAGACGTGCAGGTCACCACCCTGTTCAACCAGTCGTCGTTGAATGCCACTTATTTGTACAGCGTGGCCAGCTCCGTGGCCAGCTCGCTGGAAAGCGACGAATACACGGGCGTGGTGGTTCTAGGGTCCGAACAGTCGCTCGAGTCGCTTGGATTCTTCCTCAGCGTGGTCACAGACTCCCCCAAGAGTCTTGTGGTCACTTCTGAGCTCGAAGACGGGCTAAGCGTTGCGTGGTCGGATAATTCCTGGTGGCGCGGCGTTTTGGTCGTAGACGGGTGCTCCATTTACTCAGGCTCTTTGTACAACTCGGGCAACCCAAGTGCGGGCAATATCGGGTCTGTGTATGCTGGCGAGCCTTGGTTCTGGTTCACGCCTGCGTGGCCCACCTTCCTGTCCCCAGAAAGCACGTTACGCCAAGAGTACTACAATTTTACCGAAATCGCGACCGCCAACACCACCTACAGTAACTCCGTCACAACGATTCCTATAGTCTACGACGGCTACTACGATCCATCTCTAATCAACTCTGTCAGCAGTTCTGTCAAGGGTCTGGTGGTGGTTTCTTCGGGCAACTCGACCTCCAGTGAGCTCAAGTCGTCTACAGTGCCTGTGGTGTTTGCCTCTGACGGATACGAGCCTGTCTTCCCGGAGGACGTGCCACAAGGTGCCATCGCGGGCGGAACACTGTCGCCTGTTCAAGCACAACTACTTCTATCCATTGCCGTTGTCAACAATGCTACGGATCCTTCCAGCTTGCAAGGCTTGTTTTTGCCATAAATTGAGCTGACGAAGCAGCATATGACGCTGTTAAAAAACCCTTTATGATCTTCTTTCAACGCTCCGCCGTTCGTTCGTTCTAATGACTTTACCATAATACCCATGGGTGTAGACACTCATCAACCGTATGACTTTTAAATAGTGCTAAAACATTGTAACGCTAATGTATTTATTTGGGCTGGGCTGTGGTGAACTTCGCGGCCAGAATGAATGGATATTCAACGTTGTCCTCGCGAATCGCTGGATATGAGTTCTGGTAGGTAGGGTTCTTCATGGTGTCAACCAGCTAAATTACAGCGATATTGTAAGGCTACTCAAATGAAACCAAAATAAGTAGAAAGAGACTTGAAGGGGTAATTTCCTGAATGAAACCAAGAACGGGGAAGAAATGAGGAGACTGTATCTCCCATTTCAATCGTCTCGCTCGGACTTTTAAAAAGCGTTTATTGGGTGCCAAAATATAGACAAATAGAACAATTGACGCTAGGAGCATTGCAGCCATAAATTGGCAGTTAAATCATCCAAAGCTGCAGATTAGTGATGAAGTAAAAGGGTCTACACAATGGTGTAGAAGCAGTAAGACTGCGACGTTTAAAATCGCAGTGCACATATGTTGTAGTGGCAGAGGTGACAGATTAGTATAAAGTGACAGATATATATATGACGCTGGGGAGCAGAGGAGACTGTGCTGGCGCCAGGTTTCGTTTCCACAGTACTTACTCGCCCTCTTGCGAGTTTCAGCACACAATCCCAAACAATTGCATCAATTGAATCGAAAAAATATCGAACACGATTCATTACCTTCGTGCCCATAGCAGCATCAAGATCAAGGCTATCAAGCTTTCCAATAACCATTACACTGGTTCATTAGTAGACTAGTAATCCTTTATATAACACATTGCGGGGAATGATAAATGCCGCGGAATGATAAATGTAAGTAGTCTCAAATTGTCCACGAGTTTGCGACTTCCTCACTTCTTCGACTCCACTTTCATGATTTGAAGTGCCGCATCCCGAAGCGTAATGGCAAACGATTTGAATTCCATGCCGGTCAATTGGCACGTCTCGTCGTTGTTATAGCGAGCCAATTGGTCGAGATTGGCTTGATTTTGCACTTGAGAACCAGCTGGTAATTTCCCCTCTAACTCTGGGAAAGTTGCGTTTAGAATGTCCACAATCCTCTGCAAGTTAAACTTTCCATCTTCATAACTGTGTTGCCTGACACCAGTTCCATTCACAGGGAACAACCGTTTGCCAACCAACTTCGGATTTCTTAGCGGCAAGACGTGCAGCAGCGCTGCGTCTCTGACATCACAACATATGCCACGGGGCTTGAGTAAAGGCCCAAAGTCATCGGGCGACATGTCGAGCGCTTTCTTTATGAACTGGGCCGTAGTGTTCCATTCACCACTTTCTAGCTCCCATTCAAAGACGTGAGGTCCGAAGACGTACGGAGGATTCACAGTAGTCACCGTATAGCCCACCGAATCCTTATTTTCTTCGTAGAATTTCCACACCATCTGTTCTGCAATCTTCTTGGAAGCGGCGTACGCCTTGCTGTCTTTGTGCTTGGCCTGTTCCCAGGTAATTGGGTTCCAGGATTCCTCCGAAATAACGCATTTACGATCGCCAGCTTTGTCCAAATCCATAAGTGCAGAAAAGGACGAAGTCACCACTACACGCTTGACATTTGTTCCGTGGTTTTTGATGGATTCAAGCACATTGATGGTGCCCTCTGTCGCCGGTTTCAAATACGAGGTTTCCGCCGTATTGCCCTCTCCTAAGGATGCGGGAGGCGCCGTGTGAATGACATGCTGAATATCAGGATGTTTTTCAAACACTTCTTCAAATGCATCTGGTGCTGCAGTGTCTTTGACAATCACAGCATCCAACACAGCATAGGGGTAATAGTGTTCGTAGGCATATGAAATACGGTCTGCTTTTTCTTGAGAGTCAACGCATGCTACAACATGGTACCGTTCTGATTGAAGAATATTGACGATGTGCATGGCAATGTAGCCCGAAGCTCCTGTAACGAGAACTTTCTCGTCCATTGTGGTGGTACTGGTTGCTAGCGTAAAGGCAGTCCTAAAAACAACACTGATAGCACTATCAATTGGGCATTAGAAGAACTTGATATAATTCATTTTGCAAGTGGTATGAATGGTGCGGCAAGAGGCTCTACCTCTTATACCTTACCCTTACAACAGCAGAAAGCAATGACAGGTTGCATTTAGTTAGCTCATTGGGATCATCATCTAAAAGGTGGGGTAGTAGAGTGTTCCCAGTGTGAGAAGGGCGGGCTCTGGACGCAAAACTTGCCATTTTTTACTGACGGTAGAATTTCCTTTTGGCAGGGACCAGAACTAGTGGAAGTAGGGGACAACTCTCACAGCAGATGTTAGGTGCCGCTTTGCAACAATAAGGGTTCCTCCCATGATTGGAAAAATTGTCACTGCTGCCTTAGGAAATAGAAGTTTGGGACTTGCCCGATGAGCATCTTTGATATCAGGTCCAGGAACTCCGATGTGTCTTGCACTTATAGGCGAGACCCTACATATAATGAGTGTCAGTGTAGTACAGAGTGATATTAGGTGACGCATTATAGTTGAGGCGCTCAACAAGTGGATGATAGTGACGAATGGTGAGCAATTAGATATTAAAGGAAAAAAGACATTACTGGTGATAATTTAGGAAGCGAGTGAATTGACGAAACTATGAGTTTATGGGCATTGATGCAAGATTTGGGTCACGTGGTGAGGTGACAGGAAGTCTTGCATCGCGCATTGTGGAAGCGTATTTCTTGTGACCGGCCCCGGAACCAGTTCCAAACTATTTTGTCTAGCTTTTTGAGATTGCTCGGTGATTTTTGGTAACTCTTTGATAAACTTTTACTGCACTAACGTAGCGTATCGTATATTGGGGCTTTTTCTTCAGTAGTTAGACGCCGGATCGAGAGAAGCTTAAGTATCACCAGAAGCGGGCAGAACTAGCCAGAGCTAGCCAGTCTAGTAAATTCTTACCATTAATTTCATTCTATACTACAACGAACAACATATTGGTGAATAAATGTAAATTCCAACAAAAGGTCGGAAAAGTAGTATGCAAAACGTCTAAACACTGAAATGTCACTCTGGCGCGAGCACAGCAGTTCGCTACAAAACATCAAACCTTATCGACACTCTCCCTTCACACCACTTTCCTTCGCCATTCTCTGGTCTGCCACACTATAACCGACTATTTAATATTTCTGAACATAGCTATATAAACTCTTTCCTGAGAACTTCACTTTCAGAAACAAAACATAGCTTAAAGACGAACAATAAAGAGCACAGGAGCTTTTCAACCGCGGTAAAGTGGTTTCATAATTCGCCTATACCGTCTGTTCTTCTTCACGGGCCCTAGTTTGAGCCTGCGGTGTTCGCTGAGATCATGAAATGGGATTTTAACGTCAAAATCGCCCGTTCTCAAGCTACGGTTCGACCACATAGGACACTTTTTCATGGATGGAGACTGGATTGGTATTAAAAACCGGCCTCTTCGGCTCCTAGCCTCGAATCCCGCGCACTACCGAATCAAAACGAACGTTCGCTTCCCTGAAGCGAATAACCGCGATCACAATGTACGGGAATACACAGATTCTCTGGATCATTTTGAACGAGCAATTGTGTTATGTTCAAGTCACGTGTTATTCCGGCTCCTGAACTTACCGGTCCACAGGCCCTCTTCTTGTCCAGCGCTTGCAAAAGAGCCTAGCCTAGGTCTTAAAAAATAGACGGTTGGCCGTTGGGCGCAGATCCACAGACCTTTAATTTTCTAGAAGGTACTCGCTCGCTACAGCACTGCTCCCGACGTCAACTCTATTGGCGCGCTCCTTTCGCACACAGCTTGCACTCAAAGTCCGGACATGATGCTCTGCCACTTGTGCACGACGTGAACTGACAACGCTTACGTCTTTGTTTTCCAGCTTGTTATTTTCTGACTCACTCAACGTGCAAATATCAACATCATGTCAATCCTTTTCAAGCGTCCTAAGTTGCAGGGGAGGGGATGCGCTATGCCATTCCTTTGTAATTCCGTAGGGTTTTCCGGTGGCATCTTTTTCGCCAGCTCTGGTGGTCCCTCTATTTTTTTCCCTGTGTTTTCACAATAATTCCTTCTCGTTAGCCTTAAACGGTGAGAAAATCTGACGCACGCTATCTGACAACCTTATCTGATTGTCAAAAAGGTTATCTCGTATCGCTACAATGTGGTTGGTCCGGCTTGGACGGTTCCTGGCTGAAGTATGGGAACGATGAGTCCAGGTGGCATATATATATGGTGCACATGAGCAGTTCGAACCAGGTCCCTGACTGATTAGATGGCGCTTTCACTGATCTCGAAACTTACAGTCTAATCACTTTAGTTGACTCTTTTATTTGGGCATCAGATAACCATTTAAATTCTGGCTCGACTAGGAAATCTAAAATCGATGTCTGGCTTAAATCTCACTGGCATCCCTACGGGCACCGGTACAGGTGGTGACACGCTCACCACCGACCTTAACACACAGTACCAAGCCGCTGACATGGTTTGGGTCGGCACTTCTGCCGCTTTGGTATGGATTATGGTTCCTGGTATTGGTTTGCTGTACTCGGGTCTTTCACGGAAAAAACACGCGCTCTCGCTATTGTGGGCATCCATCATGGCCGTAGGCGTGGTGTCCTTCCAATGGTTTTGGTGGGGTTACTCTTTGGTGTTTTCTCACAGCACCAGGGGAAACGGATTTATTGGTACCTTGCAATTCTTCGGTTTTAAAAACGTGCTGGGCGCTCCTAGCTCTGTGAGCTCTGTCCCTGATATCCTGTTCTCTCTGTTCCAAGGCATGTTTGCCATGGTCACTGGTATTTTGATGGTTGGTGGGTCGTGCGAACGTGCCCGTCTTTTCCCTATGATGGTGTTTTTGTTCCTGTGGATCACCATTGTGTACTGCCCAATCGCGTGCTGGACTTGGAACGCGGAAGGGTGGTTGGCCGCCTTGGGTGCTCTTGACTACGCCGGCGGTGGTCCCGTCCACATTTGTTCAGGTCACGGTGCTCTAATCTACGCTCTTATCCTCGGTAAGAGAAATGACCCCATTGCCAAGGCTGGAATGCCCAAATATAAGCCCCACTCCGTGACTTCCGTCGTTCTTGGAACCGTCTTCTTGTGGTTTGGCTGGTTTGGCTTCAACGGTGGTTCCGCTGGTAATGCCACCATCAGAGCCTGGTACTCTTGCGTCAACACTAACTTGGCCGCTTCTTGCGCTGGTCTGACTTGGATGTTCATTGACTACTTCAGATTCGGTCGCAAATGGACCACCGTAGGATTGTGCTCTGGTGCCATCGCCGGCTTGGTCGGTATCACCCCAGCAGCTGGTTTCGTCCCCGTGTGGGCCTCGGTCATTATCGGTATTGTCACTGGTGCTGGCTGCAACATTGCCGTTGACTTGAAGAACCTACTACACATTGATGATGGTCTCGATGTCTACGCTTTGCACGGCGTGGGTGGTGCCATTGGCTCTGTTTTGACTGGTATCTTCGCTGCCGACTACGTGAACGCATCTGCCGGTGATGAGGCTCTTCCTATCGCTGGTGGGTGGATCAACCACAATTATAAGCAGGTTGGTTACCAGCTGGCCGCTATCTGCTCTACTGTTGCTTGGACGTGTGCTGTGACTTCCATTTTGTTGCTAGTAATGGACAGAATTCCCTTCTTGAGACTAAGATTGAGACCTGACGAGGAAGAACTAGGTACTGATGGCGCTCAGATTGGCGAGTTCACTTACGAAGAACACGAAATGTACATCCCAGAGCCCGTTAGATCGCACCAATCTGCCCAAGTTCCTCACCCAGCCGCTATCGACGACAAGATCCATACTGACGATGCCGCCAGCAGCGATCACACCGGTCACCCAACCGAAAAGGTTGTTGTTTGAATTCGAATAGCGTTCGATCAATGATTCATAATTCGTCCACGGTATGCTTTCCAAAAAAGCCGCAAGAATATAATAAATACTGTACGTAATGTTTAATACTATGCCACTAACGGTCTTGTCGCAGTGCGCCAGCTTGGACCATCTGTTGATATGCTATCACTGGTCGTAATTCACGGTAATTAGGTTAACGGACGTTTAAAGTTCACCATCTTTTAAGAGTTTAACTTCCACGCCAAGGGAAGAAGCATAATATCCTCAATGAGACTTCTAAGCGTTTTCGTAGTGTTTCTAGGCGCCGTGGCTTATGCCACATCTCTCGGTAAGTGTCTATTGCAGTGTATCTTGATGAGCGACCATATCATCAATGGTTATTTGTACCCCTACTAACAGTGCTTATGGACCGTGCTAAATCTTATATATTGACCCTCGAGGAAGACCAAGAGGCCTGGAAAGGGAAACTAGACGACCTTAAGTCTCTGGTGAAACAGACAGGCGGCAAGATCACCCATGAATATTCGCTTGTGAAGGGATTTTCCATGGAGATACCTTCTTCGCACTCCACGGACGTCTTGGAACGGCTCGAGAAATTCGCCCAAAAGCTCAAATTCAAACTCAATATTGAGCAAGACCAGGAAGTGCACGCGATGAGCGGGCCCAACGGACCCGTTCACTGAGGCAGCAGGAGGGTTTTGTTCTTTTGGCACAATACATGGTACAAGGTCCGCTCGTTGGACATCTATAAATACAGGTGAAGGATGGGAGGGAGGAAGGTGTTTATTGTTTATTTTTATGGCAGATTTTGGTTTTTCTTTTACAGTTCGCTTTAACGCTCAACGTTCAGCGCTCGAGATTGATGTTATCGCCAAACTTCGCGTATAGTGCAGTCTTGAGCTCCCCAATTCGAGAATCGATTTCCTCCTCTGTTTGTTCCAACCTTTCGATCTTGGCGTCCAGAGCTTCGCCGTCCTTTTCCAGTTTCTGTACCACTTCGCTCTGGGGCAGAAAAACAAAAGCTTCACCAATCTTATACTGAATTTGCTCGTCTTCGTCGATCAGCTCGATTTCGAGCGACACGTCGTCCAAGTAACCCTTTTCCTGTTTGAAATGGGCCAGTTCTACATTGATCGAGTCCTTTCTCATGATAAGTTTCGAAAACTCATTGATCTTCTGTTGGTCCTGGTACAGCACTTGAACGCCGTTTTTCTTGCCCTCCGGTAGCTATAAAGACAGAGTTAGTGAGAAATTAAAGTCACGGACCAATTCAGATGTGGAATACCATACTAGTTCCATGTTATGAAGCGTTGATTGATAACAGAAGATGGAGAACATGGTTTACATCAGTGTCTATCATGGGTATGAATTTCCAGATTTTGAATATTGGACATTAATTTTGGTGATTACATAATCCTAGGTCAAAAGGTTCAGTACCTTTAAGAACAGCTACAACGAACTTTCCAGCGATTGGTGGGCTTTTGGTTTTTAGGCGGCAGAGGACGTGGCAAGCAGTCTCAAAATACCTTTACTCAATCTTTTGGCGGCTTCTTGCATTTCTTCATCGCTCGCTGCATGCGCGTATGTGACTCTCATAAAATGTGATCTCTCGGAGGAAAACTTCTTACAGACAGCCATGTTCACACCCAACACGACTTTGACACCTTCTTCTATAAGAATATAGAAGAGCTGTTGCATTGCCTGGGCATGGTCTTTAATATTTGGGAACTTTTCAAATCGGATTTGGAGCGCTGCGAACATACCTGCTGTCACGGGAACCATCGTGAAAAGGCCGTCTTTGAATGCATCGGTGGCCTGAAGCGCTTCATAAAGTATGTTTCTGCGGTGAGTGTACTGGCTGGCAACTTTCATAACCCACGACAGCCACGCTTCTTGTGGGGAAGTGAAGTTTGGTGCCCATTTTTGAATAACATTGTTGACCATCATCTGAGAAACACCACTGGCAGCTCTGGTTGACACATCTCCAAAGTCCAAGATTTTAGAGATCAAAAACTTATTGCCGACAATGAAACTGAATCTCAAACCGGGGAAAAAGACCTTGGAGAAAGTCTCACACCGAATTACACGACCCGAGGTGTCGAGAGAAAGAAAAGATGTAGAGAGCACTTCCTTGCGATATTGGTCCACGGTATACTCGCCAGCTTGGTATGGGTTGTACGAAGGATTTTCGGGGTCGTAAGTTGGGAATCTCAAATAGCCGTAGGGGTCGTCCTCGACAATAAGGAAATTGTGGGTCTCGGCCAAAGCGTAGATCTGTTTCCGTTTTTCCAAAGACAAGGTCATACCGGTTGGATTTTGACCTGTGGGGATTGTGTACAACAAGCGAGGTTTCGAGAGATGCGAGTATTGGGATTCGGACCAATTTTCCAGCAAATTGGACAAGAATTCCACGTCAATACCTTGTTCTTCCGGGTCTCCAGTGACACTGACTTTAATTGGGATTGGAACAGCACCTGTGGCGGTGATATTGCTGATCGTGGGGGAAAACGAGAATTCTTCCACTAGCACAGTGACGCTGGCGTCTGCGAGTGTTTCGAACACTTTGAAAAGCGAGTCTGAAGAGCCATTGGCGAAAGTGATGTCCCAGTCCTTGTAGCTTGGTGGGTTGGCGTACTCGACGAATTTGTAGCAAAAATCGAGCATTGGGTCGAGACCCCGGGTGTTACTGTATTGGAACCCGGTGTAGATTGGGATGGCACCTGGATTTTCGGGCTCGTACCGCCACATGTCGACAATGGACCCGTTTTGGAACTTTTGTGAAACCAGCTCCCTTTCGTTACGGGGAGACCCATCAGCGGCGACCACCGTGTCGCTGCTGGCAGCTCCAGAGCTGGCGTCACGGTGCAATCTGGAGGACCGGAACTTGTATTCGGTGTGCTGGAACGGATGGTCCACCACATTCAAATGCACAGATTCGATGGGGAACAGTCCCTCGTTGGGCATTCCTGCGCCCAAATCAATTGGTTGTGGGTGTGGTTTGACACTGGCAGGTGTAGTTTTGTCCCAAAAAGACATCAACTTACGTGCTGCGACACGCGAGGACAGAAATGGCGTGTAAACTTCTTCCAAAGACATGATGCTTGGTGGTGGTGGTGCGATGGTGCGTTACAACAAAATAGTGATACCAAAACACGGAAAACGCGCTGAACTCGGGACAATTGGCCTGGATTTATACGTGTTCGACGCGTATCTGTCAGCGCTCGCGTTGGTGATGGTGATGACGGTGCTAGTGGCGATTGATGGTGTTCGGCAACGCGCGTATCTTGTGTGATATTTACTCATCTTTATCTATGGTACCGTTTTGGTGAGTTTGAAAGGTAATAAATGAATGGGTGGAAAATCTGGCGTTGTGAATTTCGTGTGTGGTGATATATACAATTAGGTCACGCGATCAAATAAATTAGATAAGGATATCGTGATAAACACGTGGTCTGTGGTGTGTGGGTGATATTTTGGTATACACGTGATTTTTTAGATATAATTATCCAAGTACATAGCGCCGTTTCGCTCGGACTCATATCTTGTCTCCTCCGGCCAGCGGTTTCGATTGACATTCCAAGTCATCTGCCAAGGTTTTAGCACGTAGAGCTTTTAAATGTAGCGCCAAGTTCACGGCCTGGACCGCTCCCAAACATACCAGGACGACGGCGTGCACGAGGGCACGTGACTGGATTTCTGCCAGCAGTGCAATTCCGCGATGCGAGGCCGCAGCGCCTCGTGTGAGTGCGAACTCCTGCAGTTGGCACAAATCGGCCACTTCGCGGGCTGCGTTCACGCAGCCCGCCAGCGTGGGGGCGATGCTGAAGAGCCGTGCGGAGCGATGGCGTATGCTCACAAACAATATTGTGAGGAACAAGCATACGGGACCCAGCACGCCTTGGTCGGGCAGTCGGCAGTGCAGCAGCAGCAGCGCTGTGGTCAGATGTGCGGCCAACAGCACGCGTGCGAAAATGAGCCACCACCGACACGAGGAGCAGCTCGTGTGGTCACGTGATGCTCGATTAGAGGCCTCTTCCTTCTCCATGTCAGCAGCACGAAGCAGGGACGACGACAGCTTTGTTCAGTGTGGGCGAGTTGCAGCGGTGTGCGTGAGGGCGTGGGTGCGTGATTGCGTGAGTGCGTGTGCTGAACGCTGTTCTTATTTTCCCAACGGTTGGGCGCTCGCTGTGTGCTTCTTTTATATGGAAAGCTGCTCGTGTTTACCATAATATGTATGCATCCTGTCCACGTAGTTGTCCATGTCGAGGTCGGCGTGGTAATTTCCAGCGTGGGCCCACGCGTTGGGTCGTGCTTATCATAGGGCTACGTAAATTAAAAGAGGCACGAGATGGGCAATAGATTGGGTCGTCAAGAGCGAGAAGTAAGGCACACTCGAAGCACTGTTGAACAATTGAGAGCGTCAGCAATCGATTGTGAACAGCGCTGGTGGCTACAAGCAAAGGGTAAAAGATCGCAGCGCTCTCAATAGTACCACGAGTTCTCTAGTTTATTCACAATTCATAGCAGTACCTAAGTTATTCACAACTTATCGCTTCGAGTACCTAATCCAAGTGTACCACGAGATCTGTACATAATTCACAATTTTTTGCTGATGCGCACAATTGTTCAACGGTGCTTGTAGCCATCGCTGACGCTCTTAATTGTTCAACTGCACTACGAGTACCCTTCGCTCTCGATTGTTCGATTGTGCTTCTAGTCGCTCACGCTTGGTTCTCCTAACTTGTAGCCTATAGCCACTTCTCTTGGCCAATTTAAAGCCATGGCGAATTAATTGGACATGTAGGCAAATGGAGTTTAATTAATGGCGAGTACGAGTACGAGTACGAGTACAGTGCAGTACAGTACACGTGGCTATGAGTACAGGTTAGGATGTCAACAGACCAGAGAAAGGTCGCGCTCATCGAAGATAGGCCTTGTCTCTGGGAACAGCACGTAGCATGCCTCCAAACACCAGATTACAGGGAGAAGCTCTGGATAGCTGCCAACCCGCTCAAAACCCAAAGACCATGTCTTGAGGTCTAGATATGTCCGTATAAAGCGATAACAAGGCTTTCTCGTGCTGTGAGAATGTGTCATCTGGGTCGTAGAGTAGCCTTCGTTATCTTTCTTGACACTGGGCCCCGAAACTGGACCTGCAAATCGATATTGTAACAGCCTGCGTCACTGAATTCGTACAGGGCTGATTGTCACTAAATACGGGTCCATGCAAATCACGAGTACGAGTACGAGTACGAGTACAAACAAGCATTCGTAGTACCACTGACTAGTACAACAATCGTAGTATAATCGTCAGTAACCCAGTAACTAGACACAGTGAATAATTGAGCGATGGCGTCACTTGTGAGGGAAAAGGAAGCCGCGACGCAAGCGCTTGGGAAGTCCTGCTACTTTCTCAAAAAAAAACTAGCACTACAGGGTGACTCGGGGCTTCATGCGACTGTTTAAACTCGCGAACAAGAACGAGGCTGCCACACGCACCCTTCATTCGTAGCTCTAACTCAAGTCTTTACACTTCCGGTAAACAAGCATCAATTGGCAGGCCTAACGAGTACTCCTCGCTCGCCTCCTTCTTTACATACAAAAACCTACTCTCTGCATACACTCAATCCAAGGACACCCCGGACTTTTCCAGAAGCTCTTCGGACTTGCCGATAAACTTCTCAACATAAGGCTCCGTAAACTTTTGGGATTCAACGGCTTGGGCCTTGTTGTTGAAGAACGCAGGGTTGTAAGCATCCAAATCAGAAGACACCATCATCGGAAGCATGCGGCGTGCATAGTCCTCGGTACTCTGGCACCAGAACCCAATGATACTCTCAATAATCCATGATTTCCAGCTGTTGGCACCCAACAGATTGCTCCGGATATTTGTCTTGATCAGGCCCGGGTTGAGTCCATAAACGCCAATTTCAGGGTACCGCCGTGCACTGTCAAGCACCAGAGCCTCGTTACCGGCCACCGTGTTCATGTGTGTTTGCATGACGCTGTATTTACCCTCCGAATTCAAGTCCTCGACCGTCCCCAGCTCTCCGGTGCCGGGGTATCCGACCACAAACACTCTTGGTCTTTTCAACATGTGGGTGTGAGTTTCTGCAAGTGTAGGTAGTAGATTGCGAATGATAACGAGTCTGCTGAGATAGCTCACGGCCATATCGCGCTCCAGACCCTCAGAAGTTCGCTGGCGAGTGGTGGCAGCAAATATACCGTTCGTGAAAATCACCATGTCCAAGGGCAGTTTTGCAAGTTCTTTTGAAACTCGCTTGGCTTCTGACATCAGTTCTAGGTCTGCCTTGATGAAATGGACGTTCTCTAAGTCGTCGTCTCTGAAAGTCCTGCCCACGACAGTGACATTAGCACCCCTGCTGTCGAACATCCGACTGAAACCTTGACCAATTCCTCCGGTTCCTCCAACTATCGCAACTTTCATCGCTTTCAGATCCAACTTGTCAATAGGAACATTAGTCCATTGCAGCTTTTTAACGACTTTAAGACCAAACGTCATAGTACAACTGGTGTAGAAAGAGAAGTGTTGCGTGTAAAGTATACCTCTTGTTCTTCACAGGACCCTCAAATCCTGAAATGTGTAGTCTCTTTTTCACCTCTTATAAAGACCTGGGCAGCATTTATATAAGCAACCCTACCCTAAACTCTTTTGTTGATGTTAGCAAATTTTCGGACCTTACAAAAACGCAACTGAGGTCAAACAGTGGAAAAATGAGTGATTTGTCAGTCCACGAACGGTTTGTCAACACTGTCCATTGGTTATTTGTAAGAATTCTTATGTTCTTTAGCCAAACATCGTGCTATCTAGTTTAACTTTGGAGCCTGTGCTTAGACATAAAAAGTTGGCCTTACTTACTGGGACCTCATAGGTTATGCTGTAGCAAGTGGACTGGGCCTCAAATACTTGTCTTCTGTTTAGCTGTTTGGCAACTTTTCGCTATTGTTTAATGTAAATTAATTGATCGAAGACAGTATAAACTGGGTTCGTGAAGATAGCTGGTAAAGACTGAAATGCTGAATATTATGACATTTAGCGTGGAAAATCGTAATACTTAGTGCTAGATTCTATGGGACAGGATGCCTCTTTCTATAATTGTTTTGACTGAAGCTTTTGGAAGGTGGATGCGTATGACAAGTGTATGACTTTTATTTGTGGACGGCAACAACTTCCATTTCCATTGGAAGATTCAATGGGAGCTGCTTCACGGCCACACAGGTTCTGTCAGGCTTGTGGTCTTTGAAGTATTTAGCGTAGCCCTTGTTGAACTCCGCGAAATTGCTCATGTCCGTCAAGTAAACGTTCACTTTGAGCACGAGGTCAAGACTAGAGTTGGCCTCCTCCAAGGTAGCAGAACATGGACTACTATCATATCAAGAGAAGATAACTAAGAGAGAATGGTGGACGACTCTGAAATATCACAGACGAATCTTCAATAGTCCGTCGATGATTGATTTGGCACAGCGAATAGATTTGTCGGCGCAAGATGGGATTTTTGGGCTCTTTTCTCTGGTCAGAATGAGAGCAGTTTTGTAAGATCGTTTTGAAGCAGGGCAATGCTGGACAGCTACTGAACAGCTACTGAACAGCTACTAAACAGCCATTCATCTCTGTAACTTAAGGGTTCCAGAGTGTGTAGCTTGTGATCGGGAAACTAAACTGAAACCTATATCGTTCCCAAAGTCTTGATCATCTTGTCAAACGTTTGAAAATTTACATGTACAAGCTTAGTTTTGACGATTTATTGAAGCACGTAGGTCGGACACCTCAAACCCAGGAAAATCAGGTACTATGGTCTTGACTTTCATTACTGGCTTTGGTGTTGCTACGAATAGGCGAGTTTTTTGACATTAAGTTCGTCAATTACATTCGAATAGAAAAATATCAAAACTGCATCACTGCTGATGAAAACGGCTATTAGTTACCGGTATAATCTATAAATGTTTATGAAACGCTGTAAACGTAAGGGTATCTATCAATGTCTTGAAGCCTATTTAGCAGTAAGAGTCTTACAACAAATGTTCTCCTGCTGCTGCTTAAATCAAAGCCACGGGCAGTGCAAATCAAAATCCAAGTCCAAGCTTCTGAGCAGCGCCTTCATACGTTGAGATCGCAAGAGTGCTGCTCGATACCGAGACCGAACTTAGAGCAGAGGTTTGTACGAGAGGGGCCGTGGGAGAAACGGTGGTTGTACGGCTATCAGATTTCGAGTCAAGGCTGGATGCTGATGTAACGACAGCGGAAGATGCCTTTGAATTGCCGTAGCTGGCATTACCATTGTCAGAGCTCGATACACCCGAGGTGGTTGGATTTGCGAGAGTTAAAGTACTTGCTGTAGTGTCGACGGGAGTGCCGACTGGATTGCTGTCTGGAGTTTCAACTGGGGTGCCCACTGGAGTACCACCAACTGGAGATGACCCAACTGGAGTACTGGCTGGAGTATTGTCTGAAGATCTTACTGGAGTGCTGTCTGAAGATCTAGCTGGAGTGCTACTTGGAAGTCCAATTGGAATGCTAGCTGGAGTGCCAACCGGAATTCCAATTGGGGTTCCAGCTGAAGGTCCTGCAGAAGGTCCTGCAGAAGGTCCTACTGAAGGTCCTACTGAAGGTCCTACTGAAGGTCCAACTGGAGTGCTGACCTCAGTGCTGATCAGACTTCCGACTGGAGTGTCGGAAGGGCCCAACCCACTCGAACTAGTGTGTGCAGCATCAACTTCTCATTCAGAAGAGGTACCAGGCGCGGTAGGAGTTGTTCTTGTCACATCATTCGTACTTTTAGAGAGCGTTGAAATAACGGCATTCGAACTTGTCGCAGACGTTCTGCTGCTTAGAGTTTCGGAGAAGGAACTAGCGCTTGTGTGTTCCGTCACAATAGATTGAGTCACAGAGGTGGCAGAGATCAATGAAGGTGTAGATGATTGCTCAACCGAACGATGTGAGTTCGTGTTCCCTGCAGGAGATGAGCTGGACGAAAGAGAAACTGTGACATGGGAATTAAAGTCAATATGGGCGGAAGAAGATGACCCAGCGTTATCACTGGAAGTCACGGCAGAACTCATTCCAGAGGAAGTCGCAAGACCACCACTCATCGTAGTATTATTCGAGTAAAGTCTCGCCATTGGAGTCTTGACGTAATAAACTGTTTGTGTCGTTGACGACCCACCTAGGGATGTGATAGTCTTTAACCCTGTTGAATACGTTGATGTAGACAAGCCGGTCCATTTCGTATACAAAGTCGAATCAACAGTTGGGGTCTCGACGTAGAAAACAGTCTCGGTCGTAGAAATACCATCAGACCCGGTCAACATGTTCAACGCGGTGGAGAAAGTAGAAGTAAAGCTGCCGGTCCACTGGGCGTATGCCGTAGATTGAATCTCGTTAATCGGCGTTTTGACGTAGTATACAGTGCCAGTCTTTGTTAAGCCTTGGGATTCAACAAAAGTAGCCAACGCGGTGGAGTAATTAGACGTGAAGCTACCGGTCCACTGGGGGCTGTAGTCTGGACGTTGTCAGTTGGAGTTTCCACGAAATACACAGTTTCAGTGGTACGACTGCCATCAGAGCCGGTGAAGGTAGACACGTCTGTTGAGTATGTCGATGTGACAGATCCAGTCCACCCAGTAATAGTAGTCGATTCAATAGTGGCCACTGGAGTCTCCACATATTAGATAGTCCCAGTGGTTGGGATACCGTCGGAGCCGGTAAAAAGGGTAAATTTGGTGGAATATGTTCAAGTAACAGATCCAGTCCAGCCGGTGGTAGCAGTCAAACTGATTTCAGCGACTGGAGTCTCAACATAGTAGATGGTCTCAGTCGTTGCAATACCGTCAGAGCCAGTGAAGGTGATCAAATCGGTAGAGCATGTGCCGATACGCGATCCGGTCCATGTGTGGTCCTGGTCGAGCTGACATGAGCAGTTGGAACTTGAACATCCATTGGTAGTGGTCACCGTCGTCGGGGTGGCGCTTGATACCTGGACAATGACTGTGGCAGTACCGCGCTCAGAATTCCCTGATATCGTGGAGACGGTCGCAGTGGACTTATACGGTCCTGTTCTTGTCAACGTGGTAGTAGTAATAGGAACATCATACTCGGTTTCCACGTATGGCAGGCCGTTGATGAAGGTAGTGTATACTGTGAAATATGTCGTTTTCCGGGTCCAGTACTTGGTCACAGACGTGGTTGCAGTAGACGCTGTGACGCATACGACGGAGGATGAATCCGTGGCAAATTTAAGTCCCAACTGGCAGCAAGCTGTTTGAACTGCGAATACAGCATTGTCAGACGTAGTCAAAGTGCCACACGCAGAATCGACTGGCTGACACACAGTATTGGGAACGAATTGTGCAATGGTCTCGGTCAGTGCTCCATCAGATAGGCTTATGGAGGAACTTATCGTAGATACCGTATAGGGGAAATGAACCGTTGAGGTGACGAAAGGTCCGTGAACAGCTTCTGTGATTTGAGTAGTGACTGTGTTCAATGGATCGCAGGCCTGAGTGTAAGGGTTGACGCCTCTCTTGTGGAAAATGTTGAGAGTTGGGTTTCCTTGCTCTATGTCGCCGCAATTGAATTCAGTTGTACCCGTTGTGCTGTAAGTCCAGCCTCTTGTGACGGCGGTTGTTGGAATGGGTTCAACTTCGATGACAGTAACCTGAGTAGGATTTTTGGAAATGGTGTAGGTCGTTGACGATCTACCAGTGTAGGATGACGTTGAGGTAGTTTCGGATACAGAAGACCCGTAAACGACTACCGTGTATTCTGTTGAATCATCTGCCACTGGTTCAGTGGTGGTGAAGAGCTCGGTTTGAGACCATGTGCTACGCACTGGGGTTGTGACTGGAATCTCGACATCAACGTAAACTAAAGACGCGTCAGTTGCATGCGACTCTGTTACTGTCGTCGTATAAACGTGATTCCAAGTGGTAGTTCTAGTTGTCGTAGCAGGAGGTAAGTATATTACAACAGTGGTATCCGAAGAAACGTAAGGAAGGGTAGTCGTGGATGGTGTAGTGCCTGGATAAAAGCTCTTTTGTGTAACTGTGCTTATCTGCTGACACGTCAGTTTACCGCCATTGCAAAATAGCCCTGAAGAGCACTCAAGTCCCGTTACACCGTTGGTGGGCGAACATCTCCCTTTTTGCTTTGCGTATAACGAGGAATGTAGTTGACTACTGTCACAACCGACGCTCCTGCCGTTTGTGTGGGCTCGGTACTCGACGACACGTACGTGTTTGTCCATATGTATTGAGTAGTGACGGTCTTAAATGGAGCAATCTTGAAAACTTCAAGACCTGTGGTTTCTCCAGCGCGGTTGGTTAAAGCGCTAGTGCTGAATGCAGTTGTTTCGGTCGTTGGTACAAAAGTTGTGAAGCGGGGGAAGGCACGTAATTGATTACGCTTACCGTGACATCGGAATCGGAGTATGGCGATGTAGTCAGAGACGCGGCTGTGCCCGTGTAATAAGTTCGTTGGGTTGTTGTGGTGCTGGAGGGCTCCCAGACTTCCGCAGTAACAACGAAAATCGCTGGAAGGGTCGAAAGAATCAATTGTAGTCGAATGAGATCTGGAAGTCCAAATGTGAGTGACAGTAGTACGCGCAGCAAGCGTTTCGACTACCTGAGTAAACGTGCTACCGCTTGTCACTAGATGACTAGTTGTCTCGGTACCTGTCCATGGGACAGTAGTTGTTTTCGTTCTTGTCGGAAGATCGACTTTAACTGTGATGAAGGTAGCGTCCGAATCGTTGCTCAATGTTAGAGTCGTTACAACGTCTCCATCGTACCTTTGGGTGATTGTTGTTCTGGGTGTTGGTTTGAGAACAATTTAGTTGTCTGTACCATCTACTATGGTGGTGGTTATCGTGGTTGCCTCTCCCAAGTAGGTACTAGTAGAGATCTTGAATGGACTGAAACTCCCGGACGCCGCCGCCAGTTTCAATTGTGTTCGTATGCTAAAACTCGTCTGTTCGGTCGATCCGTCTGAGCAAGTCACGGTGTCCTTGTATTGGTTCATCAAGGTGATAGGATTGCCGGAACTCGATAGTCTCTGGTACCCGACAACAAAAACTCTGTAGCCAGCTGGGATATTAGTTGCATCGACTTTAACTGTATTGTCTTGGCAAGTATATGACACAGACGAAGAACCAGATTGGGCATTCTGGGGCATCATCCAGCTATTAAGCCATTCGAAATCATTGCCTGTACATCGCCGCACACACTAGCTGACCCGTTTGTGAGTCACCTCGAGAGAATCCCGCGTAGGTGATTTTGATCTTCTCACTGGCAATAGAACCACTGGAACACTGTGAGCCAACGAAGTAAGGCTGAATTTGATTGTTCATGGAGGTACGCACATAGGAATTGGGATCAGTGGCAGCGTTATAACCATTGGTCAAACTGGGGGTGTAAGTAGGCCCAGCGGCAAACGACACAGTAGCTGGCAATTCATTTCACCTTACAGTTTGGGTTCCCGTGCCGAGTTTTTGAGCATCGTCCAAATCTGCTTGAAAGGCGGAGCCGCCGACGTTGAAAATGAAAGGCACAGTTATCGACCCTGTAACGTCTTTTAGAGATGCCATTTGGTTAATGTCCTGCTTGGGGACAGTGCATGTGACTCTTGAGTCGGCAGTCAACGAAAGCCCTGAGAACACAGAGCAGGTAGCAAGCTGAGAACCGCTTGATGAGATTGCAAAAGAATCGCCTCCATTTGCACCTTAGGCCGTGTAGACATTTGGTAGATTCAAAGTGAATGTGTCGCCTGGTTGGGCGTCCATGGCGTCTGTAATTTTGAAGCCAACAGTAGCATCCCACAAACCCCGAGGCTGGTTTTCGGTGTTCTGTTCCGACGAGATGCTGAGGCTGTCGAAAACAGCACCCTAGTCTTTAGCTTGGGCGACCTGGAGGCACAGTGTCGAACAACCTGCAAAAACAGCAGATACACTGCTAATCAGCATTTTGACGAGTTGACGAGTTGACGAGTTATATTGTCAAGTACAGCATCGAATTAGAAAGTCGCTGTCGCTGGGCTTGTGTGGGCATGGGCCCAAAGCCTGGTACACTCTTATATATGCGTTTGGTCCAGACTGAATAGGACTTTGAGCGGTTTTGTCCGAATCCAGCAATGCCAACACTTGAGCTGCCAAAACACTGCATTCAGCTTAGAATTGGGCGATGAGCTATATCTCCGAGCGCCCTCCACCAGCTCTTCTCAAGTGAAATTTTTCCCTTTCCACATACGGTTTTCATGCTGACTTGTCATATTAGGCCGCCGGTGATTTGAACGGAAGCGACGCTGAAATCTCGAGGAATACAAAAATGAAATTCTATCGCGTGACGTTCAGCACAGATGTTGTATTCGTAGTCATTCAATGGGACTTCTGTTCTCTATCCTGGAAGTTCATGAATATCAATGTTTTTATCTCAAAACTGTACTTTCGTAGATGTTTTACAGACCGTACGTGATTGTTGATCATTGGCCTCGTCGAGACAAAAAAATTGGATCACATAAGGCGATTTCGTAGGGATTCTATGACAATTGAGTAATCATCAGAACAACTTATCATGATAGAATCACACCGGAGATGATGCTGTCATCATTTACCCCTCTCGATATATCTTCACTATCCCCCTCCATTTACATCCACTTTATTTACCATTATTATACTGGTGGTAGACGGCGATTTTACCAAAACAGTCTCGCTAATTGAAAGTGTCCATAACATTCTCAGAGATGGGTCAAGCACGAGATATTAATGTGAAATAGTACAAAATTTAACGACTTGCTCACTGGGAGTCACCAAGACGCGAATTTCAGATGTCCAAATTATAATCGTTGGACGTCCACGGCTTATAGCGACAAATGACAAAATTGTCAAAAGTGATGAAAATGACATTCTAAGAAAAAATGACAAGTTTACCATAGCCAAACCACTGGATGCCATTCAATCCCTCGACACAAATCCTCTGGAACCGTAGAATACAACTGAAACGCTGCCGATCCGTAACGCATCTTGTTTGTATATCCCACGCTTTGTAATGATGCATTTTTATCTCCCAATATAACGAGACATCAACACGACAGTCATTCAGCCATGCAATTGATACCACTACAACGTCGCCTCGCGTTTCATCTGAATTAAAGAACTGTATGCCATTGAAAACAATCATTAAATTTGATGGGCAGCTTGACTAAGCGTAAATATTCTTACATTCTTGCTTATTTTGGGGCTCCGCCTCACAACTTACTCTGCACAAACCTCCGGCCCTTTTGGATATTGGTATCGAGTTCGCCTAAGCACGTTGCCAGTGACTTTTTCTCCGCGTCCGTAATATTTTCCAGCCATTGCGACTCGACCCGGGCCACGTCGCCGCGCGAGAGTTGCACGGGCGCTGCAAAATATTCGGCTTGCGTTTGGAGCTTGGCCTGAAGCTCGCGGCCGCCTTCAATGCCCGGTAAATAAACGAATGCAGGTAATGGTGCAACGTCCAAAGGTTCCAAGTGAATGCTACGCAAAACCTGGTTCGTGAAGTGGAAGCCGGCTAGTGCCATTGAGAGCGTGGCGGACCCGGCGCCCTGCTTGGCCTCGACCACCTCGTCACCGCCAAACTGCACTCGGTGAACGTACGCGTCGTAGAGACGTCGATTTACAAGCTTTGCACGCAGCTTGGAGTCCGTGATTAGCGGCACGATCGTGGAGCCCGAGTGGCCTCCAACAACGGTGACATGGCGTTTCATGGACTCGCGGCTGTAGCTGTCGCCGCCCAAAGCGTCGCTGAGAAAAGTCTGCGCGCGAACCACGTCTAATGTGGTCACACCCATCACCTTGCCCGGCTGGAAAGAACCCGAACGCTTCAGCGTTTCGCACGCCACGGGCACGGTAGAATTGACCGGGTTCGAAATGATCAAAATGCGTGCGTTGGGCGCATGTTTTGCGGTTGCAGCCACCAGGTTCGCCACGATGCCTGCGTTGATCTTGAAAAGATCGTCACGGGTCATGCCAGGCTTTCTGGGCACGCCAGCTGGGATCACCACCACATGAGCACCTTCCAGTGCCGCTGGAAGGTTTTCCTTGTCGAAGCCCTTGCACTTGGAGTTGGTATTGATATGCGACAAATCGCGTGCCACGCCTGGCGCCAGTCTCAAATCGTACAGCGCTAGGGTCGACACAAACGGCGACATCTTAAGCAGCAGGGACAGTGGCTGTCCAATGCCTCCAGCAGCTCCCAGAACGGTAACTTTGGTCATTTTCAGAATGGGGTTTTTATTATGTTTCGAAACGATTAGATTTCAGGCCTGTTAAAACTGTGAGTTTTCCCCGCTAATCGACGTGTGTGGTATCGTTAGAATCGTCGAAATTTGCTCTTTCACTAGAAAAAAGGATAGTTGAGTGATGCGTGCAGTTTCGGCGTTCAACAAGTACTCAGAGCCTTCTTGTGTCTGAGTTGCTGGGGGTAGAAAATACAGCGCTCTGTCAATCTTTGGGGTTCTCATGAAAGCTTTCCTTATTTATATAGGACAGTGGAGGCCTTAAATGTGAAAAAAACGTCACGGCGGTCGGAGCCGCCATAAATCACGTGACCCAAGTTTCCCCAAAATGAACAAACACGTATAGAGTGACCATGACTCAATTTTCGTACTAGAAGATTATTAGTCATACCAAAATCTTAGTCAGGTGATCTATTGGGTGTGTGGGTGATGGTTAAGATCAGGTTTGGCTTAGCCAACTTCCTACAGACTCACATTCTCCTTACCTGTCAGTGGGTTCGCGGCGACTACCATACCAAGTTAAAATTTATGTTTGATTCTCGCTACCAGGTCTCCTGGCCACAACATGCTTTGCCGAGACCTTTAGATCCGTTTAGCTCTTTCCGTCCCCACTGCCATCCTCACGTCACACCCCTGCACAACCACGCACGATCAATTCCATCAGCGTCTCCAGACCGTCGCCATTGAGCGCATTGGTCGTTCTGGTTTCGATCGGGACGTTTTCCAGTTTCAAAACCACGGCCAGATCTTTTTCCAACTTATCCAGCACCAAGTCCAAATCTGCCACCAGGTCTTTCTTATTCAGCAGAACGATGATCCGACAATTGTACCCCAGCCGGTCTCGATTCTGCAAAATCGTTCGCAGCTCCTGCACCGATTCCTCCAGCCTGCTAGCTACAGCAACGTCCATCACCCATACCAGCACGTCTGTTTTCTCAAAGTAGTTGTCCCAATAAGGACGCAGCGTAGACTGCCCTCCAATATCCCACAGCTGAACATTGTGGTTTTCAAACGTAACTGTGTGGATCTGAAATCCCACCGTGGGCGTAATCTCTCGGCGTGGCCGGTTCGTGTAGAAACTCAAGACCCAATCCACTACCGTTGACTTTCCGGAGTTGTCCAAGCCCAAAATGAGACATCTACACTCCTTGTCCTTCAGTTTCTGCTTCTTTATGATTGTCAAAAGGCCCATGAAGCTGTGTTCATTGTTCTTTGACGATATAAATACTGAATGTGTCTAGTCTTTATTTAATATTAAATATTGAATATAAGATGCATTCTAAATCAGAGTTCAACATCTTTGCGAAACATATTGATCCCAAGCTCGCAATAGCCCCGTGTATATGCCGGGAAACAAGCGACAGCGAACGCTGGTGGACTTTAAGATCCCGAAGACTGATATTTTGCGTGGAAACCAGCCGAAAGAGCCTCAAAGTGCACCACTTTACATTGATCTGGAGTGCGATGAGGTAGACGTATCTGCTGTTGTTAAGCAGGAAACGGCCACAAACGGTCGTGAACTGTTTGTCACTGATGAGGATGACGAAGTTATAGAAAATGCGGTAGAAGTTAGTGGCAAACCTGAAATCGATCGGAACACAGCCAGCAAGCTGGAATGCGGCTCACAGAGCGAGTCTTGCGATTCTGATCTACCTAGAAATGATGATTCGGTATACGACCTGACGAACGAACCTCAAAAGCTAGAGCTACAGGAAAATAATTCAAACACCAAGATTCGTCGTCACAGCAAAGAGTTTCCCATTAAACTGCGACACCGGCCTGAGAAAAAACCCCGGGTTTCTAGATTGCCGTCCAAAGTAGACACTGAACTTCCAGGCTCTGAGCTAAAACCAGTTGTGTCGATCCCGGAAGTGGGTCAGGAGCAGCAAGTTCTGTGTCCTGTGTGTGGTGTTGTTTTGACATCACTCGAAATTCACGAACGAGAAGCGCATTGCGATAATTGTCTTACCACAGGACCACCGTCAACAGCCAAACGGACCGGGAGACCGTTGCCCAAGCTTCCGAATGTGAAAAAAATTCGCTTCACTAACCATACCATTGTAGTAGACGGCTTCAATTTCGACTCCGACCCAGCCATTAACCAATATTTTTTGTCCCATTTCCATGCAGACCACTACATGGGCGTCAAGAAATCGTGGACCCAAGGTTCTATTTACTGCTCCAAGGTAAGTGCGGATCTGCTGTCATATAAGTTCAAAGTTCCCTACGAAAGAATTGTGGCACTGCCACAAGACGTCACCGTTCAGGTGGCAGAAGGTGTCTCCGTGATCAGTTTTGATGCTAATCACTGTCCTGGGTCTTTCGTGTTTTTGTTTCGGGAGTTCGATAAAGACGACAATACAATTCAATGGGTTCTGCACACCGGTGATTTCCGAAGTAATAATGAACTTATTTCGCGTGTAAATGCCTACACCAACAATGCCCACATTGACAAAGTATACCTGGATACAACATACATGTATCCATCGTACCACTTTCCCTTACAGGGTTCCGTGCTGGACGCCACCAGCGCCTTCACTGATCAGCTGAACACCGTAGGGTTCAAAAAGCTATTTGGAGACCGTCAAAGCTCTATCATGAATTTCCTATCCAAATCTCTTCGCCAACGTCACCTGTACAAATTCGTTTTCGTGGTGGGCACATACACAATTGGCAAGGAGAAGCTGGCTGTTGCTATTGCTCAAAAGCTCGGCACCAAAATATTTCTTCCTAAGGACACGACGAAGCATCGTATTTTCCAAACCTACGAATCCATTTTTCCTGAGGGCATCATCACTCATGACATTACCAAATCCTGCGTTCATTTGGTGTCTATGCGAACACTAGCCACAAAGGAAAGTCTTCAATTTTATTTCAAGCCCATTGCTCATATTTACGAAGATATGGTTGCCTTTTCGCCGACTGGTTGGTCCTTCAAGAGCGGCGGTAAGTTTATCAAACTTTATGAGTCTTTGGAGCAAAAAAGAATCCACACTTTGGAATTGCTGGACGATACCAAAGTAGATCATATGGACGCCGCGTCCTTGCTGTCCCAATATAAGCGCCAAGCGCGATTCCAGGTCTTTCGGGTTCCTTATTCTGAGCACAGCAGCTTTAAAGAATTAGCAAATTTCTGCTCGAAGCTTCCATGGATCAAAATGATTCCTACCGTCAATACCCGCGACACTTATATGGTGCAACAAATGGAAGGGTGGTTTAAGGCTTGGAAAAGTATACAGGACGAACGACGATTACAACTTTGAGACCTAATGTCTCGATACTATACGAATACTATCAGATAATGAAGGCTTCAAATTTAAACCCTTCAGAAAACACTGAAATTGTGGTCTAGCGACTGGTCAGCTCGCAACTTTTCGACAAAGGACTCTGGGACCGAGAAGCGTGTGGGAACCCTACGATCCTCAGGAACGGTATTTCTGCGATAATGCATCAACAGGTTGGCTTTCTGAATGCCAAATCTTTTCACGATTTTGCCGTAAAATAGGCCGCAAGCGTTGCACACTGTTCTATTCCCGTAAGGCCCTCGACGCCACTCAGGAGTGTCTGTTCTTGCACAGTGAACACACTCCATGCTATCCAATGAATTACTGGATCCCTCACTTGAACGCGCATCCCAAACGGAGCCTTTGGCGGTGGCTCTTGTCATCTCGGGCTGAGATGTCCTTCTGATGGAAGTTGAGTTTTCTGCATTGTAAGTTTTCTCAACTTGGTTCATATTGGTGGGTGGATCTATGCGAACCAAACTTGAATTGTTGTAAGCGGGCGCATTTAGAGCAGGGGCATATTCAGGTGCTCTTTTGACAAGTACCATGCCTTCCGCGGCTGGAAGCACCGGCATTTTGCGTTGTTGGAACACATTTGGTGGTAAGATTGGCATATGACCGTGAAATGGAGCGGCAGGGCTTTCAAATGTTGGTGCGCGACCTAACATCGCTTGAGGTACAGGAAGGGAAGACACGTAACGCGGCCGATATGTATAGTTTGCAGGCGCATGAACTGTGGGTGTCAATTTATATGCTGCCAGTTCTCTTTCGTGTTTCAGCTGCAGCAGTTCCCTAGCTTCTGAGGCGAGTTTGTCAGACTTTTGAAGTACGTTTCCTACGTCTTGCACCGAAAGGTAGTCTAGAAGACACAAATTTTGTGCTTGGGCATCACTTTGCGTCGTTATGGGCCAGTTTTTAAGGCTCTCAGAAATGCCGTTCTTCAGCTGAAGGATGTTGCTCACTTTTGCTTGATATTCGCGGTCTACGTGAAAGGAAGGGGTTTTCGGGGTCGCCGTTTCGACCGCACGAACAGCAGTCATGAGAGAGTCCAGTGAATGCTTTCTTGTATTAACAGGTAGCTTGTGACAGCGGCCTTTGGAGCTTTGATAGTGTGGCACTCTAAAATCTACAACATGTTCCCGAAGACCTGCTTCTGGAAGCCGTGGGGCTGCTGCATAGGTGGGTTCACCCGCCATGGGTGTGCCTTGACCGCTTGACGCTGGTGGAGAAAGTGTTCGGTGCCTATCAGAGCTGGGAGATTTTGAAGTATCCGCAACGGGGTTAGGACTGACGGCTAAAATGTTAGCCAGACTTGGCATCTTTCGATTCTCTCGCCCCTGGTCATAGGCAAGTCCTTGTGCTGATGTGAAGTGGCTTCCATTTGAGTAGTGTCCGTTCAAGTGAAAACCTTTGACTCTAGACTGTCTATTGGTGTCACTCAAACCCTCTGGGTAAGAAGTTTCTGCGAGCAACATGGAAGGACGACCAGTAATGACACTCATATAATAATTACTGCACTGGTTCGAATGAAATTTTGAAAGGACGACTAGAGCAAGATTGAAGTGAGCTCCACGGTAATATAACGAAATTCGCCTCCAGCGAGTGGCTCCAAATATCAAGATATTCCGCGTTTATTCAGTTTGTGCCACCCTCCACTTTTATACAGCAAGTCCGGGGACTGCGACTCGAACTCCCCATGCAACCTGCTGGTGGGAAATCACACGTTGAAGTGGATGCGCCGTAGCAGGCTTTATTGCTGTCGTTCGGCTACTAAGTGGCAAACTACGCTGCGTTGGTATAACCAAGAGGACGCCCCTAGAGAGTCCAGATTTCAAAGGCTGGAAGAACTGCTGGACAGTTCAAAGGGCGCCTGCCATGCCAAATCTACTACCACCAGATTTTACGATCATACTATACTATCTTTTTTTTTCCGGGTCTAACTAAGCCGAATGCCAACTCAAGATAGCTTACACCTCGGGTGATACAGCCCACGAGCCTGCTGGCCTGTTGCACCAGGCTGCTAGATATTAAAGGTCTTTTGACTCTTATGGTTGGGCGACATCCTTCGACATCGTTTACTGACGCTGTCATTTTTTTGCCAGTGCCAGTGACTGCATTTTTCCCTTTGCACAGACAGTGTCAGTAAATTGTAATGAAATATATTTCTGGCGAATGGAAAGTTCGGTAAGGTTGAGACCGTTTGAGGGAATTTGCTCAGCGGAAGACGTTGGAGATAGATTTGCTCTATTTGTCAAAACTCCTCGTTGCTGTGTCCGTTCGCAGTCAGACGCACGTTTCCTATTTTGTTCTACTCTCTTCGAGGGTTTTGATACTGTGTGGAACATTTACACGAATGAACAGTATTTAATTTAAAAAGTCTAGAAACGGTTTATGAGAGAGCTCTTGATGTGACCAGGACGTTTCGCTGCTGATCTTTATACTAATAGGCTAAACAGCTTTCTGATCTGTCTGTCACTTGTAACTTGCTGGACGACCGACAGTAGATAAACAGTCATATCAGACGGCGACGACGGCGAGGACAAAAATAGGCAAACACATAACCACGTGATTAAAGATGTCCGGTCATAATGTAATCACTAACAACGAATTTGCCTCACAATGCTTACATAATACCAATATCACACACCACGAATTTTTGCATTTATTACCACGTGAAGTGCACGTGATCCATTTAAGGACGATTTGTTAAAGACTAAAGTCATCCCAGGGATACCATCTCACACACACACACACACACACACACACACACACACACCCTGATCTCCGTAATTCATTCAATAGAGCTGTCGTATAGCCTCTGTCTCCCACCGCGTTACCAAAGCTAGTACTCTTCAAAATGACCCGCGTCAAGGACACCTACGATCGAAAGACCTTTTCCCGACAGGAATGGAAAGAATACGTTCTGGAGTCCGCACTTCCATTTGACGTTACAGGAGCTGCTTCCAGTGCACCTACTGGCTCGGACTCGCAGCTAAAGCGAGCATGTCCAGAGCCTTCAATAGCTCACCTGCTTCTCAACTACTTTGTAGTGATGAGTTACGAAGAGTCTAGCATTCGAATGGCCAAAGAGCTGGGATACGTTCGCAACAACAAAGACGCCTCCACATTCAATAAAATCTACAAAATCAGAGAACGAGCAAGCGTACGAGAGCTCATAAAGGCCGGGAGGATTTTGGAAGCCATTGAAAAAATATACACGGAGTTTGGGGTGCAGGTCTTCGAGCCCAATCGATCGAACGCTGAAGACGGAATGAAAGGTGATAGCGACGACGATGACTTGCATTTCGAGCTGTTATTGCTGAACCTCATAGAAATGATCCGGAGACATCATCAGAGCGGTGCATCTCCAGAAGAGTCTAGCGAATTCATTTTAGAGCTCATCGAGTATTCCCAGGAAAGGCTAGCGCTCAAAGCGGACTCAAACACACAGTACATGAAAGAGCTGGAACTTGTGATGACACTTCTGCTTTTCCCCATGGAGAAAAAAGTTTCTGAGAAGGAGTCTGAAAGGGTCTTGCCTAAAAGTCTGCGCAACCTGTACTCCCTCTCCCTGCGCACGAAGATCGCGGACTCAGTCAACAGGAAGTTGCTGGAGTCAATACACTCTCAAATTTCAATGGCCAATGCAGACGGCAAGTTTCCTGACCTCGTTGGGCTCAATACGGCGGCGCACCAGGCCGTCGCCAGCTACAACGGCATGTTCGTTTCTAATAACGACGAGGACGTTTGCTTTGAAACCCCGTCTCACAAGCCAAATGACCTACGCTCCAATACGCAAACCCCATTGGCAGAAAGGCCTTGGCAGCATAGTGCATGGAAAGCCACCAGCCGGCTCATTAAACAGCAAGAACGGGAACGCAACCCCATCGGGGAGAACACATCTTCGGAAGACTACAGACACGTCGAGTACGAGGCGAGACTCATACAAGTCATGAAGCTGTGGGCGTGGTGCGAAAATCAACTGCACAATTGCGGGGTGGGCGTTCCTCGCGTCGAGGGCGGCGTTTAAAGAAAGCGTTTGCCCGTACCAAAGCTGTTCTTTCATAAAAACTACACAACAAACTTGCACTTGATGGTGTCTCCGGTCTCCATCTTCAAGAAACATAACTGAATGTCGTCCACCGTGGTAGGAAGCAGCTCCTGCGACGTATTGTAAATTTGAACGCTGCTGGAAAGCGTGAAGGGCTCGTTCAATTTGGATTCGGTATGACGCCCAACATACCGTTCATGCCACTGACTGTCTTTGAAAAAATGATACAGCTTGCGTCTAAGAACTTGCAGTTTGCATCCAAACTCGGGCCTTTTTTCAAGCTCCCAATCTTCGGGTGAAAACTCCATGTGGAATACGAATGGTTCCGACAATAAATCTGGGCCTTTGCACTCGATATCAATCTTGTCTTTGGATTTGCTTGGCTGCGAACGCTCTATGATATTGCATTCCACGTACAGATGCGACACATGGACTGGTTTGGCGAAAAACCGGTCAAGCCTTTCAAACTCCTCCATGACGATACCGCTTTTCTCGTCCAGCCATTCCTTCCCATGGAATTCGTCGTCAATAATCATACGATGATTTTTCAAGTCCTCAGCATTGAGTGGAGCCCTATTCAGTTCGCCGTATGTTTCTTTCTGCAGGAAGCTCATCTCTATCGTAATGTATAGTTCATTGACCAGAGCCATCAGCCCCACCGTCGTCAAGAACAATGTGATTCGTGCGCTAATCATATCACTGGTGTACTCGTGCAAAAATGGAACTCTGCGAAGAAGCTCTATCGCTCTGGACTCAAAGTCCAGGTACTTGTTCAACGGATTGTCCCACATTGTCGTAATTGTGCTGCGAAGTTGTACGTGTATGCACGACTTTACCTTGAGGTGTAGTTATGTGAGCAACAGGTAATTTAAATTGATGTTTCAGAGAGTCTGCTACTTCTCGTTATAGCAGCAGTAGCTGAACAAGAGAATCTTTAACCAAAATTCGGGTGCATTCCGCCGACGTAACCAATTTCAAGCTCTTTTTTCCAATTTTGAAAGTGCTAGTTCCCGGGTACAATTAAACGATACTGATGCGAGCGACGAACGAAATAGCCAAAAAGTTCGTTTTCGCGCTTATGTCATCTTCGCCCTTTCGGTGCAGGATCTTAATCTAGCCTTCGATACACTTTTCGGGTTTTAGCGACTGCGAGAGGATTACCTTGTGAGTCTACCGAGCCCCACTTGGTACACAACAGCACTCATTTTTGACACATTCTGGCCACTGGACCGTATAGCCTGGCTGGTATTTTGAGCACAGCAGTGGGCTGAGGCCACGAAATGGAAATTGCAGAAGACAGGAATTTTCTGAAGGACGTTCACGTGGAATAGGTTTAAACGCCAATTGAATCTGAAGTCTAGAAGCTGAGAGGCTTTGCTTGAGAAGATTTCCAAATCTCGGACTTAATTTTGGATCTCAGCGAACGCGGGTCGCGATATCTTTCGAAATTGGTTCCTAAAATAGTCAGGTGAGGTGCCAAGAGACACTTTTGAGCTCCATCAGGATGCATTCAGTGCTAGCGTCTAGGCCCGTCGACGAATTGAGATAAACGTGAATTTCGTGACCGAGTCACCTCTCAGTCGCCATTAAAGTTGGCATATATGTAGGCCTCTCCAAAAGGACTTTTTAGGTGTTGAGTTCGTTATTAGAGGTCAGAAATTAAAAGTCTACCTCGATAGTCCAATCATCGTACCCAACAAAACCAATATCATGCAAACTCGTCTCAGCCTATTGATGCTTCTTTCCCCAGTCTCCGTGCTGGCACGCTACTACTCGGGAATAATTGCTGAAGCCAGTGGTCCAAGTGAAATGTCTATGATGGCGTCTATGACTAGCGACCCTGCTACGGGAACTACCGATCCTATGGCGGTTGCGGGCTCCGAAAACTCCACCACTACGCTTGGCAGCTCTCAAATGCCGGACCTTTCCAACTCCACTGTGACTAGCACGATGCTTCCTGGGCCAAGCTCTAACGTCACGTTGCCAGCGGATGACAGCGCTTCGGGAAACTCAACTTTGGTGAGTGGTAACTCCACAGGTGCCAGCGCCTCGTCGATATCCGGATCCGCCACAGTAAGTGGCTCAAGCACCAAGTCCGCTTCTCACCACAGTAGCACTGGTAATGCATCAAACTCTTCCAGCAGCTCATCCGGGGTAAGTTCTGGTGCTGCTCAAGCCCTAGGTGTTCCGCTCGGTGCTGGTATCCTAGCGGGCGCCATGGCGTTTTTGATCTAGTTTCAAACCGCTGGTTTGGTACGTAGAATCCAAAGTAAGCTTTAGTTTCTGAACTCAATAAAAGTGTCGCCAACCGGGCTTGGTTGCAAGATGATTAAACCTTAGGCTCATGGATTTATTAGCGATGTTAGCATCCTTTCGATATCGTCCACCTATCAAACAGTTAGTATGAGTAGAGAATGAATGTTGCTCAGTAGAATCCCCACATACCCAGTTTCTAAAAGCTACATCATTGAGTTTTTGCTTAATGACATCAGGTGTAATAGCAGCTCTGCTTTCGTTCAAGATTGTTTCGTTCGAGCACCCGGACTTTTCCCCAACTTCTACACGTTGATTCTTTCGAAGCCCCTGTAATGGATGTGCTAAAATGGTATCTGTTGAAGACTCCTTAAAAATCGGCTCACCTGAATGGATTGGCTTGTCGTTGACGATTGGCGCTGATTTGCATGTCTTTGTAAGAGCTTCGTCTAGCTTTAGCGCCGGGATGCAACTTTTGTCGCCGCTATCATGGGTTGTACCAAGCCTAGCGTGTTTCTTAAAAGTACTATGCACGGGAATTTTTGTTGAGCCCTTCGACTGCAGAAGTTCCTTCACGAAGGGTACGACTTTGTCCAGTTCTTGAGAAGTTTTTTGGTATGCTTTTACGTGGTTCCAACAGGGCTGAGACCCTGTAGTGCAGTTTATGTCCGTGGCGTTAAGCTTTTGGATTGAGATTCTAGATTGTGCGACTTGGAAAAAATCGGCTCGGCCCTTTTCGGGTCCATTCATTGCTGCTGGGCGAGAATTACCATCCTGACCATTTTTGGGGATGGAACCACTGGATTGAGTGAACTCCGGACCTATAGAATCTCCGGTGGCCTGCGAAAAGCTTTGCGTGTCCAGTTCGACTATGGGCTGCGATATATTATGCATGGGACCAATCTGTTGAAGTGCATCGGTACTGTTTACCATGTCAGCGACGACCCGATATGTGTGAGTATTGGGACCTCGGGTATCCACGATTTGAGAATCTGGAGGCGTTGAATATGGCTTATCGAAAGTGTACTGCGAGTTTGAAAAAACGTCACTGATAACTTGTGAGAACTGAGTGGGGCCAAGCACAGGTGCCACTTTCACAGGGAAACCTTGCGTTCGCATTGTCTGACAACAGTTTTCAAAGTCCATGACGTTGTTGAAACCCATTTGAAAACGCTTCATGAATAAAGACCCTTGAAGATTCACCATGTACTTGCACAAGATTGCTGGATATCTGGCAGAAAACTGAGCTATTTGCCCCCCTAAACCTCGGACTTTCCAGTCTGTGTAAAACGCGATTTGTTCCACCACCGCACCGTCAACCACAAGCTGAAACATGCCAGTAGTCGAATGAAGCTCATACACGACAAGTGCTATGCTAGCAGTGCTTGGGTAATGTCGCCACTTGTTCACGCTAGTCGGAAGTTTTGCGCTGTTGAAGCCTTCAGGAGCCGGCATATACTCCTGATAACTCGAGTATCGCTTCAGCTCGATCTTCAGATGCAACGAATTCATTAGAAAGTTAAAATAGGGTATGAAAGAAGCTCGATCTTAGAAGCTTTACTTGTTGATATATGTATTTGAGGAGATATCAAAAATTAGCCGCTGAGGTCAATTTAAATCACAATTTTGACATGGCACTAATAACTTCGAACGAAAGATTTTTGGACCATTATATGATACTTTCCCAACGTGTTCTCGTCAACAAACTTTGGGGCTCACGACTGCGAACTCCAGTAGTTGTGAACCACCTGTTCACTAGGTCTCAATCCATTAAGAACCTGGGGAGTCTGAATAGTTGTGAGATGGTGTATTTTTATAAAAGCGAGAGCGATACTGGACGCTCCTACACAGTTGTTCTCGGCAAAGACAAATTCGAAAACGACATGCTGATAAAACATGGATACAAAGAGCTCAACTACGTGTGGTTCCACGCTGATAAGTATTCAAGTGGCCACGTCTACTTGAAACTAAAAGACGACGAAAAAGACCTGGCAGACGTTCCTCGAGACGTCGTTTCTGACTGTCTACAGCTTTGTAAAGCAAACTCGATCCAGGGCAACAAGCTGTCACAATGCACTATGTTGGTCACGCCGTGGATCAATTTGCGCAAAAACGGAGACATGAAACCGGGAGAAGTGGCTTTCAAGTCCATGCGGAAAATTCAAAAGTTTCAGTGCTATGCTCGCGACAACAAAGTTCTTAATAGACTGGAAAAAACCCGCGTGGAGGTCGCAGAAAATGTGGAACTCTTTCTGCATGGGGCCAGGAAAACTAAAGATCCGGACTTTTTCGACATCTATCTCGCAAACAATACAGAGCTCCTTTTGGCTCAAGAACAAGAACGGAAAGCGGCAAAAAAAGCTAAAAAAAAGGCTTGATCGACGCCGATGCTTAAAACAAGAAATGGTGGGCTGTGGGCATCGGATTCAAGTCCCTTTAAGCCTTAACGGTTGCTCGTTTGACGCTGTCAAACCCGAGATGAGCTTCTCTTTTACATCACATGACCGAAAAGAGAAATCTAAAAATTTTTACAGCATTAGATGAGATGAGATGCGATGAGCAAGCTCATTACTGTTCAATTAACCATCAACGAGTAGTCGGATTCGTGATCTTGTCTGAGTCGATATCAAGGACTTGAAACTGCGCTAAGACAACCGAGGCTTAAATATACCATGTCGAAAAGGTCCGCTCCAATTGAAGAGGTTAACGGCGTCAATGGTGAACGTGTTGTGGCAAGTAAGCTGGCATCGAATGATGTTCCAGCCGCAGCGGTGGCTCCTGTAACCGGCGATGACGTCGAGATGGGTGAATTTGAAGACCAGTTTAGTGACGAGTTTGAAAGTGATGGTGAAATCATTCAAATGGACGGCGAGGAGGACGATGAAGACCAGGACGTCGATATTGAAGGTGAGATCGGCGAGAACAACCAGTCAAAAGCGCAGCAAATGGTCCAACAGGATCAGGCCGCTCAGCAAAAAGAAGCCGGGTTGCAGCAGCAACAGCTATATTTGCCGCATTTGTCTAAACCATTGGGCCCCGATGAAGTGCTAGAAGCGGACCCAACCGTGTATGAAATGCTGCATAACGTCAACGTGACATGGCCATGTATGACGCTGGACATTGTTCCAGATCGTCTTGGGTCCGAGCGTAGAAACTACCCTCAGTCTCTTCTGATGACGACAGCCACACAGGCGTCTAAAAAGAAGGACAACGAGTTGATGTGTCTGAAACTGTCACAACTCAGCAAAACTCTGGTGAAAGACGACGCCGAAAATAGCGATGACGACGAGGACGAGGACGAGGACCGGGACCCAGTCGTGGAGAATGAAAACATACCGCTAAAGGACACCACTAATAGACTGCGCGTTTCGCCATTTGCATCTGAGTCTGCTGAAAAGCTCACCGCCACTATGAGTGAGAGCGGTGAGGTTCATATTTTCGATTTAGGGCCTCAGTTCAAGGCCTTTGAAACACCAGGTTACCAAATACCCAAGGGCTCCAAAAGGCCAATACATACCATCAGAAATCACGGTTCTGTAGAGGGTTACGCCTTGGACTGGTCTCCCTTGCATAAAAGTGGGTCTTTACTTACTGGTGACTGTTCCGGTAGGGTTTATCTGACGCAGAGACATACGTCGAAATGGATCACGGATAAGACTGCCTTCAGTGTGGACAACAATAAATCGATCGAAGACATCCAATTTTCGCGTACCGAAGCGACTGTTTTCGCCACTGGTGGCTGTGACGGCTACATCAGAATTTGGGACACCAGATCTAAGAAGCATAAGCCCGCTATTTCGGTGCAGGCTTCGGATACAGACATCAACGTCATCAGCTGGAATGAGAAAATCGGCTATCTTCTGGCAAGCGGTGACGACAATGGTACCTGGGGCGTGTGGGACTTGAGACAGTTTTCTCCTTCAACGGCGGCATCCGTCACCCCCGTGGCCCAGTACAACTTCCACAAGGGTGCTATCACGTCCATTGCTTTCAACCCTAACGACGATTCGATCATAGCCGTCGCTAGTGAAGACAATACTGTCACCTTGTGGGATTTGTCCGTCGAGGCCGACGACGAAGAAATCAAACAGCAAGCTGCAGAGACCCAAGAGTTGCAAGATATCCCTCCACAGCTGCTTTTCGTACATTGGCAAAAAGAGGTCAAGGACGTTAAATGGCACAAGCAAATTCCTGGTTGTCTGGTCAGCACTGGCACTGACGGCCTCAATGTATGGAAGACCATCAGTGTTTAGACTACATAAAATATCATTTCAAGATCATAGAAGACAAGTATACACTAGCATTGAAGGAAAGCACACAAATAACTTGCAAGCCTCTCAAGCGCATGGCTTGGTGGTGTTCAGAGCTCGATGTGATTATGTTGAACAGTCTGACTGGTCCGTCACTAACGATTATATATTAAATCGAATTAAGGCTCACCTTCCTCTCTCGTATGAACACCGTCGCATACAGAGCAATTGAGACTTGGATAATGCTCTTGGGTCCATTGAAACTACCGCAGGTTTCCAATATACCCTTTCTAAGGGCAGATAATAATGATACACAAAATGGGCCCGAAAAAGCTGTGCAAACGTTACATTTGCCTTACTCTAATTGCTTGGTCGTGTTGACCACGAAACAAATCCTGGTATACAACTACAAGCCAATGGCCCTGGTGTCGTCATTTGTACGAAGTAGCCACTCGCTCGAGAAATACGGTGAGAATCAATCAGTTCATGCGCATGAGATAAATGCAAAGATGTTTCAAGACCTGACGACAGAAACAGATCTCAACTACATGGATCCAGGTAGGGGGAAGGTTACGTTTTACGTAGTCTCTTCACTGAACTTCGTGTTCGTGTTCGAAATTATGCTGAACTCAAATCCCGTCAGTATCTATAAAGAGACCGGAATTCCCATTCTGGACATAAATAAGGTGGACCATGATTTTGGACAGGACCTCATGAACAACACTGAAGATGATGATACATTAACAGTCTTTGACAAAAAAGATTCTCATAAGGTAATTCAAAATGGCTATGCTGTAGATAAACAGCAAGGGTTTCTTCATTTTTTCACGAAAGCCGCTGACACGCTCGATGAGATACCGATTAAAAAAGTGGAATTGCGTCTCAAAGTAATGTTCAGCTTCGGACGCCCCATAGTCGATCTTGTGGGGTTTTGTGATACGGATTCAACGGGCGAAGCTGGGAGGCACGAGTACTTGATGATTCTGTTCCCTCACCGCGTACACATATTGGTTTTGCATGAATTCAAGATGAAAGACAATATTCTGATCGACGTTCTTGACGGTCGTCGGCTTTTATATTGCCAAAAAAGCCCCTGCGTTGTCTCCCAAAATAGCGAGGGTGAGGTGTTCTTGAAAAAGCTCGACATTTCACAGAGAGAAGCGTATCCCAAAAGACTTGATTACGATGCCGATGGGCCCTTAGTTGACGTATATGCAAATGGGAATGTCCTTTCATTTGTGCATGATCTATGCCTAGTCCTGTATGACCTTGAATCCGAGAAAACTATCAAACGCGTCCGTTCGCACATAAATCTTACATGTGGTGGCTTGGTTAACGACGAAATTAGTATTTTGTTGACCAGAAATGGAATGAAACTGCTCACAAGCTCAGGTAATTGCATCGTATCAACGTTTGATGAAGATGAAGTCACTGAGGAGGAGAGCGACCTTCCAAGTTTTTCGAGCTTTGCCACTATCGGAGATACTATAGTGGCAAGCGCTCCTGATGGTAAGCTCGCAAAGTGGGACTTATGGTCAGAGGTAATTACACCTTTCAACAACTTCAGAACCTCGAAACCACTTATTTTACAGAGTGAGAATAACGACTTGTTGATTTTTGCACCAACCTCAGATACGTCAAGTAACGTACCTTTTCAAGTGCTCAAACTCCCTACCCAAACAATCAATAATCACATCCCTCTGGTAAGGACAAATGGACCAATGACTATGCTCGCAGCGTTTGTTTCCAATAAAAATATCCTGCTAATACACAACCTCATAACCAATGCCTGGCACAGTTTTCCAGATTTAGCGTTAATCGATATACAGTGGTTGGGTAGCGAATACTTGTTCTGTCGCTCGCTGGACGATGACATGAAGGAACAGCTCCGATGCTATCATTTTCCACTTCAAGGAAGCTTAACATCCAACTTATCAGATCAGCTCATCTGGAGTTTTGCAGTTTCCTTGAAGACGGAAATCAAAAGCATTCATGCAAACACTTTGTCAAGGTACAAGCTTCTCAGGGTGAAATCAAAAAGCGCAAATACCGAGGAACTGGAGAACATGTTTAAAACCGGCGAAATACTGATTCAGGACGCTCAAGGTGACCTTCGCACAATTGACATAGTATCAAAGATCAGTGCTGATGAGTCCATCGGAATCAAAGTATTCCACCAGCATCCTGCTGAAAGAATCTTTGATAATGAAGAGGCCGAATGCAAATGGATTCTGAGCCACAATGGTGGCTATTTCGTGCATCAGCGAAACCAGATTTTGAAGCGGGAGAGAGTTGACGGAAGAACATGGAAGGCCTCGGTTGCATTGGACAACGTGGAACGCATTTTGGACGTGATAGATACTGGAATCTTCGTGGTTCAAGAAGATAAGGTTGTGGTGCACAATTTGGAAGACCTATGGAATGATGAAGATCCAGTAGCAATCATTGAGATTGCAGGTGGCGACTACCCTGTTGTTGTATCGCCCGAGGCAGCCATTGTTCATAGTGTTCAATTTGTGCTGTCGAATGGGTGTTCGAAAATCGTCCCACGGCAAGCAATTTATCTTGACCAAGTTCTTGAGAGTCAATTGAACGCTGGCAGAAGCTACCAGGAAATTGACGCTCGCTACCACTCCTTACACCACTACAAGTTCAGCCTGGAAAAAATTCTGTCTGGCAAAATTCTCAGTAACGAACCGCTGTCACATATTTTAAGTCTGATCGACCATTACGACCAGGGGCCCAAACACAGTGGCAGATTGGAAATAATTAGTAATTGTTTGCGTAAGATCGAGGTTGAGCATTGGGACTATCTGTTCAAAAAATTGGATCAATCGCCCCGGGATCTGTTGCTACAATGCATTGAGCATGACGAAGCTCGTGTCCTTGGCGTTTTGTTGATGGTGTTTTTGAACTACGATGGCAGCAAGCAAGACAAAACATCCACAGAGCCAATTGAGAAGATGAAGAGTGACAACAACGGCAACAACAAAAAGAGCAAGAACAAGAACAAGAACAAGAACAAGAACAAGAAGAACAAGAAGAACCAGAACAAACAGAGTAAAAGCGACAAGAAGGACGAGAACGACAAAGGCAACGAAACCGAAACCGAAATCTGTCAAACGGAAGCTGGCTCAATTGCTACAATTCTCAACGACGAAGAACTCATGCTACAGGTTCTGCGGATACTTGTAAACACCGCGTCCTCAACTGACGAGCGCGAGGAAGCCCGTGAGTTCTGGGATATGAGTTTCCAACTAGTGCGTTTTATTCATGCTCTAGACGAGGAGAATAAAACTTCCTTAATTCAGCGTGCTGTTCAAACATTAAGCTAACTGTTCCCAAAGACACTCGTCCGAGTCCCATTAGATCCAATGCTATAGCCACGGCCGACACTGACGCTGACGCTGGCCACCTACCTGTTGAGTCCGAACATATCACATGACCCGAGACCAATTAGATGGCCTAAAAATGTCTGCCTGTACAAAGTGATCAAGCTTAACTAACAATGTGAAAAATTGGTCCAAGCTATGATGGGATAGAGCCAACTACTTCAACTTCATCAAGTCAACTCTTCCATTGTGGTGAACAACTCTCAAACCTGGGGCTTTTCTCTCAATTGCACTGTGAAGAATTACACCTAAAAATGTCTGATAAACAAGAATCCCCATTGCACACCGTCGGCTTCGATGCCAGATTTCCAAACGTCAACCAAACTATGCACTGCTGGCAATCGTACGTGGACTACCACAAGTGCGTCAATATGAAAGGCGAGGATTTCGCTCCTTGCAAAGTGTTCTTCAAGACCTTCTCGTCTCTATGTCCTCTTGAATGGGTGGAAAAATGGGACGACCAGAGAGAAAAAGGTAAGTTCACCGGTGACATCAAGCCATGAAGAACTCATTGGCAATTTTCGGTCTCAGGAACATACACCCCGTAATATGCGTCACCAGTCTTCTACCACACCACATTACACTACGCTACACTACCAATAACCCGTACACCAAACCGGTGTTAATGACCCGGAAACTTGAACCTGGAATAATCAGGTTTGTTCTATGCATCGATATTCCTACCACCACAGCTGACCCAAGCACATTGCACTGAGCAGGCAACGGCGAAGCTAAAGGTTTTTCATGAATCCCGTTTTCTTTTTACTCTATGTATGCTATCCCCATATATATACATAGATATCAAGATCAAAATTCGTAACAATGCTTCCAGATGGTCGAGATTTGTGCTGGCGACAGAAATAGCTCTCGCTGACTGCCACGACTTTCTACTTGAAAAGCAGCTTGCCCAGGGTCCCAAAATTGGCGACAACATATTCGCGATCCGAAAGTTGCAGGATGTCCGTTTGCTGCATTGATGATTCCCAGCTCTTGGAAGCGTCGTTATCGATCTTGTCGGCGAATAATTGGTGAAGTTGACGCTCTTGATTGTTTCTTGTTACTGAAAAATGCTGGTACTTGTCCGTTCTATCGAGCAAAACCCCGTTCCAACCTGCAGAGTACGCACCTCTTAAATCATTTCCCTCTTCATCACCAATGTGCCAACATGCGGATTTCAGCTCTTGCATATCAAGTCCTGCCGAGAAATTCGGCGTGCGATTGACAATGTCTTCCAGGACTGCATCAAAGAACCTGTTATCGGGTTTGGCAACCTCTAGATCATACGACAGGTACACGTAGCTATCGAAATACGGTTCTAATCCAATATTCTTGATCAATTTGTACATTATGGGGTCCGTATTACTGACTACAGCCAGAATAGTTCCAGGGCTTCGTTGTCGGATAAGCTTCAACAGCTCGAGAAGATCTGGATACACTGTATAAGCTCCAAAACCTTCGAAGATATGTAGGATTTCAGATATCATTTGCTTAGGGATGTCAACAGGTGCATACACGTTGGAAATCAGCATTTCCCACCACTGGAGTGCTGTGAGACCCGTATGCTTGCCATAATTGGGATGCGTGTCTCTCAGGGTTTTGAATACTGAAGCTTATGTTAGTAGTCGGTACTTAGTCAACTTTGTCTATAACATCTTAGCATACCTTTGGGAAATCTAGATGTTAATTCTTCTGCACTTGTTTTAATGCCATATTTTCTTCCAACTTTGGCGTACTGTACCATCACTGGAAGCGTTGTGGAATAAAGTGTATTATATGCGTCAAATGTAATCAGCTTGGCTTTTTTAACAGAACTTCCAAGTGCGTCCCATTGCTCCTTACTGAAGCGCATAGGATACTTCATTTTCTTGGATTTAGCCTGTTTCCCAATGCTGCTCTCTACGTAGCTCAATGGCTTTATCTCGAGACTTTCAGATCTAGAACTCTGGTCTGCTTCAAGAAACAATTTTACATCATTTCGACTAAGTAATGCTAAAATTTTGTATTATCGTCTATGAACGGTTATTATGACCTACAAAATGGTATGCTCATCCTGAGCCTCCCTCAAGTGAAATATGCATTGTTTTTCGCGGAGCAGTATGCATCAGAGATGGCAACGGCCTCGTATCTGCCTTGTAAACTTGTAAAAGTTCTGTACTCGTATGCGTAGATGTCTTCAACCTTATGAGTCTCGACGATCTGGGGTCTTCTCTTTCCACGTTTGTCGTCTGCTTCTTCGGTTCTGACGTAAGTTAGAGAGAATGGAGGAGTCCCCTCAAATGAGAATATAATCTCGGCCTGATCTCCTTCGTGAATGTCTTCCACAATATAATCACCACGAGAAACTGTCACAGACGGAATGGGGTGGACTTCAAGCGACAGCTCTTCGAATTGCCGCTCCATCCCAGGCTTCATGAAGTTTACCACACATTGCGAAGCAGAGTCCTGCAAGGAACTAATGGATATTTTGCCCGCTTCGGATGCCAGCCTTACAAATTGAGATGTACGCTCCTTTGATTTCAGGGAAACCCCATTGAACTCGTACTTTATCGTGAAAGGCGCCATGCCTCCCAGTTGGTAGGACACATAGTCACCCACACAAAAGTCCATGTTTGGCTCAAGTAAAGAAATTCGTGGAACATCTGTAATGGATATGACGACGTGATTTCTTCCTGATTTATCTTCCGAAGCACACCCATTAGCATCGATAACCTCTCCTATGGTCACAATATGGTTGCCGAGGTTTAGCCCTTTAAATAGCTTGGCATGGTCAAAAGCGCTTTTGGTAACATTTTTGATCGTAATGTGATCAGTTTTACTGGTGCTCTCGTGGTAGATACTGAAAGAGACCTCAAGAGGCACCTGTCCGGCTTTGACTTGCAAACCTATCTTTTCGAGTCCGGCAGTGTGATCTATGTCAGCCGAGCAAGTGCGGAACGTTTTACCGGGCTCAGAGAAGAGAACACTGGGCTGTGGATTCACGTCTTGCTTGATGACCACGTCCGGAGAAACAAAACCTATCTTGACAAGATCTTTCTCAGAGTAGTGCGAGTCTGATACGCCCTTTATCGTCAGCGTGTAGCGGCCTGCTCTATCGTTGGGGAGCTTGATAGTGGCATATTTTGTAGCTACATGAATAGACTTCGATGTGATTTGGTTGCTTGGGGACGTGAGGTCATAGGAAACCACAAATGGAGGAGAACCCTTCAATACCAAATCAACGGTTTCTTCGTAGTTCTCACAAACTGAGGTTTTCTTTAATACACCATCTTGAGACTGTTGCAGTTTGCTATTTTCGACAACAGTGAAGCTGGGTTTGCTCAAGAAAGAAACTTCGAACTCATGATTGGAGCCAACCTTTCCTGAACAACTGCGATCCTTGACCGATAACAATTTATAGATCCCTTCGTTGTCCACTTTCAAGGTAGCTTTGTAAGTCGAAAGAAATTTCGTCTCAAATGTACCCATCACTTGCCCCGCTTTGCTGACATGCTGGTAAGTGACAGTAAATGGAGCTATACCAGAAAGGCTCATCGGGAGTTCTGCTACCGAACCCTCTTTCATGAGCACCTGATTGTTGTGCTCAAACGAATTGAATTCAGCTGACGGAATGTCTCGACGGACTTCGATACGAGCATCTGCGGAGCTTATACCAACCTCACAGCCAGATGTGTCTTTCACAGATACAAGTGATAGAATATAGTCTCCACCGACGTCAAAATTGGGAGTTTCAACCTCAAATGCGTAGGAATTGATGTCCTTGAGAAAATAAGTAGATCTTTTGTTCGTGGAGGTCTCCAAAATATCGTACTCCAAAGTGAAAGGTGCCTCACCTTTGAAAGTCACTGGTATTTTGCTTCGACTATTCAAACACAGTTGGGTGGCATACTTTGCAGCAATGGAAGCATCAGGTTTTACCCTCATTGAAGTGGTGAAGGTGAAGTCATTTGATGGTGCCAAATGAATAGCTTTTGTGAACAAAGCGTTGGAAATTTGATCAAAAACAATTTCATAATTTCCCTCAGTTGTAGGGCTGTAACGAAATTGATTTCTTGTGCCCTGCGAAGTGAACTTCTTTGTATCGTGTAGTGTACGATCCTTACCTTCAATTTTGTAAATCTTTGTTCTGTAGTAGAAGGGAGGTACTCCGGTGAATGTAAGATCAAAATTGAGACCAACCTGTCCAACACACTGATCCAAGATGGGTGTCGACTTGACTTTCAAACTAGGTGGAATAGGCTTAGTCACAAGAATGCTCGACTTGTCAATGACAATTCCAGAGCAGAATCTGGAACTCACCGATTCTAAGCTATATGTACCCGGTGATTCAACGAGGATTTCAGTGGTTGATTTGTTCAAGTCGTACTCCAAAGTTGAAACCTGCTCTTTATCGTTAGAAACCTTAAGGACAGCTTTATAAGGACAGCCCTGTTCCCAGTTTCGTACACTTTCAAAGTTAACAACAAGCGACCGCTTTGTTGGGGAATTGTGATCAAATTTAGAGTCTAAAGTGGCTTTAGGCAGATTGTGAACCTCGAAACTGTATGAGACGCCGTATTTCTGTAGCAAATCTTGTGACATTGACGAAAAGTCCATCTTATTTCCCAGACCGTCAGTGACTTTTTCCAAAGTATAGGAATACGCCCCGTCGTCTTTCAAAGTCGACTCTAGACTGATGGCTACAGGATAGCTTTTAGCCCATTCCAAATTTGCTAGCGCTTCACTCGACAAAATTTTCTGATTTGACGTGAGTGGAGACTTAAAACGCTCCGGAAGCAAGTTTGTGTCCACAAAACGAGACGATTCGCCATCCAACGAGCGTCTGTATTCTAGTTTTAAAGGTGGAACACCATGGGCTTCAATTGAAACTTTGCTTGTATCACCAATACATCTATTCGAGTCCCCCAAACCGGCAATTACACCCCAGGGGCAGTGTGGGACAATGACCTGCGATTTGAAGAGCCTTAACTTAAATTTCTTCGAGTCTACGATTTCCTTTACTTGGTAGAAACCAGTTTTTTCAACGGGGACGGCGAAGTAACGAATTGATGAATGGTGGGAGGCACGATCTTTCCTGAAAAAGGAGTGTGACTGAGGCACTTCAACAAGCTGTTTTTTTGTGAAGTTCAGCAACTGCGATTGAGATGACTCCAGGTCGCGATACTCTAATTGCAAGAACTCTATCTCGGAGGTGGAATTGATACGCAGCGGAATATGAAGATCCTCAACATTCACACCACTCATACTCAAACAAAAAGAGTCATAGAAGGGATTCAACATAGCAGTATTTTCGGGCAGTATCTTAATAGTGAGAGCACCTTTAAAGTGAGATGTGGGATCAACAACTTTATGTTGGTTGACCGACCCGCCAGTCAAACTCAATTGCTTAGTGTTGAACTTCGACCACGCAGATATGAGAACGGTCAAAAATGGGAAGCTCTGTTCGTTGGAGAGAAATACCGTCACGGCTGTTGCAATTAGGATCTGTAGAAAGACCGTGAAAGGTCTGAACGTCAGCTTTGGGATTTTCAGGTTCGGTAAAAAGTACAGAAACAGGGAATCGATCACGACGTATTTTGCTATGAAATTGAAACGCGAGCTAGTAAGAAGTACTCCAGAGACCGGAAGCCCCGTTTTCAGCAATATCAGATCGTATAATTTGTAAGTTTGGATGATCGCGAAGATAGCAGCTACAAGTGCCCTTTGGCTAGGAATATCGAGCACCCCTGTAGAGAATAGTGGAAGGTCTTCATCTGCAACCACATTCTCGCTAATTCCACCCACGTCAAATGCTTCTGTGTTTTCCTTTGAGCCTCGAGATGTCGAATCGTAGCGATTTTTGTTCCTAGGCTGTGGCCATTCACGCAAGCCAAAATCGGGCCGTTTTCTTCGGAGATCCGTGCAAGTGGTCTTCCGTTCACCAAACCGGTCCCTCGGGTCCATAATGCGCCTTGATATGAGCTTTTAGTTGGCAGATGGAATGGATTGTTGACATGCGTCTCGATGTATTGTAAAGGTCTAACTAAGCTTTTTCACGTAGTGGATTCACTACGTGAAAAGTGACTTTTTACGACTACGTTTTCGAAAATTGGACTATAAAATGGTGTCACTATGTATTTACCAGACGCTGACGTTCTTATGTGTTGAGCACATCTTATTTCTTGGCACTTCAGGTTGAGAGCCGGTACACCATGTTGAAGGGCATTTCCCGATGCTATTCCAGTTTTGTTTGTTAGTATCGATTTGGATTGAAATTGGTGGTGCTAGCTGAGCAAACGTCGACAGATTTCCTAGGTCGCAAGATTGATATTTCAGTGCTTTGCCGCTGAATCTAAGGGTAGAAACGGCTTGTATATGCGTTTGCACTCTATTCAAGGTAGTTCTCTTCACCTCCGTTATTTGCAGCAACTCCGGTGTTTGGTAGGTAGATATTTCAATTAAAATGCCATACAATGTTGTATTCGTGAGGGACTTGATGACCAGCTAAAAGCGGATTGTACCAGGAATTTGAAAAAGATTGTCCCTTAACATCACCATTATGGCTTACAAAATGTAATTTCAATTTTGAGGAAAATCAACGGTCATTATCATACAGATAGTGGCAGATTTGTTATAATTGTGTCATTGAAGCATTTGGGGACTCAATTACTCTCTTGAAGAGATTTATCCATCATATGAGTTTTGTAACGGATGTTATAGAGATTTTTACATAAACTGACGCCCTTTTGTTATGAATTCTCAAGAGTTTTACTATGTTGAATCGTTGATTTTACTTTAAATTGACCTGACATGGCATAACTTTTGAAACAAAGAGGGCCTGAGCTCTAAGATAATCAATAGAAATCAGCCGCACTTACGGGCTTCCGCCAACAATATCTCTGACCTCAGAAAAGCGAAGTTGAGCGTTGTCTAATGCCAATTCTATGTATCCAACTAAAACAGTAACACCCTCTCTACTTCCGCGGTAGAATCTCAACGACACAAATTTGAATGTGCACATGTAAGAATACCTAAACCAGAGCGGATTTTGAACATAGATGCCCAGGAGATACATTAACGCGAGAACTAGCCGTTCATATCAATAGCCCCAATGTATTTGTCCCAGGACCGAAGGCCTGTAATAATGCTACTCAAAAGTCCCCACCAAAATTACAAAACATACAATACCAAAAGCCTCAGACTATAACAGACCCACTACTTATTCTTTAGACAAATGCAGTATTTTACCCTCAATATTTTGCAAACCCACCAACTTTACAAGACGAGCTTCAACTCACTTGCCAGTCGAAATTCGCCATGAGCAAACAATACGAATGCAGAAACGAAAGAAACGGATGTCAAGAGAAGCCAGCCACACGAGGAAATAAAACAAATTCTCCTCGTCAATTCAAAATCGCCAGCTTACTAAAATCACGAATATCATTACACAAAAATCTGCCATCAGCCGTCGAACTAGCTTCTTCTCACCAAAACTCAAACACACAAGCTAAGAAACCCATACTCACAAAGTTGATTCACACACCTCAAACTCAACAATATCCATCAAACCTCCAGATCTTAGGCAAACAGAATGGTCGAAACTTGCTTCAAACCTCTTTCATGAATTTGGCCTAAAAACTTTTACACAATGGAATCAAAAGACAGCCAAGGAAACGTTGAGTATCGACTACATACTCCCAAGAACCCACTGTCTTCGCGATTCCATTGTTCTGACTCTTACGCTCGACATCACATGTTTGCCATTTCGAGGCGACATAAATTGTCTCGTTCATAGATGACAGAACAGAACTTAGTTCGCAAACTTGCCAACAAACTTGACTAAAAGCATTCAGTTTTACGTTATTTGACCATCTATTCATCACATTTACCTTTACTGATTTGCGGAGATGTCCGTGATGGAAGTTTTGGGCAAGTTTGCCCGGTTTATTGGCCCAGGAATCCTCATCAGCGTTGCGTACATGGATCCTGGCAACTATTCCACCAGTGTTTCTGGCGGTGCACAGTTCCAATACCAACTGTTGTTCGTGGTGTTAATTTCAAACATTTTTGCAGTCGTGTTACAGTGTCTATGTGTTAAGTTGGGTACTATTACTGGTCGGGATCTGGCAGAAAACTGTCGTCGACACTTGCCTCACAAGCTGAACGTAGCTATATTTCTCTTCTCCGAGATAGCCATTATTGCAACAGATCTGGCAGAAGTGGTGGGTACTGCCGTGGCACTGCGTATTCTGTTCAATATACCCCTGCTGTGGGGCGTTGGATTGACAATTTTGGACGTGTTGGCTATTCTGATATTTTACAAGCCTGAAACGCAGTCTATGAAACAAGTGCGTCTGTTTGAGATGTTTGTGACCACTTTGGTTGCTGCTACCGTGGTTTGCTTCATACTTGAGCTTTTCAAAATTTCCGTGCCCGACAAACTCGGTCTGTTTAAAGGTTACTTGCCTTCCAAGGTAATCCTAGAGAACAACCAAGCCATGTACATTTCACTGGGAATATTGGGTGCTACCGTTATGCCACACTCACTCTTCTTGGGCTCATCCCTTGTCAAACCCAGATTAAACGAATATGACTTCAAACATTTCGGCAAGGTTCATGCCAAGCCTTCTTTCGCGGCTATCAAGTATACCTTGAGCTACTCATATGCAGAACTGATTATATCGTTGTTCCTCATCGCTACGTTCGTTAACTCTGCCATTTTGATCGTTGCTGCCGCAACTCTACATGGGCAACCTGATGCGGAGGATGCAGACTTGACCTCGATTTTCAACTTGCTGAGCTACTACATTTCTCCAGCTGCCGGCTTGATCTTCGCCCTTGCTATGCTGTTCTCAGGACAGTCTGCTGGTGTGATTTGTACCATGGCCGGTCAAATAGTATCTGAGGGTTTCCTACAGTGGACACTCAAGCCATGGATTACTAGATTTGTCACCAGACTAATTGCCATTGTACCTTGCTTCTTCGTCGCTGCTGTTTTCGGAGAAAAAGGTGTTTCCAGCATTCTAAACCTAAGTCAGGTTGTACTGTCAATGATCTTACCAATTGTCTCTGCTCCTTTGATTTACTTCACATGCAACAGTAAAATCATGTCGGTAGCCGAGGTGAGACAGCGGAGCCCACATGAGGCGACAGAAACTACAGCCTTGACCACAAGATCGACAGGGAAAATAAACTACGCAAACAGCAGGTGGCTGGCAATCACATCTATCTTGGTCTGGGTAACGATCAGTGCACTAAACTGCTATCTGGTCGGATCCTATCTCTCAGGAGCAGACGTCCACTTCTGAATTCTCGTCGAGGGTTTTCGATAAAATATATTACATACGTTAAGCTATAGGGATTTTGATAGACATTTGTTGTCCCAATAGAAACATGCTGCTTTTATTTCTTGTACTTCTTCTTCCTAGTTTGTACAGTCCTTACCACTGGTATGCTACCCATATAGTTGGCTTGTAATACAGGAAATGCCCTTGCTGTTACTTGAGGTACTTTCCGCACTTGTTTGGCGAGTAGCACTTCCTTCATCATTCTTTGTACTTTATGGTACAATTGTGTTTCCCTCGTTGACGGTTGGCTCATTCTTTTTGACCTTAAACGTTCTTGTTTTAGACGGGCCATTTCTAACAGCGTCCGCGTTATTAGCTGTTTATGTGTCCCATTGGAAAATGCGTTGATTTCGTCATCTTCGATCGAGTTGCCTGGCATCCACTCATAGAGATTTTCCAACTTTATTGTTGGAGATGTGGGAGCGGTATTGGTTGCTTCCGATCCAAGTACATCGTCTGGCTTTCCTTCCTCGTTGGATTTAAAATCTTTATCCATACCATTTTCTAGCTGAGAACCATTTTGCGTTTCTTGCTTGGGTGCATCTGCTGGAGTAGGGTTTTCTGGTATATTCTGGTTATTACTGGAAGTGGCACCAACACTGACGTCGGTCTTGGGCTGACTCGTGAGCGCCGAACCCCCCTCCAAGACAGAAGTACCATTCGCTTCTGATTCTCTATTGCTTTTCTCTCTTGCTTCATCAATCTGTGCGTCTCGTATATTACGCAGTCTGATATATCCAATTTTTTCGAGCCAGATGGTTCCTCTGCGGCCAGCATCGATCACTGTGCTACTTTCATTGAAAGAGGGCGCCCACGACTTGAAGTCGCCATATTGGAGCCACACAGTGGTGGGCATAGCATACCAGTTAGGATGCAAAAACTTGGTCATAATTTCGTATGGGGGTAGGGTTGGGTCTGGAATGTTACTGACGTTAGCACCAAGAAAGCCCAATTTGGGCGCAATTTCATCTCCCGTTTGTGGAATGACTTTGTTCGTTTCGAAACTGCTGTTGGGTGCCTCAGTGGGCCTGCGGTCCAGTTGTGACTTCGATATCGTGGATGAGAAAAGATCCAAGTCCCCTGAAGAAACGTAGTAAGACTCTGCATAGGGCACCGAATACGCGGTCGAGATTCTTATGAAATCCTGAGAAATTTGGCGGTGAAACTCGGATTTTTCAGGCCCGTATTGGTCCTCCAACAGCACTTCTTCTGTGAGCGTTATACCCAGTCTGTAACACTCTCGCAGCAAAAGTTCCGTGGCAAACTTATAGAATTTGTCGACCATCTGGTACGTGCGCGTGCCCTGGGGATAAAAGTGTATCAGTAGTGTGCAGACTAGTTTGACATCGTGATGGAGTCTGTAAAAAGAGTTTTGTTTCTTTAAGTATTCTTTTTTCTCGAATCGTTCGCCAATCGTAGTCACCGGAAAGTTGTGTTCATTTTTGAGAGCTCCCTCGCTATCCACTCGCGATTTCAAAAACTTCTTGTAAGAGTCGAATATCTTGTTGGGATCCTTTTCGTAAAACTTGCTAGGAAACTTCTCGTCTATCACCTTACATTTGGACGAAGCACTGTACTTGAGTTGTTAGTATCTCCTTTTGTTCTAGCAAGATTATTGGCTCCAAACCGAGGCTAATTCAACGTCAAAACCTGCTAACATACGCTTTTAAAATCGAGTGTAGATTCTCAAAAACCCGCGAGTAGTCCATTTGAATTTCTAGGTCTCAGGTATATATATTTCGTGAAAGTTGTGTTTACTTTGTCGCTTTCCGGTAGTCATTTGATATTAAAGAAGTTCATCAAAGTTAAATATTGTAGACCCTTCGTTCATAGTTATACAAGTTCATACATGTATAAAGGCTATGAGCTCGATGACAGGCAATTGAGTGATCAAGTTTGAGCTTGGGGGACTGTGTGTCGATATCAATGGTCTTGAGTAAATGTCTGTCACAGAAGGTTGAAGTATGCCTTTGGCTTTAGAATGTCGTGCTGCTTCGTATCTCTAATTTCTCAAAAAATTAAAAAAAATCGCACCGTCAGTTTCCACCTAGTATTCAGATCAGTATCTGTTTTTGTCTCACTTAATTCATTTGTTGGCCTTATCAGCACTGGAGTCTTTGTAGTTTTTCGCTGTAATGAGTTTTTCAACAACCCATTGACCGGCAATTTTTTTCTGACGCACGGCTACTGGATTGAGATCCCACCCGACTTTCAAGTCGCTGTCGATCGTGGTTCCAAAGCGTGGCCTGACATAGCACAGTCTTTCAGTGGTCGAAATGTCGATCGGACGAACACCTTGGCCTGTGAGGGGTTTGCTGTACGTGATGAGAGAGCCCTTGCGTGCAATATTGACCAAAGGCGTGCTCTTGATGTCACATAACGGCTTTATGCGTGTCTTGGACTTCTCAGTCTGTTTGTTCAGATGCAAGGAATGATAGACCAAATATTTGGGCGGCTGTTCGCCAATATCGTTGAGAATCGAGGTCCGATGCAGATACACAAAATTCTGCGAGATGTCACCAGGAACTATGGGCGCCAGAACTGGTATATATGACACCATGGACACTGCAGTTCGGTTCGTTATCTTGCATTCATCGGGAGCAAGAAGATCAGCCCTGATGGCCACTTGGTCGACAAAACCAGCACACACCATTTGCTTCAGGAGTTTCACTTGGTCTGCGGTTGGCACACTGGATTTGAGGTCTTCCTCGGAAACGCTGACAGCCACATTCTCTCTGGATGTGTTGGACTTGACAATGTAAAGAATTTGTTTCCGCAGCTTTCTCGTTTCTTCCACTATTTTAGGCCTCATAAAATTCGCTTTCATAAACGAGGCTCTGTCTTCGGCTTTGATGTAGTCCAACGAGCTCACTGCGCTCAATAGCTTGAGGACATCGCTGTGCTTGTCCAGCTTGCAAAATTTCAGTTGACTTTTGAGATAGTTGGTTCGCAACTGCTTTCTATGATCTGCCAAGTCGTCATTTGGCTTCTCTGCGTCTTCAGTGTCAACCTCAGGCGCCCCAATTCCCAGTTCGTTCTCCGAGATGAAGGGTTCTCCCACAGAAAGTGCACTAACAATTGATATGATGTACGGTAAACAACCGCTTTCGTTGCCTACCAAAAGCATCTTAGAATACCTTGGACTCAAAGGAAATAGATTCATTTTCTTTCCGTCTTCGGTAATAGCCTCTTTACGATCGAGAGCTCCTAGGTGTTGAAGCAAGTCTATAGCTTTTGCCAAAGAGTCGCGGTTTGGAGGCGTTGGGAATGGAAAGTTCATGATATTGTGAATTGCCATACTCTTCATTTGTAAAACAACACTCTCTACCGGCATTCGCAGAATTTCAGGCTTCGAGAATTGTTCAAAGTCGTTTTCATAAACCGCAGAGGAAAACAACCTGTAACAATGACCGGGACCCGTACGACCGGCTCTACCGCTTCTTTGATCTGCTGAAGCTTTACTCACCCACCCCACTTCGAAGCTTTGAACCCCGTTTGTTTCGTTGTAGATTCTTTCCTTTGATCTGCCGCAGTCGACAACGTATCGAACGTTTGGGATAGTCAAAGAAGTCTCAGCGACGTTGGTAGCAACGACACATAATCTTGAGCCGTCAGGGGGGTTTTTAAAGACTTTCAGCTGCTCTTCTGTGGGCAACAAGGAATACAACGGCAGCACGAAAAGAGGATCTGTAGCCGTTTGACCTTCCTCTAAGTTTTCATCAAAACCTTCTTCTTCAGAATCGTCTTCTTCGAAATCATCTCCATCTTCGTTACCTTCGTCTTCGACCACCTTCACGCTAAAATCGACGTCCTCAGCCTCAACTTCAACATTCTTTGCGTTTACTTTGACTGTTGGGTTACTTTTTCCGATCTCCTTGTAGCTCTTTGAAGCCTTTGGGAAGGGAAATTCCGAACGAAGTCTTTTTACCATGTCTGTGATTTCCTGTCGCCCTGTAAGAAAGATCAAAATGGCACCTCTTGGTAATCTTTGATGGATTTTGCATGTTTTCCTGAAAGCCTCCTCTGTATAGTTGAATGCGGTACGCTTATTAAAGTGCACCGATACGGGATATTGACGAGCGTCGACTTTGAGCACAGGAGGGGGTATCTGGAATAGTGCCTGGTTTTCACTAAAGTCAGAGACTCTTAAAGTAGCGGACATGATGATCAGTTTTAGCTTTTTAGTAGAGGAAGAATCCTTCGCATGGTTCTTAGCGCGCAGTTTGACACATCTGCTAAGCAATCCAATCAATATGTCAGTATTGATGTTCCTTTCATGTGCTTCGTCAATGACAATAGCAGAATACTTGCTGAGCATGAAATCGTTCATCATCTCTCTCATCAGCACACCGTCAGTCATGAACTTGACCTTTGTGTTGTTAGAAACGGTGGAGTCAAATCTTATCTGATAAGAAACACTACCACCATGATTGCCGAGTTCTGAGGAGACACGCTTGGCCATAGAAACGGCTGCAACCCTACGCGGTTGTGTGATACCAATCATTCCGGGTGTATCGACAGAGCTTTTGTCACCGTATCCCGATTCAAATAGAAACTGTGGAACTTGTGTTGTTTTACCAGAACCGGTCTCACCACAGATCACTATGATATCATTGTGATGAACAGCTTCCATTAATTTATGCTCTTCGCCGAAAACCGGCAGTTGCATACGAGCTTCTTGTATCTCGTCAGGCCTAGTAACGTTGATGTAGAAAGCCTTTCGAGTAGATTTTTCGTCTATTGGTGCGGCGTCGTCAACAAGGCCGTCGTCCAAATCTTCAGTTCTGGTGATTTTTTCGTATGGACCCTGTAGCTGTGGGGTTTCCAACGGTACATCACGGCCCTCTAATTTCTTTATTTCGCTCTCAGCCCACTCTTTGAAGCTTTCGGCCGCAGTTCCTGTAGGTTGGGATGGTTCAGAATCGGAGTGTGAATCGTCCGACTCAGAACCCGATTCGGACGCGTCATCATCGACAGCAGAGGACTCGGCTTCGCCCTCACCCGATAGTTCGCTTTCAGAGTCGGTAGAGGCGAAGTCCATCTCATCATCTTTGTTATGCTTGCGAGCCTCTTCCATTTGAACTCTTTCACGCCAGTTGTATCGTTTTTTGGATGGCGCCTTGGTCTTGTGCACAACTTTAGCGTTTTGAAAACCAAACCCGATTCCAGATCCACCAAACTTGGCAGGCCTGTTGTCAACAAACGTCGAGGTAGAGGTGTGAATATTTTGGTCATTAACACCGCTCTCGCGGTCTTGTAAACCTTCATTGGAATCATCGCTGCCTGATGCATTTTCTGCATCGCTGGAATCACTCTCGTCCCATTCTTTGACTTCGTGCTCCTTGTAAAGAATATTTCGCACATTTTCGTCACTACGACCCATTTTCTCGAGCTCCAGGGCCTCCTGGAACTGTTGTTTCTTGGTCTGCCGCCCATGCCCCAGGTTTTTGGAACTCGTGAGCATGCCTGTGTCGATTTTGTGCTCTTGCAACTTTTCTATAATAGCCTTTTTCTCCTCTCTCTTAAGCTGGTGTTCCACAAACTTATCTAGTCGCTTCTTCTTGAGTCTAGAAACTTTGGACTCTTGAGGTTTGAGTAGTTCCTCGAGTTTTCTCTTTTTGGCCTCCTTTTCCTCCTCTGTCAAAGGCTGCAAAATCTCAGCATTAGTGTTACGAGTCTCCTCATTGCCTGAAGTATCTTGCGTGTCATTGCCATCTTCTGAGTGTCTCAAAAACTGCTTGTTCCTCACTTTCTTCAGCTCTTTCAGCTTTGCCATTTGGCCAGCTCTGGCCTTCTCATTGAAGCGCTTTCGATACGTTCCCATTTTCGAACCACTTCTTTAATGCCACGCACTTGACCTGGACCAAGTCGTTAAATCTCGGGACCCTGTTTACTCTGTATGCGATCTTTTACGCAAGTTGAAAGTTTGATGATGTTGAGATGAGATGAGATCTAGTTTGCATAATTTTTCAATATTGATGCGATGAGCTATGAAATTGTAGAAACTTAAACTTTGACATCATCTCAGCGAGTCCACCAAGTGGAGGCCAGGAGTTCACTCAGAGCTTGGTGCGTTTGATAGCACGGTCCTGACAAAGACGTTTATATAGATACATTTTCATGGGTAGATAGCTAAGTGATGGAGAAGCAGGGGAAGAGCATCGACAAAGATCAACTTTATGGCATTCTCGAAACCCGTAATGTGAAATACGTACAATTTGGCCTAGAACAACGGTTCCCAACGTGGTATGGAAGTACGGCGTATTTTCAATTGAGTACTAGAAAACTAGGGCTAAGAGACCCCGACGGCCGACTCCCGTCGCGCGGGTCTGCAAGTTCTTCGGGCAAAAAAGCCAAATCCTTTCACACACATCCCGAAGTGTCAGAATACTGGTTAGACACGCTATACGTGTGCGAATATTGCTTCAAATATACAGACGTTGGCAAGGAATTGCAGGAACACGGAACACAGTGCCCGTATCGCTTCAAAACTCCAGGCAGGATCCAGTATCGCAGCCCCGAGCTCAGCATCCGGAAAGTATCGGGCTCACGACATACTCTGTTCTGTCAGTGCCTTTGTCTCTTTACCAAATTATTTTTGGACAACAAGTCGATGTATTTCAAGGTCGACCATTATGATTTCTACATCGTCTACGATACCGGCAGCAAAAAGCCCATGGCGTTCTTTTCCAAAGACCTCGTGTCGTACCAGAAAAATAATCTTGCGTGTATTTTGACGCTTCCGCCTTACCAAAGACGGGGGTTAGGCACGCTTCTGATGGACTTCTCCTACAAGCTCTCCGTTCGTGACGGCTTAATTTCTGGTCCCGAACAGCCGCTTTCTCCTTTTGGGCTCGTGAGCTACTTGAAATATTGGTCAACTTTGGTTTGTTTTCAAGTTTTAGAGGGCGAATTGCAAGGGGAGAGTCGCATTACCGCTGAGGACATCTCAAAAGCGACCGGGATGCGTGTAAGCGATGTGTTGTTAACACTAAGAAGTCTTGAGTGTTTGACGCAAAACCAAGAAATTTCTCTGCAAATTCTGCGACAACGGTTCAAGAATCACAAACAATACTCTCATGCATTCATCAATAAAGATCTTCTGATATTAGACAATTGAACATTAAACTTAAATATTCAAGGAAGTGACAACACATATGAACTCATGAGCGGAATTCATATTTTTATTCAAAAAGCATTTGAATTTCCTCAATTCTGCGTTTTCTCCTCTCATCTTCATCCGCATCCACCGCTTCTCCCAACGAACGTTTCCTGTCCTGAATCCGTAACATCTTCTCTTCAATACTGTGCTCCATAATGAACCTTACCACTTTGACATCGTTTACCTGACCGATCCGGTGAATCCGATCTATTGCTTGATCTTCTAAGCTGGGAGACCACCATGGATCCATCATGAATGCTCGAGAGGCACAGGTTAGATTCAAACCAACTCCACCAGCTTTCAAAGACAGTAGCAGAACCTTCAACTTCGTCAAATCTTTTTCTGCAAAATCGCTAAGAACCTTAGACCGCTCCTTCATTGACAATCTTCCATCGAATTTATAAACCTTCAACTCCGATTTGGAAAACGAAGCCGTCAATTCTCGCTCCATTATATCCAGAAAAGAGGAAAACTGGGAAAAGATAACAACTTGTTCACCTGGACATGCGTCCTGCAGTCTCTTCAAGCTCTTCATCAAAGAAGTTATTTTTGAAGATTTGGAACCCGTATCGTACAGTACCGGCTTGATTTCACCGTTTGCACATTCTTTGACTGCTACAAGGCGTTTTGCGTCGACTTCAAAGCGGCAGTTTGGGCACTTGATTTGTCGCTGTCTTTCAGATTGGAACCGGATGTACTCCAATATGCACATTTCACAAAATGCATGGCCGCATTCTGTGAAAACAATCTGCGTGATTGGATCTATGGGTTCTGTGGTGCAAATTGAACATTCCAGATTTCTATAGCTGCCGTCATTAGGGTATTTCTCGCGAATCCTATTGAGAATCATAGTTGTTTCATCGTCACTGATCATCGAGGTCGACATTGACTCGTTTAAAAGCGCTTTTTTGACGTTGAAGTTCTCAGTAAGTACTTTGTTGCCTGCCAGGTCTTCGTCGTTCTCATCTCGCGATCCAAGTAAATCAGCATGGCAGCAGACTTGCCTCAATCTCAAAATATGGACCAATATAGTAGAGTATTTTTTGAGCAAATCGCCTCGGTCAAGACCCTCTCTGACAGAGCTTTCGGCCTTGTTCAGGAAGTACTTATAAAGGATATCTTCATGTCTGTTGAAAGTGACTCTTTCCACAATAACCTCTTTGGCAGGTAGCTCGACCAGTCGATTTCCGTCGACGTCGCGCATCTGTTTGGTCCTTCGCAAGATTACAGGTTCAAGAATGGAGGACACGACATCAAATGCGCCCTTGTAATCTTTCTTCTCAAACGGTTCTGACACGAACGTCTTCCAGTATCCAACTTGAGACCATGGTTCCAGTCGCATGAATTTCACCAAACTGTATAAGTCGTCGAGACGATTAATGATTGGAGTTCCTGTTAAAATCCACCGCCGCGCGCTAGACAGGTCCATGAGTGACTTAGAAGTCCTTGTATTCCTATTCCTTATAGTATGACCCTCGTCAATGACAATTCGGAAGAATTCTATGGAGAAAAGTCCCATGGTGTCACCATTTACACCAGCAGTTCCATTATTCAGAAGGCGACTCCATTCATGCTGGACTGTACCATAAGTTGTCAAAAGCATAACTGGGGGGTTCTTTGTCTTAGTTAGCAAAGTTCTTAAACTTCCCGTGTTTCCTCCGTAATAGATCTCACAATGGGCGTTCTCAGCAGCGGATGATTTCTCAAATTCCAACTGCCATTGAGACAGCAACGACATTGGTACCACCACTAAAGTGGTTCCAAAAGCGTAAGGTTTTGTATGGTTTGGTGCTTGAGATAAGCCCTGTGAAGAAATGTATTCCGTCCGAGACGTATCTTCTAATAGCTTCGGCTTAAGGTATTTTTTATCGAATGGAACTGTCAGGATCATTGACAATATACTGATTGTTTTACCGAGCCCCATTTCATCGGCAAGAATGCCACCCTTAAGCAAAGATTTGAGTACTGGTTTTGTTTGAGAGAACTCTGCTGTATGCAAATTGGCGTAAAAGAACTCCTCATCATGCTGAGTGTCTGAAAGGTCCGTTTGAGTCTTTTGGGCTGTCCAAGATAAGTCTTTGGGCCATTTGAATTGTTTCCAGAGTGGATTCATCATGCTGCCTTCAACATCTTCTAAGGACGAGCCCGAATTAGATGCCTCATCAAACTCTCGCTCCCGCCGTAGAAGCCAAGTCAATCCTTGCTTTTGGTAGCGCCTGAGATCAAGTTTGAAAACCTCTGGGTCAGGTACAGTTTCGGGCAAATGCTTGGAAGATTCCATCGACAGAGTGGCTTTGTACAATGATTTCAACTGGTTCACGTTTAGAACATCTTCCTGAATCTGAGAGGGTTGAATGAGATCCTTTTCTACCGTGGCATGGTTTTCGATGTCGCCACCGTCAAGGTCGATGACCTCTGTTACTTCTGGAGTAGATTCTGGAGTCTCATCGGGACCAGTAACAACCGGGCGTAGCTGGACTTGATCAAATAACGACAAAAGAGCAAGACGCCTAGATTTCAGACGCAATTCTTCTTCGCTTTCCACCACGTTCGTCACATATCCTGGTTTCTCGAAGTTCTGGGCGGGCTTGGCTTTGCTGCTGCCATTGACGTCGGTTTCAAATACCACCGATGTCAAAAAACAATCCAGCTGTATAATGAATGAGTCCCCAACGCTGAGCCTTCTATTGTTGCAGTATATCATCGTAGCTTCAAAATCCAGCTCGTCCGTGTCAAGAAGGGGAAACAACACCATTGCGACTTCCTCTGGTACACGGCCTACTTCGCGTCCCAGCTCAGAATCTATGAGCCGCACGAAGTTCGCCATGGAAGCTTTTTTGCGACCATTGGCACTGTATAATTTCGATGTAGCGTCGCTATTATTCCTGATAATTTTGAGTTCACTTCCATACTTCAATGGTTTGGCCGTAGGCCTTGTAGCCAAAGCACTCACCTGGATTGATCCAATAAAGCGTCGCCATTGCACCGAAGGACGTGGTTTTTTCGGCAGCCGTTCGCCATAATCGCGTATCTTCTTACGCGCGGCGCTCGGTGACCTGGAACTCAAGATATTCGAGAGCTTCACCGCAGGTCTAGTTTTTTCTGGTGTTTTTGACAGGGCTTGGGTGGGCTGCTGCTCAAAATACATCCCCACCGCGCTAGAGATTCTCATGTTTCTGTCGCTGTCGGTATCGGTTTTCGCGAGCAAATACGCAGCTTGAGAGCCCGAAAGACCCGGGATCATGTCCAGAAGCTCTTTAGGATCTACTTCCGATTCAGAATCAACCTTTGAAGTTGTCACTGGAGCTTGAAACAGGAACGAATCTTGGTTTTCCAAAGGACCGTGATCCTGGTCATTATCGACTTCTAACTCCTCGCTGAAGAATCGCTTTTTCGTCAAACTTTCACCATTGACATTATTATTTGCGCTCTCTTCCGTCATATACACCAACGGTCTCTTACCAACGGTATTTCGTTGCTTTGAGTAGGATGTCGCGTTACGTGTCGGATTTGGCTTTGACTAACGCGATGCGTTTCCAATCCCGTTTCAATTTTGAAGCAATTATCAAATGGTCATGTGACTCTACAGGCACGTGACTGAAGACACAATTCATATTCCCGATTACGTAATTGACAAAATTTGCTCGTACATGGCGATCTTTAATTCTGCCCAAAAGACTCAAAATTGAGAACAATGAGTTGACAAGATGAGAAACACTTCTCACTTCCATTCTCCTTTCTACTAGCATTTGGACCCCATACTGGTGCGCACAATGCGCTGGAAGTGACACTATAACAAGCGTGCGACAGGTTGCTCTCGAATTTTCCGCTTTGAAACCACAAGTTTCTAGACAATTTTTTGACACATTTCACTCAGAAACACCAACGGTCGAAGTAGCAGAGTTGCGGAAATGGACGCTAAAGGGAAAAGCAGGCTGTCAGTCTGGCTTTACAGGGGCTCTTTGGCGGTGCTTGTTTTGTTGTTTGTGGGGTTTTCGGTGGTGATGCCAATTGACGCAATGGCACAAGCGTCGCGGTCTACTAACGACGCTCTCAACACTTTTATTGTGGTGGGTGCGTTTGTAGCATTCGGCGTGCTCAGCATCATCATAGCCGCTGGTAGAGTTTTCGTTCAGCGCAGCTGTCTTCAAGATATTCCAAAAAGATACCTACCACTAACACCAGAGGATTTGCCTCATCGTGGTAGCCGAGAACTTGTGTTGCGCCAAATGGATCGATCGTATGAGCTGGCTCAGATCTTCAAAAGACCCACCGAAGCTGTGGTGCATGACGGTCTCTCGAGGCCGATCGATGAAAGCGACAAAAACGACCACCCCATACTGCCTCCTCTTCTCAACTATGAGGACAGCATCAAAATTATCACAAGCCGGCTTAAGTACCAAGGAGTGTTTTGTGGGCTTATGGAGCTAGGGCCACCAATTCGCTACACTTTCGCAGACGTCATACACACTCTGTTCACACAGACTGGACAACACTCGTTGGAGGCGGCAGAATACATTGAAATTTACGAACACATTCGATTTTCAGGTCAGGAAATCACGTCCATCCAATTCTTACGATTTATGGATCTATCGCTTTTCCTCGTAAACGTTCTGCTGCGCATACACCAGCATGAGCAACCGGAATCTGAGCTTCTCACACCTCAGCCAAACGACTTCGACAGTTCCAGCGAGATCGACCTTTTAAACGTAAGGGATCGAACCTCGGAAACTCACTACTTGACAACAACGAACACAAATAGTACAGTGGCCAGAAGAGTGACAGCGAAAAACTCCGAGCAAGAATTACGTCGCCTCCACGATGCGCTACCTTCGGAAGCAGAAAGCTACGAGTCCGTAGTTCGAGGCCGTGGTGTCAGCATCTAGACTCTTGGACATTATCTGCATTTTTTGGGGAACTTTTATACAACACCTTTTAGTAGACTAATCTAATCTAATCAAAGCAGCTGCAATTCATTCAACCAGTTTGATACAACCTCTTTCGTCCTTTGATGTGAGATCTTTGCGTTTAAAATAGCACTGAGTGGCTCGACACTGGTTGCGTACTCATCCGCATATTTCCTCAAGACACTCTTGATGAACCCTAGGCAGCTTTCGTACTTCCATACAAGCTCAAGTTCCGCTATTGCGCTGTCGCTTTCAGGCGCCATCACAGCAACATCCGAAGCGGTCCCAAGCTGGTTTACGGTGTCGGAAGCAATTTCACTCAGCCTCTCGAACATAAATACAAAAGTTTCAACGCTGGCATCCCGACGCTGAGACAGCTCTGTGAGGGTTCTGAAAGTAGACTCCATAGATGTCGCATCTACCAAACCCCAGTTTCTGCCTTGATCTTCCAAAAATGAAAAGTCGAGAATGGCTTTGGCAGAGACGAGCTCGAAATTCTTGCATGTGTCTACAATCAGATAGCCGTTTTGAGAGTTACTGTTCCAGTAGCGAATGATAGCTTCGACGATCCAACGTTCCTTCAGGCCCTGATCCGCTTCCATATTTTTGAAAACCTCTATTAAATCGTTTCTCGAATCACCAATGTACTTGTTAGCATGCGAAAGAGACCTGTTACCAGAAAACGCCAACGATTGCATCAAGGTGGTTACAACAAATCTGTTGAAGTCGCTTATAATGTTTCCATAGTTTTTCTGTATTTCCTGAAAGATAGCGGTAAGCTCAGACACATTTCTCTCCAATGGCTGCTTGTGGAAGTAATTAATAACATCTTGAATCATTTCGTTGAAGGGAAAACATGACTGGGTGAAGAAAATGGTATTATCCTTTAACAGTCCGGAGTCCACTTGGAAGTCTTTGAAGAAGGACTGGTAGTAATTTGTAAGGTCGCTTCTTGGAACAAATGAGCTTTCCATGTAAGACTTAAACTCATCAGTAAGACTCTCCTCAACATCAGATTTACTCGAAGTGAGTCTGAGCTCTTTTCTGATCAAGTTTCTCATAAAAGTCACCTTTGGACTGTAAAAAGTGTCGCGATGCCTGACCGACACTTCTTCCCATTCGTTCCATTTCCACGAAAAGTTGAAGTTACTCATTTGAATCGAGAACCAGTCCAGATACCTCAACTTCAATTCTAGATCTAGGTCGTCCAAATTGTTGAAAAAGTAACGGAATGCTCTACCAAAGACGGGAGCAATAGCTTTGGGGGAGTTCTGACAGATCTCCACTAGCAGCGTGTAAAAGTAAGCAAATGGATGGGAAACATTAGGAAGCTTAAAGATCATGCTGAGAATCTTCTCGATAGCCAGGTCTTCGATTTTGTGAGTAGTAATGATTGGATTTTCCTCATGTAACGCTATCAGCTGAGCAATTGATTGCCCAGGCTCGGTGAAAATACCAGGTTTGAAGAAAAGATCCAACGTCACTACTTGTTTGGCAACCTCTTTACGGTTAAATTCCATGCTTTCAACTATATCGAGAATGACGTCTTCAAACAGCATACCAGCGTAAGTGGTAAATGGGACGACTGTCTCGAATTCACCAACCTCGTTAGGCAAATAAACTCTGAAGGAATATCTTGGTACTTTCCACATACCGTCTATCGACCCCATACCCCTGTCCAAGCCACTGAACGGCTCGAGTTGTTCGGCCGTGGGCAAATTCAATGGATCGTTGAACCCTTGGTTTCCTGGTTGCGGTTTCATCATTGCACTGTAATCGGGGAACAACTCAGAGATTTGCTGCATTTCGTTGGAGAGGACTCTTTTAACATTTGGTAAAACAGCCATTACCCATTGTACCGGTTCGTAGGGGCTTTTAGTGTTGTATTCCTTGATCAAAGACAAATTGGTACTCTTTACGAGATAGGAACTTTCGACGCTAGCAATCAGCTCGGCCACTTTGCCCTTCAAGCTCTCGTTTTCTCTTGAAAAGAAGAAAAGGTAAGGAATGTTCAACAAAGTATTGCAGTAAACGGCTTCAGAAAGTGGGTTTCTTTTCTGAGGATTGACATTGTTCAAGCTCACACTCAGTGCGAACAACCTTTGATACAATAGGATCAATTCATCTTCTTCCACCATTGGCGACAAAAGCGACAAAAACCTAAGTAAAAGCTTAATTTTGTTCCAGGGACCAGTCTCGCTCGATGTCACTTGCAAGTTATCATCTATTGTGCTGGTGCACCATTCTTGTAGTTTGCCAAAAATGTGATTCAAAATTCTCTTCCCAGCAACGGGGTTGGCTGCATTGACCACCATGGTCAAAAGAGCAATTGCTGGTTGTTTATGGGGTTGCTCAACTATAACGGCGTATAGGGTTTTGAAAAGAGCGTCTTGAAAATACTCTTCGTTGCCAAACTCATTGGCAATAGCTTCACTCAAAAACTTGATATCTTCCTCGAATGCTTTCACACTTTCACCCAGAGTTCTGATATCTGGCATCATTTCTTTGCACAATTGCACGACTGGGGGAACCCGTTGCCTCTTGGGCATTCGGGGCCGGAAGTCACGGTATCCGTCATCATCATCGAAGTCTGTTGGTAAAATCATGTTAGTTAGTATTTCTACAGGTGGTATAGTCAGTCGATCTTGTTGAGGTTCTCATCGAGATCATTTGAGTTCGTTGACAAAAAGCGAGCCCTTTTAAATCAATGGAAAGTCAACTATTCATACACACAAAAACAATTCCATGTTTTTGTCGTTAAACGTCAATGAGATTTCAGTTCACCCGATTTTACTATGCTGTTTTTCAATATTAAGATCTCGAGAAAAGGGTCAGATAGACACTAAAAATGATCGTGAACATACTTCTTGATCTTTTTCCGCCAACCATTGTAGTGATTGCTGGATTCACTGATGAAGAGACGAGAGTTATTGACAGTTGTTGAAGATGACTGTTGACTGTCTTTCTCGTCATGGTTATGGGAACTTTTCCAAAAAATGACCCTTCGTTTATAGTGAGTATGATTTATTTAACTATGCCCTGCCATCGAAAAACGACGCGATATAACGGTCTGTATATAAGACCAATTGAGCCTAAATGCGCTGAATCCCGCGGGATTACGCTTGAGTGCGTTGTTCATGATCGCTTGGTACCTAAAAGCTCGGTCAATTGGGCAATTTCTTGATCTTTGCTTGCCAGAGATTGTTCCAAAGAGTGTATCTTGTGAATCAAGTCCACAGTGCTGGGCTTCGCACCGTTTTCTTGCAGCATCACTTGTTCCTCGGCTATGTACCGCCTTAGCCTCTCGTCATTTAGTTGTTGAATTAGTTCGACGACTTTTGACGATTTCTTCCGCAACTCGATTTCGAAGTCCGCAAACGACAGTGACGTTTTTGTCTCTGCAGCTCTATTTCTGCCAGCTATTTCCTGTTCGAGCCGAGCTTCCCGTGATACCGATTCTGCGAGTTCTTTCGACAAAAGATCGATATCTTTCATCAGCGAGTTCTGTTCAGTCAGCATGCTCAACTGGTCGCTCGAAATGAAGATCGTTTTGAATTTATGATCATCATTGGCGACTTGTCTTAGGTCTAAGTCTTCTTGAGAAGCGTAAAGTGGCTTGTATGGCCCAGAGACGGTGTTATCAAAGTTGAACTCGTCGCCCTCGTCTTGAGACCTGCCAAAGTCCGCCGCAGCTAGCAAATCTAGCGGTTCGGAACTGTCTATCGGTGATGTCTTCGCAAACGATCCTTCCATATTAATGTCGTTTTCAGTCAAAGTGGTATCTTGCAGGGAACCGCGGCTCTCTCTTCTGTCGGCATTTTGATATTCTGCGGTCGTGGATTTTTCCTCTACCTTCTTCTCCTCGATATTGGCTAAAGAGGCATAAGATTTTACGCGCTCGCCTGAATTTGTGCCGCCAGAGGAGTTCGAGAAAAGGGAGTGAAATGATTTCCTTTTGGGATTACTGGATTTAGCGTTCCATAGCTTGCTTTCAAAAGCTCCATCTCTATCTTGAGACACACTTTCGAAGCCCTCACTCCTATTGACAAAACTGCCTGCGCTGGATTGACGAGAGCCTTTTTCTTGACTATCGCTTTTGTTACTCCTAGAGGACAATTTTCTCAAAAAATTGCGAGTCTTCCCAAAGCCATTGTCTTTACGTTCAGGCGCGGGATTTGCGGCGTTCTTAGACACTTTTGATTCACCACTGGCCGGAGGCTCCGCCCTTTTAGTTATGGTAGTTTCTGAAATGTTTCGTTCGCTTTGAATGACGTCTTCATCAAGCAGTTCCGAAGCGGTAACATAAGCATTTGTATCTGTGCCATTTTCAAGCATATAAAGACTTTTGTGATTGTGATTTCTTCTCGTTGGAGAGTCGCTACTGAGGGCTGACTCCATTGTTGCCATTGATTGGATCTGAGAGCGTCTGCGGTTGTTGTCAATAGCCCCAGTAGGATATTGGCTATTCTCGCGTGCAGTACTAGAAGCTTGAAACGTTGGGGATCGGTCCAAGTTGTGTCTTGAGATATCCCTCCCGTTTTCGGTCGCACCCCCGACCCAGCCTTGACCGTTCAACTGAGCATTTTCAGTCTCTTTTGCTGGTTGAACTAATTGGTGTTGCAGGCTCTGCATTCCTAGTTCTTTCCCCTTCAGCTCTTTTTGCTGGGGATCTGAAAGTTTAATAATGTTCAATTTCCCTGAGGACGGCATGCTCTTTCTATTCAAAAGCCCTTCATTATCCACACCAGCATCTAGCTTTATAGCTTCCTCATTTGCTTCTGCTTGCTGACTTTCAGGGGTCTGACTTGCTACGCGGTATGAGGACAGGCTGTTAGTGCTCATTGCAGAAGATGAAGAGAGAGGAGTCTCGTATTCTTTGGCATGTGAAGTCTCACTTCTTTTTGAGTTGTCGGGTTGAGACTCTACTAAGGCACTAGATGAATGACTACTTTGCTGTCCATGCTGCGGCATGTACTGCTGGTGACCGGCTGCCATTGCTTGGGGCATCGAGCCGCCTTGTGCGGGCTGCCAGTTGCGAGGGCCAGTAGCACCCTGAAATCCAACTGGAGCAGGCATTCCCTGATTTCGAGGCGGCAAAGTGCCTGGCTGCGGTCGCAATCCTGCATGTTGCTGTAACATGGGACCTCTACCTGTGCCTGCGGTGAGTGACATTGCTCTGGGTTCGTTGTTGGCAGGACGAGGCACATTGAGCTGAGGGCCCCAACCTCGGGCTTGCTGTGGTGGTCCTGCCATCAAAGAATTGGCACGGGCGTAAGGTGGCATTGAAGGTGGTGGACCTGCCATCATGGAATTCGCTCTTCCATATGGTGCCATTGAAGGTGGTCCCGAAGTCAGCGAGTCGGCGTGCGCGTAAGGTGACATTTGATTGCCATATTGCTGTTGCGACGCATATGGGTTGCGAGAGTGCTGCAAAGACATAGCTCGAGGGTCATTACGAACGCCGCCTTGTGCAGCAAATTTGTTTTGTTTCGTGATTGTGTTATAGTTCATTTTCTTCTGAGCAGCCATATGCTTCCTATACTCGATGTTGCTCATGTTTTGATGGCTTTTCGTCATCAAGGTAGGAATGATCGGCGACGTGTCGTCCATGCCACCTCCAAATCCGTACTTATGACCTCCGTTGTTCCGCATTGAGGAGATGTCGTTGAAAGTCAAGACCGAGTTCTCTGAGTCGGTCATGAAAATCTCTTCCTCGTTGTCATTCTCTCTTTCCTTGTAACGGCCTTGGCGAAATTTGAATAGATTTGAAATTCCGGTAGACTGCAGAGATCTCTTGCCCGGGCCTGCAGTGGACTGAGAAGTTATCGATGACGCACGAGGCCCTTGGGACGGAAACCCTGAAGCTGGCATTCCTCCAGCGTGGGAAGCCTGGTTTCCGTATGGCGGTTGTCGCCCGTATTGTAGATGCTGGTCATGTGAAGCGTAAAACTGAGGTCCATTTGGTGGAAAGTTGTTAGGATTGCCCATCATGGGTGGCACAGCTCGAGAGTCACTTACTGGTGGTTCTTCTGCCACGTTTATGTTACCCACGTCGTTGCTGAGAAGTTGGCTCCGCAGCTGAGCCTTATTAGACTGATTTCTGCCAAAAGAGGCCGTTCCTGCGTCCATTTTGCGGGCGAAAAAAAGGTGTTTTGGTAAACTACCTGGTCAATAGGCTTTAAATGATATTGCTACGCTCTCTATTTCCTTGAAATGGGTTGTCAAAAACAGTTTTAAGACAAACTGTTGATGTGTTCTGGCCAGGCTTTTAGAACTCGTAGAAAGTCGCTGAAAGTGGGTGGATCCGCGTGCAAAGTCTTTCAATCACTGATTCTAGCGAGAGCCTCGTTTTCCAGCGTAGAGAAGCAGTTTTCAGGTCAATTGGAGGGTCAGAGGGTTCAACTGTATAAAAATAACTATGTTAGATATAAGCGAAAACTATGTGTATTAGCGGACCGTGAAATTTATGTAATTTATTATATACAGGAAAATGAACAACATAATCAAAGACCAAGAGGTCACGTGATGAGAATCAAGACTGCGTTTAAATGGCACGTAAACGTCAATCTGACTAGCTTGATTCTGACCACAATATTTAGAAGAATATGGCAGAATTGATAGTGGTTTGACTGTTTTTTTGTGCTTTTGATCGCAATCAAAATCGTTAAAAAAAAAAGGAAGAAAACCAATCCACTATCTTGGCGAAAATTATTGAGCACTTGTGCTTGTTTTGATGTATTTTCATTTCGTGTGTGAATCTTTATGCCGCTTCTTAGGAAGTTTGAGATCTTCTCTGGGCAGTTCTGGCCCTCCACTCTTAAAGAGAGGTTGCCAGGTCGAAGAATGACAAAATAGTATGAAGTGACAAAGTTGCATTATAATGGCGTGCGCGGACACTACGACGCCGGCGTTAGCGTGTGTGTGATGTCATTCGTATGAGAACGCTATGTTTGAGAGGCTAGGTGCCACAGTTTCTAAATGCCGTCTAGAGCGTGGAAACGTAGTCTCATACTTTCTCGCACAGCAAACTGTTTTCAAATTGTTAATTTTAGCGGCTGTATATAGTTGAATGGGTTATGATATACCTCGAGCAGGTTCTGAGCCGACGGTCTTTTTAACGAATTGCATCCTAATTTCACAAATGCCTGCGTTTCGCGGTTCGAGAGTACAGAAGGAGATCAAATAGTCAATCAATGCGGACGGCATCTCAGCTTCCGCGACCTCTCAGTAAAGCTTTTTGAGACCGTCTCGTTCCCCGTAAACTAAAATAAATCAAATGCTTTTCTAGATCTCTACAAACAAAGGAGCAGCTTGTCAACGATCACAACACGATGCGTGCGTCTTTCAAACCTTCCGTGATTTGGTGGTCTTATTGACGGTTTTGGTGGCTGTGGACCTACCTTGTGGTTTCTTTTCGCTGGATTCTTGTCCCTTGAGTGTCTTGGCCTCATTTTCCTTTCCACTCTCTTTTTCGGAGTCTATTTCGCGGGCAAGTACTTCATTGTCCTTCAATTTCGCATGTTGGAGCTCTGCAATGAACCAGGTCACCGTAGCCCACAGCAGAACGGCGATCACCAGCAGCGCTACGAAATGCACACTTCTTGTGCTGTAGATCAGCCAGACCAAACAGCATGCTAATAAAACGAATGAAATGTGGGTGGCAATCACAAGTTGTGGCGACGTTCCCGGTGTAAAAATGCTGTTCCACAACTCTTCAGCGAAGTTGGCCATTTCGATAGTGCGTGTACAGCTCGTCTGTCTGATCTTTAAACGGGCGTACTACCTAGATTCGACGGTTAGTTTAGTTTAGCTAAATTAGAGGATTAGAAATTCCATAGCGGTTCCGTAGATAGCGATGCCCTAAAACTCTGAGCCCACGACATCCAGTACTACACAGTTTGAAGGCCATGAAGGGCGAGTTGGAGTGTCGGCAACTGTGCTGCTAGCGTGGGGCATTGAGAGAAGGGTGCTCGCCTGTCTTTGATACGCTGTCACCGAGCATCGACATGTCACGTGACCGAGTCATCAATGGGTAGAACGCTGTGACCCGCCAAGCAACGACTCCAGATCAACTAAAGTTGCATTTGCAATTGCAATTGGCACTGGTTGGTCCCTCGCAATCCCTTGCAATCCCAGCCGCCTTTGAACTCCTCGTAAAATCGTTTTATTTCAAAAGTACATAGCTTTACAGACCTTTAAGTGTTGTGTTGATGCAATCGCGCAAGCGCAGTGTTAAAAATGTAGGGTTTGGAACCGTTCTCAGGTCGATTTCGGATGATGCGATTATAGTCCGGCGCCCAAAACGAAGGATCCGACCATAGTGGCACCCAAAAGCGCGCCAAACTTCCAAGAGACTGGGTTGGCAACGACGTTGGCGACAGCCCCGCTGGACGACGAGGTCGAGGCCTTGGAGCTGGAAGCGCTGGAGCTCACGGACGAGGCTCCAGAAGAGGCGGTGGATTTGACGGACGACGCGGCAGAAGAGATTGACGAGGCGACAGAGGACTTGGCCGACGAAAGGGAAGAGCTCACGGTGCTGGCGGCGACGTTGGCGTTAGAAACCATGTTGGAGGCAGTGCCGACGGAAGAAGAAGAAGAGGAAGAGGCCATTTTGTTTTATTATTGTGTGGTTGTAGAGATCAGACTAATTGCTGTTGATGACCTGAGTGGGAATGAGACTAATCATTCACACAAATCAACATCTAATTCCCCTCCAGCTATATATATACTCTTTTCCGGTCTAGTTCGGCTGGTTTAATCGTAAATTGGCAATACTGAGATCGCCACGCTACGCGAGCGCGCGCTATAATTAACTTCCACGAGAAAGTTCCGTTTCGAAGCCTTCCTTCCCAGTAAGGTAAAAGAAAGGCCCTTTTCTCAGATCAAAAGACGACGACAGCCCAACCAACCTATTCAAGTCAGAAGCTGGGCTGCGCTTTTGCTGCGAGAAAACTTTTATTGAGGGCCAAGCCTAGCAAGCAAGCAGGCAAGAAGGTGCCAAGCCCTTGGTGACTACGTTTCCGATCCACGTCGCGTTAAAACTACGCCTGATAAGATATTCAATTACTTAACGGAGGACGGGCTAAGAATAGCCACGCTATTGGGTCTGTAAGAGTGTCGTAATGCCGAGAATACTTGCTGAAACCTTTTGATTCGATTTGATTTTGATTAGCTGAAACAAGTAATAAGATTACATGATGAATTAAAATATTTGCAGTGGCTGGTTAAGCAATACTCACGAACAAGAAAAGGCTGTGGAGGACCTGGAAGTGGGAATGATAGCGAATTATATAGCTAGCAGCTATGACGAAAAACGGAAGCGGAGCTGTGTGTTAGTCGAGAGTTTTTTCTTCAGAATTAATATTTCTGGAGTCAAAAATGACGTGCAAGTGCGTTTTGGCAGGTCCTGTGAGCTCTATAATTTCCCACTGCCAGCTGCGTGGGGTCAGGGAGAAAGGTTTCGTCCGTTGCTCGAGGGCCAGCGATCTCTAGACGCATTTTTTAGCAGCTCTTGGCTCTCACTCAAGCTTTCAGTAAGGGTAAGCAGCGTCATGAGACCGCGAAGTCAGGTTTGGGCCTTGGGAGTAGTGTGTAAAAATGGGTTTGGCAGCTACGAGTTGGCCCCAAGGCTCCCGCGTCGCTCATCGCAGGTCGATTCGTTCCACCGTCGACATGTCATTTTGTCATTTTCTGTCGCAGAACGTGAAGTTCTGAGTTCGTAAGTTAGCATAAGGTGTGGTTTTCCTGTAGAAAGAATATAACCGACAGTAGAATGAACCATTTCCGGGAGACTTTCGTGGATTCCTGGGTCATGCGGTGTTCTATTGAGTAGTTTTCGTATCTCGAGGATCATCAAAGCGTGATAAGGAAGCCTATTATCGAGTATTAACTGTCACCTATGCTAACGTCAAGATCTGCGTCACTGGCTTGCTGATCTATAAGACTAGAACAATTCTCCAGTGGGCCGGAAACCCCCAAAACGTTGTCTTCGCGCCACCGACATCAACTCAAACCCCACCTTGTTCTTTCCAGTGACATGCACAGATCCGAAGCGTTAACATAAAAATAAAACCCGGCTCGAATTTCGCTCCATTGCCTGCTCGCACTCTCACGTCATGATGGGTATCGTTAGTTAATTAATTATCATGATTATGCTATATACAACTTCAATTTTTAAACCGTTAGAGCACCGCACACTGCCAGCAGCGTAATGGCAGTGCCCAATTTCCAGTTAGGGCCGTTGAAACCAGGCACCGGTGCTCGGTATCCGGCAGCACTGGACGACTGCACCGACGCCGTCGAGGACGCTGCTTGCGAGGCACTGGTACTCGTGCTCGTGCTCGCGCTCGTGCTTGTGCCTGTGGTTTTCGGTACGCTCGACGACGCACCCGTACTTGATGATATGGCTCCCGACAGCGTAGATGTCAGCGACTCAGTGCCACTGCTAGGTGAAGCGGATCTTGAAAACCTGGGAAACGACGATACTGCTGTGGCGGAGAGCATCTGGGATTGGTCCAGCGACAAAATGCCCCCGGACGAGCCGCCCAAAAATGCGTACGAAACTGTAGCAGATGGGTTGGAGCTAGAGCTCGCTGTGTCGACTTGAATCTGCAATACCATTGTTGGATGAGAGACGTACGTGAGATTAATGCTAAGGCTTGTGTTTTAAAGTTCGGTGCTTTCTTTCTATGACGTGGACGAAGCTGCGTTTTTGATCAAAAAGAGCTGATATACGTGATCTTCGTCTACAAGCTCGAAGTGAGACACCTTATCGCCCACTGAAACACGGAGCTTGCACGCACAATTGCACTCACCAAACACTTCACCCCCAAGATCCGAGGTTTCGACTATTCCTATTATATACAAGTGTGTTTTCTCCACTTTCATATTTTCACATTGTTCCAATCGAAACTGGTTTCAATCTCACATACTAGTGCTTTTTTCACAAATACAATGCAGCGCGACACTTGTAAAAAGCTCTCAGAAACACGTCTATCACAAACCATCGCTAGCTACCCATCCCAGTAGTTTCTAACTCTAGAGCTTGCACTCCGTCTTCACTAAGATGCACCGCGTGGTGCGTGTCAAACTACGATGCTACTACAAGAAAAACTACCTACGTAATTCGTTTCAGTGATAGCCGTTTCGTTTTCGTTTTCGCGTATCGATCTGGACTCTTTGGCTGGCTCCGTGTGACGCCATGGGCGATCCCTCCTGTACTAGTTTCAGTTTAAATTTTTCAAACTAGAGATGGCAGCGCAGTGGTGAAGAAGAACACCTACCAGAGTAAAAGCATAACAATGCAAGCTTAATGTAGGAGAAGCGTTTCACACGTCAGCGAGTCAAAAGCATACGAGAACTTCTGTAGATTAGTTTCAGGCTCGAAATGCACTGACGGACTTCGCTTTGTCCTTGTGTGCCCAAGTTACGATTAATCATTTTTGGCCGCGCCGTCTTCCAGCAGTGTTAAATATTTGAAGAACAAGTGTGTGTGTGGCATGCCAGGACGAGACTCTAGAAGAGAGGGAACTACAATATTGGAAAAAAATAGAAGGGCCAGACCGTCGACGGAAGGCTCTCTGTATGAGAGTTTTTATCGCAACGGAGGTGTTACAACCTGGGCCCAGATCAGATATGAGGCGTTTTTCTTGAAGACCTGCGGACCCAGATCACTGGTCCTTAGGACAGATACGAATGCTACACAGGGCGGTGGACGAGGTAGAAGAGGTGGAAAAGATGTGTAAGTCCGTCGTCATGGCCAATGCGGCCATCGCGGCCAATGCGGTCCGCACACATTTTTGCAAGAAGTTGATGATTGTAGCGGACAAAAGAATCTTGGTAGGCCATGGGGCGCCAGAATGAGATAAAGTGACAACAAATTAAATTTGTAGACAAGTCAGCTGTAGAACGTCAAGGGTGTAGGGCGTAGGGCGTAGATGGACGATATTAATCGCTCCATTTGGGCAATTTGCAATCTCACTGGCCATGATTTGTTTTTTATAGGTGTCTTGTTCGAATACTATTATTATTCCGCCCTCCGGCTGGCGCCCGGCGTACATTAGAGTCCGGTCACGTGCCTCCAGCGCACATTCTGGTCCGGCCCACGCACTCTTTTTTTTCTTCCTCCCAAACTTTTTTACACACCTGCGCATCGTGAAACTTTTTCCATCGCACCGCCAATGTATATAAGGCCCGCAATTGTTGACACCGCCCATCTCATCGCCGCCCGTTGTTAACATCTTTCAAAACCTCGGTTTACTAATAGTAGAAAATGGGTGCCTACAAATACTTGGAAGAGCTTCAAAGAAAGAAACAGTCGGATGTCTTGAGATTCCTACAGAGAGTCCGTGTCTGGGAATACAGACAAAAGACTGTCATCCACCGTGCCTCTAGACCTTCTAGACCAGACAAGGCCAGAAGACTAGGTTACAAGGCCAAGCAAGGTTTCGTGATCTACCGTGTCCGTGTTAGACGTGGTAACAGAAAGAGACCTGCCCCCAAGGGTGCCACCTACGGTAAGCCCACCAACCAGGGTATCAACCAGCTCAAGTACCAGAGATCTTTGAGAGCCACCGCCGAGGAGCGTGTTGGCCGTCGTGCTGCCAACTTGAGAGTGTTGAACTCTTACTGGGTCAACCAGGACTCCACCTACAAGTACTTCGAAGTCATCTTGGTGGACCCATCCCACAAGGCCATCAGAAGAGACGCCCGCTACAACTGGATCTGCAACCCAGTGCACAAGCACCGTGAAGCCAGAGGTCTAACCTCCACGGGTAAGAAGTCTCGTGGTATCAACAAGGGTCACTTGTTCCACAACACCCAGGCCGGTAGAAGAAAGACCTGGAAGAGACAGAACACTTTGTCCTTGTGGAGATACAGAAAATAAGCGCATTGCTCATAGCAGCCAACCCGCTTATTTTCTTTTCTCTTCTTCTACAAGAAAATCTCTTGGTCTTTTTTCTCGAGTCCATGATTCGATGTGCAATGTGCAGTATATTCCCGTTTTTGGCATCTGCTACGCTGCCGCTATATGTAAAATCATCTATCGTCGCATATCTATATCTACCTTGTTTTTAGGCCAAAAATCTTGTAAAAACCTCACAAAAATCGCATTTGAAAACAACAATTACAAAAACGACACACTGCTACACCTTTAGCCGCCCTCAAACCTCCGTTCTAATTTCTCCTGTACCCTCTTGACTCGCCTGATTTCCTGACTCTACCAGCCTTTAAATTCGAGAATTTAATATTTAGAGCATTCAAGTTTATTGATATCTCTATGTACGAAAGCATAATTCGTCAAGTGAAAAAAATTTTAATATATTCGAATCTATAATGTCAGCCCTAAGATAAAAACCTAATCCCGTATAAAAGTTAAGACAATTCTAATCTGATAACATTTAACTTTAACGGTGATCAGCTCTGTATTTATAACGTCAAGTCTGAGACGATTCTGTGATACAGTTTATTTCACGTTTTTATTTTTTTTGGTTGATAACCTTGTCTTTTAGAGCTGTCAATTGAGTCAATAATGTCTAATTACTCGAAAACCGCCATTTTGTCGGTTTACGACAAAACTGGGTTGCTAGACTTGGCCAAGGGTCTTGCTGAGAACAATGTGCGCATTTTGGCGTCTGGTGGTACCGCTCGCATGGTTCGTGAGGCCGGTTTTAACGTGGAGGATGTCTCGTCAATCACACACGCTCCAGAAATGCTAGGTGGCAGAGTCAAGACTTTGCACCCTGCTGTGCACGGTGGTATCTTGGCCAGAGACTTGGCCTCCGACGAAAAGGACTTGAAGGAGCAGAACATCGACAAAGTTGACTTTGTCGTGTGCAACTTGTACCCTTTCAAGGAGACCGTTGCCAAGGTTGGTGTGACAATCCCAGAAGCCGTGGAAGAAGTCGACATTGGTGGTGTCACGCTTTTGAGAGCCGCTGCTAAGAACCACTCCCGTGTTGCCATCTTGTCGGACCCCAAGGATTACCCTCAATTCCTCCAGGAGCTTTCCAAGGGCGATGTGACCCAGGACTTGAAAAACAAGCTAGCTTTGAAAGCGTTCGAGCACACCGCCGATTACGACGCTGCCATCTCTGACTTTTTCAGAAAACAGTACTCTGAAGGTCGCACTCAATTGCCATTGCGTTACGGTGCCAACCCGCACCAAAAGCCAGCTCAGGCCTATGTCTCTTTGCAAGAGGAGCTACCTTTCAAAGTTTTGTGTGGCTCTCCCGGCTACATCAATTTGTTGGACGCACTCAACTCTTGGCCTTTGGTTAAGGAGCTCTCTGCCTCGCTAAACCTACCAGCTGCCGCTTCCTTCAAGCACGTTTCTCCTGCCGGTGCTGCCGTTGGTTTGCCTCTCAGCGATGTCGAGAAACAGATCTACTTTGTCAATGACATCGAAAACCTATCGCCTCTTGCTTGTGCTTACGCTAGAGCTCGTGGTGCCGACAGAATGTCTTCGTTCGGTGATTTCATTGCGCTGTCCAACATCGTTGACGTTGCCACTGCCAAGATCATTTCCAGGGAAGTTTCCGACGGTGTGATTGCTCCAGGTTTCGAGCCCGAAGCTTTGGAACTCCTATCCAAAAAGAAGGGCGGCAAATACTGCATTCTGCAGATTGACCCTAACTTCACCCCAGAGTCTCTAGAATCTAGACAAGTCTACGGTGTCACTTTGCAGCAAAAGAGAAACGACGCCATCATCAACAAGTCCTCTTTCAAGGAAATCGTCTCCTCCAACAAAAACATAACCGAGCAAGCTGTGATCGATTTGACCGTTGCCACCATTGCCTTGAAGTACACCCAATCGAACTCTGTGTGTTACTCCAAGAATGGTATGATCGTTGGACTTGGTGCTGGTCAGCAATCCAGAATCCACTGTACCAGACTGGCCGGTGACAAAGCCGACAACTGGTGGTTGAGACAACACCCAAGAGTGTTGGGCTTCAAGTGGGCCAAGGGTGTCAAGAGACCTGAGAAATCGAACGCTATTGATTTGTTCGTGACTGGTCAAATCCCAACCGAAGACCCAGAGAAGTCTGAATACGAATCCAAGTTTGCAGAGGTGCCAACCCCACTTTCTGCTGAAGAAAGAAAGGAATGGATGGGTAAGTTGAGCAACGTCGCCTTGTCTTCTGATGCCTTCTTCCCATTCCCAGACAACGTCTACAGAGCTGTCAGATCCGGTGTCAAGTACATCGCTGCGCCTTCGGGCTCCGTTATGGACAAGGCCGTGTTTTCTGCTGCCGATTCCTTCGACTTGGTGTATGTTGAAAACCCAATTCGTTTGTTCCACCATTGATTGGAGGTCTGACTGAATGCAACGGCACACCAGGATCACGACTGTATAGTAAATAACGAATAACTCATAGTAGTTGAAAGAACACTAACTTCCGACGCAAATTCCCATGCGAGTAAGGTCTATATGAATGAGTTCACCAAGCTTCGAAGCCAAGGTAAAAAGATCCATCTGAAGATCGTCCGTGACGTCAAAACAAATCCTACTAAATTCAAGACAAGACTTACAAAATGTCAGCGGTATGGTTTTACCCAAATGATAACTGGCCCATAGGGCCTACATAGTGTTTAGGAATATACCGCGGCAGAACGACACAAAGGCGACCGAGCTCAATCGAGCACAAGTGCTCAAGAACTCAAGATACACGCGTCCTGCTTTCTCTGGGTACCTGTCGACGGGGCTGCTTCTGTCTCATCCGCCGGAAAATTCCAACGGCAACAACGCACTGTTCATAAGATCAAGATAAAATAACTTCATGAGCTACTCAAAACCCCACCGAAGCAGAGGAGATGCTTAAAAGAGATTTCATTCCCGAAGAACAGTCGTTCCTTGAGACTCTGCCTCTCGAGCGCCGAAAACTCGCCAAGACCAAGTTTGGGCCAGTAAAGCTGCAATAGCAAGAAACAGCTCCACAGATCTATAAAGAAATGAGAGTGTCTCTCTGGCCCACGATCTTAACGAATCAGGTCCCTTATTTTTCTAAACGGAAAACCTAAAAGGAGGTGAGAGAGAAGTAGTAGATGTCTACATTTTTCACCTCTTTATATACTCGTTTCTCAGAGAGTGAGAGAAATGAAAACAGGCGATGAGGTTACCCGGCGATTGTCGGTTTTAAAGCAGGGCTTTTTCGTATAGCATTACATAATCTGTTGATCACATGATTAGTGTGAACCCATACACCACGCGAATCTTCAACACCGGAGCCAGCGACACACGATGACAGTGACAGTGACAGTGACAGTGGTTGGCATTGATCAGGAGGCTAAATTTACGTTAGCATCGGCTCAGACTGCGTTGATTCTACTGTAGCCCTTCACGGGAGCTCTGCAGCATATACAGGTATTGAATCCGCGAAGGCCCAACGAAACACGGCATTCTTCGCAGATAGCAAAGCATTTACAAGGCCATAGCACGATATTTCGAACATTGGTCTTGCACACCACACATGAAAGATCGCGATCGGAGTTTGAGACCGAGGGTTTCGCAGAGTGGGCCTCGATGGCACGTTTTGTCATAATTTCGCGCAGAACGCTCGATTCGTTCAAACTGGCGTATTGTGAGCGGGTTAGTCTTCTATTGCATTTCGTCTCACACTGCAAAATAGACCACATGGAGAGCAGCCATTGCGGATCCTGATCTGCAATGTCATTTGGGGAGTCGGGCAAAATTAGAAGATCTGTCAGCTCGTTACCAATCTGTCTTTCCCTGAGATGCGTCTCCTCCGATTGATCATTCTCATTATCAAGTAGCTCCAGATCAGATTCCAGATCTTCACTGTCGTCACTGTCAATGCCCGTAATTACGGAATCATCTTCGACATAGTCGGCAGACCAGTCCTCTTCCGGTAGCAAGTACCTGTAGCTCGTTGAACGCTTGCCCTTGACATTCGCATTTAGGTCGGGCGCCCTTGCGAAAAATTGCCTGTAGTTATTATCGGATACGTAGTCATTGAGGTTTTTGTCATGACGATTGCGCTCAAGCTCGACCTCGATTTGCGGCTTTGGAGCTTGGAATAGCGAAATTATTCGATTCTCGAGCGCTTTTTCGAGTCCCCACATGGCGTCCCATTTTCTGCGCCAAACGGGTTTTGCGGGCTCCCATTCTATCTCGGCACTTTTCATTTCAGTCTGTTGTTTGTTCATATATCCGCTTACAAGGAAGGACCTGTTGACATCGTTTTGATGAGTTAGCTGAGAAAGTTCGCGATGTATCCCGGCCTGTTGCGTTTGAACTGGGTTGCAAATTAGAACTGCAAAGTTTATCAATGTGCTGGTGAACTCTTCCTCGCCAGTGCAGTTCAATGTGCTGTACCAGCTCTGCATAAAAGAGTGGAATCGCAAAACCGACAGGTCACTGCTACCAAATGGACTTAGCCTCGCCAGACAGGCCAACCCGTAGCAGGCAACAGACACCGAAATACACACTAGCGCCATCGTTTTAGGAATGTGCCTGTATTTCACTAGCAGTGTCAAGGACGAAACGCCTTCATTCAATATAGACCAGGCCAGATACCCCAGGTGACCCACGTTTAAGATAGTGGAGCATAATAAGCGATAGCGCCTTCTGTTACTTATCTCGACGATGTGAATGATGAGCCGGCCCAACAAAGCCATCAAGCAGTCTGGAACGTAGTCCTGGCGCGCCGTGCCAGACCGCGTCAGTGTGTAGAAATGCATGGATAGTTCAAATATGCTGTAGTCAAACTCCTCCATGGGCTTTGTATTGGAAGTAGTGGAGATGAACGTTTCCAGGCAGTGTGAGAGGCAGATTACTGCATAAGTCATAGCGAAATAAGCGTTGGGGTCGTCGTTGGCACCAGGCCGTATTGTTACAGTCACGTTGTAAAGGAGAGTACCGATCGCGATGCCGTGAAACACAACGCGCGACCACAGGGGCAATTGCACGACTGTAGCTGCTGAACGCAGTGAGGACATTGCTACTATCCTGTTCAGCAACAATGCAGTCACAAAGCAGCCCACAGCATAGTTGCTGAAGAAATAGCCTGCTGTTTCGGCAAACGCAGACGCCCCCATACTTAGCGCCTCTGAAGCCACGGTGGTCATGAACTGCGACTCATATTGCGAAACGATGGCACTGTAGAACGATCGTATCACTTGGTATGGATAATTGACCGCTGAAGCCCACAACTCGTCGCTGGCTATAAGTACATTTTGCGAGTTGTTCAAATACGGGAACTGGCCGATAATGGTGTGGTTGAAATCGACCATCTAGGACTCCTCAAACAATGCAAACGTCAGGATTTGACGCTTAATTTCACCTTCACCCAATAATTCAATGAATAATCCGGAAAACCTGTGCAAGAAACCCAAAAATACCTCCTCGATCGCTAAGCTTTGCTGAAACACACTGCTTGAAAACTGGGGCCATGAGAGTGTGTTTCAAAGAATGACTAAACGCACTCGTTAAAGGATTCACAGCTCGTCATTGTAGTACGATCAACGAAACTTAAATTATCACTAAATTATTATGGTTTTAAAATGGCCAAAAAATTAACAATTATGGTTGCTAAGAGATTCGAACTCTTGCATCTTACGATACCTGAGTATTCCACTGTGTATCAGCGTTAAGAAGCGAACTTCTTGAATCAGGCGCCTTAGACCGCTCGGCCAAACAACCAATTGATGGGAGTTAGAGAATAAAAAAGATACTGATACTTAGTAAAATACAATGTGACTCCAAAAGCGCTGAAGAACAATAGCATAAAGAGCGGCGAGTTTTGCCGAAGTAATAGCTCACAGAGGTCTAACATATTATGCTTTCTCATTTGATGTAACAACTGCGCTTTCACTTTTCTTCTCTTTTCTTCTCTTCTCTTTTCTTCAGTTCACTCTCTATCACCTCATGGTCATTTCAACGTTTTAGTTTAAACTGCTGACATTCGGGAAATCATTGACTTTGACACATCCAGAAACATTTCATACATTAAAGCCCAATGGACGTCTCATTCGATCCTATATATCTAGCCAATGGCTACCGCGACGTAGTTTCGCAATGGAACAGCTCTGTTTCTGTCTTGTCCTCCGATTTCGAAAGGTCCCTAGACAAAGATTCAATCGTTTTGCCGCCCAGACAGAAACCGTTATATGTACGTACCTTTTTTGTACCGCCCGTTAAATAGTGTTGTTTCGCTCTCTCGAGTACTAACGCCTGAGGCTTTCGAGCTGCAGCTGGACATTGAATTGTTTTCATCCAATGAGTCGATTTCGAGTTGCCTGACTCAGGCATTCGCAGAAGGTTTGAACAGCTGTCTGGAATACTGGCAGGATTTGAATTACCGAGCTACCGTCCAAGTCATGTCTGAACACTGCATTCGTGTGTCTTTGGAGTGCCAGATCTTCTCAACGATGAAGACCAAAAATCTGCTAGAACAGCCGCTTTCGATCATGAAGCACATGAACCTGCGATTGGTGACCGTGGCTGGGTTGAAAGTGCAAGCAACCTTCATCGGAGCTTCACCACCGGTACCAGAAGCCATTCGACAGTGCAACGTATTCTTGGTGTCGCTGTTCATTTCGCAACTGGAATTCCAATTCCCATTGGCCTTTTCGCGAGTGTGTCGCCTTCGATTTATCCAACAAGAGGCGTCGCTAGGCCCGGTTTCCTACGCGTTGACCAACTCCGCCATCATGGTTCCAAGGCTCGTGAAAATCATCTCCGATGACAGAACAGCCACAACCTGCTACCGAATCATCCAAATATCCAGTGATCGACGCAAACTTGCCAGATTACTCAAATTCAAAACCGGAGTTTCCCCTACTCAAATCCTCAAACATTCTTGTACTTATACTTCAAACCACGCAGACTGCTGATCTCATTGTCCAGCTGGTCCATCCATCTTTTGCTGACCTGTGAGACGCCAAAGAGCATCAAGGGAACATGGAGAAGGACTCCCAAGCTGTATTTGTCGACTTTCTCGGAAACTTCCCACGATATCAGCAGCAGCAGTATGCAGTTCACGGCGTCAATCCTCCGGGTGGTGATTCTGACGCTTATGGACCGGGATACTTTGAAGTCTTTGATTATATCGTATCTCAAGGTGATCAGTGAACAAATGGTGGAATTGATGGAAAACAGAAGTAGCCGTTTGTAAGTCATGGTGTCACCATCCAGCTTCCTCACCTTCATTAGAAGTGAAAGGAACACACCGCAACAGACCACAAACGCTACGCTCAGGATTTGGACAGCTTGGTTATTGCTCGAATTATTTCGAAGCTCCAAGTCGCTGACATATTCTTCCTGTTCTTCCTCATCTAGTGGGTGCATAAGTATGCCACTGTCGTCACCGTCATTCCCGTTGACTTTGTCCAGCACACTCCTGTTGAATCTTCTGAGTCTGGACATTGGTAGATGAAGCAGATGCTGCTACGATTTAGGTTTCTGCGATGATCTATTAGAATGAAGTGGAACAGGAATGAGATATCAATATCGTGAAAAAACCTCCAACCAATGCTCAGAGTATAGGTTTGCGCGTCGAGAAGCTTATTTAACCTCAAGTCCAAATTACAAAGATCAAGATTCAGATGGGTTCTACCAGAATGCTACAAACGAGTCTCCCGTACAAGCGTGTTGTGGATCTGGCCTTCAAGAAGTTCAAACCTACAAAGTTGAACCCTTCGAGCCCGTCAAACCCAGTAGTTGTGAACTTACATGGGCTTTTCGGGTCAGGGCGATCTTTCTCGGCCGTAGGCAGAAGAATGGCTCAAGATTTAAACACTGAGGTGTACAACTTAGATCTCCGAAATCATGGCCAGTCACCATTGGCGAGACCCTACAACTACCTCACACTAACGGAGGACGTCGTGAATTTTTTGCACCACCAATTTGGCGGGGAAAGGCCTATTTCTATTGTCGGCTTTTCGTTGGGGGGCAGGGTCGGGTTGCTAACAACTCTGTCGCGCAGGATCAACATCGTAAAGTGCATATCAATTGACATGCCTCCATACAGAGTATCATCTCTCAGCGATGTCATCATGCAGAACTACAGCACTATGCTCAAACTCTGTGATAGAACTCTGAGGGTTGAGAAAGGCGTCAAAAGCTGGAAAGACGACATCCTCAAGGTTTTTCGAGCTTTGCCCGCAAACACTGATCCGGGAGTTGCCCTGTACTTTGCCCAGGGGTTTTTGGAAGTCAAGAAAAATGAAGAACCTTATGATCCAGCTACAGACGTCGACCCTTACGTCGATTATAAATTACCACTATGTGAGATGACAGATCTAATAGATATTGTGAAGGATTGCCCAGCAATAGAAATGCTAGAACCGGGAAAATTCAAACGCACAACTCAAGCATCTGTTCTTTTCATGCGCGGCCTCCAGTCTCCCTTATTTCGTGATTCGTTCAGCGCATTGAGTGACTTCTATCCTAACCACTCGGTGGTTGAATTCAATACGGGACACATTATTATGAATGAAGCGCCTGAGCAATGCTATAAATCGTGCATCGAGCATCTGAAAGATTAGGGACACACTGAAAGCATCAAACTCCGCGCATCAACCTGACTCGGTAAAAGAGATGATAATAATACAAAGGTCCTTTGGTACTATAGAAGTATATAATCTGCAGCATACGGGAAGCAATTAGAAACACAGACCGAAAGTGTCGTCCATGGCACGGATTAGATATCGTTCCAACCCAAAGAGTTTTCTGTAGCAATAGGCTTCGATATTTTCAATCCAGTTCCCTTTTCTTCATCAGAGGCAGCGACAGATTTCGCAGGTTCGGGAATTTCACCGTAGTGGTTCTGATTCATCCAATCGTTGATTCTCATGCTTGGGGTAATAGAAGAACGGTCGTCTGCGTGCTTCTCGATATCACGGGCACCAACGCCAAAACCAGCGTGCGAGCCTGAATCAAAACTAGACGTTTCATCCAAGTGGGGAGCGCTGTTTTTCAGTTGGTTTCTCTTTACCATGTATCTGAAGGCTACTACCATTAGTGCCAAGTAAATAGATGCCCCGCAGGCGACACCCACAATCAGTCCGATCACTTTTTTCTTGCTGCTCAGGCCGTTACTTCCCACCACCGAGCTGTAGCTCGAAGAGCCGAGAGTACCAGCACTACGATAGCCTTGATTGGCATTTGATTTCACCGCAGAAGACGTACTACTGCTTCCGTTGGAAGATGCCGAGCTACCACTAGAACCAGATGAGGAGGTAGAGCCAGCATCTACAAGACCCGTCAGAGGAATTGAGGCATCAACAAAAGTGCTCATCTGAAGGGTAGCGTTATAGAAGCTGCTGTCTTTATCTTGAAGCAATTCTTGTAAATTTGTGACCTCGTTTGTGGGGAAGTAGACTTCTGCAACAGTGATGAGGTAGTCCCTTCCATTCACAGTCAAGGGAATCAACCTTGCGACCTCGATATTGGCAAACGGCTCGTCAAATGGACCTCTGAGGGTATCTGGAAGGTAAGCGAAGATCTGAGCGCTGGTAACTGGATTTGCAACCAGGAAAGGATAGTTCAAAGCTTTTTTGAATCCTATAGTAATTAGACTGTAGCCGTCTGGTCTGGCAACATCGGTTGGGGCTCCAATTGCCTGTGGAAGCGTTTTGGTGGCTTGCTGGGCATCATTGGAACCCGCACTGCCACTTGTAGCGGCATCTGACACAGAGGCCGACGCAGTTATCATGGCAGTAGGAAGCCAATTAGACGTTGTAGTCTTGGCGGATGAGAAAGCAGAACTGGCCGAGCCAATTGACTGCGAGGTTGAACTAAAGGGAACTTGTGTTGGAACTGAAGGCAAAGTTGTCGCTGGCGAGGATTGTTCAGTCCAAGAAGACCTGGTGGATGTTGCAGTTGGGTAGATGGTTGCTGAAGAATAAGCCGTAGTAGAGCTTGAAGCTTGAGCCAAATCTAGGCTACTTGTTGCAGACTGACTATCGCTGGAAATTGAAGCGCTTACAGTGGCTACGGTGCCAGAGGATGTTGCCGACTGTTTAGAAGTAGAAAATGCCGACGAAGGTGACGATGACGGTGCCATCTCTTGAGAAGAGGTTTGTGTCCTTGGAGTCGTCGACGTCGATAATCCGGCCCTCGAAAGGTCCATGGATAGGGACGAGGAGATAAGCGCAGAAGTCGCCGAGGAGCCTGATGTAGAGGAAGAGATCTCACTCGCGTAAGGACCGCTAGATGTAGTTGTGCTTGGAATTTCGGAGATGGAACTAGTTCCCGAACTTGATAAAGATTGAGAGGACGACAAGACGGCTGACGTACTAGAAGGTAAACTTACATGGGCAGTTGAATCCGTGCTCTCCTGGGAGCTTGAAAGAGGAGTGCTTGTCGAAGAAAGAGCGTCGGAAAAGGGAGTCGTGAAGCTCGCTGAGGAGGTGACAGAGGTGCCGGATTGTGAGAATGGTGCGCTCAAATCGCTGGACAACGCAGACTGAGAATCTCCTGAGTATTGGCTGTACGCACTTGACGATGTGAAGCTGGGAGGAGAACTGGTTGGATACGTTGAAACCTGTGAGCTTGGCTCAGAACTTGAGAGATCATGACTGGTGGTGCTTACGGGGTAAGCATCTGACGACTGGTATGTTTTGATATGGCTTTGCGTACTCGAGGGGTATTCGCTTGTTGTTGTCTCAGTCTGAGAGAGACTGGGCGTGTAAACAAAGCTTTGAGTGCTTGAAGGGTATTCGCTTATTGTTGTTTCGGTTTGAGAAGATTCAGGCGTATAAACAAAGCTCTGGGTGCTCGAGGGGTATTCGCTTGTTGTTGAATCAGTCTGAGAGAGACTGGGCGTGTAAACAAAGCTTTGAGTGCTTGAAGGGTATTCGCTTATTGTTGTTTCGGTTTGAGAAGATTCAGGCGTATAAACAAAGCTCTGGGTGCTCGAGGGGTATTCGCTTGTTGTGGAATCAGTCTGAGAGAAGTCGGAAGTGTAAACAAAGCTTTGGGTGCCTGTGGGGTATTCACTTATTGTTGTATCAGCCTGAGAAGAGCTAGATGCCAAAAGGAGAGCATCAAAACTCGAGCTTGAAGCAGTTAGCGGAGAGGTTGAAGAGCTTTCTGAAGCAGTCGTGGTGCTGTAGATTTCAGTCTGGCTGCTTGTAGTGTACAAGGCGGACGAAGAAGTGGTGCCCATACTTTGGCCAACGGCTGAAGAACTTGTCGTTAATGTCTGATCTTGATTTGTGTAACTGTTTGACACGGCTGTCTCTTCGGTCAACGAAGAGGCCGAGATAAAACTGACTGTATTCGTTTGCGCCGCAACAGAAGATTCTGCAAGTGACGTAGAAGAAGTCGAGGTTGTGGCAGACGTTAGCTGACTAGAAGAAGTCGTCATAGTGCTGACATCGCCTTGTTGAGACGAGAAAGAACTCGATTTGCTACTTGCGAACCCACTTAAAGTAGTCTCAGCAGTTGTAGATGATGTTGAGCCAATTTCGTTGGTTGAGGACGAGGTTCCCTGTGTTGAAGTAGTGAAAGCACTTGTTGCAATTCTAGACGAGTCAGATTCTGTCTGCGAAGATGAAGGTTTTGAAACCGAAAACGAGAAGGAAGATAAAGTGGTTGTTGTGGAGAGGGCATTGGACTCTGAAGCAGGGACCGCTGCAAACGAAGACAGAGTTGTGCTGCTTTCAACGCTTGGCGTAGAGGTGGCAGCATCAGAACTCGCGGTCGTTGATGTTGAAGTTGCACCGAGTTCAGATGAAGCCAGACTGTCGACTGATGTTGATGGCGTAGGGGTAGAAATCTTTGAAAGAAGCTCAGAGGTTGAAAGTGCTGGGAAAGTTAGAGTCGTGGTCTTGCCAAAGGTGCCAGCAGAAGTAGAGGTGCTTTCGGAAGAGGTCTCAAACACGGAGGATGGGATGGTTAGAGCACTTGTTGGGCTGGCTGTGGAAGAGATAGAGGTTGAAGAGGTGGCAGAGGTTCCGAGTGAGGAAGGTTTCGATTCTGTAGCGGAGTACTTTACAGGCGTGGAAAATGTCTCAGTGCTTTCCTGATATGAAAAAGAAGTTTCTTGGCTACTGTCAAACACCCATGGCGAGGAAGTCGAAGTTTGGTACACTAGGGAGGTTGTTGAGTCGGTAGTGGAAAGCTGCGGAGTCGTGGATGTTGTCTTTGGTAAAGCAGTAGAGGTCTCCGAGCTCGATGTCGTTACCCACCATTGGTCAGAAGACGTGGTGGGATCCTCAGAATCAATCAGGGAACTGGTACTTGAAGTGTTAGGTGTGGAGGTGAGGTCAGTGGACGACGTGCCAGTGGCCGATGCCAAAGATGTGGTGGATTGAGGCTGGAAGGTGCTCGTGGCCGTGGGAGACGTTTCCAACAGCGAACTCGTGCTGGAGGTGGAGGTGGAGGTGGAGCTTGATGTGGAACTAGTTAGTTTGCCTGCTTCGGCGGACGTGGACGTGGACGTGGATGTCGACGAGTCGTCGCTGTCGAGCCCAAGCTGCGACGACTGCGACAGACCACGCAGTCTGCTGGCAAAATCAGCGTAGCTATCTGCTCTCGCTCCAGAAACGGCCAACAGGATCCAAAACCAGTGGTTTGAGAGTCTCATTGGACGCGAGAAATATGGTCAAATGTGGTCGGGTTGGGCTGAAAAAACGAATAGAAGCGGCGTGCCAGAAAGAGTGACTAGGTTAAAAACACAACCAGGGCAAAATATGCGTGAATTTGCAGGTCTGAGATGAAGACTGCACTTTGGATTTAAAGAAGCAGAGCAAGCACAGTGGATGCCTCAAGAAAAACGCACACACACACGAGGTTGAGGGAAGAAGGCTTCGATACAGGCTCTGCAATAGTATTACTATAACTAACGCTGTCGATGCTCACTTTCTCGCTGGAAATGTGTGTCCCACCTCTGTTCAAACGATAGAATAGATCTGATTCACTAGCTTATTTCTGGCTCCCCAGTCGTTATTAAACGTATTTGCAAGCTAGAAGCTGCGTTCGAAAGCGAACGAAATAGCCTAACGGGGTAGGGACAAGTGACACGGGGTGTGCGACCAACGATTACGCGATTTTGGAACAAACACGCATTCTAGGAATGAAAAAAGATGTGCGAAAGATTACAGGAATGTAGTTGATATTGTTGCAGATTATGTTGTTAACGATTTTTTTCGTGGTTTGAGATCTCTATCCTAAAAGGGAAAGACATCCCAGATCTGGACGTGCGTAATGATTGGAAAATATATACAATGAGATTAGTCACGTGACAACCACGCGGGTGTCAGATATATCACAATTGTACGCTTAAAGGTTTAGACCGTGATAGCGGTGGTAAAGACGGCGAGAGACGGTGGTGGTGGATTTGAACGGGAACCGTTACGGTCCCAACGCTGGTAAAAAGCCTAGAGTTTGTCGGTGATAATGGTGATAAATGGCGATAAATGGCGATAAGATTCACGTGATCACGGCAACACGGTTGCGAAAGACGACCGACAGAAAAACCCATAAAAAAAATACTATACTACCGTTGCTGAGGACGCCGAGCCTGGGCATCTAGTTTTGGTAATTTAACGGTTGCTCCAGTAAACGGTCAAAATGGATCACTCGTATCTACGCGGGAAAAATTACCGATTTTTTTGGGTTCTTTAAGCCTTTTTTTTTTTGGGCTTTAGTTCTCCGTTCCATGACTATTCCCGGTGGCTCGAATCTGTGGATTTGGCATGCCCTCTAGGCGCGCTCAGCGAAACGGGCACGCGACTGTAGCGCCGTTCCACAGCTGACATTTTATTTTGAGGGCTGTCGCGAGGTCACGTGACATTTGGGTGTGAACGACATTGACAGCTACAACAGCGAAGGAAAAGCCCCCGATCTCGCACCAGCTCCGTCCTCCCTGCTTCCTTTGGCTCTTGTAATTCCATTTTATTTGCCCTCCAAAAGTCGTTTCCCTGCTCAAAAACTGCAACTTACTTCAATCACACACCTTCTCCGCTGAAAGTCTCCAGCTTCTCCCATATGCGATCTACAATAACATCCGCGTCCTCGTCAAACGTTTCCCGTAGCTCACTAAGAAGCTCCGGCTTGCTGGCGTGCTCTTTGAGGTGGTCCAAGATAAACTCTTCCAAGTCGTCGTCCGGCTCGCCCAGGAACTCCGTCGCTAGTTCTCGAATTAGACCCGAATCACGTAGTTCTTGAAGAACAGTCTCAAGCTCTTCGCCAGATTGCGAAAGTTTAGTAGCTTCTTCCTTTGGCTTGCTAATTTGCAGCTTAAATTTGCTTGGCTCTGCAGTGAATGGCGTCTCTTCTTTTTCCGGCTTCTGTTCCACCAGCGGCTCCGCAGCTCTATACATCTTCCTGTCCTCTTCATCGCGACGTATTTCTTCGTCCTTGTAAGATCTGTGATGGTCATAATAAGGACTGTAAGCCAAATGAAGCAGCTCTTTAAGATATAGCGACCTTTCTTGCTCCAAGGTCGACTCATACGTCTGTTCGCGTACCAACTGCTGCCGGAGCATATGCAGATGCGGCTCTATCTTTGTTGCGTGGCGATCAAGAAGTTCTTTAAACAGACGATCTGCTTCGAGCTTTGACTTTTCTTGTTTGCGCTGTTCTACCACCAAATCGTCCTCTTCATCACCAGCTTCATCGTCGTCGTCGCCACCGCCTTGATTGTCTAAGTCTTCCTCATCTTCCATTAATTTGGGGTCGCCTTTACTCTTCCGTATCTGCTCAAATACGTTCTTCATGTGCTGGCCCATGCGCCTGTTCTCCTCATACTCAGCTTTTGCACGCTTTTCTTTCTCGATGGTGACTACGCGGGTACGGAAATGAACAATATCCTTGCATAGTTGGTCGAGCGAAGTATGCGGGAGGTCACTGAGTGTAGAAACATCCACTTTATAGTCGACAGAGAGATTTTCATCTTTTGATTGCGCATCAGAATCTTGGAGATTTTGTATAAGGTTTATCAAGGCCGTAATATGCTCGTCGGTCTCGGGTGTTTCCATCTGAATTGTCTGTTGACCGTGATCCTTGAGAAATTGGGTTGTGTTTTCGTCATAATGCAAAACCGGTTTCACAGAGTCGTTCATCTCGGCCCATCGCGAGAAGAGGCGATTCCAACATGAAACTACAAGCGGCAATTGTGTGCAATCGTCACATCTGAGAAATAGTGCCATTGTATCTAGTCCCTTCAGATAGCTCCAGCAGTGCAATGTTGTCGGTGCATCAAGTGCTTTTGCCGTGATACTTTCGAGGTGTTTGACGAATTTGGCTATCTGTGTCTGTGTCAAAGCTCCTGGCAGACCATCTATTGAAACGGTACACAATTGCTGTTTCAGGGTGATTGGCAGAAACTGCTTTAAATCTTGATATTTGTGCAGAGATGAGCTTCCATTTTCACTAATGGCTTCTTGGTCGTTAGTTACCTCTTTACCCGCAGAGTTCTGCTCTTTCTGGTCAGATGTCAGATATGCATGTGCAGCTTTCTGTTGATTCACCGTCGAGACTACTTTGTCCAGCGCATCTCTAAATCTAAGTAAATCCGTTCTCAGAATAGGAATAAATCCTGGTTTGAAAGTGTCGCTATGCCATTGTTTTTGAAAAGCAAGATAAGCACTCGGACATACGTATACCATGGAACTCATTTCTGAGGCTCTTTATGGCTGACGATGGCTTGATCTGCGTGTCTGTTAGTTGACTTCAACTTTATACATTAGGTTACTTGAATAAAATTTATTTAGCTATTCCTACTTTACTACAACACACACCTTAGAATCAAAGTATACCGAGCTTTGCGCTCAATCACTGCTTGTTGAACGAGATGTTGAGTGTAAGGGAGCGTAGCTTTGATTAGATTGCATACTCAGGTTTCTATCAGTCTCTGTGATGTAGAAAGTTCTCACGGAAAAATCTTTGAACAGGTCTTGTCAATCCGTGTCTTGTTTGAAGCTAAGAGCTGCGATACAGCGGACTGTCAGCAAAATTAGCTGTTCACCGTGACGCTAGATAAAAATTGTACTACTATATGCTCACTGGAATAGAAAACCATGTCGGTAAAGGACCTTTTACGGTCTGTATCAAGGTCAGATAATAAAACCGCCAACTTGTGTTACGACATTTGAAGCAAAGATGTTTAAAGAACAAATAATCACTCAGGATTTCGGAGAAGGTAATTATCAGATTAAGTATTGGCAGGTACATTGTCCATAAAATCTCAAATTTGTAGTTTCTTGGAAAGCATCCTGAATTTATCTATGAAGGACCGGTATGCGAACAAGGAGCTGATGACGATAGTTTCATCACCAAAACGTCGTGGTAGATCCCTGTCTTAGACGAATATTTAATGCAAGAACAAGCCGAGATGACTAGTCTATTCAGTGGAATGTTTAACTGGAATCGAAAATACGTCACAATTTAACAATTGTACGATCTTGATTGAGATCAATGTATGAGTGAGTACATTGGAATGGAAAGCCACGCGGCATTTGTCCCGTGTCTCGATGATTGGAATTCATTACACTCTGATGTTGGGATAATGATGAAGAAAAGTCTTTAAAAGGATTCGCTCGGCTGCCGACAGTCCCTGCTACTACCGGAGCTCGGCTTCTTCATTGTATGCTCACTGAAAAGTGATATGATGTATTCATTCGCCTTCCAAGTGTTCCTTTCCAGCTTTCATGCCTCGTCCAGGACTTGTTCCAACGTTATGCTGGAACTTACAGCCAAAGCCTCTTTCCAGAATTTACTGAGATGTCTAGAACCGCTGTCGCATGCTATTATAACTATTCTGGATCCGGGATCCATGTCCTTAGCCACTTTAACAGCCGCTACAGCGTTAATAGCTGTGCTGCTGCCGATAAATAGCCCGTCATTGACCGACAAATATTTGGCCATTCTTATGGCCTGCATGTCTGTAACTCTCACAGCGTCGTTGATGTAAGCCTCTCCTTGACTGAAGTTGTGTGTCACTCGGTTAAGTCCGATGCCTTCCACAATGGTATCCACTTGGTGCCGCCTACGGGTACCCTCTTGCTCTACGCGGTCGTACATGACCCCATATTTCACTCGGTTGTAAAAGCCCGAGCCCTGAGGATCTGCTAGCACTACGGTCAAGTTAGCGCCCAACTGTTCGTGCAGATACTTGGAAACTCCAGATATGGTTCCACCGGTGCCGCAGCCCGCAATGAATGCGTCGATGTGTCCATTCAATTGCTTATATATCTCAGGTCCTGTACCTTCGTAGTGAACACGCCAGTTAGCGTCATTTTCGAACTGGTCAGCGAACACACCTCTTGATTCGGTCTGCTGCGAGCTGTTGAGATCTTCACAGGCTCTTTTGGCAGCATTGACGTATTGGTCGGGATCGACGATACCTGCGGGTCTCACTTTGTTGATCTGAGCTCCCATTCCCTGCAAAAGCGACAGTTTTTCTGCAGACGTGTCGTCCGGCAACGAGATATGAGCTTTGTAGCCCAACGCATTGCATATAGTGGCTATTGAGATACCTGTAGATCCAGAAGTACCTTCAAAAACGACGTCTGGCCTGCCTGGTCTCAAGAGGCCTCGTTTTTCGGCTGCTCGTACTATTCCCAACGCTACTCTGTCTTTGGCACTGCCTCCTGGGTTAGAAAGCTCCATTTTCGCATACACCTCGCAACCAGTTGCTTTCGAGATCGATTCCATCTTCACCATTGGCGTATTACCTATCAGATCCGCCACACTCTCTTTGGGAGGTGACAGCATCGATAACTTGTTAGAGGTTTTAATTGCATTGTAAAGCGATGCAGTGGCCACCAAGCCTGCTGAGATGGTCAGCCATTTGTTCCAATGCCAAGAATCCGACATTTTCTTGAGTTGACAGTTTTTAAACACTGTTATAGTCGTTCTGATTGTCAGTTGAGCAAGCTAGCCATTTTCAAGCTTTCCATTGATAGTATAAGTTAATTGTCGATCTATAAGATAAACTTTAATGACAGAAAAAAGAGTAGAATAAGCTCAACTGAGGGAGGCTAGGCTATCAGAACGCCGTAATTCCGTCAGATTTTGTTTCACAGGGCGTGGAATTGTGTTGTCTGGGACACTTTTACGCTGAAACTTGGCACAAGTTGATACGACCGTGCGCTAAAGTATGAAAGCTAGCCACCATGTCAGGAATCTCGTAGACCTAGTTTGACTATTTCATGCACACACAGAACGCTTCAGCTTTACTTATGAAACGCTTGAGGTCCTCTCTCTGGAGTCTCTGTTCAGTTAAGGCTCGCTATGCCAAAGCCCAGTTGGTCGCTATAAATGCTGATCGCTTCTTTAGTGAATGAGCGATGCCAGAGCTTGGGGAGCTGTGGGTAGACTGGGTTTCGCGGGCTTGTTACGAGAAGCAATCATGCCAAGTCAAATAAGCGCCCCTGTCATCTACGTGAATGCAAAGGGATCCCTAGCCCTCCTTTTATTCGACTATCACTGCTTTCTCTTATGCTCTTGATTGTTTATAAAATGTTGTCGGCGGCTATCATCCCCATCGCGCTATAAAAGAGCTGACAGGCCTCAATTTAGAAGTTCTAGAGACCAACGGTCTGGTACAAGGACGATGTGTGAGGCGGTTTACTGAGTTCCTGGATCTATTGGGCGTCTTTCGCTATAGAACCATGCTCATTACAGCGGTTTTCGCCAATAGAAGGAGAAATCCTGACATCTTCTTTCCTGACCACCACTCCGATAAAAGACAACATACAGAAGCGAGCTTCGAATAGACTGAGGAAGCTCCAAATAGACTGAGAAAGCTCCAAATAGACTAATCAAGCTCTTATCTAGTCGTGTCGTTAATACGATATTTAGGTGATAGTCGCGGTGTGCAAATGCGCACTTGGAAGACCAACTCGAGCAAGCAGCAAAGGAAGCTTCAAAACCCGAGGGGTGGGTAAACCGGCTAAGCACGAAACTCGGTATTCCAATGACGAGTGAAATTGGGGCTGAGTCAGTGGACAAGACATCATACTAACATGCTTGGGAAATTGTCCTTAGATGGGACATGAGAGACAATGAACACACAAAATCGCTGATCAAAGCCCACTGAACCCTGGACTATCAGCTAAAGAGATTTTTTTGTTGTCCTGCGACCCGAGATCTCGTACACATCAGATGTGTACTGTTTTCCACAGAAGGGTTCGAATTGACAAGATCTACAAGCACATCGCGAAGCTTCTCCGCGTTGAGTGACGCATCACTTTCGCTGCACAGCCAGCAGGTTCCTTTAAATGCTGGGCTACCGATACTCGACGAAGCTAAAAAGTTCCCCCTACTCGTATTCCCACGATAAACGAGCTTTGATGATGCCCCAACCCAGTTTACGAGGCTAACCTGGCACAACTCCTCTCCCCTGCGATGGCGATGCTATCAGCAATCCAACACGCGACTCCTTTTCGCTTTGAGAGTCAGGGCACAATCACTCACTACCTCAAACAACCGCGATTAAACGCCAACACCACGCCGTATCCGTTCCTCCGCACTCCGAAGTGCCACACTTTCCCAAGTACCAAGTGTCCTGACTCTGAAAGAGCCAAAACTCCCACACCCACCCTGTTATGACGTCCTACCAAGCTATCGTCGTCCTACACACAAGGTTGCCGGTGTAACACCATGTTCAAACGAAACAACGCACTGTGCCCGGCACTAAAATCCATTGTCGCACGCTCACTTTTCCACGGAGGGCTCAAATTTCCATGATAACACACATTTTTCGCTAAAAGAGCCCACATAATGCCTCGCACACCGATTAATCCAATGCGAAAAAAATCTCTACGTTACGAGGCCGTGTGCTTGCTTCGGCTTCAACAAACCCGCCTGTATGCGGCTAACGGATCGATTATCCAGCTTTTACGCCGCATACACACACCATACCGTTACCATCACGGCGCGCGTCGCGAGGCAGAGGTAATTTCGCTACCTGCTACAGACAAAGGATCCAAGAACCCAACCCAGTGACGCACGGAACTGCTGATCGACCCTGATGAATTCCGTGCGTAAAAATGATCTAAAGAGTGGTCAGAGATTCGCGTGGTGTCTATTATCTTGACAAGCAGGTAAAAGAGGAGCATAAAGCAAGAGGTATAAGGTGAAACTGCCAAAGTTAAATTAGGCCAAGGTAAATTGCCAAATTGCCAAATTGAAAGTTGTTTCATGCGATTATTGAAATCTCAAAAGTTTCCAGAACGGCTGGTTATATGAAACTGGGCTCTGTGTGACAGGACGATGGTCATTAAGAGATACTTGAAGCCGAAATAGTGCAGTGCAATAAAGGAATCAGTTTACCCAATGGTTGGCGAAAAGACTGGATTTAGGTCGCGCAAACGGAGAACAGCACGGGCGTGCGAGGTGTGCCACGCCCGCAAGGTCAGATGCGACGCCCATGAAAGGATGCCTTGCACGTCTTGCCAGACTTTTGGGCTTGTGTGCAGGCTGCGAGAGGTTAAAAGAGGCAAAAACGGCGGCCACGAGGGCCATGAGGAGCTGGATGCAGGTGCAGGTGCCGGTGCAGAGCCTGAGGGCCACGGTGACCTGGGACACGAGCAGACTGTCAAGGACGCGGTGTCGAACGGCATGCCATATGGCGACGATTATCTGCGCAACAGAGGCGTGGAACCCGGCGTCTTTGTGGACGCGGAGCGGCGGGACCGCGACCGTGTGCATGTGTACTTTGGGTCGTCGAGTTTTCTGAGTCTGTTGACGGGATCATCGTTCCCAGACGAGTCGCATTTCGTGTCGGGCCAAAAATTGCGACACACGCTCCCGCGAGCGGGCGAGGGAAGCCCGCGTGTCGCCAACATGGAGATTCTCCGCATCTCGGGCGCTTTTCTGCTCCCTTGCAAGTCAATCTGCGATGAGCTGGTGAATTTGTACTTTTCGTGGATTCACCCGCTAATGCCCCTGATGGACCAAACCGCCTTTTTGAAAGAGTACGAGTCCAACACTTGCTCCATATTTCTGCTGCAAGCGATGCTGTGCGTTGGTGTCAAGCTGTCTCAAAATCCCCTGTTGACCGATAAAGATGGCTCCACAGAATTGGCGTCCAACATATTCTATGGTCGAGCCAAGGCTCTCTACGATGGACGGTACGAGGAAAACGAAATCGCCCTGCTCCAGGGCATGATTTTGCTGAGCAAACAGGCCTTTCAAGAAAAAAATCTTATCCACTCTCCACTGTACTACATGAAGAACGCAATCACCGTGGCGCATACACACGGGCTTCATCGGTCTGCGGACTTCCATCCGACTTTGACCAACAACGAAAAGAAGACTCGCAAACTCATTTGGTGGATCCTCTACACTTTGGACACATTCGCCTCTATTTCCATTGGTAGGCCGCAGGCGATCCACCTAGAAGATTGCGATATTCCCTTGCTTACCCATGATGACTTTGTATTCGACGGACAGGCTCCAGAGCTCATTACACCCATCGACTATAGAGATTGCGTAATTTCCACGGTCCAGATCGCGGAGATTATGTCCAGAGTTTCAAGAGAACTAAACAGGCCCGTGGCTGCTCCGAGTGACAAGAAAACTGTTATAAGGCATTTCGATGTAATCCTCCAGCGGTGGCGCGAAAATTTGCCCCCAACCTTAAGCTATAACTCCAATGCCGAGATATTTACAAAGCATTCGCTGCCAAAAGCATTTGTCAACGCGTTTTACTATAAGACATTATGTCTCCTGCATAAATCCAATATTCACGATATGGATGCTGCAAGTGATGAGCAATATGTTTCCGCAGGTATTGCCTTCCAAGCCGCACACTCCTTAAGTTTAATCGGTCAGATATTACTCGATCGCAACGAACTCGGATACTGTTACGTTGGCCACGCATATTGCTTCTTCGAGGCCATGATCATCTTCGTGCATCATATGCACGACCCTGATTCTATCTTCAGACAGATTGCATTGAAATGTTATCACGTTCTGGAAAGAGTGCTTTACACACTCGGAAAACAGTGGAACTCGTGCACCCTCTTAAGTCAAATCCTATTCGCCTTTGGTCAAAACCCGGAGTATGTTCGGGCGGTCATTGCGCGGTTCAAAGCGAAAATGAAGGATTTGAAAAACCCTTACATACCTATTGAGGTTCCGAGTCCCGCTAGAAGTCTGGAAATGGAGTTACAGAAACTTTCTCCTGCTCATTCCAAAAATTGGAGCAGTCCCCCTTTACAGCCGCCTGGTGTAAATGCACCTAACCATCCTTTCGATGTTTATGGCTCCTATACTTCAGTTCCACCTTACGCAACCCAACCCCATCACGATCCACACATGAAGTTTCCACCATATTTGAGAGGCAATGCGCCCGTGCCATATGTGTCAACTGCAGCGCCAATTGCTCCGTATTCGGGCGGTGTCTCTAGCGAACGGAATTTCACCACAACAAACATCTCTCAGGGTGTTTCCTCTAGTCAAGTATTTGATCCACATCTCTTGTTTCCAGACGTTTCGCAACCTTTGCCTGCCGACTTTCACTTCGATAGCAACCCCCACGTACAACGGAGACCTGAAATTGGAAATGCACAAACTCATGATGCCACTGGTGTGCAATCAAGCTTGCTCACGGGCGCTACAGATTTACAGTTCGATGGTGGGAACTATCAAGAAAATCCCGAACAGCATTCAGGAGCTTCGGGGCAAGAAGAGAAAGCTCCACCTAAAATAACGTCCATCCCTCTTCCTCCTGGATTTTGGGACAGTATCCAAGTGAATCTAAACTTTTTTAAGAACCCTGCTGAGAGCTCTCAAACTTGGCATGTGAGCTCTCGCGATGAGGCCGCTAATCTAAATTATCCATTAAGTGACTCTGAAAATAGCTGAGAGATCACAGTGTCGTTTTAGGATCACTTGTCATATCCGAGGCTATGTAACGTACTGCAATAACTCATGTTACAATATTTCTGGGCGCAATGAGCTATGATACAGTTTCCATCGCATGGTATCTTCACTTTTGTAGCTTCAAACCTAGGCCATCCCTGACTCATTGCAGCCATAAACCAAGGCTGTTAAAGCAGCTCAAATTGTAATAAACTACTCATTACTACTATACAACGCCAATTAATACAAACAGTGTAGATGGAAGAAAATGCATCAAGCGTATCAGGTTTTGTCGATGATTCCGACTGAAACAAGAAAAAGCGGCAACTATTCTTTATTACCCATAACCTGTTTCACGGGCTCTGTCTGGTTCACGTACAGGCCGTGTTCTTGAATATAGCGGATAACACTATTGGGCAAAAGGTATTGAACGGACATACCTCTGCGAATAAACAAACGCACTTTAGTAGATGAAATGTCATTGTAAATAAGTTGTTTGATAACCAGCACATTTCTCCGATGCTCGTACATGATATCGTGGGACAGAAGGAACGATCTCACATCAGAACCGGTTCTTTCAACGATGAGACACCCGTAGTTACCCAAAATGTGGTGCAAGTCCGAGTCTGCCCAGACGTTTGGCTCTCCCATACTCTCTATGAGGTCTCCGCCGGCTAGAAGCATGATTTTGACACCGACACGAGCGCCCGAAGCGGTGGCAATGCCGCCTCTCTTGACATTGATTTCATCGTTGAAATGGTCCAAAACTTTAGCGGTCCGTGTGTAAGACGGCTGGAGCGATTCCCAGGCGTCGACCATGAGCCACGACGAGGTACGTTCACACGCTAGTTCGCACATCCGGACTCTGTGACGAGCAGGGGCCAAACCGGGTTTTTGGTAGTTGTCACTTACGGGCGAGTAATAGCCTCCGACGACTTCGAACCGAGTTTGCTCGGAAATGGCGTCGAGGGCCATTTCGAACATTCGCAAATGCAGGTATGTGATTGGGGAGAATGAACCACACGCCACGACGATCAAGGGCAGCTTGTTTGAGTTTTTGAGTTCCTTTTGCAGACGATGCGCGGGGAAGCTGTACTGTTCGAGAGTGGCAGCTTGACGGACGATCCCGTGGGGCACTTCTTCGAGATCGGCGATTTGGTATTTGTGGATCCGGGACCCGATGCGGTCGTCGACGTCGTCGTCCTGGTGGCTGTGCATCAGGTTCATCTGGTGCGTGAATTGGCGTGCCAGGTCGGCACGGCTACTTTGACGGTCGTGGATGAAGATCTGGCTGGTTGCGGGACTGGGCGTTGGACGTTCCGCTCTGGTGTTCACACTATCGTTGTCGTTGTCGTCGTAATTGTAATTGTAATTGTCATTTTCATGGTCGTAGTGGTCGTCTGTGTCGTTATTATGGCTGGGTTCTTCTTCCTCGGACGTTTCGTGCGATGCCGGTTGCAGTTCTGGTTGTTTGAGAGGAATCGAGCTGTGGTGCGCCGTGGAGACCCTGCGGCCGACTTTGGAGTGTTTTTTGTAAGTGCGAGGGTGGATTGGAGCGTCTATCGAAGCGTTGTAGTCTGCCAGCACGTAGGGCATGATGGGTCCGCTTTTGGGAATCGTAGACTGTGGTGCTAGCGGGGGGTTAGGCGTGTTATTTGCCGATGGAGGTTCGAAATCTGGTGCTTTTGTGGGGTCCATTATGGGTGTGGAAGACGTAGATCAGAGGGAAAACGACCTTTTATGAAAACTAGCTCGTAAGTTGGTCAAAAATGGTCCAAAATGGTTCAAAAGGGTCGGTTTCGGAAGCTGGCAAAAAACTCAACAACCTGCAAACGATAATACCTGAATGTGCAAGATACTTCCACTGGCTTTTCCACTCTGGTAAACCAAGAACACACCGGTTCCACGAATTACTGATTTGTTGGTCTCTGTGCGTTTACCTGCTTGATTAACTTATTATCGGGAATTTTTCAATATACAGATAGAGAGAGACAATGTGATTAAATAATTGGCATTTTTTCGAACTTGAGATGGCCATGATCAAGAAATGGTCCGCTCGCGCATGAATGAATGACACCGGAATTTTTCCCGATCGGACGAAATCGGTGGTCATGTGATAGTCACTCAAAAGTCGCGTGAAAGACACGTGATAAGCATGACGCATACATCCGAACATCCAGAGACCCATACACCATTACAAAACACCCACCCACACACCCACACAGCCTCGTTCACGTGTTCCACCGCGTCTGTGCCAGGCCTTTTAAGCACTTGACCCATTGCACGCATATAAGAGCTCTTGTTAAGAGGTGCCCAGTCAAAGAAGACTGTTTCAAAACGCTGTCAATGGGGACACTCACAGTTGCACATTTCAAGTCCTCTGTTCATCTCTCTAAACCCCTATAATCGTTCGCTCACGCTCCGAGGGATGCATGTCAGTATAGTACAAAGTGATATCTGAGTAGAGTCATCACTGCAAAGGCAAAGGCCAGTGCAACGACTCTCGCAACAGCTAGCACTACATTTGAATTTCCTGCAGTTAGGTCCTCTCTACCAGGGTCTCGTCGTCTACTGCTCTTTTCATGCCTATTTATGCCTTTGAGCATTCCGTACACAACGACAAGGCATCTCATTAAATTGCCGCCCTCGCACCCTTTCCAAGATCTACCCTCATGAACATCACAAACAAACGAGTGGAAACGCGTGAAAAGGGCGATTACAGGGGCCCCAATGCGCCAAAACACGCTTTTAGCACCTTTGAGACCAATAGCACGCGTAATGTCGTGAAAAAACGGTCAAAATCGGCTGCTTACGAGCTCCAGGAGCGTACGAAGACGTTACGTTCGGTAATCACAAGAATCAGGTATTGAAACATGCTACTTGTACAGTGAAGTTAACGGATTATGAGCTTTTAGCTTGTGTCAATTTGGTTTGCCGCGCGCGCTTCGCTCGCGGGCGGTAGGAAACATGTCGAGATCTTCTTTTCGACGAGGGTGAGAAGAGTGAAGCAGAGGTCAGAAACGCTAAAAGCACTACAAGCACTACTGACCAAATTGAGAGCGTTAGAGATCAATTGCGAACGTATGAGGGCAACGGGCACCATTGGTGAATTTAGAGCGTTCGTGATCATTTTCAAAGGGCTGGATGGTTCCAAGAGCCTTTGCGATCAGTAGTGAATTATGGGCTGACTTTAATACCACAGAATAACAAATGTGTCAGTGGTCAACTAGGGCGATCAGGTGGCTTACAGAAGGAGCAGCGTTTGCGATGTGCTTTGTATGGCAAGATGATTTGAAGCACCACAGAACAATCTGTGTTTTGGCTATCAATCCTGGATGACCACTGAATTCGAGTACTACCGAACAACCTGCGCTGTAGCGATCAATCCCGGGAGGCAAGATGATTTTAAGCACTGCCGAGAGATCAGCACTTGGAAACCGATTGTGAAAAAGCAGGATGATTTTTGTAACTTCTGAACATTCAGACTTTTAGAAGTCAATTGTGAAGTATCGGATGACTTAAAGGACCAGAAATCTCTTGGTGGTGTTTGATTCACTCGAGCTTTTAGCCATTTCAAACGATCAACAATACCAAAGATTTCTCCTCGCTTTTGCTCTCAGTTGTTCCGCAATGCGAGAATTTGAGTATTTTTCCAATCGATCGCTGACACTCTCGTGCTTGTTTGTAGTTTTCCCTCTATTCACAACTGATCGCTAACGCTCTCAGTTGCTCAATTGTACTACGAGTACCCTTCGCTCTCGATTGTTCAACTGTGCTTTGAGTTCTCGTACTCGTACTCGTACTTGTACTCGTACCCGTCTCCCTTATAATAACCCACAAGGTCAAATCCCACACTTAAACGTTGGTCAAAACTTCAAGTCAGCGTCAGAAGAAGCAGTAGAAAAACCAGCAGAATGCGGCTCTCACCACAACGTTAACAAACTTCAACTCAGCGCGCGCCGACTCTTTCTGACTACAACAAGGACAATCAGACAAAACTCACGGATTTAATAAAAGTATTGTCAAAATCAAACATCTTCTTCGGCTCCGCAGAAGGCTTAACAGTTTTTGAAGCAGAGTTGGAGGGAACGAATAGCCGGAATCGAGATCGTGAACCGAAAAAACAAGATACACATTAGCTACATTTGAACCATACCTGGAGTGGGCCAGGATAGCGTAGCGAAACAGCGGTAAGACACGACCAGTGGCGAAGAAAGCGAAGAAAGGGTAAAAAACCAGGGATTTGGATTTTCGAAAACACCTCACACCCGAACATATAAACCAGCCATGCGTTTCGCAGGCCCTTCGGCGGACCACTACAAAATGCCGGGTTCTGAGGGTATCGTTCACGGTCACATTCACAACTTCAACAACGTCACGTATATTCACGGCCACGTCCACGGCTCGTCGGCCCCGGCACCAGCAGTACCGAACCTGCCTCTCTCACCTACGGGGTCCGGCACGGAGTCTGGTTCTGGGTCTGGAATAACGTTTTCCACGCACCACGATGAATGCCACCATTTCGAGTTCATGAACTGCCACAATCTTAATGTTTTTGGCGAGGACAAGCTTCGGGTTGCACCTGAAGGCCAGCTGGCGTCGTCTCAGCACAAGAAACGCAGAACTCACGACTGCACCACATGCAATCCCAACGTCATGGAATTGTGTTGCGAGGACGAGCATCTTGCACCAGAACCAGCACAAGCATTAACATCGGGACCAGGACAACTAAGCGGTGAACAGGCCCCTGGACCTATAGGATTGTCTCCACATTCAGCAAACTCATCGCAATCGCGCACCATCAGCAATCTCGTGATGTTCAAGGGCGCCAACAGCTCTTCTATCGTCGATCGCACTGCCGGTTCACCCGCGACAGCCAAACTCCCGAATTTCATAGACTGCAACTTGACCTGTGTACGGCCAAAATCAGAAGAAGACCAATTGTACGAAAAATTGTGCGAGCAATGCGTGGATCTCGACCACAACCCAACACCATGTTCTCAATCCCACACTCACACTACCGTACCGACAACGTCCACAAGTCACGCCTGTAGTGAACACTCACACTCGCATTCCCATTTTGGTGTCCATGATCACCACTCTGACGACTACGAAGCACTGCATTCCACAATCCACCCTTCTCAATGTCACGAGCACATAGCCAACTCTGCCACTGATATGATGATCATGGACGATCTCGTCAACATATCCAACATGTACGACTTCCCATTTGGCAAGCACTTCCACCCACATGACCATTCCAAAGATGCCAACCTAAATCTACTGCAAACATCCATCCCAGACTCGAAAGATGAGCTTCCACAAGACTCTTCCAACAAACCACAGCATCGCCATCATCACCACTCTGTCGAATTGCATTCTCATCCTGCTCACAACGGCCCATCACCTGCAGATCTCAGTTATAATTGCGATGGAAGCTCGAACTCTAATGACTGCAAGCCGCCGGTCGCGTTCGAAAAATCACACCATACTGCCCCGCTCGAGACTATTGTTTCTCCTGACGCCAAGACCAGTACCGTGAATTTCAATTGGATATACAAAAACGAACCACAAAGCATTGAGTGCAATTGGAATCATTGTCCCGAGGTCTGTAACTCGCTGCTGGAATTGCAGTCTCATGTTTTGAAAAATCACGTCATCGACGCGAATTTCGGTGACTCCAAACTTCCGACCCCGAAAAATCAATACTTTTGTGAATGGGCAGACTGTGGTTTCGAAGGTGATGACTTGTGTACTTTGATAAACCATATCAACGGTGAGCATGGTATTGCTTTCGACATGAAGTTTTTGGATCGTGAAAAACTGCTTGAGCAAAATGAACACCAACATGCGTTACACTGTACGGAATGCTCGGATTTCCCAGAATCTCTATCCCCTAGTGCACCCGAAATCACGATCACTCCGAAAGAGGATTCTGAGCATGTTCACGAGTGCAAATGGGATCATTGCGGTTTAAAGTTCGCCTCCTGTGCAGATCTGAATAACCACATCGAAACCGTTCACATACCGCGAGGCAAATCGTCTTATGTTTGTGGCTGGGAGGGCTGTGGCAAGACCATAACTCAGCGGCAAAAATTACTAAGGCATCTAAGAGTTCACACGCGATACAAACCCTGCAAGTGCCCCCATTGCAGCAAGACTTTCTCCACCCAAGATATTTTATTACAGCATATACGCACACATTCTGGAGAGAAACCCTACAAATGTACCCACTGTGGCAAAGGGTTTGCGACTTCCAGCTCACTTCGAATTCATATCAGGACCCATACAGGCGAGAAACCTCTGGAGTGTAAAGTGTGCGGGAAACGGTTTAACGAGAGCTCTAACCTGAGTAAGCATATGAGAACACATGAAAGAAAATACAAGTGCAACGGTTGTAAAAGAAGTTTCGATCATGCCGAACAGCTAGAAGCTCACCAGAGTCGGTGCTCCCACTGTGCGACGTTCAAGTGATTTCATTAAATAAAATAGGCATATAAGGCATTTTTAGACGGCATATTTTCAAAGCCGTAGTATTCACTGCGCGATATTCTATAAGCGGTTCAAAGCGGCGTTCTATACACAATCTCTTTATATAGGTATGATACTTGGCCCCAGTCATCGAGTCCCTCGTCTGTCTCTTCTTTGATGAATTCTAGATTGGCGGCTTTGATCAGATCCCATAATCGCTGTCTTTCCACCGTATACTTAGCCCGCACAGGAAGCTCAAGATAGACTGTTCCTCCCGGTGCCAAAAATTCCACTATCATGTCAATAATCCATTGAGGATGCTGTGGCGAGTAAAGAGGATCTGCAATCAGCAGAACGTCAAATTTTTGAGATCCGTGGCTAACTCTAAAATATGAAGGATCGGTCCAGTCTAACACGTCTGCGATCACAGTTAGGTCTGAGGTTTGATTGCAATTGTTAAGCTCGACGTTCCTGATCAAGTTTGGCACTATTTCTGGCAGATCAGTCAAATGAAATGTAATGGCGGGACACTTCTCTTGAGCTTCTAGTAGTTTTTGTATCAATGCTATTCCTACAAGTCCCGTACCTGCTCCAAGTTCCAAAACTCGCGGTTGTTTTCGACCATCAATTACTTCGTGCACATTCTGGCAAAGCTTTTGCGCCAAGACCAATGAAGCGCCCCAGGTTTTCAACCCAAGATTATCTGCCGTCAAACTTGGCTCGTGTAGCTTTATACATTTTTGCAAGCCCTCGACTTGGAATACTCTAGTCATCGCTGGCTGAGCTGTTCGTCCACATTTTTCGGAAATACGCAAACTGGCTTCGCTCAAAATCCGCGCCACAACCTCATCTGGCTGCTCAATCCTGCTGTATCTCGCAAGTACCGTGGTGTAATACGTCACAAGATTCTTTTCAGTAGCAGTGGCCGCCAGTCGAGGCACTTTCGCCCACAATTTGGACGCAGAGTCAAGATTTGGATTTCCCACGTACCTGTACCAATCAACAGTTTCTTGGATAAAAGTGAGAGGAAGCTCGTCCGTCCCGACAGCCGTGTCGTTGGTTCCAGAATTCTCGCGGTTTCCTTTCGTAAAGTTCACATCTACTGGTGGTCTCAGCAGCAGCAGGACCGTCAAGATAACCACCGGTTCAGCGATTTGTACCATGGGGAGATCGATGACCTGAGCTGGAACGTCGACGTCATCAGTGCTACTATGTATTTTCAAGTCCTGATCTGCAACTGTCACCTTCTTTGAGGCTTCACGCTGCTGACTGTATTCAATCTTTGCAGGCTCAGAGTCCTGGCTAGCAGAGTGTTCTGGGCCGTTGAAAAAATCAAGCGGATCAAACATAGGTTCGTCAAGCGTCTATAATGATTAAAGAGATGTGTTGGGCCCAGAAAGGGACGGCTTCCATCCCACTGGATCGATCTTAACGCTACTGAAGTCAACTCATCTCATTTTATCTCATCTCATCTCATCTCGACATGGGCCAAATTTCATTAATTCTGAAAAATTACGTAATCATCTTTGGCGAGTACATCTCCTGCGCGAGTACTGGATTTAGTGATTTCGATATACATAATTGAGTATAATATCCAGAGGGAACTTTTGATCCGATGAGCACACAACTAAAAGCTCTGGTGACAAACTCAAGCTATATCAGAAACACTTAAATCCAACACGGTATAACCGTTTTAATACTGGCATTTCCAGGAACTTTTTTGTTCAAAAAACCTGCAAAAAGGAAGGGTTTCTCGAACCAGAATTAGGCCTTTATTCGGTCACTCACAGACTTCGCAGACTTTAATCAATGTGCTGAACCAAGCGGTTTGGCCTTTTGATTTAGGAACTGAAACTGAATTAAGGTGAGATGAGTTTGATTGTTTACGGTGATAAATTCAACGATGATCAAAACGCCCAGAGCGTGGTTTTGCACGACCCCGGTTCGCGCTCTCTAGTAGTGATCAACCCGCTGTCTGGCGAGATTTCATTGGTGAGACAAATAAGAGGTCCGAAAGGGGACTCTTTACCCAGAAAAAACTCGCCACATCTGCTGTCTTCTTATTTTTGCCCTCAGTGCGGAAGCGAGGTTGGAAGGGGGTTCGACTATAAGTCCTCAAGACACGGTCCGGGGCCCAAATCTGGCTCATTTGTGGATAAAAATTATTTCAAGCTCTTGGAACAGAACAATTTTTATCGCACTCAGCAGCCATGCATCCAGGAAGCGTCTGCAATTCCCTCTTCGCTGTTCACACCAGGCTACTATAGGCGATTCTTTAAGGAATTGTCACTTTTAGGAAGCGGAGCTCGCGGCTCTGTTTACAAAGTCGAGCATGTTCTCATGGATAATCATCTGGGCGTGTATGCTCTCAAGAAAATTCACATAGGCAACGATTTGTCTTGGCTCGAGCTCGGCATGAAGGAAGTGAAGTTTTTGAGTGCCCTGACTCACAGCTGTGCGAATTTGATCACATACAACCATGTTTGGTTAGAAATGGACAGCTCGAGCGGCATTGTTAAGGCGCGTGATGGCTTAGGCACCGGGATCCCCGAGCAAATTCCGTGCATTTTCATTTTGCAGAAGTTTTGTCCGGGAGGAAACTTGGAAGAGGTTATTGAGAAGAAAGTATTCGGAAAATTCGCGGACCATGAGTCATCTGAGGAAAGGAAGCGACGGTTCAGGCGACAGAGGGCCGAGAGGGATGCAGGGGCCACAAAATTACGGGGTCTAAACACGTCGCAACTGCTTTCCATAATCTACGACATTGCATCAGGTCTAAAAGAGCTGCACCAAATGAACATAATTCATCGCGATTTAAAACCATCCAACTGTCTCTTATCGGAAACTTTCGACCCCGAGAAGCTTGCCTATGATGAGAAAAGTTTCCCGACAGTTATGATAGGTGATTTTGGTGAAAGCCAAATTGGCGGGCAGTTACGCTCTGCAACTGGCGCTACGGGTACCTTAGAATTTACAGCACCCGAGGTCGTTCTTGTGAATACGGCTGTTGAAGACTCGAGTGCCGCACTGCCACAATTTACTTTCCAATCGGATCTGTACTCGCTTGGGATGGTGTGCTTTTTCCTGACATTTGGTGAACTACCTTTTCTTAGCGAACTGAGTCTTCCGCAACTCAAGCGTAACATCAAAGCACTCAAGATTGATAAGAATTTGCTCATGGAAAAACACCGGAGTCTCAATTTGCAGCCGATTGACGCAAGAATTTTCGATCTAATTGTAAAGCTGTTGAGTCCGGACCCTGCAAGAAGGCCGACTGCTACGGATGTGAGGAACGAAGTTGGTGAAATGATGGGAGATCTTCGCAGAGTTTCGATTTCGAACCAATTTTTGGCGAGATCTGCTGATGTCTTGGATCAAGAACAACTTTCGGACTTGGAAGTTGACGAGCCCATCAAACCTGAAGAGAAATCAAGCTTTTATTTTTGCTCACCGATCTCGAAGTATTTTTGGAGGCCTTATACCACTGCTGTAACCATTTTCACTGTGTATCGCTATGGGCGAGACTCGTCTCTGCTTTACATGTCGGTATTTCTCCTGGGGCTGTCATTTAGGTCAGAACATCACGGTCGCAGAAGTCTAATCATTGCGACTCTACTTTCCATTATTCTAATGGTTCTTGTCAAAAACGATTAATTGACACACACATTAACGGGCCTCATCGATCAACTAGCACCAAGATCTGCTGTGTGTGAAATATTCTTATGATTTTTTAAGTGTCGTCAATTTGACATAATGCAAGTTACTTATAATATAAAGTAGTCTTGAACAACATAACTACATAATGGACAATGACCACTGATCTTCAACGAAAGCGCAGCAACTCTGCCCTTCCAGCATTCCAAAGACTACCCAACAAGACTAAAGATAACTCCAGAACCCGTTTTTACAGCATTTCATCTAAAATTGTCCCACAAACTATTCGGGTTAGTGAACATAGCGATGACGATGAAACTGAGAATGTACGGTCAAACAAAAAGGATATAGAGGTGTCAAGCTCATCTCCAGCTCTTCACAGCTTATCGAAAGTTGGATTTCAATCGATTTACCAGAATCCTGGCAATAGAAAGAGCCAAAAGAGCCTGGTCGGTACAATTGATCAAGGGCGCAGAATCCGAACGGCGAGCTCAAGCTCCTCAGTGAAAAGCAATGGCATAACAAGCTATCATTCCTACCAGAGTGAATCTAACGTTTCCACAATCAGCAAGAAACAGAGCCAAAGTTCACTTTTAGGCAGAACTAGCACCGTGCGAAGCTCCTCCAACATTGTGATCGATGAGGGAGAAGAGGAAAGACTGAGCAATCGCAACCTAAAGTCTGCTGGACGCTCTCCATCGCTGCATTCACCATCGTCGAACGCCAAGAAAAACCCCTTTAGTATGGCCGCAAGAAAACTCTTCAGCAGGAAAGAGGGACGTTTGGAAAAATCACGGCAAGGTCTCAAATCTCCCACGTCGGGAGCCTCGTCGACTTTTGGCAAGTTTCTCAATAGCAAGTATGGTAAGCATGTTGGGAAGGCTACTGCGCACCACAAAAATTCGGCCGGGAGCCTTATAGACGCGGGGAAGTCAAGTCAGAGTTTTGGCGCGAACGGTGCCAGCACCTCAAACGATGTATCTTTACAATTGACACAGGATTCCAGCTTGGATGCAAGTGACGTACAAATGCTACACGATTTGATCAAGAATTTGCGGTCTTTACAGAGCAACTACCGCAGCTTCACCGACGAAGAGCTTGATGCACTCATGAGTAATATATGGGGTGTTTTCTGCAGCGTAGCAGTTACTTTATTCAAAAACAAAGAGTTATGGGAACTACCCGCCAAGATTGAAGACTTAAACCATGTCTTTTCGTTTTACATAAAGCTCAAGATCGCTTCTCAAAGCCGACACAGCAGCTCAAAATTCGTTAAGGAGGTCGAAGAATTCATGACAACCTGTTTATTCATTTTAGAAAACCAGATTGTTTTCAATTACAGCAATGAGAATACTATAAACACGGCACTGAAGCGACTCTGTCTAATTTGGGGTGTATTCTATCAGCAGGTTTATCACAACGTAATTGCCATCTTTCTGCCGTTAGAAATAAGCTTTCGATCTGACACAAAATACTGGTCGGAGGCCAATCTCAATTTTAGTGGCGACACTTCAAATGGGCTACGCGCAGGTCTACTGTCGCTCGACATTTTATTGCTGAAAAGCTTTCGGGATTCGATAGTTTCTCCTTACTACGGGAGCTTCATCAACAGCAATGAGGGCGCAAGTAAAAGTTTCCATGTGTACATCATGAACGAGGAGGAGGAAAAAGGCGTTACTCAACGGGATAAGTTGACGCTGTTACAATGTTTTGGTATTTTGTCATCAATAAGGAACACCGGTATTAAACAGAAAGTCATTGAGGAATTATTAGTCGGCATCAGAATGAGTATATGACAACTGTCGATTTTTTCAAACGTCTTCTTTCATTCTTTCAGGCACCATGGCCTTCCAGTATCGACCTGGTGCGAGCATAATCTCGGTTCTAGAGCAATGCCAGCGAAAGCTGCCAAAAGAACACCAAATGAGTCTGACATAGAAACGGCTCCAAGCGAGAACTCTCGTTCCGAAATGTCAACGTCATGTATAATATTTTTGAAGGTGTGAACATAAGACGCACCTCCCAAGAGACCTTCGAAGAATATGAGGAACATCACTGGATACACAGAGCGCACCACATAGAACCAAGATTGACTTATAGCCAGAGCCAAATTCAAGCCTTGCAAAATGGCTAGAATATAGAGTCTTCTGATCTGGAGCAACGATCCGCTTGAACGTGATATGAACACTCCAAGCTGATATAACGTCCCGTAGGTGACATATATGTCTCGGTACTTGTGAAAGAAAAACGGGTGGCTGTGTTTCTCGTCCAGCGGAAACAACAGCGTTGGCGATACGCCCTGATTGATCATGTACTCGAAGAGGTACACTACAGACAGTGGCAGCATGTAAGGAACAACGAGGCCTTTTATTCTGAGTAGCGTTCCGCTTACATGGCTTTTCATCGCAGTCCATTTGTTACGCTCAATATGCGGAGCACTTGCAGAGTCATCGACGGGCATTTCGGTCTCAGTCGTGCTGGAAGTGAAATCGAACCCTGCGGAGGCGTAATCGTTCTCAACATTGGCATACATATGCTGCTGCTTGTCGAGTCGGAAATAAAGTAAAAAGGCGAATGGCAATACGCTGAACAGCAGAAGCGAGAGATTTACGGGTACTTTCAAAATCGAGGTTAACAACATGTACATTCCACTTCCAAACAGGCCTGCACCTCCTGTTCCTGAACTCCAGCCATTGAGACCGGGTTGCTGGTAATAATGGGTCAATTGCAGAAAAGTTAGTTCACCCAACCCTGACGACAACGACGCCAGAATAATTCCTGCGACGCACGCGCTAAGCTTGCGGCCAGCCACCAAAACCATCCCCACACAGCTGAGACCTATCAAAACCGCAATTCTGTGGCGGTGTGCTGATTTATGAATGAAGAACGGAGCCGTGAGTTTTAAGACGAATGCCGGCAGTATGTCTAGCAGAAGAACTAATGCTTTAGGCAGGCCAGGTCCTACTATATCGGCTGCTGCTGACAAGATAACCACATACAACACATTATTGATAAGTCCAAATATCCAGAAATACCGGAAAACAAGTGAATCTGAAGCCATCAACACCAGTCTTAGGGACTTCGCAAGAGAAGCTAAAGTTGTATGAACTAGATGTTCTTGATATTTATCAATCATTATCAACATAAAGCACGAGTACTGTGACGAGTACCCAAATAAAGTACTCGCACAAGTACTCGCAAGACTTATCGGCGGTGTGGCAGTTGTCTATAAAGAAAGCTTCGACTACAATGCGCTGGAACTGGTTGTGGTGCTTACTGACCCCCGCTGTGTACTCCTCTTACATGTAGTTCTTCAACAGTCTTAGTCTGTCGACAGCCTTTTCGAGATATTCGTCAGTCTTGCAAACTGCGAATCTTAACAAATTCTCGGCAACCTTCTCATGCTCTGGGATGTAGAACTCAGTCGGTGGGATGGCCACGACGCCCAGCTCATTGACCAGCCAGTACGAAATTCTGAAATCTTTGCCCTTGGATTTTAGCTCTTCTGGGAATGGGTAGTCCTCTGGAATCTTGACCTTCGAGAAGTCTGCAAGCACAAAATAGGTTCCTTCGGGCTTGGTGTAGGGCAAACCCAGCTCGTCGAAGACTTTGGTGAAGATCTCGAATTTGCGAATGTATTCCTGACGCATGGTCTCGAAGTAGTTATTTTCGAGCGCGACTTGTAGCGAATTGGCGCACGCTTCTTGTGCGGGCGAAGGAGTAGAGAAGCAGATCCTAGTGTGAGCCATAGCCACGAATTTCAACAGATCTGGGTTCAAAGACACGACCCAGCCAACTCTCCAGCCCGTGGCGGCGAAACTCTTACCTGCAGAGCCCACCGACAGTGTGAGTTGGCCCAGCTCAGGCGTTAACGTCGCGATACGAGTAAACTCAGGCGTGAAATACAGATGCTCGTAAACCTCATCGGAGATGATAATGATGTTGTTTTCTACGCAAATCTGGCCGATTTGGAGAAGCTCTTCGCGCGTGAAGACTTTTCCGACCGGATTATGGGGTGTGTTCAAGATCAAAGCCTTAGTTTTGGGCGTGACGGCGCGACGCAGCTCGTCGTAGTCAACACGCCATTCTGTGCCCAGTGTTGGCCGTTGTGCCATTTCCTTGGGCGGATGTAGTGGCACATATGTGACTTTACCACCAGGGATTTGAATGTTCGAGATGTACTGGTCGAAGAAGGGCTCGAACACGATCACCTCGTCGCCTGGGTTGAGCAGTCCGACCAGACACGACAAAATACCCTCGTTGGCACCCGTGGTGACCTGGACATTTTCAGCTTTGAGTTCTGTGCCGTACAAGGGCGAGTAAAGCTGCTTCAGCGACTGCAGCAGCGACACACGGCCCTTGGTGGGAGCGTACTGGTTGACCATTGGCGAATCGAGCGCTTTTTGGGCTTCCTGAATCGCGAAATCTGGCGGAGAGTACGAAAAGAAGCCCTGACCCAGGTTGATCAGCTCGCGATTTTTGTTGCGGCTGTTTTGCGCCGCCACTGCGGCGGCCTCGTTCGTCAACGACCATACGTCTTTGCTGAGATTCTGCGTCAATGCTCGGTTGGGCACGATCTTCAAACTGTTGGCAGCGGTACTCATTGCTAGTTTTCTGATTGTAGACTTAAGCATGCGACAAGCAAGACTCGGAACAATTGGAGGGTGGATTGATTCAAGTATTCTGTCGCGATCTAGTTGCGTTTAAATAGGTGCCAGACATTGATACAGGTTAGCGTTATCAGTGGGAAGCCACAGATGATGACGGGAAATGGAAGAGTGACCGTTGAACAATGGAGCTACGAGCGTCGCTGAACAATCGAGCAGCGGTAGTGAGAGTGTTGACAAGATTTGTTGACCAGTGTTGTGCGCTGGCTATCGGTTTATGTTAGTTGGAAAAGATTGAGTACGAGCGAATGGAGAATTCGTGGGATTATAAAACAATGGAATGGCTTTGCTCGAAGTTTAGTGTTTTTACTTTTTCAAGTCGTTGTCCACCGAGTTCTACTTATATTCACTATCAGGTTTCTATCAGCTAGTGTTTTCTACTGAGGTCGTTTTATATCAAGATAGTTTTTGTTGTAGTACTCCTTTTACACTATTGATATTTCAATACCAAAGGTCTTTCACTTATTAACTGTACTTCGCTTGGCATCAATTCTCATCTAACTGTAATTTATTCACCACGTAAGAGCTCTCTGTTGACTAACAATTCTATACTAGCTACTTTGTCCTTCCTCTCTGTAGTATGAGTCGCTAATACTCAACTACCAGACAGTATTTAAGTATCATGTTATCTCTCACTATTAGCTCTCTGTTAAGCATCAATGACTCTAGCCAGTGGAAATGCTCTACAGGTCGTTTATACAATATGATATGACAACTAGAATCTCAACTCGCTTGCGAAACTTTATCGTAGCCCTCTCAAGCTTTACACTTTCATCGCTACATGCCATTTAGCACTGAAATCAAAGATCTCTCAAGGCATACAACGCTACTACAAGTTGACCATGGCAGTCAGCACATTTATTCAAGGTTGTACTTGTTTTCGAACTGAGATGACTGACGAATTGAGAACATACAGGGCACTGAAGAGGTTTCGTTAGCCCAGAGTGTACATGCTGCACATCTGAATAAATGATGGTATTAACCACCCGTCGTTGACAACTAAATCAATCGCAAGCACAACCAAAGAAGCGGAAGCTTCGAAATTCGATCATAGACGAACATAGATTTTGCAGCGCTAGTAATAAAATCTGAATATTTAGAATATGTATTCAGATATGTATTTAGAGTATGTTTAGATCAAATATAAATTTCATTGTCGTTCGCCAATCAAGGAAGGCTCTCACTCTCTGAGCTTCAAAATAGGTGGACAAATAAAAGCGTTCGCCAAGAGCTCGAGTTATGATAAAACAATCAAAAACTTAAACCTGATCATTTGTCCCATCAAAAGCTCAAAGTGAGCGTGTAGCGATTTGCAATTATTTTTGAACCCATTGTTGTCTCCCCATTGGTGAATCACTCTAAAACTTGTCCGCTCGAAAAACTCCCCCTCTGGAAATTCTTCCATTACTACTTTCGACTTCTCATACTGGTAATGCGTTCGAAATTCACTGTTTCTTGCTTCTTTCGCTGAAGACAATGCGTCAAACTTGCTTAAAAGATCGAGCAACTCACCAATCCATTCTCATAGATTTCATGATGGGTATAAAAACAAACTGTAAAAAGAAGGTTCAACTATAGATGATAAAAAAAGGCCAAGGCCCGTCTGTTGGACTCACATGGCCTCTCAAGAGTGATGGAAAATTGCCAGTTTTGGCATTAATAAATTATGTACGATTTTGGTGGTATTATTGTAAAAGTTTGCTGAAAAACGCATGTTTGCAATCTAACCAGGTATTTGCAGTCTTGAGCACATTTGTACTGATGTCTCAACCGGCCCTTGATCAAGAATATCCTCCTCTGAGCTACAGTCTCAAGTCCACGATTGAGCAGTCATTTGGTCAGATGATCAAACGACAAATGACGAGGTGGCACAAAGTAATACAACTAGGACAAATGAAAACGCTACCGACTCTCAAGATACGGGACACGCAAGGGTGTCCAAAGATCACCAACTATGCACCTATACCGGCTTCAAATATGCTACAAAATAGTAGGTAGTGTAATTACCAGATATGCATTGATACAATGTCACTGAATTTTAGAAAGCTGCGTCGCTCGAAATTTAATATGACGATTCCCTTCAAATGAACTTCTACCACAACAAGGCAGAAGTCTGGTGACACTTGTTTTCGGAAAAGAGACTGGATTTGGTTTTACATTACAAACAAACCGCAAAGGTAAATACACTTACCTTACCAACAGCTCTAGCTTTGCTCAATAAAAAACCATGACAATATTTATCGACAAGATCCCTAAATGCATACTAATACTTTCACTGCTTCCAAATGGCAAGATACATCCCATAAACGGTATAACGATTTCATCCTAAACGCCTAAGCTTTAATCAATAATTGAAATTCAAATTTTCCCCTCGGTGCACGGCAACTGGAGCCTCATCATAGTGACAAAAGTCCTCAAGAAGACTGTCGTACACCATTTTGAACCAAAAGAAGCGCATCCAGCAGTTCTTTGATGCTGTTGTGGCAGGTATCACGTGACCAAATATTTATTAAACTTGTACTGCTACCAGGCAAACCCATTTCAATGCCGAAGATCGGTAGCCGGCAAGCAAGGGTTTACCACCCCTTTTCGGGCTCTCTCGAAACCCACATTTCTCACATTAACTCTTGCAGTGTTTCTATTACCACCTTTATTCTGAGATCGTATCATGTGATTTAATTTGACCAGAAATCCGTTCTTCCAGTTTACCTAGATCAATTATGATGAGTGATTCTCCTCTATGTAAAGCGGCAGCGAAACACTTCAGCTATGAGCTTTGTAGCTATGTATAAGCAAGCATTAAGTAGATCGGTATTTGTAAAATCATATTTAGGTTTTCGGCCGGCGCTAGCGCGTAGTTTCAAGTCCGAACGAGGCCCTGCTCCTCCACAGCTTCCCAGGGAAGAACAGGAGGAATTCGAGCGCCTCCAGCGCATAGCACAGTCACAAGAAGCCATCGACGCGTACAATAAAGAAATAGAGGACGATCACACCAAAGAAAGTGCGAAATCTTCTTTTTTGAAAGCCGATATTGGTGGGTTTTCGCCAGAGTTTTCCAAAACCATTCCTGAGTTCGAAGGTGATGTCAACCCCAAGACCGGTGAACGCGGCGGACCCAAGCAGGATCCGCTCAGATACGGTGATTATTCTTTCAACGGCAGAGTGACAGATTTCTGAGCTGCGCTCTTGCCGTCGCAATTATCTGTAAATATTCTCTAGTTTATGAAATGCATGAATGATATGACTTATTTCCGACGCACTCCGTATATATGTAGCTACCCAAGCTCGTTTGCGGCGGTTTGTAGCTCAGCTTGACACTCTCCAATTATCTTTGCATCTTTAGCTAGCAGCTCCCGCAGCTCTTCCCACGATACATCATCTACAGCACCAGGTGTAGTACTATTACCATCAACCTTCACATATTCCAATTCCGTTTTCAATACGGACAAAGTCTCGTTCAAATCCCTTTGTGAATACACCAAACGATTGAACTTTGAAATTTGATTCTTCACCTCCATAAACCACTCCATCTCTGAACGAGCAATGGGTCTTGATTTTATTTCATCTGAAGCCGAGATTTGCTTCAATTTATGTTGCAAAGCCGTAAACCTGTTCTTGATTGATTCGTTCTTTTTTTCTACACATCTCCACCTCTCTTGCTGGGGAATCAACTTTTCACAAATCTCTTTTTTCTTGGTTTTAATCTCACATACCATTTCAAGCTGTTTGGTTAGCTCACCTTGCTGTCCCATCACCCGTGTGTGAAGCGACAGAACCGACGTTTGAGCTACCATGACTCGTGTTAACAGTTCTTTGGAAATGTCAGTTAGGACAGAAAGCTGTTCTTCATTACTTGCGTTATCGAGTTTTACCTGTCGCAGCCTTGGCTCTATCGTCGTGGATAATGGAGTCTTCATCAATGATTGTACTTTCTTGTTAAGAGCCAGCAGTTCTGTCATTGGCTGGTCATATGGGCGTCGCTGAGTGGACTTCTCTATGTGCTTCTGCTCCCTGGGTATCAAAGTTTTTTTTGAAGTGGGAATATCGAGGTGACTTGTTGAAGTTTTCGACAGTAAAACAAACTGTAATCCTGTAGACCATAAAGTGGCTGTCTCAAATGATCCTTGTTGCTCGATTATTTGTTCGCTTAAGTCAGCTTCCGCCAGTTCTGAAATGTCGCAGTCGCGCAATGCTTGATCGATTGTCTTTGTAAGCCGAGAAACGTCGACCAGAGAAGCCTTTTGAGGTGAGAGAACGACGAATGCACTCTTCGATGTCACGGCTATGAGTCCAGGTAAATTCATGGCTTTGATTGTAACTAAAGAGTTGTTCTGGCACACTTCAACGCTCTCCCAGGCCATCGTGGGTTCCGAATCTGGGAAGCAATGTAAGATTGTCCCATCGTCGAAGGATATCAGGAGAATCTCACTGGTATTGTCATTCAAGTTCAGCGTATTGAGTTGCACGGCGGTGGCGAGATAGAGACGCTCTGGAAATGGATTGATAGTGTAAGGTCCTTGCATAACCGCTTTTCTGAACGAACTCGATACTGGCAGCACTAGGGGATCAGTTTTGCCTGGCTCGCTGCGATGTTTTTGCAGCTGAGTGTGAAGCTGAGATGCGAACTGTAGCTGTCTTGTAACCTGGTGTTTGGTTTGAGGAGAGTCGCCATCGGCCAGACCATTGTACTGAAGCAAGGCCTTATGAAAGCAGTATTGGATTGCATCGTCCGATAATTCGACTTCTGAGGGCAAAAATGGGTAGATGGAGTAGATATCCGCACCCTCACTCGTGTTGAGCGCGTAAAGTGTCATACCATCATTGCTGAAAGCGATTGAGACAATATCTCTTACAGTGGTATCTGTTCCAGGCTTGAACGTTGAGGAGTTCCAAACGCCAGTGGGTTCAGTGACGTTCTCGCTCAAAAGTTCGTACATGCAAATTTCATCGCTTGGGGTGAGTACCACAAAACACGAATCAAGACGAGCGTTTGGATGCCATAAAACCTGCTTAACACCACGGGAAACTGGAATTCGATACTCAATTGGTGTTTCCCGCGAGTGCGCGCCGTCGAGCGATAAAATTTGCAGTTCTCGATCGCTGTAAAGGCACAAAAGCGTACCGAGACTGTTTAACACGGCATTTGTGCAGTTTGTAATTGCGGTAAAGTCCACAAACTTGTACTCTGACTCCTCTGGCAAACACCATTTTATACTGTTTCCCTCCACCACCACGGTTTTATGATCGTTTGATTCAGAATGGCAAACAAACCGTTTCAAACGGCCAGTTTCAAACGGCTGGCATTTGAATATCGGATGGTGCTCTGGCAGCATGTTGTGACGTACCAGTTCAGAGCTCTAACAGGCTCTTGAGCTACTTCTGGAGTAATTTTGTTGTTGGCGGATGGATTGAAGATCATTATAGATACTGTTATATCTTGAAAAAGTGGACGTTGGTAGTGATCCAAAGACCCACTGTTCAGCTCATCGGCGACACTCAAAGGCAGGAGGACGCTTAAGTTTAAGGTATGCTAGACTATATACATGGAGTATTTTGGGTTATTTGAGATGTGTTTCACCGATTACATTTTGGCCAAAAAGTTACTCTGTTTGATCTTATCACGGTTGGCAGATCTCAGCTGTTTTTTGCGCATCTTGAGAGGGTCCTGCTGAAGCTTTTTGAGTTGTGCTTTTGGGTCTAGTACGCTCCAAAGCCATTCGGGATATTCGTGGTCTTCCAAAGCAACGGGTTCTTTGCCAGACTTTTTGATTTGCAAGTTCAGGACCGTGCCGGCTGGACAGCTGGAAAGTGCGGCTTCAGAGCCCGTTTTCGCCTGCTGAAGAACGCCACGGGAGGTGGAGAACGATCTGACACGCAATACAGGAGTGAAACGGGCTAGCATCGATGTAATTGGGTCGCTTTTATAGGAAATAGAACTGCTTTCTTTAACCTGGAGTTGAAATTAACAACTTTTTTGTTAATTGATGGTAATAGAAATATTTTCCAGCTGGTAGACGAAAATAGTGAAAGGTGTCAGAGATGGTGAAAAGCTCATTATAATCGGGATTATTTGACCCAGCTTGTCACATATTTCAGTACTAAATCTCAGCTAAGGACAACAACCAAACCCTCCAGCACCCACCCGACCACAGCGTGCATAAATAAGTTCCAGCTTACGTAATAGCAGAGCTTGGGACTGAATACGCTCCAGATGAACAGGTGGTAACGCTGAATGACACACGACCCTAGTAAGAAGCATCCGAATATACAGTAGAACAGTAGTGCTGGCAAGCGTGAAGCAGCGAACAACTGCCATTTGTTGTATTGCGGTTTTCTTGTGTAGAGTATTTTCAAACATGCAGTGGACCAGTAGATAGCGGGTGCAAAGTTGCCCACACACATCAAAAACCCCACGACGTGGATGTTGTAGTTCTCAGATACCCCGTTGTACGCGTTCGTAAGATTAACGGTGGCAATGGAGTTGGTGCTGCCGAATTGGAAAAATGTCAAATGCTGCAGGACTAGTCCAATGGTCATCAGAGCAGTAACATTCGAGCCCCACAAGCGACGCCATAACGACTCTATCAAGGGTGCAATTATCTGGAACACCAAAAATTGTGGGATGTTTGTGGAAGACGTTTGGAAGATCAGAATGGTCGTGATTGTTGAATGAATCTTTTCCAGCAGGCCATCGCTCTGGCGATTGAGCCGATGCAAGAGCAGCTCGAGTAAAACCAGCCCCAATGCGGCACCGAAAAATAGTCTGGCCATTGGGACGAGCTGAGTCTTTAGTGCTTCTATCGGGTCTGCACTTTTGGCAGCATCTGGCAGAATTTCCAGTAAAACCTTTTGTAGCCAAGCGGGAACCTGCTCACCATTCACCACATTCCAGGCTGCTTTGTATACCAGGCATACAGCAGAAAGCGAGAAACCAGTTAGGTTTGATCTCAAGGTCTGATTGCGTCTCCCAAGTGGTACGGCGAGTATTGTGACTGCATTTAAAACCCACTGCCAATGATAGTGACGCTTTAAAATCTCTGACATAGTGTGCTCGTAGATGTATTTCTGACCACTATTATTCCAGCCACGTATGAACCTGAGTCCCGCCAGTATTAGAAAAATAGAGACTGCTCGGCGTGGCGCCTTGACGAATGAAAGTCCCACAAGCCCCACCGAGGACCACCACCACAACTGGTGTTCTTCTTCCACAAAACTACTGCCAAATGTGCTAAAGCTGAGTAAAAGAGAGACAGCAACTAATAAATGTAGTGCGATTGAGGAATTAAGTTCCTTATTACTGAGCGCACCGACTTTAAGTGTCACCAAAAAGAGTAAAACGAATCCAATACTCAGGAGTTTATAGTTGTAGTTTGTCGCGGTCTTAGCCAGATCCTCCTGAAGGTCCCTCATGTGCTCGATGTGAGCCTTGACGCCATCAAGTTGTTTGTGTTGCTGACCAGCAGCACTCAATATTTGCTGATAGTTGTCCTTCAGCTTGACCAGTGCTTCATGCGGCGAGAACAAACGTAGGAAGTCCGGTATTAGAACCCCGATGCTATTTTTCGGGATAGGAAAATTGAAAAGCGTCGCTAGTGTAGGAACTAGGTCGATTTGATTAACTCTTGTCAAGTATTTGTAATCCTCACTTTTTGTCTCTATAGGAAGCTTTTCGTGCTGCTGAGCCGCAGGCTTGTCGTAGTTTTCCAGCTTTTTCGAGATGAAAACCATTCCTGAAGAGGTTTCGCCAGCAGAAGAGCCGCCATGATTGCCTATATCATTCATTCCATGGTCTCCCATCACACATATTAACGTGTCTTCGTCAACAGAGCTGTAAATTTGCTCGATGACAGAATCCATTTCTCGATGCTTGGGCCGCATAAAGGTGGAAAAAGCTCCTCCCTTGTGCCCAATATGATCTAATCCCAGATAATGAAGAATCATCACGTCCCAAGTGTTCTGAGATGCCAGTTGTTGAGGCAGATGCCTCGAAACATTATAATCGACTTCCTCGAAGTCGCTAACGAAAAACGAGCTCGTTCCATCAACTTCGTTAAAGAAATGTCTGGGGAACAGCTTCAACCAAGTGTCATCACCGAAAAAGTTGATGGTTTGTTCCCTTACGCGAAATTGTCGCAGCCACGAATCTTGATCCTCTAGGCTCGAGGATGAGTCATCTCCGGCCACATTCAGAATTGCATCCAAAAAGTTGGGAGTGGACCCTGTGGCGATCCCTTTCAATCTAGGAAGCGTCACGGTGGGAGGATTCGAATATGCAGTATAACCCCATGCGTTGCCCTTATTCAAAAGCTCGTGCACAAATCTAAACTGGCTCATTTCATCTTGGAAGAGATAATCAGCTCTCAGAGCATCGATAACCACCAGAACGAGTTTCTCAAAACGCGGTGTTATGTGCTGGTGTGCCTCTGGATGGTATAAGAACTCGGCATCGCCTTTCAAGACGGATTTTTGGGGGAAAAAACCTGCAGAAAACGTCAGAATAGCGATCAACTGCAGCACTAAGAGTCCCACTATTTTTGCCATCATATTCCCCACTGAATTGAGAGCTGTTAGCTGTGAATCTATCTGAAATGTAATGACTTCACTGGAGAGTGTTGGGATCTATGCGCCGAGCGCTCAACTACTGAAATTACATTTGATTACCTGAGTACATATGTACTCGGGGAGCGTATCAGTACCAGGTACATACCTGACCAAAGAGATAGTCTAATGTTTCCTAGGTGAGTGGTCTGCGAAGCTTTCGTTCGCATGCTGTATATTCTGATTGACACGTTACTCTTGGGTTTCCATTGTTTCTGATATTTTACGGGTTATCCTCCCGATCTCTGTATCCGATTACCTTCTATTGAACTCTAAAATGCTAAAAACAGCTTACTGCAGAAGTTGGTCCCTGTAATGAGGTTGGTTGTTGACAAACTTGGCAGCTCTCTTATCGTGGGTTTTAAGGTCCTTAATCTGCGTTTGCCAGACTCTTTTTTGGGTGGCCACCTGCTTTGGATCGGCAATTGTAGCAAAGTGTCTGGTCTCCGCCGCTATCAACGTACCTTGGCCCTCAGTTAGAACAGTTTCTGGCTTAAGGTTTTGTTTGTAGTATCTCTGGAGCGACCGATGGCCGACTTTAACACCGGTTGGCAAATGCAGCTCTATGCCATCGTTGTAGATATATTCTTGTGGCACATCTTCCTCGTTTTCGTCTTCATTCTCGGCACCTTCTTCTCCACTGCCAACATCCTCCCAGTCTTCTTCATTACCGGCATCTTCTGGGTGATTGGCGTAAGTACTGGAAAAATCGTAAAACTCTGAAATTTCTAGTCTCTCATCCTCACTTTCGTATGGAATTCGGCAATGCGCCTTAGCTAGCATGTGCGCACGCACTGCCTCTAGCGAGCGACCCTGATAATTGCAGCATAGACACATATTTCCGAGACCGATTTTTTCGGAAAGATACTTCATCAAACCTTCCTTGTCTACCAGATACTTTTGTTCGGGTATGTAGAACCCATGGCACTTGAACATATGTTCTAACGCTTCGTCTAAGTCCGAGAAGGGGCTCCCCTTCGTGCAGAACAGACAGTGGTTCAAAGGAATATCCACTTTGTTGTCTATCTTTTCTTGCATCAGCTTCTCAGCTAGTTGGTCTGGCGTGAGATCGTCCTCTTGAGTTTCTTGAGTTTCCTGCGTTTCTTCCAATTTTTCTACTTTTTCAGGTTGCTCGCTCTCTGTTTCGAGCTGCACTTCCTGTGCAGCCTCGACCTTGGAAGATTCAGCGTCATGACTTTTCTGTGTGTTTGAAATGATACTCTCGCGAGCCTGTTCCAATAAGACTTTCTTCTTGGCTAGAAGAGCCTCTTTCTCTTTTCTTCTTACATCCTTCTTTGTAAGTTGTCTCTTCTTTTCTGGCTCCTCTTTCTGCTCACTAAAAGATTTTACTTTGGCGTTGAAAGTTGCTTCACTGATGGCCGGAAGCTCGGCAACTCTTCTTTTCAAGTTATAACTGTGCCAGTCGGTCTTCATATGATCCCTCTGGTCCTTCGCACTGGAGAACTGCAACCCACAAGAGTTACAAGTGTAGGTGGACATTGTTGGTGGTTAGCTCTGGAGCCTTTAAGTTCGATTTCTGACCTTTTGCCTTAACAGATTTTAATCGATGAGTTAGCGATGAAGAAGCGATGAGGGCGATGAGGTCTAAAATTTTCAATCCTAGTATTTTTCCCAAAAATATTTGAAAGACGTCTTCCACTCATTTCTCTACCCATCTCTCGACCCATTCCGCTAGTCGATTGATGTCAGTTCAAGGCCAGACAGAGAACGTTGTCGACAGCATTAGAGGGTGGTTCTTCACAATCACTTAACAATCTTACAAACATGATTTTGATCAATTCTTCAACGCATGTCATGTTTCGCTCTTCGTGCAAGCCGTATGTGCAGACTTGGAGGCTTTCTCTAAATATTATAATTCGAGCATTTACGCTATCTTGAACCCAAATTTTCGGCGAGAAGGATTCTGCTGATGCTAGCAAGCTTTTTTGCGATGACAAGGACCATTATTGAACCACTTCTATAAAATCCACATAACGCTCACACTTGTTTGGCAAGACAATTAAGAGTGACTCACTGTCTCACTTCCCACATCTCTCAATACAGCTGTGGTAATCAAACGACACACGAAGTTCGGTCACGGTCTTGACTGAAGTTGATGGTTTTAAATTACATCTCTTTTTGGGTAGATTTACGCCACTTCCGTAGCTGGAATTTGCAAATAAGCATGTAAATTGGAACTATAATCAAATTGGAAACAATACCCAATATCCACAGTAATGGCCAGCCTATTGAAACGTTATTTTGTTTGTTCAGACCCATATCAGTGCTCATCAAAAACCACCCGATAAAATCTGTTGTTACGTCATCGTATCCCATTTGCAATTGTTTGATAATTCTATTACAGCATTTCTCACAAGATATGGCTTCGGAGGGTCCTTCTATTTCTTTGGTAATCGCAGGTTTGGTCTCGTTCTCGAGTACGTAGCCCTCACTATCGAAATTGCCCGGATAGACGCACGAAACGCGTTGTTGGGCACATTCCTGACGAAGAATCGCCACCAGCGCCTTGATAGACTGCTTTACTGGAGCGTATTGAGAGTAGCCAATGAATGGGAAAAAAGCTGCTGCGCTCGAGAAAAAAATTAGGTGCGTGGACGGCCAATTGCGCACCGCAACGTGGGCCAAGTTGACACAGGTCATGTAGTTCACCTTCACGCCCATTTCGAGCTCACTTCCTTTCAGATCTTTGAAAAGTCCGGGATGAGATCCTCCAGCGCACAGTAACACCATTGTTGGAGTCAGTGAGCAAGAAGTTAGTGTACCGTGCAATCGCTCTACTTGCTCGTAATCGGCCAAATCGCAGGGTGCAAACAAAATTTTACGCTGACCACTTGCTAATTGTAGCCCATCAGTTAGCTCTTGCGCAGTTTTTTCGCCTGAGATCTCGCGCACTGCCTGTTGAAGCTTGGACCGTGATCTGCTGACAACAATAACGGTCGAATTAGAGCCATTTTGATAGAATCTGCGGGCAAATTCTTTACCAAGTCCCTGTGATCCACCGGCCACGACTATAATCTGGTTGTTGAGAGAAAACTGGCCCATGATATAGATGTCTAGTTTCCACTTTCGAAAGATCGTGGTTCATCAACATGTATAACTTCAAGGCCCCATATTGATTAAATTAGAAAATCGATCAACACTGTGAACAAAATATGACACTGTGATGTACAGTGAATCGCATTCACTTACGAAACGCACAAATCTGGCTTCAGAGCCTAAATGTTATCTATTTACAGTTAAGAAAAATGATGTATGTGTATGTATGACCGTTCCAACCGGTCTCTCCGAGATGTCAATACCACTTCAATTCTTGCGCGCATCCTGTTTGTGTTTCTCGTACTCTTTCTTGAGTTTTTCGAGCTCTTGGGCGTCGATAGGAGGAATTGGAACGTCTGCAAAGTCGTTGTCTTTGTTCAAAAATCTGTAAGTGTAAACGTAGATACCACCCGTCACTAGAAGAAGGGCGCCCAAGCCAGCCAAGTTTTTCTTGAAAAAGGGTTGTCTGGCTCTGATCATTGCTGGAGTCATTTTCCAGGTTCTGGGGTCCTGGTAACGCGAGTGTTCGAGCACCATGCTGGCAGTTTCTGTTGGTTTGGTTGTGAGTGTTTCTTGCTGCTTCACAGGAAGCTTGATGAGATATGTTTTTCAGTTAATGAGAATCTTGAATTTCTGGCACGGGAAAAAACGTCAGTGTGACGGTGAGACAGAAGGATCTGATCGAGACTACGGGTAAGGCTGTGTGGGTGGTTTTAACAGGCAGCTCGGTTCGGTGAGTGTGAGAGAAAGAAGTGAAAGATTCGGAGACTGTTGATAGTCGATTATAGATGTCACTGTTGACGAGGAGGATTTTGTTATATTGACAACGACAGCCGGAGCCATCGCACAGCTTTCTGGAGTTTGGATAAGTTTAGCAGTGGTTCATGTCCGCACAGCAGTAGCTAAAAGATGGTTTTATTTGGGTGCTTTATAGAATAAATTATGATGCGGCATGTAGCGTGGTTGAGCAAATTTGGGAATTCCAGAGTGATTTATTTCAAGTGGGCCCGGAGCATGAGAAGGGAGAGAGATGGGGGTACGTAGAGAGTCAGAGTTCTTTTAAAATTGAAATCGAGCGCAAAAGTCCCCATGATGACAGAATCCCATGCGACCGATCAACATAGTTGTCATTAATGACGAGTAATCTATGAAGGAACCGTTTCTGAAGAGGACACACAATGATGGAATCAAGGGCTTCAATGACATATCGCTGCTGGCCATCCTAGTGTTTATGTGGAAAGCTAAAATTCGGTTGCTTCGAAACATGGAAAAAAGATTGTTTTTTGAAGAATTGGCGCTATCCCTTAACGAGTGATAATTCTGTAATAAAATCCTGGTATTCTCTAATGCACTAGATAATCCATCACGGCTGCCATGCTTTACATTTCGATCCTCACAACGCTGCAACCAACTTCCACCACGTTTTGACTTTTATAACTTCAAATGTCGCTTCTTTTGAATATATGAACTGTGTCAACCGGTTTCAGAAATTGCATCTGAGAGCGCAACTATTATTTCTTGCTGAACTCACGCTATCTGCTGAGCACGGCCTACTGTTACGCCCTAGAATATGCCTGTCCTTACTCTTTTATTCCCTGGGAGACCGGATATCATTTATATGTTTAATGACACTTGAATTTAGCGATCCTAAGAAAACTCCACCATTTTCAAGCCTAGAAAAGCCGCATTTTTGATCTGAAAACACCGCTCGAAAACTTCAAATGTCATCTTTCTGTTGCTTTCAATAACTGACATCAGAACCTTCTCTATTTGTAGGGCCTGAGCTGAGATGCCTTTTTCTACTGTTTCCTTACTCTTGATCTAATAAAATTTTGATATTTTGAATGAATCTCTATAACGAAATTTCCATAATTTTATCACTTCCCCATCTACAGTACTCAACCAACACACACACACGCCATGACGAGGGGATTGACTCGCCATTTCTCGCGCACTAAAGCTCATCGCGATGCTATGTTCAGGAATCTGGTCACCCAGCTCTTCCAGCACGGCTCTATAGTCTCGACACATGAAAAATGTCAGGAAGCGAGCAGGCTAGCAGAAAGAATCATTACGATGGCTAAGGGCCTGGAGAGACACCCAAACTCTGCTAAAGAGATCCAGTCGCGCCTGTCGCTGGCAGGAGACGCAAGTCACCTTTTACACCGCGTTGTGGGTGAACTGGCACCTCGTTACCAAAACAGACCTGGTGGGTATACCCGTATCTTAAAGCTGGAACCACGTTTGGGAGACCGTGCTAAGCAAAGTGTCTTGGAGCTGGTCGACGCTCCCGTCGTGGACAAGAATGGCGCACTTCAAAGGGGAAACATCAGGCTTTGGCTACTCTGCAAGACAGCAATTGCCAACGAGACCGCTGGTGTCGCATACTCACCTCTGACGCTACAAAACTTCGCCAAAATGCTGAAATTCAGGCCGGATGCTAGTGAGTTCTTCTCGCGCGACGTTATGGCCGTCAGACGTTTCATAAAACAAGAGATGGGACTCCCTCACGACGAGGCCACCGAGCACGAAATCATTTCCAAACTGCAAGAACAGGTAACTGCGCTACCAAATCACAAACTACAAAGCAACAATGCTCCAGGCTACACGCTAGTAGCGGAAAGACCGCAGCGTTGAGCTAGTTTTCACCGGCCCCACTCAATGTAATTTAGAAGCACACTACACCCATCTGTAAATACTAGTCGAAATAGACACTCAAGCGTTAGAACAACGCGCTGGGACTTTGGCCCGCTCTTACTGTTGGTGTTGGTGTTCCGTAAACAGCTTAAAAGTTTATCACTCACGTGAAATCACACACAACTTTACTATGTTTCTCTTACGTAATCTCAAAATTGTGATATTAAGTTCATCACTCTGAACGATGATGGCTATCTCGTTATATGACACCTGAAATTGTATATATAAAAACTAGATCTGTCAGAAAACATAACAATGTATCGTTGTAGTCTTCGTTTGACGTCTTCCCGTCATTTGCTAATCTTGTCTTGATAATACCACCGTCGTTTTTGCCGCTATGAGTTTCCCTATTTTGGCCAACAAGGGCTTTGTCGAGGCCGTTGGCAGTACACCTTTGATCAAGTTAAATAAACTATCCAAAGAGGTGGGCAGAAATATATACGGCAAAGCAGAGTTCCAGAACCCGGGAGGCTCCGTTAAAGATCGTGCAGCGTTGTATTTGGTGGAACAAGCAGAAAAAAGCGGCCAAATCGATCCCTCCCGTCCCGCTACAATCGTAGAAGGGTCTGCTGGAAATACAGCCATTGGATTGGCACACATTGCTAGATCCAAGGGCTACAAGTCCATTTTCTACATGCCAAACACACAATCTGCATCGAAAATTAACCTACTGAAATACTTGGGTGCAGAAGTGCACGCAGTGCCTGTTTGCCCCATCTCTGATCCATTAAATTTCAATAATAGAGCAAGAGACCACGCCAAGCGTCTTGACAACGCTATATGGACCGACCAGTTCGACAATCCGGCCAATTGGCAATCCCACTACTACACGACCGGACCAGAGATCCTAAAGCAGCTTCAAAATGCGGGTTTATCATGCGACGCCTTCACGTGCTCTACTGGCACTGGAGGTACGTTCACAGGTGTTGTCAAATACCTTAAGGAAGCCACCAACAATCATACCAAAGCCGTGGTCGCCGATCCCCCGGGCTCTGTGATCTATTCTTATGTCAAGACTGGTGAAATGAATCGCGAAGGTTCCTCTTTTACTGAGGGAATTGGCCAAGGTCGCATTACCAAAAATCTGCGGCAATCTCTAGACTTGGTTGATGACGCGATTTTCGTTCCTGATGAAGAAAGCATTGTCATGCTATACAGACTTCTAGACGAGGAAGGGCTTTTCCTGGGGGGCACCAGTGCTCTTAACGTCGTGGCAGCTGCAAAGGCGGCAAAGAATCTACCGGAGAACAGTAACGTTGTCACAATCTTGTGCGACAGCGGGCACAAATACGCTGACAGACTCTTTTCCAAAAAGTGGCTCAAGGAAAAGAAGTTATTCGACCATATTCCTATCTCTTTGCAAAAGTACGCCAGTCTAGAATGAGACGTTGATAGAATGATGACATTAAAGAAAGAGTTTACAAGTTATGCATAGTTCACGTAATTAAAAATACATACGATTTAGTTCAGATATTGCACGACATACAATATGCCAGTCAACAGTCCGACGCTTTCCTTGCGCCTCTTGCCATTTGCAGAGCTCGTAAACGAACATCAAGTTTGGCTGGATTATAATGTTCAGTCGACGAACGCGCACGTATAGGTATGCCCTCAATATGTCGCAGTCAAGTCGTCGCATGCACTCTGCGATGCAAACAGTTGCAGATCTAGATACGCCAACCATGCAGTGCACTAGCACTTTTTCATCACGCTTGTAGCACTCATCGATGAAAGACAAAGCTTCATCCAATTGCGCCAACAAGCGATCTTCACCATTGTCGTCCACGTCGGTGATATGTAGAACTCTGAAGCCGTTTGCTTCCACTATTGACGAGCCGTAATTGTCAATTTTGCTAGATTTCGCTTCAATTCGAGTTATCTCAGACGATGACATTGTGACGCTGACGTTTGATCTTTGAACTGTTTGACTGTAGTTGATTTGGCTCGCTTTAAGAGTCTTTTGGCGTGAAATTGCGGTAGAAAGCCACGGCATAGTTTCACCCACCGATACAATGTTTGTAATGTCCAGCTCCTGTAACAGGTTTGGACTTTGTGCATGCTCCAATGATCCTAGGTATAGATGCGGTAGTACCTTAGATGGGAGGGGGCCCTTCAATTGAGCCAGGTTGTAATTATCCTGGTATTTTATGAAGAACATCTTACTGAAGAGGTCGGGATCGATCTCAAGACATGATGTAGTGGTGTTGATTCTTTTCGGACTCAGTTCTCTCAGCAATATCTGTAAATGACCTAACACTTGTAAATCTACTGGAAAGAGGAAAAAGGGCCTTTGGGCGTCCTTGTGCAATTTGAAAAGTACCTGGTCGAGTGGCAGGTCCCACACGAAAATCGAATACGCAACCAACAAAAATGAAGCTTCTGTATAGCCATCTGAGCAATATATCAGACTTCCAAAACTTGTCAGTTTTCCAACGCAGTAGATAAGGTAGCAGGTGTTTAAGATTACCTTGATAGAATCCAGGTTCAGATTGCCCAGCCCCAAGGATCCTGAGTTGGGGAATGATATTACTGTGTGATCAATTGAGAACTCTGATTGAACATGTTTCAGTAACTTCGAGATTTTTGAGAGCTCGGGAAGAGCACTGGACTCAGTGCAATGCACAAAAAATTTCCACTCTTTGGACGGATGGGGGAAATTGAAAAGTTGGGTATCTACTGTGCGCTGATTTGAGGTTGCTAGATTAGGCAGTCGTACGACGGTGTTCAGATTTTGATGTCCAGTAACAATATGTCCATTATTCTGCGCGCTATCATGCGCTGATAAACGACTGGTCAGTCTGAATATTTCGAAGTCGGTGCTATTGCCACACCAGGTGGAGTATTCGCTGCTCACACAAGAGGCACTGGACATCTTGGAGATCTCCAAACGCTCGCGGTAAAAAAGATCGCGATCCCAATTGTTAAAAGAGGCAACGTCAAAATCTGATGCCAACTGTGTGACCTTTTCCTTCTGTAACGCCTCGACTTTCATGGGTCGGGTGCCCCACCAGTTTGGATCGATTTTTTTAGTGTTCAAGATACCGATTTTGAAATCGCCAAGTGGATCAACGCATTTGCGGGCCACATATACAAGCATAGCGAGCTCTTGGCAATGACAAGAGGTCCAATGTTGCGTTTCGTTCAGACAGTAAACCACGCAAGTGTGTGACATTTCTATGAATTTGGCAACTTGGAGATCAAATCTGCGAAACATGCCTGGCTGTTTCCACCCTGAAGATTGATTTGGTTGAGAAGTCGGAGTAGAGCTGCAAACTCTGTTTTTCGCAGCGCCAGCGCCGTATTTACCTTGAGCATCTGCGTCTGTGACGAGAAAAGGGAAGAGTTTGTATTTTTTACATGCATGTATCAGTAGCTTTAGCTCGTCGTCGGACAACGTTACGCTTTTGGCTACATCCTGAATAACAGATTCCAAAGAGTGTTTGCGATGATCCCAGGCCATCAGAAACTCGTGTGGATCGAGAGACGACTTCAAAAGTCCTGAATTTTCGATCATGCCATGGGAAAGTGGCTGTGAACGAATGACGGCTGTCCAGCGATATCCACGAGGGGGTTCTTTGGAGCCAGAGTAGCCGTGCAACCAGGGAAATACCTCATCACAGTGCGGTAGTGGTTGTTTGTCGTGTTCTTCCAGTAGAACCGCCATTTGATGATGAGAAACTAGGCTGATGTGGTCAGAGATCAGCTTTCCCCCCGGGAATGTCGTATTGGTTGTGGATCCGGACCCTTGGTCACTAGTGCTTTTATGTCTTTTTTTCGGGTGGCAATCAAGCCCATGTGGTTCCAAGGGTAAAAACGTGCGCTGCATTGCTCAACCCGAGTCAAACTGATCTGATTGTTGTTCTAGTCTGGAATGGTTATGATGGCTTAACTTGGTTTAGACGATGGGCAACTCATCACTTTGTGCATCTTCGTCGGTAGTGATATATGTCGTTTTAAAGCGAGGGAACAAGTCTCAAGAGCCAAGACTCTACGGGCTGAGATGTGGCCAATTTGCTGGATATGTAAGACTCTTTTTGAAGCTTTTTGTAACCACGGGAGCGTCTCTTTTTGACGCTTTTATTTTCCAATTTTTAATTAAGCGAATTATTAGCGATGATCACTAATTCTTTATCCTGACACTGACACTCGTACCAGAACTCTGTCATCGAGGATTTGAAAAGGAATTTGATCACCAATGGCTGGTATTGTGCATGCTCAATTAGGACTTGTTTAATTCGCGTGTAGGAGTATAGCATTGATATTACTTCATGACTTTGTTCTTGCACTTTACGGAAAATACTTGATATTACTTCGAAGGCAGTTCCTGGCATTCTTGGAGATGTATAAACGTAGATAGGCGGCAGGTATATTTTAATATGCTGTTTTGATTTATTCTAGGCTGTCCTTTAATATCACGATTGTCTGTAATTGATTGCCTTGCCAATTTCGTATAAGCGTCACATTGTTTACACATCAATCAATTGTAATCTTTCTCGCAAGCTACCGAGCTAGGAATGTGTAGATTATTTTGTAGTAGAACGATCACAATTCAATTTCAGTCGCAATGCATTTTGACACTCTTAGGACGCCTTCTGTGTAGCTGTCGCGGTCGCTGTCGAATAAATTATGGTGACGTTTTTAGAATAAAAACAACGCAGATTGTTAGGAACACTTTCCTCACTCCTCACCTCTATGAAAATTTGCCTATTAAGACGGATTAATTCACATGGAATTACAATACACCAAATTGCTCACTCTGCCATGGATCTCTGGATAAACCGCTTGTAACATCTCGCAAGTTTTGCAAACAAACGCCCACACAGCCCAAAAACCAACAAAATAAAACGTTGGAAAAACCATTATGATCTAAGAGTTTAGAGCAAGTACTTCAACTGCCATTTATTTCCCCATCAATCTCCTCCGTGTCTTGAAAACAGCTTAAATATTTGCAATTGGCGAAATTCGCTTTTCTACATATAATATAGTGACATCCACTGTCATTGAAAAAGTAAACTTCTGCTCGTCAATCAACAACTCTCGAAATCCACCAACAAGACCTTGGCTCCCGTCACAATGGACTCGAAAAAGGATGTAGAAGACTTCAAAAAGGCTGCCCCCAAGCTACCGCTTTCCAAAGTCAAGCGAATCGCGAAAACTGACCCATTACATATCATTACTTCGCAATCTGCAGTTGCGGCCGTGGCCTTCGCAACAGAACTATTCGTGCAAGTGCTGACCGAGGAGGCGCTTGCTATATCTCAATTGGAAAAGCCCAGCGGCTCGAGACTTACGCTGCGGTACGACCATCTTGCAGCTGTGGTGGCAAGTTCAGACCGGTTTGCATTTCTGTCGGATGTTATTCCTGAGACCCAAAACCTGGTGGCTCTGACCCGAGAAAATCGGGTCCGCTACACAGCTCTGGCTCCAGGCCAGAGCGTGCTGCCCTTCAGAGCGCAGGATACGGCCACAGCGGCAGAAAATGATGGGGATGCCCCAGAAGGCGAAGCAGATCCTGATGCTGAGCCTGAGCCTGAGTCAGACGCAGACGGTGGATTTGCCGAGGATTTCAACTTGGAAGATGGCGATCAGGATGCAGAGATGAGATCGGAGAACGAAATGCCATTGCGAGAAGAAGAAGTTGAGCCCGAACCCGAGCCCGAGCCAGAGCCAGAGTTCGAGACCGAACTAGATCCAGAAGATCCAGAGGAACCAGAAAATACGGAGGATCCTGTAAATGCCAACTGAGGACCCATTGCAATAAACATAGACTAAGAGTTAAAGATACTGATCAAACTTTCAAGCTTGCACACGAAGTTGTCGAAGTTTTCATTGCCGTCTACGGAGCTGAACGTGAATCGAAACCAAATGGCCAGCTTTAACGCCCAATGGATCCCAAATCTATCAAAATAATCACGCAAGCATTCCAACTAATTCCCACTGTTATTCAAGGCCACTATCGGCTTGGAACCGGTTGGTGTTGGCAAAGTCCCCTCTTACGATTTTTTTGTTGGTCAATTTCCACATCTCTTGTAGATCAAGTGTCCGAAACCCCAGCGCGAACTGCGTTAAAAAACAGCTTTACTTGGAATAATCTGATACTTTTCAATACCTATGGGACTCTTTACGAATACTAGCGATAAGGAAACTCGACAATACAACGACGAGCTGGTTGCGTCGTCTTTAAATGACCGCTTGAACGAAAGCTACCAATCAGTTGGAAATTCGATCTTTTCAATGTGGAAAGATGCTGTGAATCATGTCGAGAACCCGCTAACCAGCCTTTGGGAGAATGCCAGTGGTGGTGTGGGCGATTTGCTAGCGGGTCTGGGGCTTCCTGGGGGATTTGGCCATCCTGCTCGCATTCTAAGGCTGCTGGAAGACGATTTTAAACAGGAAGGCACTACCGGCCTTTATGGGTACAAAATGCCTTCAGACAAACAGTTTATGAACTGCCAACAACTAGATGGGCTCTCAGTGTGGGACTCGCGGGGCTGGTGGCGCTGCTTATTCCCGGAACGGGTCGTAGGCAGCAACAACCTCGATTACGATCAAATGCGGGACGTGCTAACCCGCGAAAAAGTGGAGCAGGACAAGAAACATAGTTTGGGACTTTTCTTCACGGAGTACTCATCGTATTTGACGTGGCGAGCAGATATTATACGTCTTGCTGAATCTCGTCGCAATAGCTTGCTCGCAGCGAAAGCAGAGCGTCATGGGGAGCACGACAACACGCCTATGACTCCAGAAGATCTAATGGACCGTGCCACGGGCAGAAATGTGGTGGGCACGTCGGAATACGTGACCTACAACACCACCCCGGAGGGCCTGGAAAAGGTCAAAGAAGTGAAAACGTTCTTCGACGACGGCACCGTCAGACTTCGGTCTGAAAAACAGCGTACAGACCCTGACGGGAGATCCCATGTGGATGCATTTGAGAAGCTCCTTGACGACCACGACAACGCCAAGGACGGCTGGTTCTGGCGCAAATGAAATTTCGGTGCTTCCCACCTTAAAAAATTATCTTCAATGTCGGCCCATGCGCTGCTATGAGCCATTTTTTGAGTAAAAACATGACCTTATAATGAAACTGAATGAAACCAAATGAAACTGAACGGAACTGATTGAAAAGCATTTCCTCGATAAGTAGTTATTACCCACACTTAGTCAAATAGTGTGTTTGCTTTGAATGACTTATTGTCTGATCCTAAAACTCTCGGAGCATTTCTCATGCTTCTGAACTCACATAGGATACAATGTGTAGCTGTGCGAGCCTTGCTAAGACTATTGACTCGAAAGGCCTCCAAAGTTCCCATTGCTAAATGCTATTTACCCTTCGTTCCCAATGACATCAACACTTTTATTTCCATAACGCTACATACATCACTGAACAACTAAACCTGAACAGAATTCATCATCCATAAACAAACCTCACTGCGCGCTTAAAGATGTCTAAAAAACAGGAATATATCGCGAAAATTCGATACAGAAATGATTTGCCGCCACCTTTATTGCCCCCCAAGCTTCTAAGATACCAAGATTCAGCGGATGAATCAGCAGATTCTGGTAAACTGGTAACTTCGTTGTACGCCAAAACAAATGTTACGCCTTTGATAAAGATTAATGAGGACTTGGGTATGCCAATGGATCTGATGGAACTGCCAGGGCTTCTGAACCACCAGGATTCTCGTCTTCTTCTTGGCTTCGAAAACATTAAGCTGCATCCGGAGGATAGAGCTCTTTTGAGAGATCCAAGAGTGGACAAATTGACCAAGACAGACATGTCGAAAGTGACGTTTTTGAGAAGAACCGAGTACGTTTCATCGTCGCAAACCGCGAAGCAGAGTACAAAGAAAAGGGCAGCATCGGAGGCACTAGAGCCGGACGAGGAAATCTTGACCCCTGCTCAACGGGTCAAACGAGTTGAAAACACATTTGATTGCATCACCGATGACCTTTCAAAGATCCGTCATCCAACCAAGAAAAACGTGCACGCAGTCAAGACCTGGGACTTGCTGCCAGATACCTCAGCGATGGACCAGACTTTTTTTACGATTCGCTTCGTTGGGTCTGCAGCTTTGGATAAGCAAGAAAAGGACCAACTGGCACTCTCGACCGCCCTTTTCCGGCCCGTAGAACTGGAAGAAGACGAGTGGGTTTCGCTTTACACAACCAACAGGGACGACTCGGCTACTTACGAGAAAAACCTGGAACAACAAATCGACGAGATTGTGGACGACGACAAAGCTTACGAGTTCAAGCGTCTACGGGATTTTGATATGAAACATCAACAGCCTACAGGGTCGGGTCTGTTTAGCGAGTTGGCCTTGAGATTCAATGACGATAAAAAGACAATCTATTTCACACCAATACGGTCGCGGATCGAGCTGCGTCGGAGACGTATCAACGAGGTTATCAAGCCATTGGTACGTGAAAATAATCTGGACCAGGTCAACATCACAATCAGAAACCCAACGCCGCAAGAAACACGTCGCAGGGACCTAATTCGCATGAAATTCGATCCTATAGATTTTCCCAACATAGAAGACGATGAACAAGCAGACTTGCAGGACGAAGATGCTGCAAATTCAAAAGACAGCCAGCCAGCAGCTTCATCAGAGGAAGCGTCCGAGCAGAAGAACGATGAGTCTCGGGAGCAGTCTTCGACTGCAGATGCCAGTGTTGCAGCTTCCGACAACCAATAAACTCGAATCTTGATCTCCAGATAAATTAGTTTGCATCACCAACTAGGATCAACCAAAAGAATCCATGCCGTCCTGCCAGCGTTCACCGTCAGTCGTGGTGATCTACGAGTACCTGAGCGAATACGAGTACGAATACGTTTTTTCGGTGATATTCTAATTAATTTGCAACTTACATCCATGAACTACACGTCCCTTAACATCAGTGCACTCCTCTCGGTATCCTTCCCATTAGCGACTTGTATTATAAATATACTTTGAACAGAGTCAGAATTAAGAGCAATGAGCTTCAACATTGAATCACAGATCTCAAGCTGCGGTGGCAAGCTTCTGAAGTTAAAACACGACTCTAAGTCGACCAAAACTTCCATGGACGTCAATGTCTACTTGCCCAGACAATACTTTGAAGAAAAGGCCGGCAAGATACCAGCTGTGTACTACTTATCAGGACTGTCGTGTACACCTCAGAACGCCTCGGAAAAGGCCTTTTGGCAACCTCAGGCAGACAAATACGGTTTCGCAATGGTCTTCCCAGATACGTCTCCCCGCGGTGAAAATGTTCCTGACGACCCAGAGGAAAGCTGGGACTTTGGACTCTCTGCCGGCTTCTACGTCGACGCTACTCAGAGCCCTTACCACAAAAATTACAAGATGTACAGTTATGTTCACGACGAGCTACCTCGCGAGTTGTATCAGTTTTTCCAGACTAGCGGTTTGGGTGCTGGCTCTACCGTTGACTTTTTAGACAATGTGGCAATCACTGGGCATTCCATGGGTGGGTTTGGAGCTCTGTCAGGATATCTTCAACAATATTCGAGTCCGAGGAAATACAAGTCGTGCTCTGCGTTTGCAGCTCTTGTAAACCCATCGCAAGTTCAATGGGGCAAAAAAGGTTTCGGTGGCTACTTGGGTAGTGAAGTAGCGCAATGGGAGAAATATGATCCAGTTAACCTCGTTAAAGTCGTGTCGAACAACGGAAACGATACGATCTTGATTCATCAGGGTACAAGCGATCCTTTTTACAAAGATCAACTGAAACCTCACCTGCTTATCGAGGCCGCAAAAGGGACTTCTTGGGAAGGGAAGATAAATCTGAATCTCGTCGACGGGTTTGACCATTCCTACTATTTCGTGAGCTCTTTTGTTCCACAACATGCAGAGTTCCATGCCAAAAATTTGGGTCTTATTTAGTACTACAGTATCTTAAAACATTTATTGAGTAGGTTCGCCAATTGCCCCAGTAATCAACTTAAAATTAATGCACCCGTATGCCATCCTGCTGCGGTCACTGCAAGACAAGTGTAGTCAGTATCGCCCAACTTCACGAGCGTCGGCTTCAGGACCCTCGTGCTTCTCAGATTTTCGATTCTTCCAGCATGTCGTTCATTGACAATTACTTCACGGTCGCCAAGTCCTAGACATCCGCAGAGTTCACTTTCCAGACCCCAAGTAAAAATCTTTCCCCTTGATGTAAGTGCTACTGTGTGGTAGTCACCTGTGGATAGTGATACAAACATATCATCTGAGTTTTCCAGCTCGAGCTTGACAAGACTTTGCTCCACAACTTGACCATCCAAGACATTCACGGTGTAGCAGCTACGAGTCGTGAAAATCGCAAGCATAGTGTAACAGCCTACCAGCTTGACAATTCGGCCTTCGATAGGTAGCACGACCTTCTGCACGAAATCATTTGCAAAGAGCCGCAACTCATCGCCTCTGGCAGTGATGAAGAAAACGCACAAGTTGGTGCAGCACGCGAAGTCCACAATTTTGTCGTCGCCGCTACAAACGCCCGTGTTGGGAATCACTTTGTAGTTTGCTGCTGCATAGCTGTCATTTTCCCTGAGAGCGTTGCGGCTGCTCCACACAACCAGACCTATATTGAAGATGGAAACACAATTGTAGTTCCATCCGCTTCCTATTTTAACAACAGGATTTGTCTCTCTGGTCGGTAAGCCATCAAAAATGATCCGTACGCCTTGTTCAACGTCTGGCCCATCCCACGAATATAATTCACCTTCATCGCTTAGCGCCAAAATATGCGATCTGCCAGAAGAGACAGATTGAAACTTGATGTCGTCTAGTTTTTTAGTGTCGATTTTGAAAATGCCAGAACTCTCCAAATCACTTTTTGTTACGTTGCGAGTGAAAAGTCGTCTTATGTGTCTATTACCGGCAAGTTTCTGATCTAGAATGCGTTCGGCCTCCTCAAAACTGGCGTAAATATTTTCGTGTGGCCTTTCGAGAGGCATGGAACTTGTAGTATTTATGGGTACCACGCCGCCTTGTCTTGGAGTTCTGCCGTTGAACATAGTGAGACTTCGTTCGGACTGCATGATCAGACGCTGAAATGGATTATAATCGCTTTCTCCTTCGACAGGGCCAGGCCCGCGATGGCCACCGGAATAAGTTGAGCCCGTAATGTAAAGTTTGCCCGATTTTGTCAATATTTGAAATGAAAACCCTCCAGCAGAAACAGATGCAATGCTGTTGTTATCTATTCGATGTGATGAGCCCTCAGCGTCAGAATCCCATGGAACTTGGACAGGAGTGTTGATACCGAATTGCAGCCTCATTCCTGCATTGTTTATAAATTCAGGAGGCAGGGATGGATGGGATGAAGCCGTATAGCCCAGTCGCGCGTGTTTCAATGATCCCCAAGTATACAGTCTGGCCTTGAGAGATCGTAATTTATACAATTGTGCCCACGACTCATCGGGAAATCGATTCCTGAGTATCATTTCGCAACAGCTCAAGTAATGTGAGTTCTGGCTCGATTCTAAAGGCTCTGTCTCGGAATGCAAAGGTCCAAACGTCTTACGGAAGATTTCATGCCAAAGAGTGTCCGAAGAATTGAAATCAAGAAGTTTGTGGAAATACCTGTTGGTCAAAGATAGATTTTTGATGTCCCGCAAAGATAGGTATGGTAACGCGGCTTCGACAATGTCCGGTGGTAGAGAATGCTCGATAGGATGGCTCATCGCTAGTTTCTTTAAAGATCGGATCCCATCTTAAAGGGAGTTAGTCCATCTAATATTGGTTTTGATTTAAAATCATTTTATACTCTCACGTCACCAACCAAATTAAAGCGGAAGAACGGTGTCCTCACTGATCAACGAGTAACCGGTAATTATTAGTAGTGTTCCAGTAATGTCGTGAGAACTACATGCTGTGGCCACCAAGAATGCGGTGGCACTATTATATTATAGGTAATCTTCATAAGAGTTAACCTTTAAAAATGCTGTGCCAGTATTTTACAGTCTGGTGAAAGCTCTCTGCAAAATTTGGCGAATCTTGTACCAGTTCTCGATACGCAATCTTTCATTGTTCAAGTGGGCATTGTCTGTGCTTTGGCCGCAAGGAATTTGGATGGCACTAGAGCCTAGGGCACGTTCCAGAAAACGCACCTGAGGAATGGAACCGCCCTCCCGCACGAAAAGCGGGTCGATTCCCCAAGCCTCGAGAATCTCCTGCTTCAAAACTTGATAAGCAGCGTTGTTTGGCTCTCCAAGCCATGGTTCTGCCTCATTTAGCAATTTGAACTCCAGTTGGTTGGAGGTGTGGAATTTTTGAAAACACTGGGCAATGTATTGCTCCAGAGAAAGTTTCATTACATGGACATCTTGCCCTGGAACAATTCTAATGGATAATGTAGCATAGGCGCTATGCGGTATGACTGTGGCATTTCCTGGACCGCTGACCCTCATGTTGGTGATGGATAGCGAAGGCTGGGTCCATTTGGCCATGAGGTTCTCGACACTTACCGACTTATCCAGGTCTGCCCGCTTAAAAATCTGCTCGAAACGCAGTTTGTCTTCATCGTTCAGGTCAGCCAAAGAGGTGTAGAAACCTGGTATCAAAACGCGACCATCATCATCTTGTAGTTTAGACAGTAGACGAGAGAGGTCGGTCGTGGGCTCTCTGTGTACACCACCATCAAGTCCAGAATGTCTGTCTGGTGCCCCGCTCCAGACTCTTAGTTGCACATTGATAACCCCGCGCAATCCGTAATTGAGACACGGCGTTTTCTCGTCTATCCAGTAAGAATTACTGAATAGAACCCAGTCGACATCGTTGCCCAAAAGGTTACGGTGTTTTTTAATTGCTTCTGCAAACCCCTGCGAGTTTGACTCTTCTTGGCCTTCCACAAGGAAAACAATATCCTTTTCGAGGGTTCCCTTGGAGAAGCAAGACCCAGCACTGTAAATGGCAGCCGCTAGAGGCCCTTTGTTATCCGTAACACCTCTTCCCTTCAAGTAGCCATTTTCGCAAGTCAACACATAAGGATCGCTATCCCATTTACCAGGATCTCCGGGGGATATAATGTCGTAATGACCATACCAAACGATTTTGGATTTAGAGCTGGATTTTCCCTTGAATGTTGCATGCACCAGGGGGTTGTCGTTACTGCCAATCGGCAGAAGCTCACAAGTAGCTCCCAATTTAGTGAATACCTGTTGCAAGTAAGAGGCGCAACGACGGGAGTCAATCGCATGTTGACTTTCGTTGGAAGCAGATACCGTTTGGAAGCTCACCAGGTCGCGTAAGGTTTCCAGCATGCTATCATTATCAAGAATAGACTGGCACTTTGACCACTGTGTTCCATCTCTGTAGCTATTAGGTATCAGATTTACGCTCATACCGTGATCGGCATGTTCTCCGACAAGTCCGCTAATATTCCATAATGTCAAACTACCGCTCTTTGCACCAGTCGCCAATCTCAAATGACAGCATCCTGTGCACTTTTTCTTCAAAATCTCTGTGCTGAGCACTAAGCTGTCTTCCACATTTCTTTCATAAATCTCATCCTTATGGAACTTCGTAATGCCCTTTTCGTGTGCAGCAAAAATATGATCGTCATGAACACTGACAGATACAATGTCGCATCTACTAGGACTTCGCAAAGTGGAAACGAGCTCATTGAGATTAAGATCCCATATTTTGATGTACCCCCCATTCAGCCCACAGTAAAGAAATGGGAATTTTACAACTTGACAGAGTACGCTTTCATCGTTGTCCATTTCGGCTACCAACTGAACATTAACGCTGCATTTTTCCCCTCTGGAAAACGCCCAAACTTTACTCAGCCCGTCCCCTCCACCTGACACGATAAAGTCTGTGTCTTCCTTCTTCAAGCCGCCGACATATAATGCGTCGGGTAGATGAGCACTTGTAACACTGAGAGGTTGGATAGAGTAAATGAAACTGTTGTGCGCGTAAGAAATGCTATTGCTCAGGGGAATCTCCATAATTGTGTGGTTTGGTCGCGTGGGGCTTGCAGGCGAAGGAAACGGAACTCTGCTAATAGATCCTGGGCCGGTCGAGTCGAAAAATTTATCATACCGACGGTGAGGCAAACGATTCATATCGTTACACTCGGATTTACCACTCATGCGGTCTATAACGCCCGTCATGTAGAGCATGTTAGCGTTTTGGCAACCGAAGACGATAGTTTGGTGAGCGTCCAGGTATTTGAGCGAGAATATATCGCCGATATCAAGCAAAGAATACAACGTCGCAGCTTCGCGGATTGGGAGGTCTCCATTGGAAGTCAAACGCCCAATCGACCATATTCTAATCAGAGAGTCCGCACCCGCCGAAAATAAAAACTGTTCGTCCTGAGACTTGGTCATGCATAAGACACTCGATCTCGTGTGCGTCTCATCTTTGTCGCCCAAATGAATGGTTTTGACCAAATTATAGGTAGTTAAGTCGAAACATAGAATCTTGGAGTCATGGGTCCCCGCGAACAGTATTTTCTTATGCGGGAAAGCCACTGTTGACAGAATAGCGAATGGATGGTTCCATTTGTGAATTGCAGGCAACATCTCAACCGCGACGACTGTGAAATATGATTAGTGAGTTGAACTCAAAGATCTTGAACGCTGCGATGCTGAATTTATCGACATCATTTTGTAGGAGCTCTGAATGGCATCCACAATTGTGTGACTTTCACTGATCTCGTCAAACGGCAATAAAAATTTCGCAGCAGGGGCAACGGGCTCGTTTGTATCACCGATTCTAACGTTATCGGCGTTGAAAGAATATTCTTGCCAGGTTGTTCATGGCCGGGTCGAACCATACGCTTGGTTCTTGCTGGATTTCGTACATTTGTTATGCGATGGAATGTTTTTTGTCGAGCAGACTTTTCGAGTTGTTACGATCCTATCTTTGTTGAAGTAGGTCCGCTGCGTCGGGATTAGAACTGGTAAAATCCTGGGAAACGAGCATTGGGCGAGATATGCTGAGGAGCAGAATGACGACTTCTAGAAGCAAACCTTCGTGCGGGAAAGCTAAAGTTTGATATCACCGGCAGATCCCGTCCACGGTGACACAGGAAGAACAATGGCGACGCCAGAGTTCTTAGAGTTCATACTAGCATCTAGGTTGGCTTGGGGCTTTGTTTTGATGTGACAAGGTGTTTTTAAGGTAGTTTTGTATTCAAGCCTGATTCGACCTCAACTCTTATTGTTTGACTTTTCCAGTTCACAGTCGAGAAGTCAGAAGACGTGTTTGTAAACAGAGCCTCACGAAAAGTGACAGTTTTGCAAGCCAGTTCGTGATTGAATGGCTCTCTGTCTGTCACTTGAAAACTGCATTCTCTTTGTTTTTTCGGTGTCCTTGGATTTGGTCTGTGAGCTAAACCAGAGTTTTCTTTTGAACACGGTGGCTCCCTATGCATACAGCAGACCTCCCTTTCGGTATCTAAAACAGCCTCTTGTACTGTCCACTCTGTCGCCATGATGCAGATCAGACCCTTGAGTGAAAAAAAATCGAGCTCGGCGGCTAAATCAACACCTGCGCAGTTTGGGACTCCTCACAAACAAAAATATCCATTCTTCCCGCTTTTAAGGCAATCTTGACCCCCAAGCTCTTGCCGGAGCATCTTTTGGCTTCTTCATACCCTTCATGCCGAAAGCGTCCCCCTCCAGGTCATTGTTCGAAATACAATCACGTAACAGCCGCGAAGGACATAGTCCAAAGCCTGGGAACCCTATTTTTTTAAAGCACAGCTACACAGCAGCACAGAGTAATCTCCGGTCTCGCTAATAGCTCAAACCTGGACTCCAAAGCCCTCGAGTTTCTCAAAAGTGGTGTCTTCTTGAAAAGTATACAAATAGCGAGTACCACTTTCTTATATCTTGAGCATTTCTCCTCGAGTACATCTGTACTCATGAGTTTTTCCAACTTCACTAAGAACTGGAAAATTTTAAACATATGGCATCTCATCGCATCTCATCGCACAGTAAAAACTAGTCTTAAAGGTCGCAAATGATCGCTGTCGAAGCCAGTTCACATGGTATTCCACCTCCAGATGAGGAAGAATTGATACTTAGCCGTCTGGTATTTGGAGACACGGCCAGTTTCCATGAAAATTTGTCGCAACTACGGCATTTGGACGAGGGCTTCGCTAATGAAGATGATGTGGAAACAATGCAGGCGGATAGTGCAGAAGAGGATGAAGATGTGGAAGAGGGAGCTGAGATGGATCGAATGAATGACGACCAGCTTTTTTTCGTGGACGAAGGAACAGAAAGTGAGCCACAGGGCGTAAGGTCCGATGACGACGATGACAATATGGACACCGGCGACGATAGCGGTTCAGAAACCGGGGAAGTTGAGAGCAGCGATGCGTGGTCGGACTCCGACGACGAACGTGTAAAAGTGGCCTTCACGGCAACAAACAAGACCAAAAAACTGCGGACTTCCTACACAGAGGGACGCATCAGAGGCCGGGACTACGTGCAGCGTCTCAGATCGCAATTCGAGAAAATATACCCCAGACCGCAGTGGGTCGATTCTGTGAGCGGAGAGGACTCGGAAGCTGGCGAAAGTGACTCGGATAACGACGAGGACCACGAACGAGTCATCAACGGCGACCTGAGCGCGCTCTCCAAGATTCTACAAAGCACCTACGTTTACCATGACGTTTCTAATCGGCTACTGCCGCCCAAGGTGCTTGACATCACTCGTCTCAAGGACGCCAACGCTATGCATCCATCTCGTGCTGCCATACAATCGCTTTCATTCCATCCTCTAAAACCCCTGCTACTGACCGGAGGGTACGATCGGACTCTAAGAGTTTACCACATTGACGGGAAGAACAATCATCTAGTCACTAGTTTGTATCTAACGGGAACGCCCGTTCAGACCTGCACCTTCTACGTGACCCCCTCGCATCAAGAACAAAAAATATTAACCGGTGGTAGACGTCGCTACATGCATTCCTGGGACATTTCCAACAATGGCGCTAGTCAGCAATCAAAGATAGAGAAAATCTCCAGAATGTATGGGCACGAAGATACACAACGGTCCTTCGAAAACTTCAAGGTTGGCCATATGTGCAATAAAGACGGTCATCACGGTATCATTTTACTCCAGGGAAATAACGGGTGGGTGAACGTACTGCACGCTACTACTGGGGTCTGGCTGTACGGTTGCAAAATTGAAGGCGTTCTTGTGGACTTCTGCCTAGATTACAAAGCCGGTTTCAACGGCAGCTTTCAGACAATTCTGATAATGGTCAACACGTATGGGGAGATCTGGGAATTCGATCTGGCCAAGAGTGGTGAGGTGTTGCGCAGATGGAAGGACGACGGCAGTGTTGGCATCACCACCATCCAAGTGGGTGGTGGCAACAATTCGACGCAGCTGTTACCTTTCAAAAAGGTGAGACACAACAGATGGCTGGCCATTGGCAGTGCTAGCGGATATGTGCATGTTTACGATCGCAATTCCAGCAGCAGCGAACCTGTCGCCAAACTGGACCAGCTCACCACTCCTATATCATCTTTGGTATTTTCGCCAGACGGCCAAATTCTTTGCATGGCCTCTCGTGCTACTAAAGATGCTCTGAGACTCGTGCATCTGCCCTCAGGCAAAGTTTTCTCAAATTGGCCCACCAGTGGTACGCCGCTGGGTAAAGTTACAAGTGTTGCATTTTCTCCTCGTGGTGAAATGCTAGCTGCAGGGAACGAACAGGGCAAGGTAAGACTATGGAAGCTGAATCACTACACTTGATGGTGATCACGGCATAATTTCATAAAAAATGCATTTCCGAAAAAAACGAAGACGACTTTCGTTATCTTAATTATCTGCCTACAAGACTAGAGCTACGTCTTACTCACTGCTCCATTTTTCTGTCTGCTAAGAGCTAGTTTAGTCAACTGAACATGCAGCGTCAGTTAATGTCAGAGTGATAATGATCTGTTAATTGAAATAGTATATAAAATTTTAAGATATACGAAAAGCTCAAATAGCACTACCGAAAGGCATCGGGAACAGACAACTTTATCGACTCCACTCAATTTCAAGGTTACAAATGAGACCAACGTTGGCCAGCCTTTTCCACGAATCACCGGTGAGTCTTTTAACGAGACCTTGGAAGAAAAACCGGGACGGAACGCTGTTTTACGGTGTATCCAAGTCGGGAAACAGAAGAACTGCTTTGACAACAAAACAAGGTAACAAAACGCTATATAAAGGTACCCGTTCCTCAGGTATCGGTAAACACACAAGATACGGTGGCTATACCATTCACTGGGGGAAGGTTCGTACATTTGTGACGCCCAGGAATTTCAATTCGGAACTCAAACCTCTAGTAACTCACAATGTGCCAGAACTAAGACACAATTTCCAAGGTTTCCAGAAGGGTGCATTAGATGCGCAGTTGTACTTTAAAAAGTTGCAGGACTACGTCAAGAACGGCAAGGTGCAGAGTGAAGCGTCGGACGTCAAATGCTACGTGGAAAGGGGATAAATTGAAATGGTAACTAATACTCATGTATATATATATATAAAGAATTGAATTTGCATATTGCCACTTTGGTGGCTTTCAATTTTGTTGAGGATTAGATGCGCTCAACTGAGAGCCAAGAGCTAAATTTCACGTAAGATCACAATTGGCGTGTATGACTGATGCTGTGGGGAATTCAAATATCGAGCATCTAGTCTTCTTTTTCAAAGAGTTTCTGACTTTTGATATAACACGTTGCTTTGAGGGCAATGTAGCCTACTTATTCTATACAAGACTCTATGGGAATTGCGCCCACTTAGTGGTCGGTCGACTGTATGATTTTTGGTAAAATTTTTGAATGGTTCATTTCGATGATAATCCTGTTTTCAGGGCGTCAGTATTAACTTGTGTTCAATTTATGCTCCAGTAACGCCCAAGACTTGGGTCAAAGCACTTTGGCCACCGTTTTGCTGAAATTCAGCGGTGATCAATTCCAATAGAGAAAATCCACAGCTGACACCAACGATGATGCTGGCACCCTTACCCTTCAAGCCCAAGAGCTCACCTGCTACAACTAATAGAGCCAAAAGCACTGCACCAGTAGTGGAGGCAACTGGTACGATCTTGTCCAATTCTTTTGCAATACCTTGTTCTCTGTGACCAGTAAGAGTGATGCCTTGCTCCTTAAATTGAACGCTGATATCACGGGCCGAAGAACCGCTAATGGCTTGCCATAGTCCCGCAAACCATACACCAGTCACAATCATGAAGGCGCTGAACACGATTGGGGTAAGTGGCTGTCTTGTGATGCACTCAACAAAGGACTTAGGAGGAGTCAATAGCGATAGTGGGAATTGTGGGACATAAAGTAGGTTGTTGGAAGAAGCATAGCCACCAATGACTTTGTACAGAATGGATGATGGATCGTTACGGGCCACTACTTGAACCAAAACGAAGGCGACGATGTGAATGTAAAAGAGCACAACGTAGGAGAAAAGCACAGACAAACCGCCGACGTAGAGCAAACGAATTGGGTAGACGTTGTTTACACCACGGGCTCTGGTGGATCTGATTGGCAATTCCAAACGGAAGTTGTTGATCAAACAAACGGCAACGGCCAAAGCAATCACCAAAAGAGTGGTAGTCAAATTTGGCAGGTAGTCACGGTTGAAGGCCCCGACGATGGCACCGGCAAAGGTCTTGTGAGAGGCACGCATCGATTGGAATAGGTTAATGATTGCACCCTGTGCCTCGAAGTGGCCCTCATTGTCGACCGGTAGCTGATTGACACCGAGAACGTCCCCGACAAAGTTGGTGGCGATGGTCACAGTGGTGATGGCCATGGCACCCGACGCAAATCCGTATCCTTTGTCGATGACCTCGACCAAGAGCGTCACGAACAGCCCTGCTGAGACCAGTTGCAGGTTCAAGAGTACCACTTGAAAGACGGTCAAAGCGGAGCCGTAGTAGCCCGAAAAGATGAAAATGTTAGCGAGCACAACGTACTCCAGCACTGCAAACAATTTCGTGCAAGTTTGGAACAGCTCACGGTCTTGACGAACCTTAAAATTGACTTTGATCAGTTTGAGACCGGCCAAAACCTGCATGATCAATGCAGAAGACACCACTGGGAAAGTGCCGAACTCCAACAGCGTTCTGGGTTCAGCTGCGAAAACACCACGCAAGAAGTAAATTGGGTCCAGAACAGAGCTGCCCTGCTCTTCAATGGTATCTTTCACCACACCCGCCAGCGGAAGCTGGCCAAAAACGTAGATCAACGCAGCAATGATGGTGTACACCACCTTGTCGTCGAATCCGATTTTTTCATAAGGTAGCTCCACCTCTGGAAGCAACGGCGCAAAAGGCCTTGCCAGCTCGATCAGACGAACTTTAAAGAACACTTAAGTTAGTAAAAAGATCACCGCATCCCTAGTAGCTTGAAATAGACCACATACAGCCTGCCATTTGTCCAATTGAGTTGGTTTGTAGTGAGCTTATGGTGGGTGAGAAAGGCAGCTTTTCTTCACTTATTGACTTATCTCATATATACATTTTTTTCAAGTTTTGATAGATATCGCTCTGTACGTATAGGTGGGCCTATGACATAGCCATGCTTTACTTTAAAAGCTTGAATTTAAGGCGTTGAGCAGTAGTTCGAAGGATAGGATTGGAATTAGTGGAACTCGAAGCACGGCATGTAGCTTTTGTTCGATGTCTTGATATGTATTTTTTTTGGCTGAGGGTTGTGAGTGCATGGAAGCCAAAAAAAACCAAAAAAAATAATAAACGGTATTGAGAGTCTGAGATGGGTGGAGCTGTAGGTGATATCAGGTAGACTTATAAATGCAGCTAATTGCAATTTGTTCGATGTCGTTTTAACGTGCGTATCACACTTTGTGGGGAAACGCTGTCAAATTTATTGAATATATCGCTTTGTACATGTCCGTCATCTGGCGCGGGTCACGTGATTTTGTAATCGAAACGCCTCAAGGGCAGATCCTAACGCGTGTTTCGGTTTTCTGGCTTGTACGGGATGTACCACGGTGCGAGGCATGGAGAATTAAATATCTCGGTGAGGTTGATATGGATGTGCTGCTGTGTAACAATGATAACTTGTCACCAAAAAATAGAGTGATGCGAATATGAAAGCAAACTGCGGAAGTTGAGTGTCCTAGCACTGAAAGGCGATTTGACGGAATTCTGTTTCACGTAGCAGGGAGCCCAGCAGACTAAAAACCACTTTGTCAGTAACACCTTTATTCTGAGCAGTAGAATTGGTGCGATTTTCTATAATCACGCGTCACGTAATACTTGAGTGACGACAGATGGAATTCCCGGCACTGAGAATTGGGTTCTCGTCCGATCATAACGACTCCTCATATTTAATCTGCTGTTCGCGGTATATAACTGATGCACATCATACTCCTTTCACTAGACGACACCGTCTTTTATCATGATTGAGTCAGGAAAATATCTATATAAGTACTTCTTCAGCATAATGACAATAGGCATTGTATGAAAGAGAAATACTAGCGCGAATAAGCCAGCATCTTTTTGACGAACAAAAACTAACCCTAGTAGAAGTAAATAATTTCGAGACTTTTTCAATTACCATACATAGATAACAAGAAACATGGTGTATTCGATTTTATGATATACCATGTGAATTCGGTGATCGACCTGAACCTTGCGAGCGCCAAAAACTTAAGAAAAGCATTGAGTTTATGGTCTTTATCTCCTGGTTCTGAACCCAAAGGTTCTGGATTTCTTGGTTCACATGCTTTTTATACTTAAGCGAGTTTATGATTTTAATTGCTAAAGAGCAGTGAGTTTTGACTCTAGGAAACAAGACATATGCCAGGAGAGATGCGACTCCCTGAATAGTGTGAAATAATGTTTATTATGCCAGTTCCAGTGCCACTGTCATTGCCTCTGTCGGTGTCAACCGTCATTGTCTTAATCTCATATTTCGTACAACATTACCTTTCTTCAGGAAGTAATTAAAGATCGGGAAGATGGAAACTGTTCATCGTCATGAGAACCTTGATTTTAGGCTCGTGGGACACTGTTATCAGCCAGTCCATCCGTTTAAACAAGCATCAAAGACATTTCACGCAAGTAAAATGAGCAAACTTCTCAAACTAACTTCAATCGCGTGCTTGACCTCGACGCTGGCCGGTGTTTCCTACCTGTACATGGTTGACAGAAATGGATACCACTATCAAAATGCAACATGGAAGCGAATGTCTGACCATGTTCAAGGGATTTTGGACCGCAAAGACGACCTTGTAGTGCATCAAAGAGGCCAAAACGCTCAGGAGGTGGTTATCAGACCTCTAGGCGAGACTTTGAAAGATATGTGGAACGCGCAAATCAGAAGCGCAGTCGATTGGACGTACTCTTGGGGTAAATGATGAAGACGCTGCATGTCATACGCAAGTACAGAAACATTAAACGGGCAGTGAGGCCGTAGCGAGCTTTTAGTAGGACACATGAATTTGTTTTAGTTCTGCTATATTATGGCCATGTATATATTCAATCTGATAACGAAGCATATTTTATGTGTAATAAGGTGCAAAGCCAAGTGTGGGGCACCTGTTGGTGTGATTATGGATCTGACAGTTTTCTAAGGCTGTATCTTAAAGTCAACGTCACCGAGCAAATTGTATAAACGTTTACGAATTACGAATTTCGAGCATCACATATTGTACAATAAGCTGCCATTGTAGACTCAGTACCCGTATAAGGAATATAATGAACATAAGCTTAAAAAGGTCAACCGAAATACGCCAATTGAATTGCATCGTTGTCAAATGCGTCCTTCTTTAATATTTGGTATCCCCAGCTTCCTGGGCGATCGATCACTTTGTACTTGCATGGCGTCGATGCATGTAGAACCCAAGGAAAAGAGACAACAAGCCGTGTTTTGAGTCGATTAAGAACTGGAGAGTCTTGCTCGATACAGTCGAGCCTCTTAAGTCTGTAGATGCAATAAAATCAATTTTCTGCGTCTAGGAAGATTGGGCCGCATGCTAAGAGGACATTTCTCAAATCGAAGGGACACACACTTGCTTGCAACTCGAAAGTCGTATTCTATAGCTCATACGATCACATATGATGGTGGGAAGCCATAATATTTCTCAGTTTTAAGGTCGATTCATAATATCTCATCCTCCGTATATCTGACGTTAAACGTCAATAATTCTTCAAGATAAAAAAACCCTGACAACATCATCTTTGTATACTTCAACTGATCACAATCGGTTCAAAAAACACTACTGTATCCATAAGCTAATCAATTTCTTTCAAATGCAAGGTCTGATACAACTTCACAGGTATTTCCTACCCGTCCAGGGTCCCCAACTCAAAAACATGGGCTGCACTTTGGACATGGAAGCTCAAGTACTTGAAGAAAAACAACAGCGCTGGTGTTGGACGCCAAAATGGCCTCAGGTGCTAATATTTAGGGACACTGATTGGATTTTTGCGCGACTTGAAAATATGGGCATCAGTTGAATGAGGACCATAATCTTGGCAACGCACGAATGGTATCTACCATAACATTTACAAAATCTAGCAACAAAATCCATAAACATCGAAGCAGCAAAGGACTTGACGCAGAGCAATTTTGGCATGAATAATGATCGTCTCGAGTTTATGACAATTAAATCTATGTAATCTTTCGCAGCCCACATCACAACTAGCTGAGGTCTGAAAAGACAATCATTATTTGATATAAAAAGAGAAAACTCTACATTTATCCCATCCGAAAAAGTTGGTAGTTACGTCAGTACTTCAGCTTTGATTTCGCACTGTTCATTTCATAACTTTCATTAAATAACGAACCCTCCTCTGTAACTAGCGTGATGTGCATTTGAAAAATTTCGATAACTTTGAATCTCAAGTTAAGTCATCTCATCGCATCTAAAAGGCGGTTGTACCAAATCATGGACAAGCCTGACGCTAGTATAAATTATGAAGATGCTGTGGAGTACTGGACTTCAGTCCCAGCTACGGTAGACGGAGTTTTAGGTGGATACGGCGAGACTACAACTGTACCTGCAATGGACGTTGTAGGCTCGAACCATTTTCTCAGAAAGCTGAAGTCTCGAATGATCGTGGAAGATGGATATAAAAAGGTAGGATGCGACATTGGCGCTGGGATCGGTCGTGTTACGCGAGACATGTTGCACAAGCATTGCGATGTGGTAGATCTGGTAGAACCGGTCAAACCCTTTGTGGAGCAAATGCGTATCGAACTGGAACCGCTTGCCCAAGAGGGTCGTCTGGGCCATATTTACGACATTGGGATGCAAGAATGGATTCCGGAAGAGAATAGGTACTGGCTGATCTGGTGTCAGTGGTGTGTGGGTCATTTGCCAGATGACGAACTCGTGAAGTTCTTTGAGCGTTGCAAGAAGGGACTTCAACCAAACGGCACAATCGTAGTCAAAGAAAACAACACAAATGCCCCAGAAGACGACTTTGACGCTACTGACTCCTCTGTAACGCGCTCGGACGAGAAGTTCAAGGGGTTGTTCGAGAGGGCGGGATTGAAGCTGATAGCCGTCGACAGACAAAAGGGTCTACCTAGGGAGCTGTACCCTGTTCGAATGTACGCTTTAAAGCCACGCGACCGCTGAACGAGGAGCAAAAGTGACGACGTCTAGCAAGAGACTCTACATAATTTACAGTCTTGATAAAAACGAAAAGTTAAAAAAAAAGTCTCAAATCAGATAGGAGCGAAAGACTAAAATCGATGGTTGTTTTATCTTCAATCAAAAGTCAGTTGAACTATGCATTAAACCGGTAAACTATCATCATTTAAAGAGACGACATTTGTTCTTTTCCTCAAAGATCGAAAAGCACTCGAAAGAGCACATCTACAAGATGGTCGTTGGCCAAGAATCACAGTCTATAAGCTTTATAAACAGTGGCTCTCCAGCCACGCCATCTAGCGAGAGAGATCGCTGGTCTTGTAATAATTGAAAAGTACCGAGTTGTAGAGTAAGTTCAGTAGAACACCGAGTTTATATAGTCCCGTTGCTGAGTGTTGAAAAAAATCAGACACTACGTAATACGTGATAAATTTCAGAGAGCTTAGGGCTCAGGTGTCAGTATATTCTTGTAGTTTGAGAGGTGTTTATACTGGGATGTTTGACGTGCAATGCTAAGTTTAAGGTTTGATACTCCCGATGCGTGAGTAAGCCGGAAAATAAGAGCTCTGGAGGATTTGCCAGAGTTTTAGAACAATTCCTGAGTCTGCTTGAAATTGTAGGAAGGCACCGCTTAATTCGTGGTTGTAACCTAGCAGTCGAATACTGGCAATAATTCTTGAAGGTTCCAACATTATGGTACGGTTTTAGAGGACGTCACACTCTTTATAACCGTATTTGATCCACACCGGGGTCCACATGACACAATGACAGGTATCGTTGCAACTACATAACGTGTCAGTGTCAGCGACAAAAGAAGATATATGAGCACCCCAATAATGATGAGGAAAAGTGGCTACGAGAGCCAGCTGTGGAGCCCGGCTGTGCCTATATTTGATACTCTCCATGTTTTACTGGAAAGCAGCATAATACGAAATATATTTTGTAAATCCAAAAAGCATACCGTTTGCCGAAGTTCCGATAGCGACACCATGAGTCCATCAGGAGGATTGAAGCTCCAAACAGCATCAGGCTTTGGGCTATTTGCTTTGATATTATTTACAAGGTCGTTAGTGTTAGGCGATTTTTTTGATTACATACCCTTTTCCCAGTAGTGTGCCAAGTTATCGTCCTTAGAGCTTTATTCTGGTCTAAATCTTGGCTGCGCGTTTAGCCTTGTTTGACAACTCATCACAAATGAGCTGTATAATACAACAGCTACCTATTAAACACGATCTTATCCGCGACCGCAGGAGGCAAGCAATTCAAACCGTTTATATGAAAAAAAACGGGGCAACAATTGCAACAAACACTTCCATCGTCCACGACAGCATATATCAGCCGTTATAGAACTCCACTCTTAGCAAGCAGCAGTATCGAAAAAACGTTTTGCATCCTCAAAACGGATCTTTACTTGAACCCGGTTAACTCTTATATAGAAGTCAAACCTTCTAAAGCGAGCAGTTGATTTGAGAAGCCGAAATCGACAGCTAGTATTACAGTCTCACAATATTTATTACTCTGCCATACTAAAATGTCACGGTGACGACCTATTGCAGGCTCAAATGATTGAAAGAAGAAAACTTTCAGAACTGCGAGAACGCTAGTTTCTATTGGTGACAACTTCAGAAATCATCTAATCTCCAAATCCAAGCATGCCTCCGACGCAGAAGATGTATCAAAAGAATAATTTCGACAGACAGAGGAGTAAAATAACCACTTACGTCTCCAAACACCTTAAAAACTCCCAATTTCTACACAGAACGCAGCAGTATTTTTCTGCCACCAAACAAACAAGCCACTTCTGCAGACTGCTTCCCTGACGCCTCTGGAACAGATCTTACAAAACTTTTAATTTTTCAACGTCCGGAAAAGGCCCACACATTCCTAAACCTATTTTTAATTCTAAAATAATAGCTCCACCGGACAGCAAATGAAATGAACTACACTACACTACACTCTTGATCTCTTGGGCTTGGTCAAGTTTAGGTCCATCTTAGTTTCAAAATGGACACGTTATACGAATGGCTTAAATTGTGTTGATAGCACTATTCACGAACCAAAGGTCGATTTATGTCTCAGGTATATGATTAGAGCTTTAACTCACCAACTCACCTCTACAAATCACAACTTGGGCACAGTAGTGCGTTCTTAGCACTGTCGATTTTGAACCCTGATTAAAGAAGTGGAAAAATTACCTTCAATGACAGAATCCCGGATTTCCACGAGCTCGGAACGAACCACGGAAGATCATGCTAATGCACCGGAAACGAACAATGACAACAATGGCTTAGCAACTTCGCCATTACCAAGAACAGAACACAAACCCGAGATGGAGGAAGATATAGCATCGAGACCAGAGATCGCGCGTGTGTTGAATTCTGACCTCGCAATCAATGCACTCTTGTCACGACTAAAGCAGTCGTTACTGACCTGTGAAGAGCTTACAAAATTCGTGCGTAAAAAATCGTTTTTGGAGGATGTTCACGCCCAGGAACTGGGCAAAACTTACAAAAACTTCTTTCAAGACAGTACGCTAACGTCGTCATTGCAACGAAGTATCCATGGCGTGCTTGACTTCGATGGGAAACTCGCTCAGGTGAAAAACAGCTACGTAAAAGCATTACAGAAAATGAGTGATGAACTCGGAGCATTACTGCAAACTATAACCAAAATGCGGAAGGGGCTCAAGGAAACTAGCCGCAGACTAGAAAAAGAAGTATCCGAGGCGATCCACATGGCAGAAAAGGCGAAAAACAGATACCACTCGCTGTGCCAAGACTGGGAAAAATTGAGAATGGCGGATCCTTCCAAGACGAAATTAACACTCAGAGGTTCCAAGACCACTCGCGAACAGGAAGAAGATTTGCAAAGGAAAATCGACAGCGCAGATCTCGATTTTAAACAGAAAGTTGATCACTCTGCCTCTCTTAGAAATACCTTCTTCACCAGAGAAAGACCCAAAATTGTGTCCGAACTAAAAGACCTGATTTTGGAAATCGACACAGCAATGGCTATTCAGTTGCAGAAGTACACGATCTGGACGGAAACGCTCATACTCAACAGTGGTGTGACCGTCACACCATTCGACCCATCCAAGTCCATGAAATCTGTGGCCGTTTCCATGTCAAACAAGCAAGACCTTTATGACTTTCTCAACAAGCACAATCATGGTTCCAGAAGTAACAACTTCATAAACAAAAACCTCATACCCGTTGAGTACAGACAACACCCATCGATGTCAAAGCCAAACCAAGGGAGAAATGGGTTCAATACACTGGGAAAGCAGAACCAGGCTTATCCAAGTGGATCCTCGTTCAATCCACCCGTAAATTCCCTGCCAAGAAGGATGGTGTCCACGCATAATGAATCGCCTTTTGAGTCATCAAAGAACAACAATCAGCAAGCATCTCCTGTTGCGGGAAACTATAATTTCACTAGCAGTCCTTCTCGTCAGACTATCATCAGAGCACAGATGGCACCAGTGTCATCTGCCTCTTCCCAACAGAAGCCAGTATCGTCCATGGTCGATGTAGTCGCTGGCAAGGAAGACACAATAGGCCCTGACGGAAAAGATTTTCCAACCTTAGACCCTGGAAATAATACCCGTACAACAAGTCTCACTACATCGATGGTTACTTCTGCAAGTGATCGCCCTATTTCCCACATTCAATCATCTGGGACCCTCCCACCTGGCATTAACAAGAATGTTAAAACTTTCGGCGTTCCGTTGGAAAACCTGATGGAATACGAACAAGAAATGGTTCCTGCTGTCGTTCGTCAATGCATCTACGTCGTGGACAAACATGGTCTCGATCTTGAAGGTGTCTATAGAAAATCGGCCAACGTGCTAGAAGTCAGCAGGCTTAAGGAGGAAATTGACAAAGACCCTTCAAACATATCAATGATCGTACCGCCTAAGAACTACACTGAGTCTGACATTTATCTGGCTGCGTCTATCTTAAAAGCTTTTTTCTCCAATCTGCCGACGCCTCTTCTTCCTCCTTCAATGACTTCTGACATCAAGACATGTCTTTCGATACAAGAACCAGTTACAAGGAAAAACTTCATGCATGGTCTCATCTACAAATTGCCCGACAGTCAATATTGGACTTTGAGGTCTTTGATATTTCATCTAATGAGAGTGGTAGAACACGAGCCATCTAATAGAATGAATCTAAAGAGTATTTGCATTATTTGGGGGCCCACAATAGTAGCACCCAGTGATACGGATGTTAACGACGTGAACTATCAAATACAGGCAATGGAAGTATTGATAAACGCCGCAACTCAAGCGTTCGAACCAGAGTAACGTCGATTTTGTAATTTAGATTGATCGTCACGCAGCAGACATCAAGTATTCAATCAATGCTTTGATTCCTGCAGCTTGCAATTTCGCAACTTATACGCTGCCTCACGATATGTATATAGAAGAAATGTAAATGTCGAGTTTAAGCTTCTCGCATAATATTCGTCCATTCATGATCTATAGTAATACAAATTGTTTTGAAGGGTATATAACTCCCGGCTTTCTGTGAGCGCAGATTTGAACTCTCCTAAACTGAATCCTGATCTAATTCTTTCAACCGACCGTACGAGCTCATCGAAAGACATGCCACCGTCACATCCTTTCAAAGATCGTACAATACTCGCGCGCAGCACATCTCTCACCCATTCTGCATTGTTTGGTTCTGGTGCAGCAATATCTATTCTCGTTTCATGAGATTTTGGTACAGTGCGGTGAACAATCTTCAGGCGCCCATTTTTCACCTTCTTTGGATCGGCACTAAATTCTTCGTTGACACTGTATGACCCGAGTAATTCTTTTAACAAGCCCGCGTCAACGAAGGACTGCAATGTGAGATCCACTTGATGTGCTGGTACACTCAGCAGTGACTCGAGCAAAGCAATCGATACCTCAGCTCGAGAGTTAAGGATCTCCAAAACACTAGCTTGTAATAAGGTAAGCTGCAAAACAAGAAATGAATTGTCCTCTAGCAGAAAATCTGTCTGTACTTCTAGGTGATGCAGCGAGTTTTGTAAAGTAAGAGGCTTCAGTCCAGATTTCGAGTCGCTTTTCAAGTAGAAGTTGTGAAAACGACTCCACTGCTGTCTCAAAGTTGGTGGTAGATCAATGTCATGGTTCGGTAGTTGTTGGAAGGACGAAGGCACATTCTTCCTTTCAAAGACCATGGGTATTAGTTCAACTCCATCCCGTCGTATCCTTTCGAAACCTTTACGAAGCGAGTTCGTGCGCTCGAGATCGTCACGCAACTTCGATACTTGTGGGAATATACCGTTGAGAGCAGCCACAGAATCAAACTCGTCCAGCACCGTTTTCTCTAGATTGTACGGATGCGCAGCAAAGCTCAGAAATTCTTGTCCCATTAATAACACTCTTCTGAAAAAGCTCTTCTCGAGGAACAGCTTGAAAAATGGTTCAGACAGATCGAAGTCACGAAGAATTGTGAATAGAGCCCTTAGTTTTTGACGTTGCCCTTCTGCAAACAACTTCGCATCATGATCGCCAATCCTCAGAGAGTCGTAGCAGTGCTTAATTATGACATTCAAACTCTTTAAAAGTGGTTCAAGAATCTTCAGCTCACCATCAAAAGTTTCCTTGAGACCATCTTTGATGAATTTATGGCAGGCCGGATCTTCCAACGCATAAAGAGACTCACAAAAGGCAAGAATCCGATCCGCGCTCCGATATTTCTGAAAAGAAAATTTGAATCTGCTAGAAACCTGCGAGGCTAAGACTTCATAAAACTCTCGGCGTCTGGCGCCAGTTTCATGCGCAAGCTTCAGAAACTCGAACTCTTCTTTGAGTCCCAAGTTAAGAGCATAAAGATCGAAGAGATCTCTTAGGCGTTTTTCACTGAAGATCAAATGGTTCGCTATTGTTTTCTTCACTTCTACCGCGAGATTTCGAGAAATGCAAGAGAAGATCTTGTACTCTCTGATCATCACAAGTTTAACGTTCTTGAGATAATCTTGATTGACGGCAATCTCGACATGATCCAGCATATTTTCGAGACTACTGAGATAAAGCTTCTTCAAAGATAGCTTCTGTTCCTTTAAAACGGTAAGACGGCATCTGCTCATTATTCGCAACAGCGTCTTGAGACAGTTGGTTCGGGCCTGATTGTCGTCTTCCGAGCCGTCAGATTTGGACAAAACGTTCAATTCCACTCTAAGAATCCGAAAAAGCTCTACAACCATCCGATCCGTTTTTTTTCCTAAAACAGACAGCCCTGCTTCGGCTAAGCGATAGTCTGCAAAATCGACTATGGTCTGTACACCTGGAATTTTATCTAAAATGAATGGAAAAGTACCAGTCAAGGCGCCAAATGCTTCCGAAACAAGGTGTTTCTGACGTTCAAAAGCGCCCATACAGCATTTTGGCCAAAGATGGACAAATCCGGCTTCGAAATCACTTTCTAACGCCAGACTTTCGATGAACTCCGAAATAACATGGTCAGCACTTTCATCGACACGGTCTACAATCATTCCCCAGATTTTTGCTACAACTTCTTCCTGGCTAAGCAATCGGTAGCACTTGGCCCGTTTTCGTGATGAGTCTTTTTCGCTCTCATCGTCTCTGAACGCAGTCGAAACGTAAATCTTGCTTTGCGTAACACTTTTGATCAACTCGTAGTAGTATGCTTGATCCACTAAAGGCAGTTTAAATGACTCTTCAAATTGTCCATTACGTGCCGAATTCTCGTCAAACAGTTCATTTAGAGCATCTTTGAAGGGCAGTGAAACAGAATCAAAATCAGGAAGAGTGTTCCTGCCTGTAAGCATGCTCAAAAGCAGCTCTCAGCTATCGCTAGGCTAATTGAAGGCCTGTAGGTTAGGATAGTTGGCATTCAAGATGCTGAACTGATCATATTCCTGTACGCATCTCATCTAGAAGGACGACATAACATTTTAAGCGTTCAAAGTGATCGTTTAGCACAATCTAAAGAGCAGAATGGACAATTTCGACTTTCCAATCGTTTGATCTGTATCTTTCCACACTGCTATGATTCATTTTAAGTACCTGGATTAAACTCCAGATTTGCCCGAGCGAAATCGAAATTTTTGGGATGACAGAGTCATCACTGCGAACTGCGTCTGACGCCGTTGGCAGTGGGCATTCATGTAAACTCGTAGGCGCAATTGAGACTCTGGTCATAGTTGCTTGTGGTGATTCTCTGGTCATAGTTGCTTGTGGTGATTCTCTGTGTGATATTGCCCTCCTCTATTTTTTGAGTGTTTTGAAATAACTTGATGAGTTAGAGACCTGAGCTTGAATTGAGAGCACCATGTCGCGGTGCCAATCGAAATATTGAGTCCTAATATATCTCGATGAAAGCTTTGGGAATAGGGTAGTAGGGTCTTCGCTCTTTGTCTTGTTCTCATCAAAATGTTTGTTTTTCAATTTCAATGTCCGGGACTCTAAGAAACGGTGATCTCGATGGGAAATATCGAAACAACGAAGGATGAGAATGATCCATGACTTTCATGTCTTGTGCTTGGACTACCATTAATAGTCAGAAATTCTTTGAAAGTGATCCTTCAAGGTGGAAGCTAAAACGCCTTGTTAATTTCAATTTCAGTTCAAGTTTGAGTGCGGAGCGATATTCATGTAAGTCGATCAGCCCGGCTGAGACCCGTGGAAATCTATTCTCATCGTATTATTCCGCCGGTTGACGCCCTTAGGCTGGAACCTATTATTGAATGTAAACTGAGCTCGATTCTGAAGCAAGAGACCAATCCGCGACAAAGATCGTAAAGTCTTAGTCAATAGCTCATCATCAACTAGTTGACATTGTTTCTTCAGCTCGTAAAAGCTGAGACAGTCGCACTGACTAAATTGTAACAGTACTGTAGCTTGCAACAAATTTACTTGAATCACCAATGGTCTCGAATTTGGCAGGACGAAAGGCGTCTGTAGCTCGACAGTATTGAGCATGGGTATTAAGTTCAACTTTGTTTTGCAGGTGGAAGTATTAATCTTAGTCGAAATTTTCTCTTCGATGGTGCCCCAGAGCGGCCGCATGTCCTCCGGCAATCGCAGTGTTTCCACAGATTCAGGTTTGTAGATCATTTCAACATCGCGTTTGGTTAAAATGACCGGCCCAATATCTGGCGACTCAATGTTCAGGTGTAAATGGGCCAAGTATGACTTTTCGAGTGAATCTTTGACGCTTCTCAAATGACTGTCTCCCGGTAAATTTTCGCTGAGCAGTGAGTTGTACACTTTCATTTCTGGAGTGGGCGGACCAGCTTCGAAAAGATATGTCAGAAACGTACGCCCTTCTTTGACAGCTCGACGCAAAAGACATAGCCTGGTGAAGGCAGGCACGATTTCCCCATTTAATTGAAATAGTTTTCTCGCTCTTGATATAAATTGTTCCAGCTGCTGATCAATTAGGTCAGCATCCTGCGACTTCTGCTTGAAGAAAGTGTTTAAACACTTGATCAAATCAGTTGCCATTATTTGCGCTCTCGATCCTGTACTACAATGGGTCTTCCAGCTGCGCTCGAACCCAACCTTAAAAGAAGCGTCTTCGAATAGATGACAGAGTATTTCCTCATCGTAATGGATCAATTTTTGAAGATCAGCGAAGCCCGTTCGTTGTGAAAAGGCATCTTCCATGGTTTTGTACATTCCTTCCACAAGCCCGCTCATGAACGATTCTGCACAGCCAGCAGCCTTGCATAGTTCTTGGAGACTTTTGAGGTCTATTTTGTTGACATCTGGGCTAGCGCGGTAATTTTTCATCAAAGAACTGATCAACTTCGTCAAGACTTCCGACCGATATAGAGTCTGTTTTAAAATGTTAACTCTTACATTTTCTTGGGTCTTCATACTGAAGCTTTGTGTAATGCTTTGTTCCGTCAGTATAATATCAGATAGAGTTGACAGAAATGCTGTCGTTGGAGGCACTGCCAGATTTTTTGCGTAAACGGTCGAGTTTTCCAAGTAAGTGGCTTCCACACAAAAGTCTAGCGGTTTCATTGAATTTAGTTGGGCTCTGTAGACTCTAGCATTTAGATTTCTTGCGTCAGGCACAAAATAGCCATTGCTCCTGGCCCTGGCCCAAGAAAATTCTAACATGCGAATCAATTGTGGGCACTTCCATTGAATGAGATACTCTAAAAACCTTAATTCAAGGTTTCCTGCCAGCCCACAGGGATGTTCATCAACAGTTAATGAATTTTGCTCTGAACCTTCTAATATTTTTATAAGAGGGAGTATCGTCCCGTATGTTTGCTGAGAGACGGAGTCTAGCCTTTGGAAAACTGCGTAGTCGGCTTCATCACAACCTGAACACTCATTTCGAAAAATTTTCAAAAGTTTCAAAGTGTAGGAATTCAACTTGGAGTCCAACGCATTCAAGATGTCACGACTGAGGGTGTAACGTCTTCCCTTTTGTTTCTTGTGCTGCACCTGGATTGAATCAATGCTGGTTTTCCAGTGAAGAAGTTGAGATGAGATTCTTGACACTGATGAGTAGTTAAGATCTTCCATTTGCAGCGCTTTCACCTTGGATTCCATGTCCTTTTCGCCAAGTGTGCGGCCCGGCTTCAGTGCGCCATATATCTCTAATTTGGAGCCGTTTGAGCTCATTGAAAGACGATTTTTCCCGTTTGAAAGGTATGAATTGGCAATGGAGAGCACCGATAGTGCACTCTCGATGTCTAATGGTCTGTAATTGGTCGGTATGGGCCTCTTTCTATATCATCGCATCTCATTTTATTCTAACTCATCTCATCTCAACTCATCTCATCGCAGTCAATTAGATATTTATTCAAAAATAACCAATCGTTAAGATCAGCAATCCAAGGGCGCTTGTAAGCTTCAGTAAACTGTTTAAAGCCAGTGAGTCTACCCACTACGAGTAAATTCAAAGCAACAATCGCTTTTTCGCATTTTTAAAATGACAACTGGCGACAAAGACCCAGCTGTTAAGCTGGCCAATGATTTCAAGAAACGAGGTTCTTTTGATGAGGAAAAGAGTCGTATACTCTCTGGACCTGTCGATTGCGCCGAGCAAACCACTTTGGAAGAGTATGTGCGCAATAGGGCCGCATCCTTGGCCAATGACATGGTAAAAGAAGACGAGTCATTGATCTTCAAAAATAGAGGCTCTACAAGTGCTTTGATCGAAGGGCAACTGGTGAAAAACGGATTCGAAAAACTGAATACCGATAATCTACAGATCGACGCGTATCTGCGAAAAATTCTCGAGGATCCTGCCTTCAAAGATAGTCTTAAGGCCCGCTTGCGAGCTAACATGGAAAAGAGTTCGGACGAAAACGGGGATGTCCCTATGTAGGGTGCATCGCCCGATAATAAAAATTAAAAAGGTGCAAGTGCAACTTTGTGACCGCTACTTCTCTATGTAGTATAGCATGTCGTCGCAGCGCCGGCTCTTGAACTTTCGCCCTGCACGATCACTGCTTCTGTACTTGAACCTGTCGCCAAGAATGGTGTATTGTAAAGCCTCTTCGTCGTTGACGGGAACCTCGAAGCTGAACACAGTACCCTTTTTCGGTATGCACTTTATCTCGTCCACGAGCGCACCCTTACAGATTATTACGAAATCCTTCTGAGAGTCCCATATCACTATTCCGACGATGCCACACATGTTGGCATTGCGACTTTTCGTCACACGTAATAGGCACCCGTTGTAATCGGCCATAGACAGTTTGACGAGCGCGTTGGACCCATTGATGTTCAATTTCGAGGCATTCGGTACCGTTGCTGGAATATTCAAAATTTCTCGTATGTAGTTCACCCAAAGGTCCTCATGCATAGGAACAAACCGATCATATCTGGGTATAGCATTGTATATCTCCAAATGGCTTTTTTCGAGGTTTTCAAAAAGTGCGTCTTTACTCGACAGGTTTTCCTCGCTGGCGATGCGACGAGCTTGTCGGGCCGCTTGTCGACTTTTATTGATGTATTCTTTTAGAGCAGTTTTGGCATTTTTGTTAATTTCTCTGTATCCTCTATGTGGTGCTGGTTTGGTCTCAGACTCTGCAAGTAGCCTCAGTTTGTTATTTGATTTCTTTAGTTTCGACGCCAGTCCGCCGTCGGTAGGCAACAACAATAAGGAATCTTGCAGTCTATTCTCATCCAATAATTTGTCTGCATTTGGACAACTTCTTGTCAAAATACATTCAGTGATAAACGACGGTCCACGGTTCATACTTGAGCTAGTTGTCTTCACAATTCGTCTCGTTGGAATGGGTTTTGTAGAGCTCATCCCATCTTATCTCATCTCTAAATTTTTCAGACTAGCTGTTGAGCTGTTTCTCTCTAACTAAAGCGCATCAATCGAGGAAAGAAAAAGCCTGTCATCAACCGATGTTTGGCATCGTACGCGGCCTTAAGCCAGCATGTGGGCTCTCACTAGGCTTTAAAATATACTGCCGATCTTTGGGATCGGCACCACCATTCGATCTGGACTTAGACGCTCAAAACGATAAGTTTTCCGATTTGAACAATATGTACACCGAAATGTTCACAAACGATGGTTTGGAACCTTCAAAATTGCTTACGAGTAGTAGCAAGTCAGCTACACATATATACGATTCTGAAGTTGATGAATTAAACGCAGAATTTACAGAGACTTATGACTTTTCGCCAAAAATCATTTGCGGCCAAGAATTGACAAAACTTGTCGAAGCTCCGGGCCGTTTTATAATCCAGAGTTTGTCGAACAATCCCTATTACAACTTGGCTGTGGAAGACTACGTTTTCAAAAACACTCCTGTGGTCAAGGGACACACGTTTTTAAACGAAAGGCTTCTCTTCTACGTGAATGGAAAATGCGCGGTCATTGGTAAGAACCAAACACCATGGAAAGAATTGTTTCTACAGAATTGCAAATCCAAAGGGTATCGTTACGTTCGACGGTTGTCGGGCGGAGGAGCTGTCGTGCACGATCTTGGAAATGTTAATTACTCATATTTAACTTCCCGCGACGCTTTCCAGCGCGAATATTTCAATCAGAAGATCGTGGGATGGCTAAAAGAAGCTCGCCCTGGGACGCAGTTCGACCTCAATGAGCGAGGCGACATTCATCTAGACGGTTTTAAAGTTAGCGGCAGTGCCTTCAAGATTGCAAGAGGCAAATCATATCATCACGGCACGATGCTAGTGGACTCAGATCTTGCATCTTTCAGGGGACTTCTCAAACCGGCTCACATTGATAATGTTTCTTGGTCTGGCGGAAGCGTTGACAGTGTCCGATCCCGTGTCAAAAATATACAAGGCGCGGGCTTCAAGAAAACGGGCGACTTTATTGACATCTGTGTTCAAGGCTTTAGAACAACGTTGCAGGAGGACGTCCCGCTTTATTTAATTGACGAAGAAATTACGCAGACCGATGCTATCATGGCCACCACCGGCCATTTGGCCAGTGACGAGTGGTTGTACGATAGCGGGCCCAAGTTTGTCATCGCTCTGGGTAGAGAAAAGCTTTCGGTGGAGAAAGGATTGATTGCAGACTCTACGATTCCGGGACTCGCCGGACAGCATTTCACAAGCTTCGTTGAATCCTTCAATAAAGGTAAGTTTGGAGATTTTGATGTGAATATATGAAGTGTCCCATTCGTTAATAAGTGTATCTCGAGGTCTCAGTTTATTTGTTTGCATTTCGTAACATCCTGATCCTGCGGCAAGCCGTTTGCAAAATCCTCCACATAGAGGGAGCCTTTTCTGTCCAAAATATAGAGCTTATGGCCGTCTGCACTGAACTTCAGGGAAGCCGCTTCTCGAACTCGTGATGCATTGGCCACCGCATCCACCAAAACAATCCTTCTCTTCTCGTTGTCGAGAAGTGTGGGAGCATACATTATGAAAACATTCCCGTTGCGGTCGAGGAACGCAATGGAATCATTTCTAGGTGAGATTTCACATTTGTGGATCTTTGATCCCAACTCATCGAGTCGGAGAAGCATAGCCGGTTGCGCAACGCTTTGGGCCACGTTAATTGTCTGTATGCGTGTGTTTATGACTATCGGAGGGGCGTTGAAAGCTACTGATGTGACACACATAAGACTCGAATTGCCCGGGAACATTTTAGTATCTGTAATTCCTTCGGATTCGAGAGATGTATCAATAGAACGCAAAGACTTCATAACGAGACGTGGTTCGTGGACTTTTCGCAGAGATATCACCAAAAACCGCGATTCAAGAGCAGTTGAGCAGGAAATGTAATTGCTGTCCGGTGAAAACTGCAAGGTGTTGATAGGATCTCGGTAGGGGAGTGTAGTGGTAATAGGTGATGAGAATTTGTATCTGACATCGCAGATGTCATCTGCAGCGGAGGACTTTGTGTCTTTTTCAACCTGATGGAAAAGAATTAGAGCGTGCTCTGCGCCCGTGCTTCTATCGTTCCCTGTTATCCCGCACGCTATTAAAGAGCTCTTTGCGTCTATGTCAATACATCTTATCGGGAAGGTGGACCCGTAAGTATAAATAGGTTTTCCATCACAATTCATGTCAAATACTCGAAAGCGGCCCTTGGTTCCGGATATGATTAGAAGATCTTCTGACATCTGACAGTAAAGGTGCTCCCACGTTTCAGCAGGCGGGATTTTAGGCACAGTGCGAGAGCCTTCAAGCTGCTTTGGGGTGTAGAGACAGCTCAAGTCTGAAGGCCATTGCAATGTCTCAAAACTGGTTCCATATTCGCCGGTGAACTTACCACAGAACAGTAGCGAGACACTCTCCGGACTTCCGGGTCCATCATCTTTGAGCTGCGAAGTACGACTTCGACTCAGTATTTTCCTCAGGTCCCTATCTTTTTTGGATTCATGGTCGTCCTTCTTGGGCTGTTGAGATATACTATAAACCTCCCATTTTTGTTCAGTAATGAGAGCAAACTTAGTGCAATTGGGACTAATAGCGGTGTTAACAAATTGCTTGCTTTTGGTTCGCAGAAACTTGTTGTGAGTATTGAACTGAGACCTTTTTCTGTACATGGGAAAACACTTGGCAAAATAGAACTCTTTTTCCTCATCCAGCTCTGATATCTGTACCGAAGAGGGCGATTCCGTGGTCGCCAGCGACACGGGAACCGATCCTGAATCTTGGATAGGCACAGTTTTTGTATTCGAAGCATTGTCTAGAGAGTGTACCTCGATAGCTTCCTCCTCGTCTGGATTGTCAAGACTGGATGCGACGGAGTGGAACAGCGAGATCAGCGACTGTTTCGGCACATGCTGCTGATCTTTGTTATAGAAATCCGTCTGTGAGGGTTCGTCCTGTGAAGCTTGAAATTTCGGTGAGGAGGGTGATGGGAGTTTGCGAAAATGCAGTTCGGAAGGACTGCGTCGTTCTTCGTCCTGTTTAAAAAACTGCAATTGGTCGTGAAGCATTCGCAGCGGCTTAACTGGACCGACCATAGTAGACGAGCAGCTGAGACACACGGGACAGAATTTAGGGTTTTTGTCCTCTAAATGATTCTGCAGTTCTTCCAACAGCTTTTCGGAAACAATGCACCCGCAATCCAACATCGATGCATCCGCCACGATTCCGTACGCTAGCGTGCACTTGAATGGCGGCTCTCCCGTAGTTTTTTCGCAAGATAAAAGTCCCGACGGTAAAAAAAGATTCTGTTCCAGCTGACTTAAAATCTGCTGCGTTTGCATCGCACTATTCGGCTGCAATGGAGACTAGTATAACAACCTCAGGTTCTCTATAAATGTCGATTGTAAATGCAGCTCTGTTAGCGAGCAAGAGCTCCAAAATTGAAAAAAAACTCTCACGTTAAATATCTGTGACTTCTTCAGTCAAGCTATCGAAGTAGTAGTGCTTCTTATAAAGACGTTGATGTGTTTATACACTCTTCCCCAAGGTCCAGTTTCTTAGCAAGTGAGCAATATCAAGCATAGTTGTTAATTAAAAATCACTCTGTACTAAAATATCCAATTTATCAAGAGAATAATAGCATTTCCTAGCAGTTTAAATCGTTTAATCTGCGAGGAAGTCCGATCTTTACTCAATTGATCTTCAGAGCTGCTACGATTTACTCGCGACGTTAAATTTGTCTCGTTTGAGCTTTTCGTTCGGTTTAAAAACGTCACTTTAGCTTAGTTGTGGCATTTATACCATCTTCACCAGAAATTCTGCTTTCTTGGGCTACAGAGAGGAATTCTTTAACATTAGAAACCTGATTTAAACCGCCCGACTTTTTTAATTTTTGTCTCTTGCTCTGCTTACGGTTTTTCAAATATACACGCCCTGCATGGTTGAATATCATAAATGGATGGAACAGCAGAATGACGATCTGGCTATATCCAGACTTTCTATACCTGGAACCCACAATAGCGCGGCCTGTCACGTTGCTTTACCTTCCGTCAAATGTCAAGACCACACGGTGAGAACACAATTGCAGAATGGTGTGCGCTTTTTTGATTTCAGACTAGGAAAACTGTTCTTCAAGGACAACGAACAGGGACATTATCAGGGCAAAGACCTGCAAGTGATACACGGTAAATTTCCTGTTCGAATTCCAATGCCTGTCAAGTTTTCATCTGTTTTGGACGACATTTTGGCTTTCTTGGATGCAAATCCAAGCGAGTCGTGTATCGTGTCGATCAAACAAGAGGGTGAGGCTTTTGACGGCTTCGATAGCTTTGTCTGGGAAAAATTCATTGAGCCGAGACACGATCGGTGGTACTTGCGTGGCGATATCCCAAGGTTAGGCGACGTCAGGCAAAAAATCGTTTTATTTCGTCGTTTTGGCATTTCTCAAGAACTCCAGGACCGCGATTTTGGCATTGAGGCTGCATGGTGGTCCTATTGTACCCCGAACGAAGACCGTGGCATTTTTCAAGTGCAAGATTTTTGCGAGCTCAAACATGCTGAGAACATCGCTGAGAAAACTGGCTACGTCAAGCAATTTCTGCGGCTTGCAACCGATCACAACAGCACTGACAATGCGCCCTCGAGACTGTTTGTCAACTTTTGCTCAGGCTCTAATCTTTACGATACCGACTGCTGGCCCGAAAAGGTCGCAGATGAGATGTTCAACAGCGACTTGCCCTCTGCTATGGGCGGCGGATGCGGCGTGGTGATTTTGGACTACGCGGGAAAAGATGGCTGGACTCTTGTCAGGAACATCGTCGATACCAATTTCTAAGCGCATATTCTGCGTAAGAGCTGCCAGTTCCAGCAGGTGGTGAACGCAAACGTCTCGATGCAGACGGCTGGACATGAGATGCCGTGACAGGGGTACAAAGTGATATTCGCAAATCGTTAGACTCGTCTTTTTTAAGCAGTTGTTTGGAGCATGATGGAACTTGTAAGCATTTTAACTGGTCTGACGTTTCATCATCAATGCTATTTGTCGACCAGATTTCGATTTAACGACACTATCGCGAGCAAAAGTTATTTTGTTGTCGTGATTTTTAAATCAGGCTTTTGAGGCTTTCGTCAATGTTGCAAACACCTTCTGCTAACACTTGCTGAGTCTCGATACTGAACCAATTCAAGAGCACTCAAATCTGTCAATGATATTTCTCATCAGAATTGTTACCGTCTTGTGTGGAAAATCTCAGAGCTGAATTAATTTGCTAATAGCATCGACATCGCGCATTTACTGAGCTCATTAACTTGATTGAATTACTCATTCATTGGAAATCTACGTTGGAATCCATGTAATAATTCATTCAGAATTTTTACCGTCTTCTTAGGAATTCCTCGGAGCTGAAGATACTCGCCAAGACCTGCGACGCCCCTCAACAATCTAGCTTGTTCTCTCAAATCAACAACGCACTTATTAAGTATTCAAAAGCGTTCAAAATGCATTCTCCCGTTTTCACTAGAGTAGCCTAGCGTTCCGTTGAAACATCCAGAAACCTGACAACCAATTACTATTTTATGAGTAGCTCATCTATATAACCTGATGGTTTCATTCTTGCTGATCCTAACCTTCCCTTCCGCATTTATAACGCGAGAATCGTCCACTGTCGTCGATCATGTGGGTATCTCGTAAGCTCAACTAACGACCAAAGAACCTATAAAATTAAAAAGACAAGTTGATCAACTAGTTGTAGTCGAAAAAATATACCACGGTTGCCAGAAGAAACCTGAGACTTGTTGTTGGTTGACGTGCATTGACCAATTCACTCAATGTCCGAATCCGAAGCTTCAAATGTGGGGATCTCAGAGGTGGTCGGAAACTCTCATAACCACGACGAACGGACCACTGTGAAACCTAAACCAAAACAGATTCAATTGACGTTTAACGACTTTAACAACATTAGGACAGCAGCGAACCCACCAGAAAGTCAGCCTGGAAATGCGGGCGAAGTTTTGGAGCCTGGTCGGCGCAGATCTCGCCGAGTGGTTCCCAAACGGCCAGTAGAAGTAGACGAAGAAGAGCCTATTAGAAGCACGCCGAAGAAGAAGAAAAAGCCAGTTGGTAAATCCAAGGATCACAACATCAACCGGGAGGCAGTTCGTGAGCGTGCCAGAAAACTGCAGTTAATCGGCAATCCAGAGCCTGCGTTGACAGAAGAAAATTGGTCACCAAACGTTCCGCTCCAGTCCACAGATTTCAAAAACCATTTCAGCATCGTCTCAAGATTTAGATCTCCAAACTTGAAAAATGTGGTATATGCCAAAGATATCCTGCCCATCATGACATTCGTCAATAAGTTCAGCTCATTTTTGCCGCGAGAACTATGGTCTTTATCGTTCCAGGATTTCGAAGTGGGTCTTGATCTCTACCCAGACAACGAAAAAGATGCCCCACGCAAGCTTTACCAGGACTACATGCCAATCAAAACGGTAGTAAGATGCCAGGACAAGATGAATCTACTTTTTCTAGCGCTTTTGAAGCTGGCACTAAACAACAACAAGGCTACCACCATGGACGAGATTAAAGAACCCAAAGCATACTCAAAGTTTGTAAGCCAATTGCGCACCAATGCATGGTCTTGGGGCTACCCGAAGCAATGGAAAATAGAAGTTGGAACCTCAGATGCCAAGGTCTTTCCCGAAGATGACACAGAGCCTGTAGATCCCAAAGAGCCTGAAATCCTGATTCCTAATATAGTGGCGTGGCCCAAGCAATATGCCATCGAAAATGATCCTTTACTCAACCCGGACTTGGAAAAACGTGGTATCTTACCTTTGATGCCGAAAGACAGAATAATCCTGTTAAAAGCGCTAGTCCAGTGGGTTCTTGCTCAATCCGACAAAGTACACCAAGAAATATATCGCTTGACCCATCTTAAAAGAGATGAGCCATATGGTGTTCCAACCTATCATGTATCGAGGCTCTTCGCAGATGGCGAAACTGCCACGAAGGCTCGATTCAAACGACTCTGTGAATTAGTGCAAGCAAGACTGGAAATTAAAAGCGGTAGAAAGCATGTTAAGAAGCAACTAGAGAACGGCAAGCGTAACGATCTTTTCGAAAAGCTTAAGATCATTTCAAATATTCAACGCGATAGAGATACAGTTTCAGTTGATGAAAATGAAGGAGAACCCAAGCCTGCGGCAGATTCTTTTGACGAAGAGTTCGAGGACTGGTGCGAGGTGATTGAAGGTGAAATGCCGGATCACCCAATGTCTTCTCCCTTCCAGGATGAGATCTTTAAAATGAGGGCTCTGGAATTTTTCATTGGGAGAGTGCCTCATGTTGGCGACTTTTACATTCCAAGGCTACACACCTACCAGAGGGCAAGCAAAGTTGCAATTCCAACAACATACACAGACCCGAAAACTTTAAAGAAGACACTTGAGGCATTCTCTAACAACGAGATGGATGCATTGACGTTATTCAGCGCGAATGGGAAGCTTATGAGCTCTCGGTTCAAGGTTTTTTACCACGACTCCCCAAGCATGATCAGAGATGTGGCCAGCCAAGTTGACACATCGACGAAGACCTATTGGTATGAGGTTTGCCATGACTGTGCCACTCTGCGTGAGTTCATTACTTTGCTGGATTACAAGCTAAGTATCCTGGAGACCGCAGGGAATGAGCCTGCAAACAAGGGCATAATGAACAAGAACCCTCTGCCCAAAGAGTCAAAATTCAACGCTTCAAGAGAAAAGTTAGGATTGGTAAAGGACTATCTGTTAAAAATGCTCCCCCTTTTGGAAACTTTTGAGGAGCTTGACGCGAAATATGACGATATGGTGGCTAATGTGAGGACTTTACGAAGATCACAGAGAAACCGTCATCCATCTTCCCAAGATGAAGATGGTTTAAGTGATAACTCAGGTAGCGAAGCTTCTCTAGAAAATGGTCAGCAACACACCGAGTATTCTGGGGACGAGTCCGTCTTTGAAGACTTTAATGATTCGCTCGACGAACAGACCAAAGGCGAATCAGACGTCGACAGCGCTGGCGACGACGAAAACTATACACTGAACGGCTACAAATCCACTCGTGACTCTCAAAGAACAAAAACTAGATCAGGAGGCGTTAATACCTCTGCTAAAGAGAAGCTTGCCGCTAGAGGCAAAGGTTCTACTAGAGGCAGAGGCAGCGGAAGAGGAAGGGGCCGCGGTGGTGGTAGAGGTCGAGGACGAGGAAGGGGGAGAGGTAGAGGAAGATGATCAGTCCAATCCCAATAATGTACTTAGTTAAGTACCGCATATCAATATACAAAAAGCATCTAACTGTTGACCTTCAGTTATACTGTTTCGCCAAGTATTATAATGTAAAAAGCAGCAAAAATAGTGCTCCAGGGGAGGTTCGAACTCTCGACCTTCAGATTATGAGACTGACGCTCTTCCGACTGAGCTACTGAAGCGTGAGTGAAATAATAGGTGGATATAAGTGAATGTATACACTACAAGGTACCTAGTGTCGATGTCTGGTGGGGTGTCAGTTTAATGCTCAGCTCATTCTACTACAGCTTTGAGCTTACTGAGAGCGTAAGCCAGGTACGAAGCAATGATTTTTTTGCTTATTTTGGCATTTGGAGGGCACTATCCGATAAAACATCTATCAATATTGCATATACTAGTATGCTTCGTTTATTAAATAGAGGTTTCATCTTGATGAGCTCTCACATAAAATCGCAATCGCTATTTTAGTCACTGTACCGCTTAAAAAAGAGTAAAAAGCATTAGATACAAGATCTGTCACCCGTCATGGCAGGAATTTGGGCAGTTAAATCATCAAGCGTCTAATGTCGCAATCTAAACCTCGAAGCTTTGTTACCATACAACAATTAGTGAAAGTATAATTGTATTAACATCAAAATTGTCAGAAAGGGAATCATTATGGTAGCAGTCTCTTGTAGCCATGTCCCATGCCTCAACAGTCAGCTCAGATACTGTTCTCGTAGTTAGTTATCTACATATGATGTAAAACTACAAGGCAGACCAACGAACATGATGCTAGACTTACTGACAAGCTACATGATGTCCTGTTCTTCATTTTCTTCTAATTTTTATTTTTTCAAGCTCTACCGGTGACAATTATCCTTTCATGACGTTCCTACTGAGGTTCCCATATTCGTGTGTCATTTGGCCTCATATCACTAAAACATCGGTAAAATCAGTAACACCAACCGAAACTTTGTTGAACTATTCTCTAGATATCTCTCCGCATTTAGCTTTGATCCTCAAGGCCTGAACTCACAGTAACATTTGAGTGTTCCCAGTGTCATTGTCGTCAAGATCCCTACATTCCATACTGGTAGAATCGATAGCTTACTCTTTTCCTTCACTTTCAAGAGCAAGGGCGGTTAGTGTAGTGGTTATCATCCAACCCTTCCAAGGTTGGGACACGGGTTCGATTCTCGTACCGCTCAGATTTTTTTATTTCTTCCCAATGTTAAAATGCCATCAAGTCTTAAAAGCCAGGCATGGGAACTGCTGTGAATGCTTTTGTTTCCTATCTGATCCATAGATAACGTCCATTTAACTATTATTTCTCTATGTATCAGAACTTCAAAGCTCACAGACTTGTTATCTCGGTGTCGCCTTCATCTTCTTCTGCATCTAAAGTGTAGGCCATCAGCTTTCTCCCGTCGAAATAACGCCCGTTCATCATTTTACAACATTTTTGAGCTAGCTCCTGAGTCGAATATTCGACTTTGACCTGACCCAAAACTTCATCCAACTCGAAATTCAGAACTTCGCCCACGGCTTCACACCCATCTCTCAAGTCTGCAGCTATCTCAGAGACTTCGACGGAACTCAATTTCTTGTAGAGATCGAGAGCGTTGGTAAGCAGAACAGTTCTCGCGCTTTTATCTTCTTCTTCATCAGAACTAGGGTCAGTATTCGGTGTTCCACTTTCAGAATTACGAGATTCACTCTCTTCATCGTCTTTCCAATCATTTAAATCATGTTCCTGCTCTCGTAGCTTGCGAAGTTTCAATTTCCTGAACTCCTCGACACCCTCATCGGAGGCTTCCACTTTCTGAGGGTCCGATTTGAACGTAGCTTCCTCTACTTTCAAAGTCTTTCCCTTGAGATGGGTTCCATTCATAAATTCAACGGCCATCTTCACGCTCTCTGGCTTCAAATACACAATCAAAGCATCGCCTTTTAATTTGCCATCTTCGTTGACATAGATCTTGCACTTGGGCCGATTGCTGATGGGATCCTTTCTGATAATCCCAAACTTTGTAAATTCATCGATGAGATCGTCATCCTTCAGGTCATGTAGCGGTAGGTTAGATATATAAATGGCACAATTTGGAGGAGACCTTCTAATCGTATTTCCCTCTTCTGTGTGTTGTCGCTTTTTCTTGCGTCTAGCTAATTCTTTAGCCTTGGCTTCCTTCAACTGAATCTTCAACTGTATTTCCTCTTCCTCCATAACCTTACGTGGTAGTCTCTTCTCTGGGCAAAGTTTATCATTGAGCTTCCCTGATTGAATAACATATCTTTCTTCACTAACATTAAATGAAGTGATGAATGAGTTTACAATTATCCAGCCAGAGAAAATTTCATAGTCTGAGCGTAGCGTTTCTGACCACCGCTTTGAGTTTGATACATAGAATATTTCCCTACATAAGCCCATTTACAATGTCATTGCATAGGATGGCATCATCAGACCTGCCTTCGGCTTTCAAAGCTATCCCTTTGGAGCTTTTTATCATACGAATTACTAGCGCTACCCTCGCCCCGTTGAGTACGCTCTTTCCGAACAATTTGAGGGTGTGGGTGTTAGAGTCTGCAGATGTGAACTGTGTGTTGTCTAGCGTCAAACAACTAGTATTGGCAATCAATCTATCCACCACTTCTTGTAAGGACATGTTTTCTCTGATGTTGTAGACGGATACTTCTTGATGAGAGAGTTCATCAAAGCATGAGGTAAAATCGCCCACAAAAGAACCCTTGATGTAGTCGCCAGCGGTAAGAGGCAAGGAATCTATTTCATATTCATCTTGGAATCCTTCGTCGCTTTCGAATGGCTCTTGTGTAGATGGATCCAGCTCTCTGGTGGTGAAATATAAGGTGTTCAACAAGTCCTCCGTAACGACTTCTTGAGATTTTTCGAATGCCACGTAAGATGCAAAAGTTTCCGAGGGCTTGATTCTGTCTGCCGCTATCGTAGTGATCTCAGTTAACGAGGAATCTTCCTCTGAAATCGCAGGTGTACACCCAACAGAAACGTTGTCTAGAGCAACATCGGCCAAGGTGTTTGTGATATGAAATTGCAAAACGACGTGGTTCTTGAACAAATGCTTGACACCGGTAACAACAAACTCAGCTTCGGTTTCCGTCAAGGCTACATCCTTAGAAGTGTTGATGATGGGCCCGAACGATTCGAACTCCTCGATAGAACCCAGTTCCTCAGCGTACTTTGTGGCTTGCAAGTCCTGGTCCAGTTCGTTGGATGCTGGCCCAGAATAAGCTCCATTCCTCTTTTCAGCGTCGGACGAAGCTCCGCTTTTGCCCTTGGACTTCCCAGAAGATACGGCTGCGAACAAATGGTCTTGCTTTCTCTTGAGATCGATAGCTTTCCTTTCATCTTCGGTGTAACGAGCAATTGAAGAAGTGTCGAACGGGGTCTTGAAGGCATCCTGCTTAGACGCCATGTATTGAGTTAATTTAGATTCCAGTGAGGCTAAGTCGTAGGTGTACTTGGATTGAATGAGAGTTTCGGCTGGTGATGATTCCGATCCACCCTTTGACTTAATCGAGTCAATGAATTCTAGTGCCATGGTGGCTCTGTCTCTCACTTCGTCATCGGCATCGTTAGAAATTCTTCTCAATAAAATTTCAATAGACTCAGCCAATGTTGGATCTTTCTTGACAAGAGCGAATTTAGACAGCGCTACCACAGCAGCAGATCTAACAATTGAGTTTTCCAGGACAACTCTGTTGTATATGTGCCTGACATACAAAGATGGAGTCTTCATACCTGGACCCTCTTTACCCAACAAGTGCAAGATCCTAACCAAAATTTCGTTGTATTCACAGTCCTCAATGAAGTCACACAAGTTTTCAAGGGCTAGCTCCTTAGACTGTGGAACATATTGAACGAGGTCGAAAAGCGCTTCGACGATACTGCTCTTGAATTGGAAACCTCCTTCACCTTGTTTCAAGACGTTGACGAGGAAATTCAAAATGGATTTCCATTCTTCAGGGAACGCGAGAGCCATGGTACGGACAGCATCTATAATTATGATCTTGAAATCGTCTGAAATCTCATGGATAAAGTTTGCGATAGTCTTGATGAGCGATGCAATGTTGTTAGAAGTTCCGGTCTTGAGCAAAGCAGTGATTGCATAGGTAGACACGGTTCTGTTGCTGTCGTTTATCAAAGATTCTAATTCTGGGTTGCACACAACAATCTTTTCGGGCGCGGCCATTGAGATTCTATTTAGAACTCTGACGGCAGCAAAACGGGTGACTGCGCGAGGAACTGACAGAAGACTTTGCAATGTTTGAACGGCAGATGCGAACAGCTCTGGCGACACATAGCGATCTGGCAAAGAGGTAATGAGCTTTGCAGCCTCTAGTTGAACGGATTCGTATTTGTTAGAAAGCCAGCCGAGCAGCAAGGGAGAAAATTGAGAGATCATCTGGTTGTCTTTCATCAAGAGGCTTCCCACGAGCTTGACCAGCTGCACTTGAGCCAATTGGTTTTTTAATGTGCTTCCGGAGGAAAATTGCTGCACCATTTTCATGAGGGCGATCTTGTCATGACTTTTCAACATGCATAAAAGACCGAGGGCATGGTACTGAGCGATATAGGTCGAATTCGGATAGTGCTCCGAAAGACCGTCGTGGTAGGGGAAAGTCTTGAGATCTCCAACGGCCTCCTGGGTCTCGTTTGAGTACCGTTTCACGGTGCTTTCGGCCACTGGCAGCAAATGGTACGAGCTGACAAGAGCAGCAGACGAGATCGAAGGATGTTTGCTCACCACCGCAGATTTGAACAAACGTTCTGCGGAGAAGGCAGTAGACTCGTCCAAGACCCTGGTTAGAGACCGAATAGCGTTGGGTTTGATCATGTCAGAGCCATTTTGAACGTCTTTCATGATCGACGAGGTGGCCATCAAGATGTCATCTGAAACTGCACTCAATTCTTTGATGGCTAGGTACACAGCTTGTCTTAGGGCATCGTTAGGATGCTGGAAAAGCTTAGAAATAGCGAAAAAAAGCGCCGTTGCCTCCGTCCTAGGGAAATGCTGTCCCTGTGCTAGCAATTGCAGCAATCTCGAGATCAAAAGACGACATCTTTTCGAGTTCACAGGCGATTCGTTAAACGCATTCAAACAGTCCTGGTAAATCGTCATTTTGTCGGGCAAAACGCCCGAACTCGCCTCTTCGAACTTCTTATACGTGTGTGTGGACATTTTAAACACGCATTCAATTGATCCCACAAGCTCAATGACTCAAAATGCTCGAGTTTGAAGCTACGTTTTCGCTGGTTAATCCGTTGTCAACAACTTTGCCACGCATTAGGTTAAAAATTCAAGAATTTCCAGTGATTTGGGTAAAATGATAATTAAGTACGAAAGTGCAGGAGAAATATACAATGAATGAGACATGGATATGAATGGCTTTTCATAGCATGATACTGTACAATTGAGGTGTTCCTGTTTGGAATTGATGATGATGATTGGAAGCCACAGGGAAATTTGCTTTGGTTTTATTTTGGTGAAAATTTGGTTATTTTTGGACCAAAATTGAGCTCACGAATATTGCATGAAATATGATAAAGATGATAATGATGATAGTGATGATGATGATAATAACGTCAGTGGTAATAGTAGAGGTGAGTCTGTGGGTTTGTGGGGGCATGGGGAAAGTGCCGATGTGCGCAAGCTGATGGTATGCAGAAAAGTGTATGAGACGTGGGGAGGTATTTTCGATCAGTCCTCGTTCAGCGTTAGCAACAGTTGTGCCAAACACCGTTTGGTGCCCAGATCGTCCCGCAAGACTTCCCCAAAAGTGTTGTCCTTCAGTTGGCGTGGAAGCACCTGTTTGAGCAGCCGTCTGGCCTCGAGGTTGTCGCTGAGACGCAAGTAGCATCTCACCACGTGCTTCAAGAGACGGCCCGGAGTTTGCTGCAAAGTTAGCTGTTCGACCATGAACGTGAGCACTTGCGAGACCGCGTGAAATCTCTCGGGCGTGGCGCATATGTACTGCAGACCTGCGTCGTCCAACAAGATTTTCTGAAGAATGAAAATGGCCACGGTTTTGGACAGTTCGGACGACGACTCCATTATACGCAGACAAAGCGGAATGATGTCTGTGCGCAGCAGAAACGCTATTACCTCTGTCGAGTCGTTCTTGACCAGAGCTCCGATAACGCCCAGAGAGGTCAAACGCAGATATTCAAAGGTTCGCTGTCTCGAGGTCGTGTTCAGGAACGGGAATAGCAACAGTGGAATGTGCGCTTGTAGAAAGAGCGTTTTGGTCTCTGGATGAGACGCGACGCACTGCAAAAGCACCAATGCGTTACAGACGCGGTTGCTGAGCTGGTTCGAGAGCACCGGAGGCGATAGCATGGGATACACGGAGATGATTTCGCTGAGTAGTGCTGCCACAACACCGAACGACGACCACAGAACCACGGCGAGGTCTTCGTACTGTTCGCGTTTGCGACCCAATTCCAGCAGCGCTTGCTCCTTGTTGGGTCCGTACGTGAGCTGGCAGATCCAATGGTAGACGTTGGGATCGTCGAGCGCGTGCAGCGAGTTTTGTGTGCCATTGCCTACACCGGGCGCGCCAGGGTTGACATTAAGGCTGCCTGAACTGTTGCGCATGTTGTTATTGGCGTTGTTGTTGGCGTTGTTGGCGTTGTTATTGGGGTTGGCATTATGGCTACCCTGGGGCAGCCCAGCACCGCTCATGGAGCCAAAAGCTCCAGGCAAAGACCCTGGGGTGACAAGTGCCGCATTGGGGGCATTCGAAGTAGCAAACATCGTTGTGGTGCACTGTTTGTAGGGCTGCTGCGGCTGCTGCTGATACGCTTATTGTCGTTGTAGAAGTGAGAGTTTACATGTGTTGGTATGTGCAGTGTAGTATAGACGACATTTTAGATAATTTTGAAATATGGGCGACAGGATCACTGTGTACGGGGAATCGAACTGGACTCGAGTTGACACACGGTTCTCACTTCAGTTTTCAAATGCAGCCCTAGTGGATTTGAGAACTGGGAGATGATGCTTCAGTTGCCACATGGCTGTCGTTAAAATACGAGTTTTGTTTCACTCTGCTCACTCTGTTTTATTTTGTTTTTTGGCACGCTTTCACATGTAGTATGAGGGCTCTTGCTTAGTTTGTTTCGAGACCCCAGACTATTCATAATGGTCATGAGAACTATCCCCTGCGCGTGAGAACAATCTGCTAATGTCGACGACGGAACCACCCTCTCATATCACTTTGTACTATAATGACACTCCGTTGCACTGTCACGCTGACACGCTCTGTAATACTACAAGGACTCTACTACAGGCCTCTAAAGATTGATTTCTCTCCCATTTTTACTTGCCCTCGGGCGTCAAACTATTAAATCTACGTTTTACCTCATCACTACTATGGACCTTATTTCGCTTTCAGTTGTACTCATGCTCGAGGCTTATCAATTGTATTTCTACATCCCTATTTGTTGGCGCTGTCGAGTGTGCATTTATCCTGCCAGGCTACTACGTCAACGAAGGCCTGGTTGTCTTACTGATAAGTTTGGTCTTAGTGCTATCTCGAGTACGAGTACACTTGAGAATGTATCGAATCAAGCTATAAGGCCATTAGGACAATTGTTCCGTAAAATTACGAGATTTCCACTTCTTCACAGTTCACCGCTAACGCTTTTAATTGTCCGGCGGGGCTCGGAGTTCATGACTTAGTTTACAGTTGATCAATGAGGATCAATCGTTCAGTAGTGTTCACAGCCATCTTTCGGTAGGTACCCGACTGTAATCGCGCTCGTCTTTGCACTCGGGCCACGTTCTGCCTTTACAGAAGTACTACAAGCCTCCACTTGATCGCTGTCGTTTTCATAATGGCTCGCTATCTCTCTCAAATATTCAGCAGTGTTTTAAAATCATCATTCATGTGACGTTTTCATAATGGCTCGCTGACACTCTTGATTTCCAAAGGTGTCTTTAGCCACCCATGCCATTGTGACTTCTCTACCTGTTCACAAACGACCGCTAATGCTATCGATTTCTCACAACCGATCGAAGATGTTCAATTGATCAATGGTGGTACAATTTCTCTGCTTCGAGTTCGATCGCTGACGTTCTCATTTGTAGTTGTGCTGGAAGTGCTACTAGATCTCTACTTAATGACACTGTAAAATGTGAATGTACACTACTAGGCGTCTACTTTTTCACCAGTGATCGCGAGTGCGCTTGTAGCCACTGATCCTATTCACAACTGAGAGCCTCAGAGATACTACGAGTTTTCTACTTATCCACAATTATGAGCGTCAGCGAGTAATTGTTCGATCATACTACAAGGTCTCCAATTATTCACAATTGGAAGCGTCAGCAAGTAATCGCTCAAGAATATAGGCCCTTTACTGATTCACAATTGATCACTGACGCTTTAAAAAGCTAGAATCAATCACTTTATTCACAATTGATCGCCGACGTTCTCAATAGTTCAGGAGTATTACGCGCTGAACCTCCTGTAAAGCTTGAAGCTAAGTTATCTAGTCAACGAAGAGCTTTCCACTTATTCTGAATCGATTGCTTACGCTCTCAAATGTTCGGTGAATGAACTCTCTACTTGTTAGTAGTCGCAGCCATTCAAAGAATACATAGTTTACCACTGACGCTTTAATACAACGTTCCATCTGCTTATGCCAATTGCTTGTTGTAGCTTCTAAAACTGCGAGCTCTCTAAATGGTGAGATTTCCCTATATACCAAAAGTTCAGATACTAAGAGTTGTCTGCTTATTCACAATTTATAGCTAACGATCTCAATTGTTTGATAATACTAGGGTCCTCTAGTGATACCCAAAGCCCTTTACTTATTCAAACTTGAGAACGTCAGCGATCAATTGTGCTTGTAGTAGTGCTTATGGCTTTCTTGCGTAATCACAGTCGATCATTGAAGCTCAACTGTCCAATAGTGCTTCTAGCAATTTTACATAGTTCACGATTTATCCGGTTGTTCACAATAGAGAACGTTAGCGATTGATGGTTGAGTAATATTGAGACTGTTTTCTTATTCAGAAGAACAGCGAGTTCTTCAGAGCTCTGATTACGAGTCATTCTTTATTCGCAATTGATCGCTGACACTCTCGATTTTTCAATAACACTTCATGTTAACTTATCGCCGAAGCTCTCGATTGTATAGTGCGAGTAGCCATTCTACATTTTCTAAACTGATCGCTGTCGCTCTCAATTGTGAATAACGATAGAGCTACAATGATTAATTATTACATACACACATGTATACTGATCTCAATTGATTGCTAACGCTCTCAATTGTATAGTGCTTGAGGGCCTGTCTCTAGGCCTATCTCTAGTGCTTGTAGCGCCTTATTGCATATTACTTATTAATTATTACATACACACATGTATATTGATCTCAATTGATCGCTATCGCTCTCAATTGTATAGTGCTTCGGGGTTTCCGCCTCTACTTGAAAAGTTTCTTGATCTTGGCAACAAAACGCTTCAACACGTTACCCTGCTGTTGCTGAGAGTCCTCGCTCTTCTTTTCCGTCTTGAAACCGGCCTTGGCCTTGGCGTCCTCGGCGTGGCTTTCCGCCTCGGTCTTGGTTGCCTCCGCCTTCTTCTCGGCTTCGCCTGCCGCATCGGTCACTTTGGCCGCCTCGTCCTGAGCAGCTTGTACGGCGGCCTCTTTAGTTTCCTGAGCTTCCTGCTCTTTTTGCTGGGCAACTTCTGCGACCTTGTCCTGGGCGACAGCGGTGGACTCGGCCAATTTGGTGTTTTCAACAGGGACGGCAGTTTCGGTGGTAGTAGACATTGTAATGGATAAACTGTAGAATGTAAAGTCTCTAGTGGATTAATCTAGTTGAATCTCCCAAAATTCGATTGCCAGAGTCCCGGTAATATCGAGTGCGCTTTATATACTTTTCCTGCCTGGTTTTTTTTCGGGCCCCTACGTTTTTCTCAGGGCTGTATGTCGAAGCCCTAGGTGTTTTGTTAAGGTTGGAAAAAAAATAGAGCGCTAGCGCAAAGGATCCAGGCGATGAGCCATCGCTACGGTAAAACTGAGAACCAGAGAAAGGAAGACAATAACAAGATGGTAACCAAGAGAACTGGCAAAGAGACGTAGCCCAGATTTGTGTTGGTGGCACATTTGCTAGTTTCAGGCTTCGACGAGCGAGAATCGAGAAGAATAGAGAAGAATAGAGAAGAGAAGTGAGGAGAAGCGAGGAGAAGAGTGCCTTTTTTTTAACGCTTGTGTGGGCTGTGGTGAGGCTCACTTGGCCCTGCCTTGTCTGTCTTGTCGCGTCTGGTTCCAGACTTTTGAGGCAACGGAAATCTTGTCACTTTGACCTTTCCCGTCGTCGATGCGAAAGACGCTGGTACTCGTACTCACGCTGGCTGTTTTGGCCAAGAGTGTTCAAAAGACAACATAACAGAACCTCGTGTATCGTAGACAGCTGTAGACGGTTGTAGACGGTTGTAGACGGTTGTAGACGGTTGTAGACGGTTGTAGACGGTTTAAGAGATTGCATCGTGGTAAAACGTCTCAAACGTCTTTGACTTTGTCTTGGCTTCTTTGAAAGCCAGTTTATACACTTGCTAGACTCACACGCATTCGTGATTGCCACTATTCTATACTTTCTCACAGCGAACTCTGTGTCGCAGTCGCTCTACACTTTCTTTCTCATCACTTTGTAATCTTCCGTCGCCATCGACCGATCCAGTTCCCCCCCCCCCCCACTGTCTGTTCTATTGCCTAGCGTTAAAAGGGCACACTCCGGAAAGCGAGTTGATCAGACCCTGGGCGTCAAAAGTGTGTTCCAGTCTGATCAATTTCAACTCGGAGTTCAGTGTGGCCACGGAGGAGCCAGGAACGTCCAAAAGCGTGCCGTCGCCCTTGTGTCCGTTGAAAACACCGTTTTGGCTGCCCCAGTGTCTCCAAGTCAGCTTGGCCGTGGGCAACTCCGCCTCTAGCGTGAGTAGCTCCCACATAAACCCAGAACGCATGGCCCTGCGAAAATCGTCTTCAGATTTCTGGTAGTTGCTCTCAGAAGCCTTGTAGTTTGGCAAGTCGCCGATAAATACGTTGTAGCCGCCTTTGGTGACCACGTCCTGCACGGTGTACTCTTGGCTCCCGTTCACAGTCATACGGAAAACCTCAGGGTCCACCGAGATCCAATCGGCTGGATTGGCTTTGTGAGTGGCCTCCATTTCGAAAACACGCACCAAATTGGCCACCGTCTCCTCCAGGGAACCGGGCTCAAAGTGCTTTATGCGCTGCTCTGCTAGTCTTTTGTTGGTGATACCGTAATTGGGTTTTCCATGGCGCCATGCGCTTTCTGGTGTAACAGCGATGACGGCCTCGCGGCTTTGAAGCCACAGAGGAGTAGTTTTGGATTCTTTGGACATTTTTGGTGTTATGAATAAATATACTTCTGACGGTCTACTACGACTGTGCCAATTGATTTTGCAGTTCAGGTCCTCGTCCACTGTTCGTTATATATGTATAGATTTACGTTCCCGTCACGAATGCACTGTTTGGTACGGCTGTTCCATTGGAAAGAATTCTACTGCGGTCCACTGCCGCGCTCGACTACATACCTGATAGACGACCCACGATACTTTCGAAAAGAGAGGCGGGTATGAGTTCAAAATTCGTTTTTGAACGGTCGGATTTTCCTGATCTACGCATGTTGATCGATTAGGTCTCAGAAAAAACGGCAACTACTCTCCATGCCAAACACGAGCTTCTTAAAGCCGAACAGGACATCAACCGTTGATAGAAAGCACAACTGTGTGCATTATCGTAGAACATCTTCCTACAAGGTCGTGGTGCTTCCTCGAATGGTTCTTGGCCAAGTGAAATAACAGAAAATTATGGTTCTTCGTTGCGAGCTTCGACGGCTTCTAAGAATGTTGAGCATAATTTAGCAGGACTCTGGTGAACGATTTGGGCTCATCGCAGGCATGGGCACGAAAATTGGAAACTCACAAGGAGTCTGGCAACTATTGGCAATCTCTATTTTCTCAAATTTACCATCATTCTAAAAGCTACTGGAACTAAGTTTCGATTTTATCACTCTAAAGTTTTACAGATTGGTCTCCATCAGATATTGGGTTATACTTAATGCTTCAATGCTCCACGAGTACGTGTGGAACTATCAGACTGGTGCACAGCATTTTGCTCATCACTTGGAGAAATTACAAATTTGTATGTCCATAGACTTATGGATCGAGAATACACTTTTGCGAGTAGAACTACGCGATAGGACTCTGTCCGTGTTGGGTTTGCTTAGATTCTTGAAAGTGGATAGAACAGATGAGCAGAATGGTAAGGTTCCCTGACAGCGGGCCTTTTTATATGAAAAATACCCATAAAGGTTACCCGCCTTTAAAATGTCGGTCTAGGTGAGGGCAAGTTCAAGATACGTATGGGAACGTTAACAAAAATGTTGGTCTTGGGAATGGCTCCTGGACTGGTCAGACTGGGTAAAGTCGGAGGTAAAGTTAAACTACGTGCTCAAACGCTTGGTTTTTAAATTATCATAGAATTCTCAGGGCTCATCGGTGGGCCATTAATTACTTCACTAAATCTGAATTTGGGGATGTTGCATAGGTCATGGATGGACAATGATTTAGTATGTCTTAAGTGAGTTCCATGGTTTCTAGCACTCATCACATTTGAAGGAGACGCTCTGGTTCGATGAGATTCTCTATTACTGGTTGCGAAATCTGTCATGTCACTTCGTACTACTGTGACATCGTCTCGAGGACAGGACACGACCGTTAGCCAAAGTGCTAACGAGAACCCTGTCCAAGAGCTGAAAATTGTGAAGACTACAGTCAAGACCGTTGACTGATCCTACTGTACGCAAATTCTCGCCCAAGGGGCCCTCGATAAATAAAAGAACCACAGCAACGTTATCTATAATTCTTACCATATTCATTATTATCCCTTTTCCTATATCATTACATTTACTTTAGACCAGTGTAGCAGTGCTGTAGTCATTATGTGAGTAGACGTGCGATGCGTCCATTTGCGTCAACTTGTTCGAAAGCGTTTTTGGCGTTGACGTCGACGACCACGAGGAAAGTCTGGACAACGACGGAAGCTTAGGCAAGTACGGCAGCGACTTGAGTGATTGTATGCTTGGGGTCCCGACAAGCGTGCTGGTGCTAGAGGAAACACTGATGTTGCGCTGGTGGTACTGGTTGCGAGCCATGATTTTGCGAGATCTCTCGAGGTCATGTTTGATGGGCTCCAAGAGTGGCTCTAGAGAGTCATAAAGCGCCTCTTCCTCGATCCTAAGGTCCCAGTTCAAAAGCTGCAGGAGCTGGCGCTCCATCAGGTTCACATCCTCGAGACAGAAAACGCCGTCGGTGTACTCGGCCCAGTGTCTATTCTGAGGTGACGAATCGTTGTGGAATTTGGCACTCAGTATCAAGCACGCCAGAAAAATGCGGTGGCTTGTCGAGGGCAGCCCGTGTGCATCTTTTGGCAGAATCTTCTGCAGCTTGTGTAGATAGCATGTGGCCGTAAGTAGTGTCGAAGTGTAGACGTTGGTGTAGCGGACCAGCCGCGTAATGAAGGTCATAAGTGAGGGCAGAGGCCTCTTGCTGCTCCTAGAGGGACTAGCTGGTGGTGAAGGGTAAGCGCTTTTGGTTTCCTTCGCGCAGGGAATGACACGCAGTGTGGTGTTTGTCAAAAAGCGAATCATGTCATCGGTGACAGGCGACTTGAATAGCACTCGAAGAGCCTTAGCGTCGCACATTTTCGCAGAGGTAAAATTGATTCTGATGTACTAAATTCTACGTGGGCCAAAGTGTCGGGCCTGTGTGGGATCTAGACAATGTGCTAAAAGTGTTCTACTTAATGATTCCCAATGACTACTTTCTCATTCTTGACAGAGTCTACATACTTTCTTATATACATTTCTGACCGTTCAACTCAGCTCGGCGGATCAGAACTCTTAGTATCCTACGGTGATTCCGTGTTGATCTTCCCATCTCCAACTTTTCGTAGTCTATAATTTCGTAGTTGTTCATTTCGTAGTTTTCAATTTCGCGATTCTCTTTTACCGGTCGTACGCCAAAAAAAAAGCCAGCTGACAACCATTTATGCATTCTCGCAGTAACGGTCAGAGATTACTAGAAACTATTTACTTATTTTCGCGATCAACCTTTTGCCCAGTTCAGAACGAATTGGCTTTTGGCACAGCCACTACTTGCCAGTACCAATTTACCGCGTTCGGAAACGGTGGACGGCGTGTGCGTGAGTAAAGTGGAAAAGAGTTGAGGATCAGGCAAGGTATGACTTTTCGTAGAATTTTTGACACTTGAGGTAGTATTTTTGGCAGATTTCCCCGCGACGTTTGGCGTTTTAGAATTGATCTTAAGGTATCTTGATTTTCTTTTTGCTGACTTGCGGGCCCGTAGACAGATTGATGTGATCCACTCGAGATCTCCGCGAGCATGGTCCAAGCCTGACGCATAGCGAAAAATTGTTTCTGGGTCATTGCTTAGTTGCAGAACACCGCGATATCGCTCTTTTTCGTGCTTGGATATTCAAAAAACGCCCAGAGTTTTTCAGAAACAGGTTATAGACGAAGATGGCATTTCGTAGAGTTGCATGCGAGAGATTGTGTGGCACTGGCTAAGTTTCCAGGCTTGGCAAGGCAGAGGTGTAAGAAACGCTGTTTCCAGTCCTAAAGTCGGATCTGTTCAAGGCACGTGAAAGGTGACGCAACAGTACAAAGTGATGAATTAGGGAAGCTGAGAATATCTTGGACTGTACTGGATGATGTGAGTGCTGAAAGTGATGTGAAGCTACGTATTCGACGAGCTTCTTACTGGAATCTTCTTCGAATGAGTTGCTGGTGCTTGAACTGCTGATCTGTGAAGAGCTGGCGCCCCATCGTTAGCCGTATCACGTGACTTTAAACGAGCGATGTCCTAAATATCCATACGGTATGATCAGGACCATTTCGGCGAGTTCGTGGAATGAAGCTCTAGCTACCGGGTCTACCCTTTTTTTTTTGAAGTGCCTTTTTTTGTCTAGCCTTTGTTTCTAAGAACTTTCAGAATTGCTCAACTTTTATTGTCACCGCTCAGTCTTTGAAAAAATCTCTACAAGAATAAAGCTCGAAAATGTCAGGATCCAACTTTATGCAAACCAAATGTGGCTATACTTTGTTGAAAACCTGTAAATTTATAACCTTAAACAATAGAACGATATTTAAAAATCTCCGTTTCAGCAACGAGGAATTCTTCGAGATATCTTTTGATTAGTTCGCATTCCATATATTTGGTGGTAGCGTAATTGTAGACGTCTGTAAAAATCCATTTTACTACATTTTCACTACAGCTTCAATTTTATATCCCCCCGGTTGATTGCTTATCAGGGAATTAACGGAAAGCAAATGAGTTCCAGTATTAATTGTAGCGTCCCCGCACGAAACGATCTTATCGCACTGGATTGCCATGTATTTCTAGTTTTTGACTGACGTCCTCTGATTTCGATCTCTGAACAAAGCCCAGCCAATGCATTCTGGGAGAAAATTACAATCAATTGCGCACATTTTAAAATAGCGTATCGATACAACATACCGCGCCCGGTCGCTTGACTTGATCTTTCTTTCTGACCTCAAATTGTAACAATGAGGCGAGAAAGCATTAAAATACTCATCTTTTATCCATTTACAGGATGCAACACCAATATTTAAGCTTCAAACTCGAAACTAGATTTAACTACGCCAATCACAGCGCTGCTTTGTATCCTGTCGTTACCACCTTTAGATATCGCATACTCAACATCTGACAACCTGCTCAATAGCTGTGTTCGCGTCTCCGGCTTTAGCTCATATTCTGCCAGAACTTCCACTATTCCCTCGATCAAATCAATCAAAGCCAAACCTCTAGCGGTGCATATTTTGTTTACCGTGAAAAAAGCAGTTCCCCAATCGTCTTTTAGCATTGACTCTAGTGCAGTTTCTATGTCCTGAGGATGAGGAGCACCGATACACTCGTAGATAGTATCTTCTGTTACTTGTTCGGTGCTTGGATCATCCAACGTTGCTTTGCTTGCCTGCAAGACATTCAAAGCTCTTCTCATATCTCCCTTGGCAAGCTTTAATAGCGCTGTCATTGCTTCTGGGCTTAGTTTCAAATTCTCCAGTATCAGAACTTTATTTACGCGCTTTTCAATGGCTTCAATAGGCAAAGGCTGAAACCTGAACCGAGTGCATCTACTCAAAAGCGCGGGTGTCAACTTATGCGCGTAGTTAGCCAGAATACAAAACCGCGTGTTCTTGGTGTATTTTTCGATGATTCGTCTCAATGCGTTCTGTGCAGCATTGGTCATAGCATCTGCTTCGTCCAAGATAATCAGTTTGAAGCCCTTTGAGAAGATTTGACGAGTAGATGCGAATTCCTTGATTTGGTTTCTAACCACATCGATTCCTCTATCGTCCGATGCATTCAGCTCAAGCACCATGTTTCTGTAATTATTCCCGTATATCTCCCTTGCTAAAGCCACAATCATCGAGGTTTTACCAGTCCCGGGAGGCCCATAAAACAACAGATGTGGTAATTTGCCCTCTTTCACGAACTTTCGAACTGTTCCAACGATTTCTCGTTGTCCGTACACATCATCTAGGGTCTCGGGCCTGTACTTTTCAATCCAGGGTAAATTCTCAGAGGTTTGATTCATCCTTGGCAAGCAATGGGAATCAACTGGGCTGTATTTAACTCGGCATTCGAGATGAGAGGTCAACTTGATGTTCGATGGGTTCATCTAAATTAAAGTTGAATACTTGATATCACTATGGACGTGGTTATACTAAATCATTCTTAAAATCTGTTTACTCGGTACCGTAACTGCGATTCGAGAGCGACTCGCGACTGGCCCTATGGGGCTCGTGGTTTTGATATCTTAATCGTGGATAATTCTGGCTTTTATATGGCGTCTTTTGTTTCCGGAAACCCCAAATATATTTAAATTTGGTGGTAAATTTTATTGCATATTTCCCAGTCTTTAACAGAGTGTTTTAACGCGGATACTTATAAAAAAACAGATACACATGTCCTATTTTGACTTTCGCGTGTCCTCGGTGCGAGAGAGCCTGTCAGCCGCTAGATATACATTTACGTTCTACGATCACTCTTTACTAAACTGTCGTGACAATGATCTTGACGAAAAATCTCCACGAAGTTCACGCACACCCGCTCCTAAAGTACCAATATGAAACCTTTACAAAATAGACACTAGATGATCATGACTACTAGAATTCCATATCTGTTTACAGTCGTCGCTTTCAAGCTATTTTACTAGTGCTCATGTTATTGCATTTTTGCTTGATTCCCATCAAAGTCGTCCCAGTGGCCGAGTGGTTAAGGCGATGCCCTGCTATTCGACATTTCGAAAGCGAGTTAGGCATTGGGTTTTACCTGCGCAGGTTCGAATCCTGTCTGTGACGTTATTTTTTGCTCATTTTTAATGATTTATACTATAGTGAAAGATACTAATAATTAATATCTTGGCTTTACATCTCAACGCCCAAGAATTACAGCTGTTTGATGTCTTCTAAACAGCTCAAATCGCCAGCAGATAGCTTTTTAATACTGTAGCGTGGCGGTAGTCTTGGAACGCGATTTTCACGCGATAAAACCGTTTGATATTTCTTTACTTACAAGCTCTAGTGTCTCGCTTTCTCGTTGGTGAATTTTATGGTTAACTTAGATCGAAAAGAAGGTTAAAATGCTTTTTTTACTTTGGTTTTATATATCCGCGGCTTGTGCTTCGCTGTACCACAACAATTGGGATAGGTTTACCGAAAACTTCGAGCCAACCAATCTGTCGTCCCTGAACCTTCAAGAACGGTCATTTTTCAACTCGGGAATGATAGAAGAATGGACTCCCATACGATCTACAATATCCCCTGGTAATCGGCAATATTTTACCTTTCCAGTCAATTCCAGCTATTCGCGCATCATGTCGAGCGTCGACATGCTTGTGTTTTTGAGCGGAAACGTCAATACCCAGGCACCTGAGCTTTTCAAATCGTATACAGAGCTGGAAGTTGCTGTGTACTACACTTTTGACGAGTCCGTGCTGTCTAACATCACGGAAACCGGCAGTCTCGCTTTGTTTCAGGCTGGCTACTTCGAGGCTCTCGCATTGCGCCCATTAGACCCAGATAGTAATTCTACTGAGTACTCCAATTTGTATCTGGTGGTTGATGTATACAATACTTCGTCAAAATCAGCTGCAATTCCCTCACCGGAAACTCAATCACTCTTCTGGAACTACACACTCAGTATTTCGCAGTACGATCTGGTATTTCAGTGGGACAACCGTGCCTGGATAGAGCTGGTAGACTCTGACTACGACTCGGCTCTTTTGGTGACAGGCAACGTTACGCAAAGCGTTTCGAACTCCAATTATTCGATCTACGATACCGGGCTATACGATCTTTTCCTCTATTCATACGATCACGTCGATTATTTTGATAGCTCGTTAACTCACTCGCTTGGCGCCATTCAGAATGGGCCCTTTTTGGCAACTTCTGCAAACAACGACAGTGCAACTTATGGCTATGGCTCGAATAATTCCACAGGCTTGGCAATTCAAAAATCCATAACAGTTCGAGAGGGCTCCGTAAAGGAGCAATTTCATATAACGGGACTGAACGCTTCAACGACGTACGTCGTCTACCTCACGAAAAGAATCTCAGACAACCAGAGAGTCTTAAGCTCCAACGGTGGGGTTTTGTTTTCCAAGTCCACTTTTACCACCCTAAGCGACAACTCCTGTTCTTTGATTTTTGGCTTGGATTTTTGCGATGGGGTTGCCTATTCGGTTCCAACTTCTAGTCTTGCCAAGGACAATAAAACGGCCATTGCGATCATGTACGATGAAATCGCCAAGTCACTTTACGCTAATTTCAGTAAAGCTTTGCAGATCATACCTTGCGACACAGAGCTAGATGCAAAGTATTCACCACTCAGATCGTGCGATGACTGTGCAGATGCTTATAGGAATTGGCTTTGTGCAGTAAGCATACCGCGTTGCACTACTTTGCAATCCGAATACTTCATTCACAGGAAAAAGGACGATAACAGAAACGATTATTTGAATCAACAGATCCAACCACTAAATGACTACTTCGAGGTTTTACCTTGTATTGACATGTGCTATAGCCTAGTTACTGACTGCCCTTCTGATTTCCAGTTTTCATGTCCCAGCAAGAAATCCCATTCGAATCTGTTCTATCTCAGTTACAATGTCTACAAAAGCGATCAACCCTTTGATACTTGCAACTATGTGGGGTCGTCGAAGAGTCTGCACATCATTGATGGCTAGCAGTGGCGGATTTCTCGTGATCTTCGTCGTCTAAGGGTCTTTTTGTGCCTGTGCCCTCAGACACATTTTCCTTTACAGTATGGGTATCCGCGGCGTCGCGGTTTAAATCGCTTTGAGCCTGGGCCGCCAGCTCTTGCTCGCGACTGGAAAAAGCTTTTTGCGCCTCTATAATCTCGTGTTTGACATCCACTGATGCGCCCTTTTCCAAGACTTTCTCAAGCACTGCCGTCCAGACTGCTTCGTCATTTTCTGTGAAATCCTCCATTGTGAAGACGTTATGCTTTTCAAGAGCCCAATCCTGTTGCTGGCATCGGATTAACTTGACCATGTACGATGAGGATCGCACAGCTTTGCCGACATCACTGATCAGGGACCTGATATACGTCCCTGACGAAACTTTGGCCTTGAAGTGTAGCAAAGGCGCACGGTATTCGTCGCCCTTTGTCACCAATTTTTGCATTTCTTCGTCACTCAGAACCAAAGGCGGCTCCACACGGGCATTTTCGGAGTCCCACCCTTGCGACTCGCAGTATTGTTTAGAGAAATACAAAGTATCGGTAAGCAAGTTTTTCTGGTGGCTCAGTTCGGAAACTGTCTCCTCGCTCTCCTTCGTTGTTGGCCTCAGTAATTTATAGCCGTGGTCAGTGGTCAAGGAGTCCGGGAAGATTTGCAGGTCGTATATTTCGACCTGCCTGGGTTCTATGGCGCGGGGAAGCGGCAGTCCTTCGCGTGCGTACTGATGCAAGGGTTTCCCGTTCATTTTGAGCGCTGCAAAAATCGGAGGCGTCTGTTTGAGTGATCCCACGAGCTTTTGTTCCATGGTTTTCAACCCAGCCATTGTGATATGGTCTACAGCATGCATTGATAGAATTTCTCCCTCCACGTCTCCCGATGTGGTGGAAACTCCGAAAAGGGCTTCACTTTCGTAGACTTTCACAGTGCCAGAAAGATATTGTGAGAGCTTCTTGGTTCCTGTTCCGACGCCAACGACCAGCACACCCGACGCTAATGGATCTAGCGTTCCCCCATGTCCCATTTTCACTTTTGCGACTTTACGCAATTTCCTCTTGCTAGGCACTTTCCCCGTTTCCCGCTGATACTGCAGCATTCTCTCTGCCGTGGCTCGCTGGATTTCTTTTGAAAACACCGTGCTGTTCATCAAAACGTTTTGTAGCTTCAGTAAAAACTGGCTCGACGAAATTCCACTTGGCTTTTCAATTGCAAAAATTCCATTCATAATTGATTCGTTTGAACAGTTTTGAATATTGTGACGTTGTTCTCTATGCTTTCTCGATGCTGTCTCTCTGATGTGTTTCTGTCGTTGACAGGCGATGAGCTAACGTCTCTTTCTCTCTGTATGGGCAATTATCTCATCTCGTCTTTTTTCACTCACTTTTACGGCACAGGCTTGAGAATCTCAAAATCCAGCTGATTTAATGTAGTTTTGTACGGTTAGTATTGGACGTATCACCTAAGACAATCGACAACAAAGCCAGCACGCAATGTCTCGAGTAGGTTTCCCTGTCGTGTTAAATCTCATGAGGATTTTGAGTCATGGAGCTTTGTTTTGTTGTGTTTTGTTGTATTTTGTTGTGTCTTGTATTCATTTTCGATTCATTTAACATACCGAAAGATATCCCGACCTTCTGGGCGAGATGAGTCGCAGTTTCCGCTCATAAAACCAGGGAGAAGCGTTCAGCACTCTCACGTAGTCTTCGAGTGCCAGCAATGGACTTTTGAACATTCGGATCGCCATGACGTTCCACAGGTGGAAAGTAAGGGTGTCTAAAACGGCATTGACAAAGTTCTGTTTAGACGTGCAAGTGTAGGCCTGGCGCAGAAACGCATTCACTGTTTCGACAATCTCTTGAAACTCAGCGTCGCTCAGATGCCCGCTCAGCGGGCTAACCGAAGATAGTCCGTAGACCTGGCCCTGGTATATCCCACGCGCGACAAATCTCTTGTTAGTTGCGCTGTTCACAAGCGCGGCAGGCTCCTGGCCCGGTAATTGCGTGGAAAACTCTGGGATGTCCACATGGAACTCAAATCTACGAGGAATCCGGACCAGCCGTGTTTCCCGGAACTGCAAGGATCCAAGAGCACAATAGACATTCGGAAAATGCGTTATACACAGCGCTTGGTCGTCAGTGTGCTCGGTTTCTTGCGTGTCACCAATATCTATATATCTGGTAACGGAAAACTCGTGGTAGTTGAAAAACAAGGCCTGCTTCGACGCAGAAACTTCCAGATCCTTGCGTGAGCTTGAGCTCGCTAACGTGCTATCCATAGTCTCATATAAAACAGGCCTTTGACAGCTATCTGGACATCAAGTCTATTCATGGATATGTTAATCGCATCGGATATTGATATCAATATATGGATTTAATCTGACACCTTTCGTGGCACACGATGTGGATTTTAATTTAGAAACACGATTTAGAAGGCGAAGCTTTTTAGGGGGATTTGACGAGCGTATTTGATGTGTTTGAGCGCTGAACACGGTTTGTCAAGCATGGGAAAGCTCAGTTGTGTATGCTAATGCGACAATTGGCGCGGAAAAGTGATAGTTGTTGTTATCACGTGACTCGACGACAGGACAGTCGAGATAAATACAAAATAAGCAGGACCAGCTGTGCTTCACTAGATGTGCTTCACTAGATGTGCTTCACCAGTATAAACCTTCTCAACAAGTTTCTGGCTGACATTGCCAGGATTTTCAATATCAAGGTCCTAATTTTATTCATTGATGGTAGCTCATTCCGGCTCAGATGAGAAGTTTTCAATACAATCCATCTCAACCGTGACTAGGCCTCCATCGATTCTAGCATTAATATGCTTTGCTTGAAATATGTCCAAAACCGACACAGTCAACTTCCCTGATTGCAGTATTTGCCAGATGATCTGGATTATGCACATCGTTTATAGGAAATTACGTAGCTGAAAACGCAAATGCTGTAGATTACGGCTAAGTTCTATCATGTAACCGTGTTATTCCTAGCAGCTGGATCTTTGCTCGGGTGCTCGTCTCATCTCGAGGTGAAGATGTTGATTTGACGACACACTAGTATAAAGTGACATCTGTGATGGCTTCATCTAACAGAATTCAATGTCAAATCAACGGTAAGCTACTCCATCTTTTAAAGAACTAAAACAACCTGAACGGCGTCATCAAACGATCAATGAGCACCCCAGAAAAGGACTTCATAAATAAATTTGTAGCTCTGGCTACTTTACAGCACTCAGGGCTCCCTTCCGACACTAAAAAACCGCTACAAGATGTTACAAATCTGGGCGTTGCATTGCCAGCCTTGCGGTACAAATATAACCATAAAAGAGTCAAAAGAAGCGAATTAGTAGAGTCTGATGCGGCTTCCACGGTACAGCTGCGCCTAAAATCCATCAGAGCGCCGAAATTTGTTCATACCAAGGAATTTTCCGTCTCGCAGACCATCCATCAAGTTAAACGCTTTTTGACAGAGGTCGAAGAGGCAATTGAGGATCCTTCGCAATTGAAGCTACTGTTGAAGGGTAAAGTTCTTCACGACAATGTGCTATTGTCGGATTTAAAGGCTCAAGAAGCCGATTTGGTCGTCATGGTCTCGAAATTTGAAAAGCCAGTTATTGCTGCTCAACCAGACATTGCACCAGCCGCATTCGAAATTCCCTGGCATAAGATCAAGGCACTGTTGAGCGCGGAAATCTCGGATGCGGAGGCCGCTGCGACCGTGTTTCAGCGTCTCCAGAAAGGTTGGCAACTCACTGAACCTTCAGACCTGGATTGAATAACAAAAGCTCAAACGGATCTGATTTGCCACGGATATTTTAAAAAGAGTTCTAAATAAGTGTGCCTTATGCATGCGCTGTCATTTTTTAAAAATATTCACTTTCTTCGAATTTGCCGAACCTTTTCCTTTATGCTGTTATTCCAATGAGCAGTCGTTAGGCTTCTTCTGAAACCGTATACCTCTGAAGACAGTGCGTTTTCAACAAAGTCTGGTCCAATCGAAATGTCTCTCTTTGTGCTATCTTTCGTGATAGGCTTATCGCCCATTATGTCGGCGTAGTTTTTGAGCTTAAGCCGTTGTGAAGATACGTATCTGCGACATCTGTCAATCTCCTCCTGGTTGAGGTTGTTGAGCGAAAGCCGCCTCTTGAAAATAACACGCTCAAAGATCGTTTGAGGGTCGAGCAACTTTTTGGGAACCGATTGTATGGCTTGGAAAATCTCGATATCACTGTCATCCTTGTTAGTGACCCGGTTTCGCATGACCCGGCGAGCAGCAGCAACTTCTTGATCGCAGATTTTCAATATGGACAGCGACATTTTGAACAGTACGTGCGACTCTTCGTAAAATAAGCAGTCCCAGATTCTTAAAGTTGTCTCTATGGGCACAATCCCCACGAAGCAGCTCATGAACCAACTCGCCGTGCACAAAGTGATTGGGGGTAGTTTATAAAGGAACTCGTAATTTCGGCTTTGCTCTTTGGTCACGATCCGTTGCCAAAAGTCCGGTAGATATTCCTTGACACAAAGCATAAGTACACCTTGGTCAATGTTTACTCCTTCTAGATTAATGTTGTGTACCCCAGGTAAATATCGCGATGTTATGATAACGAGCATCCAGAATGTTTTTTCCTCATCCAAGAAGAGCAGAAGTAAACCCGCTAGAAAGTTCATCGATTGGCAGTAGCCGATCTTAGGATTATAGTCAGAAAATGCTAAAAGCACTCTGCGCAGTGATTGGATCATTAAAGGCTCTTCGTTATCATTAGGTTGTTTTTGGAAATGAATGTTTTCCGGAAATGTTCTATGCAAGTCTCGTTCGATCACCTCCAGATCTCTGCTAAAGACTTTGTCATTTCGGTCATTAAGGCTAGCCAGTAGCTTGTCGTAGACACCTTTATTTCTGTTGAGCTTTTCTTGGCCACGAGCGAATTGCCACCAAGCTTGTCCCCTCCATTCTGCGGGAATGCCTTTACGAACGTAACGCTTCAATTTCTCACTCCTTGGTGGAAATCTATCAGGAATGTCATTGTCTGAGAGGGCAAGGCCACTTTTGGCAAGCAGGTCTTGCCATTTACGTTTCCTGCGGATGCAGTACCGTGAGTATTCGTCCCACCATTCGTGATATTGCTCTTGTGTGATGTGGGCATTTTGTTTCTTGAATCCGTAGCGATCATACTGCGAAAAGTCCTTGGGAGCCTCTTCGTTAGAACCCTGTGCTGGAGTTGTCACAGACGGCGAAAGCGTGGGACTGACAGGCAATTCTGAATTCCTGCCATCTTCTTGCTCTGCGTCATCAGGTTCGTTTTCGTCTTTCCCGTTTTCGTCGTCACCGTACAGATCGATCAAGCTTGCATTGGTCTGTTCTTCAGCCAGGGGAGTTGGAGATAGGTGGCTTTGCGGTCTTTCAGGAGATATACGTCTTCTGAAATCCCCATAAAAGGCCTCGTTCAAATTCGGCACTGACGGCGATTTTGACGACAAATAAACCATACGAACGCCATTTTTACCATTTGAACGACCCACGCTAATAATATCGTCCATGCCTTCCTAAGTCAACACAAATAGCGTCCTGTGAAGAGCTCAAGGTCCCACTTTTTTAGATGGCCATCAACTTTTTGATTCATTGACACTTTTTAGAAAATGTGGGTTCTGTCAAAATGACAAAATCTTAAATTCACACCAAACCAGTGAGAATCTACTGTTGAACAACCTCGGAACACCAGAGCTTTGGACTGATCCCAGTTTAAGCACGGGGATTTTACGGAGTAGTACGGCCAGTGTTTTTTTAAAGCTTCAAGAGCCGCGCAATTGACCGATCTCAAACCTCAAAACTGTGTCTCTGCTGGCATAGTAGATCAATTGTTTAGAAAATACCCGTTTTTGGAAGCTGATTGCAGGAAAGCCAGGCTTTTAGTATGGTGATAAAATTTGGAAGATCTTTGGTCGTTGAGGCTTGCAAAGTTGTTTGGAAACCGGTTTAGTGTGGAGGTCGAAATCGCAGGGAAAAAAGTATACCGTAGTTCCAGAGTCGGCTGGTAGATTTGCAAGTGATCTAATGTTTATCAACGGCTTTTAAAACTCTCGTATTATTACTTTTGGTAAATTTGGGGGTGCTGGTGTTGGGAAGTTGTGTTGTGATCTCGAAATCGATAGTCATTTGGTGTTTCAGTGAACATGTGGATTTTTTGGTTTATGAGTCTTTGAGAAAGACCAACGTCCAGTACGCCCTGTGTTCAGGTCAAGTTTCTGTCTCTTGGTGTGTTCAAAACGTTCTTGGCATCCCACTTTTGCACTCAGGCCGACACAGAGTTAAAACTGTGCTTTTAGTGGAGTCCTCAGTGGCACATCGAAAGCGTGGAAAAGACTGTTCAGGGGTTTATTCTTCGCAAAACGGCATCGCCTATACGCTCTGGTCGGTACTGTCGCAACTAGATAACCTCCAGATTCGAAGAAAATCTGTCAGCGCCAGTAAAGACCTCACACACACAAAAAATTACCAAATGAACATTTCATGAGCATCTAATGAGCAGCTCCTGATTACCTTGTTCTCTTTCAAACAGCGTTAATTCCTCACATTCTGAATCATCCCAAAACTTCGGTGTTACCTCCTGTCAAACGACAATCTTGCAAAACTATACTATACTAAACACAATACACAAATTAACACGTAAAACATCGAATTCGCGAACTTAAAAAGACCATTGTGACTCTAAGAAAACTTGAGTAATGGTATACCTTTTGTCTCGGCGGCTAGACTTTTTACGTTTTTGAACACGTTAAGAGCAATTAAGATGTGGAGCTAAACGCGTAAAACATTACCTTAGTCAACTAGAGAATAACATACAAGAGAAATATTCATATTGGACTCGAAAAAAAGCGAATTCTCGGGACAGTGAATTGAACTTACTAATACAACAGATTTTGGATGGTTTAAATAGGTTTGGTATCATCAAAGTTCTTAAAGATTGAGTGTTGCACCTCGTACATAACGACCTGTAATTTTGTCATATTTCATATATATACGATTCTGGAGGTCAAGATGATGAGCCAACTCATCGATATTCTTGTGACCATTTATCCCGTTAGAACTCGGCCAAATCTTTCTGAGATATCTGCTCCTCTATTCAGTTCAAAAGAGGGCTTTTGATAATATAGCTAACTTGGCCGGAGCCAGTAGCTCATGTACTTAAGCTTTGATTTGCAGGTTCCGAATAGAGCAACTACAATTTGTTCTCTCAAGCGTGTAACAAGGTGTAACAAGGTAGTTGCACCATCTGCGTATCATGGTAAAAACAGGCTCTTGGCGCTATGATCAGGGCCATGACGATTATGCGAGCTGTGAAGCTCTACATCTGGGAAGCGGAATTCTTTTGCGGGCCCATAAAGATAATCCCATCTCGCTTTACAACGATATCCAGTTCACCAGCTATTGCGACGATCAACGGCCGCTCTACTCGGCACTCATACGAACGGCTCAGACATTCCCATACTTGGAACAAATTCAGCAGGACTGGAAGGCTTTCATATCGTCCCCCGACAGCAGCCGTGGTCCCTTCAAATATAGCATCTACGCGATCCTCCTGTCGTTCACGGCAAACTTCGTGATAGCACTCTCCTTGACCGTCATTGTCTTTATTACCGTGCGACAGAAACCATACCGAGGAGCGTCCAATCTGCTGAAATTGGGCAGCTCTCTGGCATCGATCAATCTCACGATTTTTGTCGCTAAAGCCATGAGCGCCCTTAAAGAAGACCACATCAATAAAGGCATAGTTTCTACAAACGTCGTTTTGAACCTGCTGTGGAATGATCTGACTTTCGCCTGTCTGGACTTGCTCGTTGTGCTAATCTGCGAGTTGTGCCAGGTTCAGATCGTAATGAGACTATTTTCTCGCGTTCGCGAGAAAAGATTTGTTTTCCTCGCAGGCGTGGTCTTATCGCTCATCTCACAAGTGCTGTGGGCAATCCCTTCTTTCACACAAATCGGCAAGAATCACTCTATGGGCCTGTCGTACGACACAGACGGACTCATCCTGTTGTCACCCTTCGTATACCTCATGCGAATTACATTTTCTGCGTTTTACGCTAGCATCATATGTTTCAACGTTTTCATCAAACGAAATCTCTGTTTGCAGAATCAGCGAATGATTCTTCTCACTTTCATCACTATATTGATGATCTTTATGCAGCCCGCTTTCTTCGTTGCAGATGTGACCAACGTCTGGGTTGATGATTTGAGTGAAATCTTCAACACCACTTGTTACGTTGGTTCAGCGGTCATTGTGTGGGAATGGGTCGATTACCTCTTGATCTTGGAGAGAAAAGTGCAAGCGCAGAGCGTATTAGGCCGTCCAGTTTATGAAGACGATCAACAGGACTACTACTTTGCCAAATATGCCTTGAAAACACAAGACAACCAATTCCGTGGTAGCAACATCAACACCACTAATTCGAGCAGTAATAGTGCAACATATGCGGACATACCCGCTCAGGTTCCTCCTTCGATGGATAACAATAAGGTTGAATTTAACGAGCGCCCACCGATTAAGGAGAGGTTACTGGAAGGCTGTACAAAGATCATAGACGGGATGATATATTATACTGATCATTTCATTGTCAAGGGTTTAGTCATCAAAACGCTAAGTTTGCACTCAAAAAATAGCAGCGATGACTATAGTAAACGGAAAGCCAAAGTGAGGAGAAGAATCGGTCTGGATAGACCAAATGAAGTGTACGTCTATGCGACCAGAGACGTTGTGTTTGATTCAGAAGAAGAAGAACACCCGAGAGACGAGGAAGAAGAGGCTGGTAACAGCGTAGAAGACGCAAGGGCAGGTCATTGATTTTGCACTTTTAATAATAGGAAGAGGACTAATTTATCTGATAATTACTTGTATAAAGTACTAAGGGCATGGGCATTTACATCAACATTAGCATCAAAATTCGTCAGGGGTAATACTCCCACTCTGTGAATGCCTCACGGAAAGTTTTGCATTGTAAGCTGAGTGGGTGCTTCATATACCGAACACCACTTCTGCTCATCTTGTAATGTTCATCGATGTTGAAAGTGAAATCATTATCAATATTCCTGCCCCAAAAAACACGACGTCTCTTGGAGTATGTAAGCCAGTGCAGTCTCCCAAATCCTTTGACGGGACTAACATTCGAAACGCAGTCGACTGCGTTGCCACTGAAAAAGATCGAGGGGAGATATTCCGAGAGATCTTCGATCAAAGACTTGACTTTTAGACGAACGCGCTTTTCGAATTTTGGGCCGTGCTCGGGGTTGCTATAGGACGAAAGAATAGTTTTCAATAAAGGCTCAGTGTGATCGTTGATACGCTTGAGCAACAGTCTTCTGAAAAGTATCTTTGAGGAGATTGTTTTTTCAATGTAAATGTAGAATGGGAGTCGATATCCGGTGAACTCTGTATCAACAGTAAGCTTGGTAGTCTTTTGAAATTCTTTGGCCAAAAACATGCTCAATCTGTTAACGTCCGTCTTGAAAACATGTTGATCGCTTCTGATAAATTTGAATTGGCTCAACAAAGTGAGAGCTTGCACATATGCTTCTCTTGATTTTGCCATACTCTCGCTCCACTGAGGCTTGGGAGTTCTCCTGCTACCTGCTTGATTAATGTCAATAAGGAAAGTCTCATCGTTGATCTTTGAATTATGGAATTTGAGTTTTATCAATTCTGGGGCCCTAGGTTTGGCCGTTTTCGATTTTCTTTCGACCCGTATGAGCTTGTAAGGTTTAAGCCTGTCGACAACAGTACGAGGGACTGCTTTAAAGGGTCGATCGTTGTACACCATTCCGCTTATGGAGGCGTCCCAAGGGATGACTGGTTTTTCCACTCCATCGTGATTAGTCCACACTTCCTGAGTGTTTTCCTCGCTTTTCAGATCGTTGATTATTCCACGGACGTCAATCTCAGATGTGGACCCGTCCGTGGCTTTCTTAACTTTAGTCAAGGTGCTAAATATCGTTCTGAGACCACCTCTAGATGTTCTAGCGTCGATTGATTGACTGCCCAAAAACAACGGCTTGTGACCGGCAAATAAACCATCAGTATGAACTTCATCCTGTTGGATATGATCTGTAGAGCCGACCTTTGGAACTAAAATTGGAGCTCTATGAAGCCGGTTTGAGACCGGACCCTTGTTGTCGCCATTTGGAGCGGCTTTGTCGATGGAAGTCTTTGACGCTATCGGGTTTCTAGTCTTGGAATTCCTGTTGATGTCGTTGCTGCCTTTCGATGAGCTAAAGGCTCTAGAACCTTGAATAAAGACCGTATGTTCGCGACTAACTCTGGGAATACGCCGATAGCGATAGTGCAGCGTCTTAAACATACTTGGACACCTTTATTGATCGAGAGTGTGAGTTTTGATTTGACTGTAATCTGTGATGAGATGAATTACATGATGTCGAATTGAAAAAAAAAGTGATATGAAATTTCGTAGTATTATATAACAATTACAACAAAATTAACATCTAGTATCCGCGATAGTTTAGTGGCTAGAATTCGGGCTTGTCGCGCCCGGGACCGGGGTTCAATTCCCCGTCGCGGAGTTCTTTTTGGACCAGATTAATTAAATTTTTACCATCAGTTCTGGGACGTCAGTAATATCTCTCAGCGAGATGTCTTCGTTAAGGTATGATATTAACGATAATCAAGAATCCAAAGGACACGAGTTCATTTTTCAGAGCTCAATTGGGCAGCGAGCTGAGACTAAATGGTCAGAGAACCAGCACATATTTTCTGTAACGTATTTTTTACTTCAAAAGGTCCACGGAAAAAAACACGGTAGATAAACGTTTATGAGGAAGAGAAGTAAGTGTTTCACCCGTTTCAGTCTTGTCTCTGGTAGCTGGCATCGCCTTTCCTATAACTCAAAATTCAAGTATGAGTACCGAGCTGAGCTTACGAGTACATCACAGTATACGATCGACCAATAAGGCTGATTTACCACCCTTCTAGGTCAACACCCTACTTCGAAGTTAGAATCACGGCAACTAGCAAGGCCTAAAGACCCAATTCTTTTGGATTCGATAGCTGGTCAAGTTTTGTCTGCAATCGAATGTCTGCCGAGATTTCATTTGAAAAATTCGCACAGCAGCTGTTCCGAGAACTGCACGCTTTGTCGACTGAATCGAAGCGCAGAAATTCAGACATTAAACATGCCAGCGACACATCTCAGGAGATTTTGAAAGTGGTTAACAGCTTCGATGAGCTGTTGCGTCATCCCGACTTTGTTTTGCCTTTCGTTCTCTCATGTGCCTCCAGAAATGCCAAACTAACGAGTATTTCCATGCAATGTCTACAGAGGCTTGCATCGATCAGAAGCATCCCTGATGAAAGAATGGAAGATGTGCTGAACGCTTTCATGGAATCCACTCATCTTGCGGTTGAAATACAGCTCAAAGTACTGCAAATAATACCCATTTTCTTCAAAACTTATAGTAATGCCATCACTGGTGAGTTGTGCTCGAAACTTCTCAAGTGCTGCTCAAGCCTACTGCAACTACCGAACAAGGCACCGATGGTTGTGGGTACTGCCAGTGCAACCCTTCAACAGTTGGTAAATGACATTTTGGATCGGGCTAGCACACCACAAGAAATTGCAACAATCGAAGTGGCCGTCAGCAACACCGACTATACCACCGTTGGGACGTTCCGCTACGATGCAAACCGTTTATTTTTTGACCTGTGCAGTCTGAAAAGTGGTTCTTACGCCAAACAAGGCAGCGTTTTGAACATCGAAGGTGTTCCAGAAGACTATGGCCTTGAAATCCTAGAAAGCGTTTTGAGTAATCACTTCGAACTTTTCGAGTATTGTGCTGACTTGCAATTCATACTGAGAACGAAAGCAGTCCCACTTTTTCTGCGATCGATCTCTTCGTCCAAAGATTTCCCCATAGTCGTGAGAAGCGCAAGGTGTTTGGTAATGCTTATCAGACTGGAGTTTCTGAAAGTCCTGGAGCTGGAGCTTGAGATAATACTCTTTTTGTTGATCAAAATTATGAGCAATGAAATCGACTCCCCTGCTTGGAAAAAGATCATCATTTTAGAGATTTTCCAACTCATAACCAAGAACATTGCATTAATACTGGCCATATTCCAGTGTTACGATATGAACACCAACCGCAAGCAAATAATGAAAAGTTTGGTCGATGTTTTACAAAATTTGATATCCTCCAATGAGTATCAAAACTACTTGAAAGTATCTCATGTGTTGACAAAAGGTGACACTCCCGTAATATCTCAAGAAAACTCAGCGGCCAAAATTCCTCTGATTGAGCTTCTCGACAAGTCAGGTCCACCCATGATTGATCAAACCTATGGGGTTTTTCTTGTTCTATCCATTACTAACCAGATCTCTGATGAGATTGGCTCTTACGCTGTTACTACCAGCCAGAAAGAGCGGGCAGAAAGTAGTACTAAAGTTCTACAATTGTACTTCAACAGTGTTTTCCCTGGGCTATTCTTTTTGCACAAAATGTTTCTCTACTCCACAACTCTCGACACTCCGTTGTTTCATGCGGTTATACGTGCATTTCAAAAGCTTTCTCATTCATCTGGTATACTCGAGCTCAACGACAAGCTCAGTCAGTGCTTAGATTTATTTGGAATTGTTACTGTTGAGGGCTGCTTACTTAGCTCGAGCGTTCTAGCAGCTAATAACAGTGAACAAGATGTAAGCCCCGCGACTGCTATGCTTAACACCATTAGTGGGTCGCTTATTAGGACTAGCAATTCATCCAAAGAAACCTCGGACGAGTCTCATTTCACTACGCGCACAGTCCACCCTCGAATGATAAGCGTTTTCAGGGCTTTGATATCGCTATCGATATCACTAGGCTCCTACTTTACTTCTGAACACTGGAGCAGTTTCCTTAAAACTTGGCAGTGGATGTCATATTACCTCAAAGGTCCTTCAGGAGACCACGGGAGATCTGGTCCAGGGTTTTCGCACAATACACAGTCTCTTAGCTCGGATTTGAACGCTGTGCAAGCGAGCATTGGGAGGTTTTGCGAAAGTACGCAGAATTATCCCGGTTCCAGTTTCCACTGCTTAGTGCAAAGTCTGATACAAGAGTCGTCCAAATGTCTCACTCTAGCGAAGAGTCGCGAGGAGTCTGCAGGATATCGACCAACAACTGAGCAGGGCAAACTTACAAACTGTGCTTACAACAAGGACTTTTTCATGTTACAGCTGGGTGAACTGAGTCGTCTGAACATCTTAGGGCTGTTTAAGGGATCGAAAGAAGATACAACGTGGGATCTTGTGGTCAATTATCTCGTTACAGAAGCAGCCAGTAGGAACTATGAAAGTGAAGTCCTGAGGCTATGCTCTGTGGATGTTCTGAATGCTATTGTTGCTGAAGCCGCTAGGGTGGCAGGTGAGCTCGGTCCAGACTCGAAGAGCGAGGCTGAAATGATAGAAGATAAATTATTAATCGCACTGACCGAACTGGCTGGAAAAATTATGGGTTTGGGGCGCAATAGGGAGGCCCTCCATAGGGGTTCAATAGAGACAGAGTGCGACATTGTGTTCCAGATGCTACGTACCTTGAAGGGGCTTCTAGATGTTTTTGGCGAATCTTTGACGGCTTCATGGGATACTGTCTTCAGGATAATCAATTCACCCTTTGAGCTTATCAACAAAGACCACTCTGATGATTCATCGATTTTCGAAGAAGATAGCTCCATTCTGGACGTCATTTCCTCGAAGCACAAAGGTATGATTCAAGTTTCATTTGACGTATTCAAACTGATCTTTGACGACTTTCTTCAGACCCTACCACCAGGAGTTTTGGAAGATGTAATTGACACTCTACTGAATTTTGTCAGACAGGATCGAGACTTGAATATTTCATTTTCGTCAATAAGCCAGTTTTGGCTGATTGGCGACTTTTTGAGAACTTGCGTGTCGCGACATTCAGAGCGCTTCTCTGATATAGAAAGAAGAGAATTCATCAAAGATGTTGAACAGGGCAAGCTAATTTCATTGATTTCAAGTGCTGATGACCACCCATACAGTCTGTTTAACGGTTTGTGGCTATACCTGCTCAAAAAATTGGTTGAATGCACAAATGACCCCAGAGTTGAAGTGAAAAATGGCGCTATCCAGACCTTTTTCAGAATAGTCGATTCTTACTCTGCTTCATTTCCTCCTTGGGAGCTGTTGATACAGGAAGTGTTGAAGCCCCTCCTCGAGAAACGATTTGAATTTGATGAATATCTACGGGGCACAGAATTCATAAATCTGACACTGAAGGGGCTGGTCCAAATGTACTCGATGTATTTCGCCGCTTTTTCAAGCAATGAAAATCTTGCTCGCGCATGGGAACTGCTGGTCAGTTACATGGAGGATCTCATTAAACTTCCATCTTTCGAAATCTCATTCATTGTTCTCAATAACTTCAAGTCACTGCTGGACGCAATGGTGAAAATACCCGAAATACCTGACTCGATTATTTTAGAGCTGTACGAAACGTGGTGTGGTTACAATGTGGTATACACAGACTCTTCAAAGCCCTCCGAATTCAATAGAAAGACAAATTATGAGTGTATTGAAGAGCTTCTTAGCTGCTACCCCCCGCTACATCAAATTTTGAGCAGAAAGCATTTGCTGGATAGCGACAGAGTCGAGGCCATCCTGACTGTTATGAATTCTGCTGCAAGATATCCTTTGCTGCCAGAATTTTCTAGTGATGATCAGAAGCCGTCCTCTTTACAGCAAGCCGTTCTCGAATCTGTTCAAGTGTTCGAGTTTGGCCAGCCTTTAGAGATAGAAGTGCTAATTTTGAATCAAATCAGCACTCTAATTGCTCTGCCATTTGAGACTAAGAGCAGAATAGAGAACAAGCTTGGCCCAAGGCTGAGCCTAGCATCAAGAAAAAGAATTCCTACCTTCGAAGCCATCAGCTATGAGGTTTGTGAGTACTTAGGCAGGCGATTGAAAAGTACCGAGGTGCTAGATGCCGATTTCATCTGTTCGAAGAGGTTGCCGAAGCTTTTGAAAAACCTCAGCCTCCCAGTTTTGTGCAAGTCGCTTATTGAAAACAGGAGAGAAAATTCGGTAGCTCTGTGGACCCTCGCGTCTCAGTGCTTTTATTCACTTGCCGAAAAGATACTATCTGCTTTAAAAGACCCGAATGTTGCGAATGTTGTACCCGAAAAAGCTAAGGAGGTTTTCTTCGAGCTTTTCATCGATGTCGCTGTCACTCCGCTCAAAAGAATTGACCCCGAGACGGACATTTTAACAGAGGTCAGCGATATCGAGGAATTTGAACGATACCGTGATATTCTTCTACAAAACTTGGGACCTGCATTCCCAGAGACGACGCATGTGGAAAAGTTTGTATCTGCCGTGTGGTCGGGATCCTTTTTTCACGAGGTTGATGATGTCGAGGACGCAATAATAAAGGAAAGCGATTCACTGTTTGAGGTAGCAGTAAAGCTGGCCGACTTTCCGTTTGATGAGGTGTTGGGTTCAACTCGAGAGCAGTCTTTGCTGAGCAAGTACAAAACTGCCTCACTTTGCCTCCGTGACTTGATGGAGTTTACCAAATACGAAGGACCAGGCCAAGAGATTTTAAGACCCGTTTGCGTACCTTTCATGGTCGCACGTTATGCGTTTATCTTACGCCGTTACATTTCTGACGTGATACTTTTGAACCGCAAACCTATCGCCAAAGACAGAAAGATGGAAGTGGTCTTAGTTCTGACTGGGCTTAAGGAGGTTCTCGATTCTGTTTCTAAGAGCGAGAATAGCTCTGGCCGTGAGGAAACCATTGAACATTTGAAGGCCCTTTATCCTTTAGTTTTGAAAACCATTCCAGCATCCCACAAAATAGTTGGCCTACAGGCTATAGTTCAGGAGCTTTCCTTAGAGTTTACTAAGCTTATAAAGTGAGTAATGAAACCATTCCTTTGTCTCATTATATTGTTCTGCCTTTATGCTAGGATATATATATATATTGTTCATTCCAAAGCCAATGCAATGCGTACACTATTTCTTCCACTCGAGTAGTGGATTTAGCTCCGCTGGCTCACAGCTCATATCAAAGAAGCTGTGGTGCAACAGTTCCTCTGTCGAGGCTCTGTACTTGACGTCTACGCATAAGCAGACGCTCAAAAATCTTTTTATTTTTAATGATAGCGTTTCTGGTTGTTTCAACTTTGGTGTTCCATTCGTCGCGATCAAATAAAGTGCCTTCAAAGGATCCTCATTTAGGTATGGTGGTTCTCCCTCCAACATCTCAATGGTCATGATTCCGAGTGACCAAACATCCACTTTTTCGTCGTACTCACGTTGCTTCACGACTTCGGGTGCCATCCAATAAGGTGTTCCTACCATAGTCGCCCGTTTACTTCTTTTATCTGTAAGCTTGGCACAAAAGCCAAAATCGGTAATTTTGACTCTAGACCTGGTGTCTAGTAACACGTTATCCGACTTGATGTCTCTGTGAATGATATGTTTATCATGCAAAAACTTCAAGCCCTGACATGTTTCGCGCACAATGTATGCAATCTGAGTTTCAGTCAGAGGCGAGCTATTGCTCCCATTGGCAGGACTATTTTCAATCAAATCGGTCAAAGATCCACCCTCCATATACTCCATCACAACCCACAGATCGTCCTCGGTCTTAAGGTATGCTTCCAAAAAGTTAACGATATTTTTATGCTGCGAGTCTTTCATTACCAAGATTTCATTCACTATCAGTTCCTTTCTTGGCTGTTTGGAGAGAATCATCTGCTTGATGGCCACTTTGTCTCCAATGTACTGCTCCCCAACTTGTTCACTGATGTTGCCGTCTTCATAAGTTGGCAACCGGGTTCTTTGAGCAAGGTAAACAGAGCCACTGGCGCCCTGTCCAGCCTTTTCAACCATTTGGAAAAAGGGACTAGGATCAGTGTTGAAAGTCACACTTTTCAATTTGGCCATTATCTCGGCGTTAGACATGGTTGGCTTTGAAGGTTTGCGCTGCTTTGTAACCCCAACATCTTTCTTTGGATGAGACGATGCCTCTGGTTTCTTGGGCGCTTCTCTGTTGGGCTGAAGAAAGCTCGTTCCTTGGTCTTCCTTAGAATTCTGACGCATGGCCGCAGCCGCTGCAGTGGTTGCGCTCGATTCCGCGGGCAACTTAGGACCAGATGGTGCTACTCTTTGAGGGTGAAGCCTTGGTGGAGGTGAGGAGGTAGAATAAGGAGAATTACCCATGGGTGGTCGCTGCGCGGGGCGCCTTTGATTCAGCTGTTCTCTGGAACTAGAGGGAGAAGGTGCAGGAGGTGCTTTGGAGGAGTAAGGATTATGCAAATTATGCTGAAAGCGCGAAGGATCCTGATGGTGGAAAGGTCTTTGCTGTGATGTCAATTGCTGACGTGGTTGAGGCTGTTGCTTGGACGCATAAAAGGGACTTTGCTGAGCATTTGTGATGTTATGGGTCGACGAGGACGGAGATGGCAAATGCGATTGAGGAGGTCTGTTGTGCGAAGGAGCTACAAATTTGGAGCTCAACGGAGAATTTGAGTGCGGTGGTGCATTTTGATAGGAGGTGGAGACTTGCAAGTCAGGACGGTGCAGATTGGATGCAGATGGGGGCGTAGGCGGTTTGCGCTGTGGGACCAAGTCTGCAGAGGGCTGTCGCATTTGCTGATTCTGAAGAAAATGTTGTGGTTGAGAGCCCTGTCGTTGCTGCTGCTGCTGCTGTCTTGGTAATGAGGAGGACGACGAGGAGGCAGACGAATTACTGATGCCAGCAGCGGTGGGGGCGCCAGTACCTGTACTAGCACCATTGCTCACGCCGTTATACTCCTGGTAGAACTGCAATACTTGAATCACAGCTGCAGAATTGTTGTTCCAGTCCTCACCCGTAATTCGCGAATGCTTCAGCAGTTTTTCCCAATTGGAAGGCATTCCTACAAAGGAGCCCGTTTCCGGGTCAAAACCGACGTGTACCTTGTGTGTGAAGTTAGTCGGCGAGGAAACCCCACTGAGTAGCGGGCATTTGGCAAAAATAGCGTCCAGCCATGAATGCAATTCGATTTCTGTTTTCGTCGAGATATACATGGTTTTCCGGCTAACATCCGAGCCCGACGACTGCGAAGAGGACGAGCCCGACGAATTGCCTGATCCACTGGATCCACCGTTGTTGCTGTTGCTCGAGACGCCCGTCGAGCCCCGGTCGTGGTTCCTGACCACCTCGAAACAGTTTTGTTTGAGCTGCGTGCGGCTAACACTCACAATTGTGGTCAGTGGTATCTGCAAAACCGCATCTTCATTGGCAGAACGAGGCTCGTTCTTGTACAGAGTGAGATACGAGTCGCTTAGCACCATGTATCGTTTTTGCCAAAGAAACGATAGTATTCCATCGTCCTTGTACTGTATCCAACCGTTTTTGTTGGTGAACGCAGCGCGCGCGGAGCGCGCGTCGCGACCCACGTCGCTGGTCCCACGTTTGTCTCTCAAATCCAGCTGTGTGAGGTAATTTGTGATCGGTTGTGTTTTGTTGTAAGACGCGCCTGGCGGTTTTGGAGCGGGCCCTATGTTCTGGAAATCCGACTCAGATATATTATTGGCTGCTGCGGAAAGCGACATCGTAGTCTTAACGTCACACGAAGGAGGTAGCCAGCTTCTGATGGACAGTCAAGTTGATGGAATGGAGATCTGTTTGGACAATACGATCTTTTGTTTTATAGATATTTGAACTGTTTGAAATATGATGTTCGTATTAAGTGATAGAGGGAAAGTGACAGTTTAAAAATCGCGAGGCGAACGATACGGGAATTGAGATATCTGGTTTGCCAGGGAGGTTTTCAGATATGGTTAGGCTATTGGAAACTTAACAAGGATTCTAATGCAGTTTTTTGGCTAATTATGGCGCACTTTTGGCGGGTTTTTTTGTATTGAACGAAATTGAAATTGTCTCCGGGATCAGGGTATATCCGAGGTCTTTCCGGATCCATAGGGCTTGTGAAAATATGGAAAGATTATGAGAGACGTCTTCTACGGTTTCATTGCCGTTGGGACCTTGTGAGAATTTGAAATGGTTTAAATTTCATTTCGGTGTCAGAATAGTACAAGGTGATATTGATTCGAGTAGATGTTGGATACAACGATCCAGCGTCAGCATGTTTTCTGGCCAAGAAAGAGTACCTGGGTAATATCGGAAGGCCGGTGTTGAGTTTATTCGCATTGATTCGTGGGGTTTCATTTTCAGAATTTCCCAGTTTGTTTGTCGTCAGAGTAAGCGTTTACTTGTGGGTTATGCGAGAAGTCTCCGTTTGGATTCTGTTTGTATTGTTTAACTGTGTCCACAAAAGGAGATACAATTGAATAGGCCGTACTAGGAGTGGTGCATTTTGTTTTTTGACTTGCATTTGCATGCACATTGTCAGATTCGTCTATACAGGGTTTTTATGAAGCACTTGGTTGATAAACCTGTTAATCGATGGGAGTTCTCCCGTTTGGTTTGTCATCAGGATCAACGCGAGATCTGAATTGGCATTGTATTGCACATGTCTTCACATGGTTTTGTTTTGGGAATTGGTTATAAAATAACCCACGACTTTGCCCAGCATCCTATAAATTGATCTTGGGACCTCTTACGTAGCCAGCATACTCTTAGAGCTTTGACCCTAGAGATGTCTCAATTTCTGTGTCCTTCAAACGGTGCTCATTATAAAAACAGCAACAGGACTAGAGACCTAATTAATACTTGACCATATACACATTGCTCATAACCTGTTTCACTCTGCATACTGGATCTCCACACTCATTGCTCATTTGTATTGGTATCTGCATCCGAAAATTCTAAAACAGCAAGAATCGACTCGTTGATACATTTTTAATCTCTTTAGCTCGACCCCGCAACACTCATCTTCACTGCTTTTACTCTCTTGCAAGACAATCTTCAATTGTAGAAATATAAAACCTCTCTTATAAAGACAAACTTCTGTTGGCTGTACTACGTCTATCAAACTCACAACCCATTGTGAAAATTGAACTAGTGACAAGCTTCTCAAAACTTTAAAGCCCCTCACCTTTGCCGATGCTTGCAGGTGATTGAACGTCACAATCGACTACTTCGTAAGTTTTGGCAAGAAACCAACATGAACAGCCTTTTCTTCAAATTCACCAAGTTCCCGCTTCCCAAACGTCATTCAGCCGTATACAGACCCTCATTCTTCTCTAGCTTAGCTTCCCAGACCCCAGAACAATGGCTACAAAGTCTTGGAGTCAAAGCATTGCCCGTAAAAAGTTTCTCCTTCCAGTTTGACAGATCTAGCGGACCTGGAGGTCAAAAAGTTAACAAGAGCAGCAGCAAATGCACCCTGACAATATACGGGTTTTCCAAGTGCAATTGGATTCCACAAGACGTACGAGATCAGCTCATGGCCAAAAACTTTAGATACTGGGCCAAGTCAAAGGATCGCATCGTAATACAGTCCGACAAAACCAGAAGCAGAGAGACTAACCGGGACCTTTGCCTCGAAAAACTTGTCAACGAGGTCAAAGCAGTCTGCTGGTTCGCCAAACCCGTCAGCGCTGTGGATCAGCAAAAATGGGAAACAGTACGACGCAAAACGAATGATTCTCGACTTAAGGATAAGAAGCTACACAGCGACAAGAAACAATTTCGAAAGAAAACGGATTTCTTCTAAGCCTACATTGGTTGGTGGTTCCTTCAGTAGCCGTCTATTTTTTTGTGTGTACTAAATGCAATTACGTGGTCTCATCTAAAGCGCCTGGCCCTTGCTCAGCCAGTAGTCACGCCTGGTTTGGGCGTTAACGGACTTCATCGCGATGCTGGGTTTGTTTGCGTCATCCGCCAACGAGCCAGCCGTTTGACTTAAAGGATCATATCCATCGTCGTCACCGTCATCGGCGGCGTCCAGCCCCATTAAACTCTCAACGCTTTTCTTGGTGGAAGAAGAAGTGGCATTCTTGCTTGAAGGATTTTCCACCAAAGACTTACCAGACCCACTAGATTTATCGTTTTTACTCGACGAATCCTTTTTCTTATTTTTGGTCTTTTTCTGTTTCTTCTTCGGAGGCTTCTCTACCACGTAGATATCTTGCTCCTCCTCGGGGTCACTCACGTCCGTGAAGACTTCAGTGTGAACAATCCTACCACGCTTGCGGTGGTACAACTCGTTCTCAGCAATGGCTTTATTGACCACCAGGTTTCTTTCGTCTTTGAAGTCTCTTTGTTTACCCCGATACTTTATAACATTACCGAGAATACTCTTCCCTACTCGATCTTTGAACGTAGCCGCATCTAGTTCGAAACACCTGTTGGTCAATAAATCGAATGCGCCCGCAAAAGCCTTTTTGATATCCCGTATGTTGAAAGAACCACGACTGATGTTGTTATTGGGATCGCCTGGATCCTGTATAGCCAACGAAAATGAAGTTCGTGGATTTTGTAGGCTTGGGTATTTCTGTTTCGGTATGTATGATGCTCCTTCGCTTTGTACCGATAAAGCTACATGATCATAGCCAAAGTTCTTGCCATAAAGCTCAAACATATCTATAAGTAAAATCCCCAGGTTCTCCTCTATGCTTATGTCACCACTCAAAACTCTAGGATGGAGCTGGAGAAAAGCGTACACCAAACAGATGACACTAAACCCACCCAGGCCTCCGGTATGCACGCTATTGAGTCTTCTTGCAGTCAGAAACTGCTTAACGATCAGCACAAGCTCCCTCAGTCCAGGAGTCTGCTTTAGCCAGCCACGAATAGTTTTGGCGGCCTCCAGACCATTGATTCTTTCAAACGAAATGTCAATATGAATTTGGGATTCAGGCTCCACAAATTTGATGATTGGGACCCTGGCCTTAGCGATGACCTCCACTTGTGTGGCCAAATTGCGCCGCTTCAAAAAACTTGCGAGAGAGTACAAGCAGTTTTTGTTTTCCTTGTCGCCAGAACTGCTATTAACGACACAATCGATATCTGAGCCCGGTAAATACAGATCGGTAGCAAATGAACCGAAAACGTGGAGATCGGAGTCCGGCCACAATGTCTTGATCACAGATCTTATTTTTGTGATAGTCGAGTTTCTGAGAGAGATCTCTTCTTGACTTGGGGAGATGTAAGCGACAAAATCTTTAATCTCAAGCGTTAACCAGTCAGCGATTTCCCGTTGTTTGGAGTGATCGTGATTGAGAATCCAGGGGAAGTCCGTGTTAAGCCGCTGTTTTTGCGATGGAGCCGAGTCCTGATTATGGTACTCGTCATCGTAGTTGTCGTAGTCGTATGTTCCGGAAACGTCGTTTTCCTTGCCCTCGTCCCCGCTATCTTCTTCAGACTCGCTCATGCTAAGTGAGATGTAGTCTTTGTTCTCGTCTAGTGCGTTTGCCGTGCCATGATCTTCCGTGGTGGAAGGATCCTGGCTTTCCAAATCTGGCGTTTCCTGTTGCTGAGGGTCGACATCGCTGTCACTGCTGCTAGAGATCTCTACCAGATCAATTTCCCGCGGGGCTTTGGTTCCGTCGTCTTCTATCAGTACTACGTGTTCCCGTTTTTTCTCATTTTTCGGCTGGTTGCCGCTGCTATCGGAACCAGAATCAATGGGATCCATCTCTAAGTTTTCGTACTTGTTTAGATGTCCGTTGTCCTTGCTAAAAACTGCAAAACTTCGTTGTGCTCGGCTCAGAGATGATTTTCTCAGTCTTTTGACTCGTTTTTGGTTTTCCTTGATCGCGTCAGACTTAACGGGAGAGTCTTTGGTACCGTTACGACCGGATTTTTGCCCTGATATCTTCCCTTTTTTGTTATCCATCCCACGCCAAAAAACGATTGAAGCTGTTAACTAAACTGGAATTTCAGAATTCGTTTAGAACAGCTCAACTCAACTCCTGGTAAGCCCTTTTTCGGTATCGAGTAGTGTTGATTTTTAAAGAGTTTTTGGTTTAGACGCTGTCCTGACATATGGATTTCATTAAAATTTTCCAAGCTCATCGCCGATGAGCTCTTGCACGTGACTTACTCGGACTAGCGTCTTTCTCTTAGTTTTGGCATCGATTATCGATGGCATTGAGCGTCAAGTATGGACTAGTTATGCTGTGGATCTCACTATAGTATGATGTTTGCTGAGTTTGTTTGAAAAATCCGAGTTTTTCGACCAAATGTGAGGTACTTTGAGAGCCAATCGGTTAAAAATGGGTTTTGGTGTCATTAGGACTGCGAGTTTAGGAAATTCGATGCGTGAAGTCTGGTAGTCCAGTGTCCGCATATTGAGATTTTGTTTGATGCGTAAAAGGTACGCAAATGATGGTGCCTTCTTTGATTTTGAACGAATGCAGAGTATATTATCATATAAGCAAAAACACCCTCTATGGCTCTGCAGCCAACATCAGCATTCGTGCGTTGACTAGGTATGTATGGTTCCAAATGAATGGATTTTACACGGCCATAGCAAACACATTTGCATTTTACGGATCAAAACAAAAGGTCGAATAAAATGTCCTTGTCAGAGGCTGTTGATAGCAAAGGATTTTTGTTTAGTTTGAGAGTCTCAAGTTTGCTTGCAAAACGAAAAGCTTTCTGAACCTTTGCTCTGCTCTGTTGTTGTTTCGCGCGGTCTCTTGAGTGTTCTATTTGCCATAGACGTCACATTGTTTAGCGTATGAAACTCAAAATCAGGCTGTTGAGTTTGCCATTATGGCATTGTTAGTTCCGGGAAAGCTATTTTGGACTTCTTAAATGCTCCCAAATCAAAAAGTGCTTAAATTCCTCGTCACTTTGCGTCGATCGCGGCAATGATGAATCAAAAGAGCGTTTCAAGGCCGATCAACATGCCCACATATCAATAATCGAAACTCTATAAAATTATAACAATCACTGGAAAAAACCTACTTAGAAGACCAAGGAATAGTTTTACCAGTCATCACTGTCGCTTCTTGCTAGGGAAGCCGTTAGGAAGTGTCAGACTATCAGCTATATTATCTTATATATGATAGAAAAGACACCGTCAAAGGCGACGCAAAGTTTCTAGCGCCTGAAAGGTCTCTAGTCCATAACAACTGCACAGTGATTAACAGTCAGGAACCTTATGTACCCATAGCCTTTTGATCGAGTATCAGGATATTATACACCATCATTTTTAGATGCTCTTGTTTTGCTTGTCCAAGATGGCACTTCAATGACACTCATGCCATAATAGTATAAAGTGACGATGTGATGATTTAGCTAGAACTAGCTCATTTCGAGATAGTCAACGGATCTTGGAAACGTAAGTCTAGAGTCTTTATTACCGCGAAGCACTCAATGCTTCACTTTATATACGCATGGTGCATATGGATCTATAGTACAAGGTGAGACTGACATTGTCTTTTGTCAAAACCAAGTGCTCGAATAGGCGACGAGCGCACTACAAAAGGGCAAAGGCAACACCGGCGGCCAAAGCACCGAAACCAGCACCAGCAACAGCTTGTGGGGCTCCAGCGCTGAAAATGCTCAAGCTGGCTGTGGAAGAGCCGGATGCGGCACCTGTGGAGTTGTTAGTAGACACAGTGGACCACGAGTATGGAGTGGAGGTCGATTTGACGGTCTTGACCATCGAGGTGGTCATTTGTGGGGTGGTAGTGATGTCCACGTAGGTCACATCGTCAGCAGCACCAGTGGTGGACCCGTTGTAAGCAGTTGTGATGGTGGTTTTGGAAGCACAGGCGTTGTCCACGCACGAGGTGATGGTCATCAAAGTAGTGCGCTGGTGGTCGACAGTGCTGGTACTGTTGAGAACCACGGTCTCATTGGTGGAAGCAGAGGCAACAGCACAGGCAGCGGTGGCAAGGACGGCGGTGGAGAATTTCATAGCGAGAGAATATGCAAGTTTTGAGTTGGTTGGTGAACGAAAACCAAAACAAAAAAACACAAGACGAATAGAAACCAGAATTTCCCACAACTTCAGATCCTTGTGACGTTTTATACGCTTGGTTCATCAAAATTGTCTGTTGATTGTGGATTTCGTGGATGCGAAAAAAAAAGGCCCAGTACTCGCAGATCTTGTCTTTTTCCCTCCAGCTTTTCGCGTCGCATAGTTAAACCTTAAGTCAAGCTCGTCTGCAAATCCAGGATCAGCGAAAAGGCCTCCGTTACTTCCTGTCCTCTTAGTGTTCCTCAGGTCTTGGCGCCAGATCAGCACTTTATCGCTAATAACGAGGTGGGCATCTCGAGAGTCGCTATTTTTTCGTGTCGCCAGTGTCACGAAACGCGAAATTGACATCCAGGAAAACGGACCTTTTCCTATGTACAACTCGAAAAGTTGAGAAAGATGCGAAAACTCGAGTTAGCAAGTCCAACGCCATGATTTTGAGAACCGCGTAGCTCAATAGTAATATTCGTGTAGTTTGGTTAGAGAGGACCTTCTTTTCGTGAGATTTCGTAGTTTTCCTGCGTGGTGGTCATCGCAGTGTGTCGCGGACGTAATCCGCCAATTCTGAGTACTTCAAAGTCGCATTTTGCTGTGAGTGATCGACCACGGCGGGGATTTCGCGTAGCTGCTTCAATTCTTGTACCAATGCCAAAGGTTTCGGACCCTTGAGTCTACGTGGTGGTAAGTCGAAAACCCCGATACTACCAATCCACTCAATGGGAGGCATATTGGCAGTTCCTTGGGAAATGTCTGGCTGGCCATTGGTGTCCTTTGAAGCCAAGTAGGAGTCTTTCGTGTAAACGGTGAGCGGTTTGCGGCCGTCGTCGCCAAAATAAACCAAATCTTGCGTCAAGTCTAGCTTGAAAAACACGGGCGCTGTGTCTGCCATGATACTCTGCATAAGTATCGTGAGAACCGCATTTCGTGACAGTGGCGGCAAATGGCCCACCGTTAATAGGACTTGGATGTCGGCCAGCGAGATGCACGAGTAACACACGGCCAAGCGGTGCCACAGCATACGCACTTGCAGCAAATGGATGACAGCGGCGATGAGCGGTCGTATGACATGGGAAAATTGGTCCGAGGCGTCCAGCGCTGCAGCAAACCGCTTTAGATCGTATTCAACAAAAGCCTGGTAGAGCTTTTCCAAATTGCGTGAAAGCGGGGTCTCCAGAACTTTGATCTGTTCGAGCTCAAAGGGAGAGATGATGTCGTTTGTTTGAGTTTTCTGGCCCAACAACAGCAGACTCGATAGAATGAACGCGCAGAAAACTAGCTCCTGAAATGCGGTCTTGTTACCTATTTCCTCGAGACACTTGAACGACTGCCAGAGCTCGGTGTTGCATTGCAAGATTGACTTTTTGTTTGTAGCAGAAAGCTGACCCAGGACAAGATACGCTTTTGTAAAGTGGATAGTGGCCATCAAGGGCAAAGGCCGCGAAAAGAAGTTTTGCAGCTGTGCAGAAATGCGACTAACAAGTTCTTCGAGCCCCTCGGTAGGTCCTGCTAGCGTGCCGTTCATCGAGCCCGATACACACCACGTCAGGACAAATTCGAGATTGTCGAGCTGATCTGCACCCTTTGCCGTTGCATTTGAGAGCTCTTCGACAAAGCCAACCGCTACGGCGGTGGTGTCTGTGGCGGACAATCGTGAAGCAGCCAGTTCGTACTGCAGTGAGCGGGATCGCCAAAAAAAAGGGTCAGCTTTGTGGCCCAAGGTGCTGATTCCCTTCAAAAACAGCTTGGACTGTAGAATCGGGTTTTTGTTTAGATCCCAGGCCGGGTTTAGAAGGAGACTAGAGCCTAAAGCTGGAGCAAGCTCGTTGATGAGATCCCGAAGAGCGGCCCGTTCGCTGTGCGCGGAATGAAGCGCGTTTGTGAGGCCATCGATGGCATTTTGGACTGCAGAAAAGTCGGTTGAGTCCTGTGTCCACATGAAAAAGCGACAGCGCACAATATGCAACAGGGTGGCCACTGCTGATGCGTGCGATTGCGCTTGCAGTTTAGTCGCAGCTTTCTCTAGCGTTGTGGCCGCCTCTTGAAAACGCCGCTCTTCGAGCAGCATCTGAGCACTCACGACAAGGCTGCCATTGGTGTCACTCTCCTGCTGCGCAGTGGGCGGACTGGCCAGCTTGTCGAACGAGCCGTCGCTTTCCTCGTCCATCTCGATTTCCATGTCGTTTTCATCGTCTGAGATCATAAATTCATCGTAGTTTTCCGGCTGGTCGTCCCCAAACGCGTAGCCGGCCGTTACAGCTGCGGCACAGTCGCCTTCAGACATGCCGGGACGTTGTTATGGAGCATTTGATGTCTAAAAGTTCGAAGCGATGAGGGCATGCTTGATGTAGATGGATAGGGTATCGATATGATTTCGTGACATGTGATATCAATTAATTCACAAATGTACTCGTACTCGTACTCGTACTCACCGCTTCGTTTTTTTTACCTGCCCGTCTTCATCTTTCATATCCACCCAATATGGTTAATCTACAAATTAATTAATCGTCAAATTCACATCAAATGAACACCTATGAACACTCTGTTTAAACCAAAGCGAATCCAGTGGTGTCCCTGTAGTCCTTCACCTATTGCCCCAGGAAACTCAATTCTGCGGTTACTCTCTAGAAAGAGATTGTCCTTGATTATACGTGTTCTTTCCATTCTATTCCATTCTATCTATCTATCTATCTACCTATCTACCTATCTATCTACCGATTACCATAGTCTCAATTGTCTAGTCGCTTCTCTCGTTGACTCGCCAGACACCCTCGCCACAGCTTTGCGCTAACGGTCCGGAATCACCTGCGCAGCGCGTACGCACCCCATTTTGCTATGCGCCACATATCGTAATCCAACACTTCCATAAGTACAGCAAAATGGCTGGGTTGCCATGAGTCTCATGACTACCCGGTGCGTTATAAAAAGGCGTCGGAAAAGCCATTTGGTACCCCTCTTGGGAACTGGACTTGAAATTGGTTCTGTTTTCTTTCTACATGCTAAACGTTGTACGCTCAAGTATCCGTCATAGCTCAATTTGCAACAGAAGAAACTCTGCGCAACTTTTTCACACATACAACCCATTAAAGATGTTTCAAGTCGGTGACGTTATCAAGACTGGTCTAGCTGGTATCCAGGAAAACTCTCCAGGCAATGCCGTGGACATCGGTAAGGAAGTCAGTAAGGGTAAGCACATCATTGTTGGTGTGCCTGCTGCTTTCTCGCCAGCGTGCACCGCCAGCCACATCCCAGGTTACGCTGCCAAATTGAGCGAGCTCAAGGCGAAGGGCGTCGAAAACGTGTTTGTCACCTGTGTCAACGACGCTTTCGTCACCAAGGCCTGGGCTGACTCTCTCAAGATCCCGTCCGACATCCACATCTTGGCTGACACCCGCGGTGAGTTCGCCAAGTCCGGTGACACTTTGTTCGACTCCGAAGAGGTGTTCGGTAACAAGCGTAACTACCGTTACGCCATCGTTGTCGAGAACGGTAAGGTCATTGCTGCCTACGAGGAGCCAGACAAGACCGGTGTCAACGTCTCTTCTGCGGAGAACGTTCTAAAGGCCTTGTAAGCTGGCGGTATGCCGGACCTCCGAGAAAACTGGATTTTAGACAATATTATGCAATCTGTATAGCCAGCCTAACGACAAGAATATTACGAGTAACAAGGGTGTGAGCTGGGGTGTGGCGAGCCAGAGGGCGTCAAGAGCCGGTGTACGAGCCGCGACTATCAGAAGTAGGTAGATGTGATCAAAAATCATGGCCCTAGCAAGACCTTAGCACGATCCCCGGTACTAAAGTTTTTTTGCTTGTTGATGGTTCCAAATATCCATCTATCACTTGTATGCTGGTGTGAATTACCATGCAAAAAAACAGACCAAAGAATGACGCACATACGACTGGTCAAGCTATATTGGAGGTTGTCTTTGACAAGATAAATTACGTGCGCCCGTAGAATTCCGACTTAGAACTGCTTGATGTGAGGTTTCCAGCCATTGTTAGTTCTGTCACCATGGCCATTAATGATAAATTACTATTTGTTAATTATATGTCTATTTCGCCAATTAAAGAAAATAAGCAAGCAAAGGTACAGAAGTGACGACCAGGACGCCGAACACAGAATTCCCAGTATTCTGATCCGCCTTACGGGCTCCCACAATCATCCTTACGCGCTGAATACAGTTTCCTGGATAATCATCACTGGATACGACTGTGTCGTCAAGTTATCCAAAATTGTTCTCAATGCCCCCCCTCCCCCCCTTTTTTCATCTTCAATTTCGCAGCTACCGTGGAGCACTTATGCGCCCACCATTACCGCTGAGCTCTGCTGAGACGACTTGACCTCATTTTCGTCTCATCTTCAAGGAGATGACACACTAGTACAAAGTGACAAGAGTCGACAATAAACCATACATGGCTAGAAAAATGGTCTCTCAGAGGCTCGAACCATACCAGGTGCCACGCAGCCTATAACCATACAATGCCAAAATCATTCGCCAGACGTGCGAAGCAGCATTTGGATTGGTTATATTAGAAAGTTTTCTCACCGCCCGATCATCAGTGAAAAATCGCCAATAATTCCACAATTCACCATACAACAAAGGCAACTACAGCATTGTTTCGATGGGAGCATTCCAAACTGTCTTGAGCCAAATTTTATAGACGTTTAATTCAGTAAGAATACTGACGCCATAAAACGCTGTCCCCGAGCCAAATGCTTCCAAAAGATCTCTGTTAAAGCTCAGTTTTTAAGATATTTTTCGTTCCGTAGTAAACTTTACTTTCTTATCCATTCATTATCCAAAGAGAAGACAGACATCTCTAAAGAACACATAGAATACAGCTCTTTACCCGACTAGATTTCTTGAAACTGGCAGAAAATTAGCCAATCGCGTAAATTATCGAACTCAACCTATCCAGGATGTGGCACAACTCTTGAAGCGCCGAGAAATGCCGTCTCGTGAGCTACACGTGTGGAATCCCACATCCGATCGTATATGTCAAGACTCCATGACTCAGTTCCCAAGCTGGAGTTTAAATATCCGCACTTCCTATAGAAATCATGAACAGTGACGATTTATAATTGTTTAAGTGGATTTCGTAGTACCAACGAGCATGATTCCTCTATTGCAGCTCAAACAGCCTGCAACATTGGCATGGAAAGCTACAAGACAAAAACTGAGCAACGATAATGGTCCTCAAACGGGTTCAAGCTCCGGTTCCAAAACTAGAAACCGGCCCAATTCTGCCGTGATCGAGCAAACTGTCGAATTGTGGCCTCAGCAAAGTAAAGTTTCTTTGGAGGACGAAGACGAGACAAATTTCCCAGATGGTGGGCTTCCAGCGTACATGGCTCTGTTAGGCTCGTTTATGGGTTTATTGCCCGCTTGGGGTGTTACAAATTCGCTCGGAGCTCTGGAAGGCTACATTTCCAAGCACCAACTGGCTTCCAGTTCGTCATCCGGTGTTTCTTGGATTTTCTCTATATACCTTACTTTGTTTAGCGCCAGCTGCGTACTTACGGGTGCGTATTTCGACCGCAACGGTGGGTTTGTCCCGCTTTGTGTGGGGTCCGTTGTGTTTGTCTGTGGGCTTATGGCGACCGCTAATTGCCAAACTATCTGGCAATTCATTCTGTCATTTTCGGTAGTGACAGGTTTGGCCACGGGCGCGCTGACCACGCCGCTCATAGGGTGCATTGCAACCTGGTTTTCTCGTAAACGGGCAATGGCCACCAGTTTAGCTACAATTGGCGGTTCCCTTGGTGGCATTGTGTTTCCCTTGATGCTCAAGAGCCTATATGAAGAAGTAGGATTCCCATGGGCTATTAGAATCATGGCATTTGTGTGTTTGGCGTGTTTGAGCGTTGCCTGCGTTTTTGCACGGGTCAATGAGAAGACCAGGCCCATTCGTGGCGAGTTTCGCTCGCGATCCGAGAAGATACGGTTTTACGTGCTTGGCTCTTTCAACATAAGGTATTTCCAAGATCGCAAATATTTGCTGACTACGTTGGCGTTCTCGCTGGCTGAGAACTCTATAATGGCCACAAACACTTTCATTGCCTCCTATGCCATGACTCGGGGAAACTCCGAGGGTAAAGCTTTTACCTTGATCACGGTGTCGAACGCAGTGCAGATCTTGGGTCGCTATATCCCAGGGTACATTTCGGACAAATATACGGGCAGATTCAATACTGTTATTCTGGTGTCGTGTTTTGCCGGAATTTTAAACCTGACTCTACTGCTACCATTCGGTGGAAATCAAAAAGTACTATGGGCATACATGATACTGTATGGGTTTGCCTCGGGCTCGGTTATGTCGCTGACGGCGGTGTGCGTGGCACAAATTTCACGGACCTGCGATTTTGGAAAACGCTATTCTACTTCCTACTTGCTGAGTGCAATTATGACCTTGCCCATCATCCCCATATGTGGTGCAATCATTGGTAAAGGAACCGTGGCTGAATACAACAAATTCATAGTATTCACGAGTGTGCTGATATTAGTCGGTTCTGCTTGCTACTTGGGAGCGAGATATTTGTGCGTGGGTGCAAAGATGCGTAAATTTTGAGCTGCGGGAGTGCCAAGAAATTGGAATCAGAAGAAACGGCGGGAAATAGCACACAATTTGAATGTACACAGCACACTCATCTTTCAGAATTTCATCTTTCTAATGTCGTGACACTTGGTATTAAGTGTCACGATTTTGAAAACACTTCACAGGTCAGAAAGACACCACAGACATTGCTTGTCGGTTTGGATCAAATGGCCCACCGATACCAACTCAGCTGAAAGCTGCCCTGGAGCTCATTCTAACTTCCACCAGGGCCAGGTTGACGGACGTTACTGGCTATCCAATTGTATCACTATATACAATTCTGTCATTTCTCGCAACTCGGATGACATAATCGCGGCTAAGGCTTCCCGCATTTTCTAAAATTGGTGTACGGATGTTCAGATGTCTGGGTGTTGTCTTTAAGTAAATCGAGAATTATGATCGTTCTGCACGAGCGTCTCCTACCCACGCAAAAAAAAATATCCCACATCGATTTTTTTTCATAATTTTTCACTCTGTAAAACCCATCCTACAAGTCATCGATTTAACCTCTTCACTTCACTTTTGTTAGTTCTTCTTGGTATCTTTTTTCTGAAGAACATTAACTAGCAACAATGGGTATCGATCACACCACCAAGCAGCACCAGAGATCTGGTCACAGAACCGCCCCAAAGTCTGACAACGTCTACTTGAAGTTGTTGGTCAAGCTTTACACCTTCTTGGCTCGTATGTGAAATAACGCTTTTCTTTCCGGTTTTTGGGATGCACAGTTGAAGAAAGAGAATGAGAATGGGCTCTCTCACAACAACTACACAAAGCATGGACAACAGGGACAAATGCTCATTTATTTGGGTTCTTTGTCTCTGGATTGGAAAGTTTTTGAAATTTTTCGAAAGTTTTGAAAGTTTTCCATCGGATAGACGAAGACGATGGGTCTCTTGTTCGCAAGAGACTTATCGTTTTCACTGGCTTGAGACTCGTTCTGCGAGTGCGGAACCCCTGGTGAGCGCTAGACTCTGGCGCGCCAGCATGCCTAATTAGCACCAGGGGGTTTTTCTTTTCCGTGCGGTTCATTTTTCCCAGCGTGGCTTTTGGCGCGTGCGCGGCGGAAAACCAAGTGAGCAGGACCTATTTTTCTTGAATTCTCGCCTTCTACCGTCTCTGTCTTTCTTTGCCAACGCTGTGTTACTAACTATCTTTTTCACAGGTCGTACTGATGCTCCATTCAACAAGGTTGTGTTGAGATCTTTGTTCTTGTCCAAAATCAACAGACCTCCTGTGTCCGTCTCCAGAATCGCCAAGGCTCTTGGCCAATCTGGTGCCGGTAACAAGACCATTGTCGTTGTCGGCACTGTCACCGAGGACTCCAGAATCTACGAGTTCCCAAAGGCCACCGTTGCTGCTCTAAGATTCACCGCTGGTGCCAGAGCCAGAATCTTGAAGGCTGGTGGTGAGTGCATCACTTTGGACCAGTTGGCCGTCAGAGCTCCAAAGGGTCAGAACACCTTGATCGTCAGAGGTCCAAGAAACGCCAGAGAGGCCGTCAGACACTTCGGTGCTGGTCCTCACAAGCACAAGGCTCCAAGAATCCAGTCCACCGGCCGTAAGTTCGAGAGAGCTAGAGGTAGACGGAGATCTAAGGGTTTCAAGGTGTAAGCAGCTTGCTGACTTGCTATCTGGAAGCTTCTTAGCGGAAAAGTTGTCGCGGCTGTCGTTGCTGTGTAAGTATATACTACTAGTAAAATGATAATTGGGCAATTTAATGTACATTAGGATTAGGCACGAGTAAGACGGGGAATATAGACGTGGGATAGAGACCTGCTATAGCTGAAGAGATCCGCCCGTGTGCCCTGGTTCGTATGCTAAGCGTATTCTAAACTAACATTGCACACACCATCTCCATCTTCATCTCTCTCTCTCTCTCTGGTCTCTCTCTATTCTGAAATTACGTATGACTGTCTTTGTTTAACACCCATACATTCTTCTACTTTTTAACATTTCGAGAAAATATTTTGTGAGTGGGCAGAAAACTCATCTAACTCTTCGTGCGACACGTCAAGGACGCTACACGGATCCAGGCAGAGCGCTGGGCGGACCGCTAGGCAGAGTCTGTCTAAGGTGTCCTGCCTAGCCCGGGGCTCTCCCTCTGGATCCTAGACTGGCTTCTCTGTCTGGCACCTTCACACTCCGCCTAGCTCTCTGCCTATCTCTCTGCCTAGTACCAGACGCAGCTTTGGCGACAATCCGGCAGGACTCTTTCCCGGTGGTCAATCTGGCTGCGACCCAATACGCTGGAATTACCAACCAATTTTTGGCAAAAGTACTGGTTTAGCAGTTGATTTGGGTACAGTTTCAAAGAACCATAGAGTAAAGATGCCAGGTGTTTCCGTTAGGTACGTACAATTACGACAGTGTTGTCGGGCGAGCTGAGACGCGTTGAATGGTGAAATAGGCGGTGATTTATGACCAGTTTTGGTGGAGTTGACAATTGTTGATGTTGAAGGCTGTGCCCAGGGAAGATATTCGAGATTAGAGCTGCAACAAGATGAAAGCAGCTGTTGAGATTCAAAAACACATGCTGATGTTTGTGCGTGTGTGTTGGACTATATATCGATTTTCGATTCTTCGATTTTCGAAATGAGCACAAGTCACTTCGACGTTTATCCAGTGTGCTGAAAATTACACCGTCATTGAGTGCTCATTACCGAGTCTCCGCTCCCCGCCTTCCCCGTTTCCAAAACATACTAACAGCAAGCTTTCTGCAGAGACGTTCCAGCCCAAGATTTCATCACCGCTTACGCTTCTTTCTTGCAAAGACAAGGTAAGTTGGAGGTGCCAGGTTACGTTGACATTGTCAAGACCTCTGCTGGCAATGAAATGCCTCCACAAGACTCCGAAGGCTGGTTCTACATGCGTGCCGCTTCCGTTGCCAGACACATCTACATGAGAAAGCAGGTTGGTGTCGGCAAATTGAACAAGTTGTACGGTAACGCCAAGAACAGAGGTGCCAGACCTTCCAAGCACGTTGACGCCTCCGGTTCCATCAACAGAAAGGTGTTGCAGGCCTTGGAGAAGATTGGCATTGTCGAAATCTCTCCAAAGGGTGGCAGAAGAATCTCCGAGAACGGCCAAAGAGATTTGGACCGTATCGCCGCCCAGACTTTGGAGGACGACGAGTAAGTAATCTAGGCTCTTCGAATCCAAAACTAATCATATACTCAGAAAATATCATAAACACGTCTGTAGAATTGTACATTTCCGGTTGTTAACATGAGGGAATAGCGAGTCCTGGTGCACGCCGCAGTTCGATAAAAAGGCGGTGTTTATCGCAGACCGTCGGTATATTTACACCTTTCGGTTACGCCATCAGTGGTGCTATGAACGATCAACATATGATAATTGGTAGTCCCAAAAACAAAAAGAATGGTCTCTAGCGGGATCGAACCGCTGATCCCCGCGTTATTAGCACGGTGCCTTAACCAACTGGGCCAAGAGACCTTATTGGGATACAGACTAGCTTAAAAGATACATATACTAATACAAACGTCACGAAATTCATATCAAACGAGAAAAAATCGTTAAATTGAAGCTATTCTTCTTATAACAGTAATAAGGCCAACCGATACTAACCGTCTCAATCTACAGAATCGTCAAACATGAAGCCAGTGGTAGCAGTATGTGTTCCGTTATTTTGTCTACAATTCTCGCCAGACTGTTAGTCGTACGGGATTTTTTGGCTCTCGATTGTCTTAGAGCTCCGCGAAATGCCCCTTTTGACCCTGCAAGTGTCTTTTAACACAGCTCACTAACCTTTTCCGTTTCCATTTTTGATAGTCCGGCAAAGCCTGGTTCTGCACAGTTGTATCTGCGTTCGGCATTGTCATCTTGTCAGTCATTGCGCATTTGTTCAATGTCGGCCACGAATCGTTTGTAGGGTCGATCAACGATCCTGAAGACGGTAAAGCGTATGTGAATTTTGAAGAAAAAAAAGAACAACGCCAAAGGACCAGCGAGATCTCTAGTTTAGGGAATACGTTCTCGTTCCATATCGTGCGACCTGGGTATTCCACTGTGTCCAGGCTTGGTTAGCGAGGAATATGACTCGCGAACTTTCAAATTATGCCTTTTGCTATTTTACTAACCAAACCCATCAATACAGAGTTGCACACACCGTTTTCATTGCCGTGCTAGTCTACGTTGTGTTTTTCGTATTCTGCGGCTCCCAAATTTGGCTGGCCAAGAAAAACTCCTCAATCGAATTGCGTTGATATCAAAACCTTTCCAGGGAGCTCTAATTTTTATAAATCTTCGGGCTCGATTCTTACATAGAGATTATATTTACAATCATTTAAAGCCTGAGGCTGACCTTTTTATACTCTTCACTTCTTATGTTTACCTGCTGTCGTCCGATATATTCATAGTTACCTGAAAATTGACGTTCATTTCAAGAAACTACAGACCTGTAAACTAGAAATTCGCACGGGCGCCTGCCTATATTCGTCGTGATAAAGCGTTTGTTGGGCATTGATGGGCTCTTCGAGACGAGCTGAAAGAGATCCGGAGCTCGACCGGTATTTGGATCGAGTAGAGGAGCTGGACAGCAAGAGATATGGCTGTAAAGGTGCTCGAAATGATGATGCGAAGAACAAACCAAAGTACAACCCTCAAGACTTGGAACGGGCTCAAAAACTCCTGAGTGGTGAATATCCAACGTTTGATGAAAGACCTACGACATTTTCGTCCCGTAATGCCTCTGAAATGGCATACAGATCGGCATACAACTATGAAAAGTCATTCTCCCCAAAACGCAATTCACACACTACGAGATCTCCGATAAGGCCCGTAAAACACCCCGATTCGTGGACTCACGACGATTGCTTGGATTTAGCTGTCTCTAGGTTCGACTCTCGAGACTCTGCCAGGCAGTATATGGTCTCAGAAGAGGACTATCTACTTTTAGCCAAGTTGAAACAAGGTTTGGCCATTTCACCCCCTCAAACTACTGAAGAAGTCAGAGAATATCCTTCGCGGGGAAAGCCAAGAGCTTATAGGCCCCACAATAGATACAAAGAAGATGTCGACAATAATAACAATAATGATCACGACGATGACAGCGAAACTCCGCCACCACTGCCAGTAAGAAGAGAGGCGAAGAATGAGAAGTTCATCGCCACACCTACCAAAAATGCATCAATTAAACCTCCTAGACCTCAAGTATTGACTAATTCGAGGTCTGAGAGAATAATAGATGATTGTTCGAAGTGGGACGTTGGCACACGCGAAAGATCCCATCCAAGACCTGAAAGCAGCGTGTTTCAAACATCTTCGTTGAAACCCAACAAAACTTCTTTTCTCGAGTCTTCTCAAAAAACCAAGGCCACTACAAGCACAGCACCAAAAACTGACATCGAGCAGAAGGTAACCAATAACGTGCACAAACCGAGAACGTACCTGGACTCACTTCAAGATAATAAACTTACCGTAACAACCCCACACAAATTCCAACCCTCAACACCGTCGCCTACCAAGCCAGCCCGTCCTTCCCGGCCGTTTGTGGCATCAGCTCTCAAAACCGAAAGTTCTAAGTCCACCCCGCAAATGAAAGCTCTGGCAATTCCGCCTCGGCGTAAACAGATTCCTGCGATGAGTACCGACGATAAAAGCGACTTAGAGCTCAGCTCACTGAGGGCCAGTCTTAGAAGTCCCGAAAAAAGAATGAGCACCGCTGACGCACCAGGCACTAGAAATGCATTTGACGTGAAGCTCGAGGTTCCCAAAACCCGGAAAAAGACAGAAAACGACAAAATACCCGGTTTTTTAGGCAAGGAAGCTTTGAAGCCTCTGCCTGCCGCATCTGAGAGGAAGGAGTCTGTTCCTGAGGTCATGGGCAGAAGAGAGATGCTAGTAAAAGCACCTCCAAAGCCCGAAAGGAAAATATCGGTTCCAGAGGCTATCGGTAAAAAAGGTAATTTGAGTAAAGCACCACCCAAGCCAGTAATGAAGGCATCACTACCGGAAGCCGTTTCCAAACTCTCTACTCTGGCGAAAGCCCCGCCAAAACCCACCCGTAAAATATCTATGCCTGAGGCACTAAAGAAACTCGAATTGATAAAGGCAAAGAAATTAAAAGAAGAGGCAGAACTGCTCAGTGACAGTGATGAGAAAGGCCACAGAAGCCTTACAGATGACAAGAAAGTCTGGCCTCGCGATGCTAGAGATGGACGGGAAAAGGCGCCGGTATTTTCAAAAAAGCCTTTAAATCGTGAGGTCAGCAAAACTGCTCCAGAACTGGGCCAAAGAGCCAACGTACCCATTGCGATTCCCTTTATGGTACAAGGTGATAGTGCTACGATTGCAAAATTACTCAGCCCGGCGTCAGTGTCGGAATCAAATTTATCTGAGCTGAATGGATCAAATGACAATAAACTGGTACATCCAACTAAGGGTCGGGCGCGTGGGCCCAAGAGGAAACCTCCCAAGCTTGTGTAATGACCATCGAGCAGTTTATTAATTAATGATTAATCTGATAAAGAAAACATCTCATCAGAGGGCACTCTCTGACGTCACGCCCATCAATGAAGTGACCAAAAACTTTAGATGCAACCTTCTCGCCTATCAGACATTTGAGATGCCGGCTGCGGAAATCTGACCAGCCGAACACGGCTTGACAGTTTAGTGGATGCTCGTAAAAAACAGTAATAGCGCGCTTTTACGAAAACGGAATGTTAATGTATTATCAGCATAACTTGGGGGAATTCTATGGCCGCCCCAACGCAGCGACATCGCCCAAATGAGGGAGCACATGAAGTGTTCAAATAAAATCTGTTTCTAGGTCTTCTGCTGCATGCACTAGAAATACAAAACGTAGCAGGACGGGCCGAAAGTGGCCGATTTAACATTTCTGGCGTTAATTTATAGTTAACACCGTCGAAACCTGCCTTATTCTGTGTAACACCCAAAGACAAATATGCTGGTCGAGAAGCGCAGCAAATGGCTTGCTTAAAAGCTCGAGGAAACTGTGCGACACGAAAAAGACGACGAATACGACCTTGCACTGATAATCACGAAGGCGCAGATAGACTTCCACTCCGTGGAATTGAGCTCTGAAGATGCAGATACGGTCGAAAGAATTGGTGAAATAAAGAAAGATCAGCACAAGTGCGACACAGCCGTCAAATTAAAGAGAAGAGCACTGCATGCAGGAAGTGCGGGGTCTGCGATCTCGGGTCAGACTCACTAACGTAGACTGGATATCGAATTCTGACCGTAGGTGTGGTGTCGCTCAATTTCGGGGCGCTGGAGTATTTCGTGACGCTTAGTTCTGCACCGTGGCCTTACAGACTTGTTATACCACAGCTATCCTACGTTTCGCGTGCGATGAAGTCCTACATCTCTAGAATAAGACGACGCCAAAGAACTCTCTGAGATAATTTGGTTCAATGTTATATATTCCCCGGGTGGATTTGGCTTCTTTTGCAGAGACAAGCAAGCAAGTGTTCATCCAAAGAATTTTGCTTCTACGCTTTGCTCTTATTTAATGAGCTGGTTGCTTTATCGGTCTAGCTCTAGAGCAAGCAATTGGTTTTATAGAGGATTGTATAAGTCTCTATCGGTACACTTCATGGTGTAAGATCTGGTGTGTCAGAAGCCGAAGGAATGGGTATTTGTACACGTTGGTGAAACATAAATTTTTGTGGGGAATTGGCGAAGGAAATGTGGCTTCACGAAGCGTTTTGTCTGTCAAAATAGGTCCCTTCAGTCAGTATAATCCATATTCAAGCTCACACGAGGGCTTCAGAAGTGATACAATGACCGCCAGTGTCAGTTCTTCGACATTGTTATCATTTTGAACCCATCTGTCATCTGTCGATATGTCACATGACCTGCGATGACTGGGCATCGATTTGAAGCTGTATTGTAGAAGACAGTTTATCTGACGGAGACCTTTATGCCTGGGCTGAGGAAGATCTGGTCGCCGGATTTGTTGGCACCGGATCGGCAACATCGGTGGTGTTCATGGTGGTGATCTCTGATCCTCTGTAGGAATGGAATGTATGTATCAAATCGAAAACAATAAGACAGCTTAACAGGAGGCACCAACACCAGCGAAGGACTGACGAGCTGTAATTGTTTTTCGCTTGAGAATTTGCATTCTGTACTAATAAATCAGCATAACGAAATGCTAGGCAGACAGAGATTTTCATCGTCCCGAGAGAAGGAACGGTTGCCACCATTAATTCCAGTCATGGTTACACGACTGCTGCAGTACCCGTTGGTTACGCAATAACACCTCCCAGAGATAATGTTACTTCAAGATTTGAAATTCTTAACACAGTATTCTGCGATTATCTCAACGGCATAGAGGTAAGACCGAAAACACGTTTAAAACATTAAATTCTAGATTTATCCATGTGAACTCCAAAACAAAGACAACAAATATAAGAAACACATACCAGCTCCGTTAAGACTACAAACTGGAAACGGTCTCCTCGATTCCGCGTAGAGTCATCAAGCTGGATGCAGCGGAAACGTCAATGCCATATTAGTACAAAGTGATCTCATCGCCAACGTATCTATTCTGCACATTTATCTCACCATCGAAGCTACACCAACTAAACATGCACCCGCATTCCATGCGCCCAAAAATACGCACAGTGCTGGATACAGTCAAAGCAACAGAGCTTTCCAAATTCTGAAATGGGCACACATATTTATTTATTTGAAATCGGGCATCAAATCACGTGAATTTATTTTCAATATCTTGAGTGATAAGTAGCCTGTTCTGCCGGGGCCAAGCTAGACTATTTCTCTAAAGATTTGCCATGCAACCAACAACGCTTTCGACCTCCTACTTCTCTTCCAAGTTCCCACAATTTTAATTTTATGGACCTTTTCAGTCACGTGATCCCAAAAATCCTGGATATTGTAGCCATTTTCATGATTAAATAAAGGTCAACAACATCTACAACAACAACTACGTATCGTCAACTTCGTCTTCAAACAATCACCAAACAAACATTACAAGCGCACCGCTGTGACGCTCATAAAGACTGGCAAATGGCTTCTCAATTGCTGACGGGTGATCTGGTATTGTGCAAAGTTGGCTCGTTCGCTCCCTGGCCAGCAGTGGTGTTTCCACAGCGGTTTTTGAGAAAAGATGTCTACCGTAGAAGGCGGCCGGAGCGTGTGGCGGTGTGCTTCTTTAACGATGAAACGTACTACTGGGATAAGCCCAGTCGACTGCGCCCGCTCACGAAAGAATTGGTGGATGAGTTCCTGAAACAGGCGCGAACCAGCAAGGCAGAAGATCCAGTGCTGGTAAAAGCGTACCAGGAGGCCAGCAATTTCAAGTCCTTGCATGAGTTTTTGCTGCAGCGGCTAGAGGAGGAAAAACGCATACAGGACTGGTATGACAATGCAGACAAAGACACCAAGATTGCAGCGGGCCAGGATCCGTTCGAGGGTAAATCTGGGGCTCCCAGAAGTAGTAGCAAAAACACGAGTCAGCACGAACGAGCAACGTCTTCTCCGTCATCGCGGTCCAGGTCTCGAGCCGGTGCAGCATCGGGCCCCGCGTCCGGGCCCGCCTCTGTTTCGGCCTCTTCTTCTGCTTCAACTTCTGTTTCTGCTTCTGCTCCTGCTTCTGATTCCACGTCTGCATCTGCTTCAGGTTCCCGATCCGGTTCTGGTACTGCAGCGGTCGTTTCAGGTCGCAAACTTGCGCGACTGGACCATGCCAAAAGAACTGAGATCTCGCTGCTTTTACGTCGTAAGTTGCAAACCAATCTGGTACAACGAAGTACCCCCCCCGGACCCGAAGAGTTGAAAGAATCTCGAAAGCTACTTGCCAAAATAGCCGAGAACATGGCGTCAACACCGCAGTTTTTCGACCTGGACGCCCTCAGACAGAGCAAACTGCACAAATTACTAAAAGTGATTGCCAACGACGATAACCTGAAGGAGTTCCACGGCCAGTGCACCGAGATTCTGGACGCGTGGAAGGACGCCATTTCACAGTTGAGAAAGGAGAAACTGAAACTACAAGAGACATGATAATTGTTACTGTGAACTCAGTTGAGTGGAGTGGAGATGGACGTCCTATAATCAGCGCTAGCTTCTCTCTGTACAAGAAGGAGGCTCAATCATACAATATCGTCCCCCATCAGGCGCGAGAAATGTTTGGAAGGTAGAGAATAGATCAAACATCCTTCCGGTAATATTTTTGTCCGGGAAACAACCAGCTCTCGCAAGAAACAAACTTGCAGTGAATAAAAGCTAGCCATTATACAGGGCATGTTCCCCAAACTACGGTACAAGCTGCTAGTCAAGTCCGAACCAGCCCAAAATAAGCTACGATAAAAAGACTATGAACTACCGCGGCCGAGTTTCGAACGCGTGTCAGCGCTGTCATCGTGTCAATGATTTATTACGAAATTTTTCAGAATATCTTCCAACCTTAAAGGGCGACCGACTATCCTCATTCTTACACCATCTCCATTGAAATAACGACCATTCTGAAATAAACTAATCATATTCAAGATCCTCTATTATCTCTACGATGTCATGCCCTGAGAGCTTGCCGGAACATGTTCTGACCCTTTTGAAGACGTCCAAATACTTGCATCTGGCGACTTGCTCAAAGCCGGAATGCATCCCATCGGTGTCTCTAATGAATTACACGTATATCTCGCCGGACAGAGTATACACGCCAAAAAGCTCGCCAGCAAGCTCTAGTGTTGCTACATCCAACAAAAAGTGTCACTATATCATCATGGCGACTCAAAAGAACACAGAAAAGTATGAAAACATCATTCAAAACCCACAGGTCTCGGTTTTGATTCACGACTGGGTGACCGCGAAGAAATTGTCTTTGAGGAAGAGCAGCATGTCCAATACTCCAACCCCGGCAGAATCCACCCAGGATTCGTCAGAGCAGCCCCCAAGTGCCGATCACCCTAGCAGGTTACTCAATTTGCTCCAAGAGCTCAACCAGTCTGAGTTATCGCAAATGAGCGCCACGCTTCGAGGGTATGCGGAACACCTGGATTCGTTTAGTGACGAGTTCAACTACTACGAACAGGAGCTTTTGAAGGCAAACCCAGATGCTCGCGTTTACACCAGAGGCGAAAACGTGTCGGTGGTTAAAGTCAAGCTTGTTAACGCCAAAGTCTCCGATAACGAAAACAACACCAAATTCTATGATTGATTTGGAGAGCTTGGATGATGATTATACTGGATTAGTCCTCGAATTCTGCAATGGAATGAAACAAGCTTAACTTGTTTGGATACTTATGCTAATTACTTTTATTATCTACTCGTTAGTTCGTTTACTAAGCTTATAATTACAAACCCTCTTGACCAAAGTCGTTGGTGAACTCTTCTTGCTTCTTAAGATCGTTCTCATTGACTGTCGGTCTTGTTGTTTTGATGGCTTTCAAGAAATCTTTGATATTGAGCTCTGGTTCTTGCAGTTCATCCGCTTCTATATCTGTCCAGCTCAGTTCAATAGCACCATCGTCCCCTGGCGAACAAGGTATTAATTTGCGATGTTCTGGATCCTCCGATACGTCTTTGAAATGGGTCGAGTTTTGAATTTGCCGGATAGGCTGCATCAAAGCGTCTTTCACAACCACCGCGATATCACTACCAGAATATCCTTCGGTCAATTGGCCCAGGGTTCTGTAATCTTCTTTCGTAAGCGAGCACGGCGTTTCGCCTATGTTTAGCTCGAACATACGAGTTCTGCCCGCAAGATCGGGAAGCGGGATATAGATTCGCTTCTCAAACCTTCTTCTTACGGCACTATCCAATTGCCAGGGAATGTTTGTAGCTCCAAGAACAAGCACACCTTGAGCATCATTCCCCACACCGTTCATTTGGACTAGCAGCTCCGTTTTGATTCTTCTACTGGCCTCGCTTTCACCCTCCCCTCTCTGGCCTGTCAAAGCGTCCACTTCGTCGATGAAAATGATAGACGGCTTGTTTTCTCTGGCCATTGCAAATAGTTGCTTGACCAATCTTTCGGATTCACCCATCCACTTCGATACCAAATCACTTGAGCTTATGCTGAAGAAAGTCGAATTGGCTTCTGTGGCCACCGCTTTTGCCAAATAAGACTTACCAGTACCTGGTGGACCAAATAGGAGGATGCCCGACGTGGGTTTACGATTACCAGTGAACAAATGCGGGAATTTAACAGGCAAAATGACTGCTTCTTTCAACGCTGCTTTGGCACCCTCGAGACCAGCAATGTCTTCCCAACGCACATTAGGCTTTTCCGTGAGAATCGCGCCGGATAGAGCGCCACGTAATTTTTTGTCGTCTGCGTCGTCGTCATTGCTGCTATTGTTGGAATTGGCACTCGCTTTTTTGGTAGGTGTGTCCTTTTTGTTCTTCTTGTTTTCCTGTTCCGATTCCAAATGCTCCTTCAGCTGTTCTGCTCTGTTCAGATATTCCGTAAACTTGGCCCTTATGAGATCTTTAGATTTTGGGTTTTTCTCGTATTTCAACGCCAGCATCAAATAGTCCAATCCATTATAGTAAGCTGTGTACGCCTCTTCGTACTGAGTTCCGGTATCCAGATCGATGGCTTTCTGGATAAGTCCAATTCCTTTGGTTAAAAAGTCTCCAGTGCTCATTGCGAATAAAACCACGTCTAAGAACTGGCTTTCGACCGCTGTTTCGGTGGGTTTTTAGCCACACGAGTACGCTTTGGAAGACGAATGGTTATACTCGGGAAGAACCAGCGGCTTCACGGTGAAAGCTCGACCTAAGTATAAAACTAGTTGTTGGTTTCCTCCTTATCCAATTCTGAAGGTTTTAGTAAAGTAGGTTTTGTACGGTAACCCTGATATGGCCTTCGAGTCCAAATGACGAGTACCGCGAGTACATAAGTACTTGGTTCGAGAGATCTGACCCAATAGCATCGGTTTAGTCTCCAAAACGGTCTCTTGAAGTCGAGTACTTGGCGAGATCTACTCTGATGGGTGAGAGTGAGCTTTCAGGATCCTTCTGCATGGGTTCTGTGGTGGGTATTCTAGGATATTTTTCGTAAAAACAAGACCTTGGTTTTAGGTGGTTATCGATGTCATTAATGTCGTCGTCGTCTTCATCATCATTTTCGTCGAGGTAGGGCAGCCGTATGGGGCTGGACGTAACCAGCGGACTCACTGCCCGACGTGGCGATGGCGGCAGCGCTCCAAACTCGGGCTTTAGGTCATTTTTCTGAAAATTGGTGATGCGTCGCCGAGACTTGACATACTCATCGTCCACATTGGCGTCGTTCACGAGGCTCTCCAACAAGGCATTTTTCTCCCGCGCAAACATCAGCTTCTTGTGAGTCAGCTGGAGATCCCGCTCCAGCGACCCGACTTTGGCGGTCAGGGCTTCAACCTTGTGTTGCAAGATAACAAGGTGGTCGGTTTCGTAGTGGGGCAACGGCCGCGAGAACCGCGAAACCGGCTTAGGTTCCAAGCTTCTGCCGCGTCTCAGCTGGTCCAGAAGCTTGTCGTCGTATTGTTTTTCCAGGAACTTACGTTTGAGTGCTGCGCTGGTAGCGATTCGTCGCTGCACTTGCGCACTTGTTCTGGCTGTGTCCGAGTAACTGGGCACTTTATAATCTGCGTATGCGCTGCGCATTTGCTGCAACTCCTGATCCTTAGGCGAAAACACGCTTTTCACTGTGGTCCACAGTCCCGTAGAGCCCCGTCTCATGGCGTTTTGGTCCGTTCTCCGATAGCTTTTAGGGTTTCTTTTACGAAGGCGTTGTGCTACGTTAGAACGTCGATCTTCCGCGTAATGTCGTCTCCTCCACTTGTCCAACGAGCCATGCTCCCGCTTACGCTCATCTTGGCCACCAAACCATCCTTTTAGAAGCTCACGAGCCGATTCAAGCATCGCACGTTAAAATCGTAAGTCAGCTCTAAAACCTGCGTTTGAAAGTTTTGAAACGGCCAAGAACACGGGTTGAACTCTCTATAGCACAGTAAACAACGTGTCAATAGTTGTTCTTCCTCGAAACTGGTCTCCAGCTACCAAGTATATTGTAGTTTGTTTTGTTAGTGCTATTCACGGTGAAGACGCGTGAAGTCAATTTCGTTATTATTTAGATAAATTAAATTCGGCGATGTTTTACGCGCCGCGTCTTCTCGAAATCATCGAAATCATCCAAGTCATCGCCCTCTAAGAACCAAGTTTTGAAAACTGGAGAAGCTGAGTAGCGCAAGTTGATCAATTCCATCGCACCTCGACGCACTTTTCGAATTTCTGATCCCCCAATTATGGACACTGTCAGGAATCTACCTGTGAAGATCCAACCAGGTTTGTTAAGACCTTTGGCATACCGAGTTCTGTCAAAGAAATACGGGTTAAATATCAAGTCTGATGGGCTGGCAGCGTTGGCAGAGTACATTGGCACGAGATTTGGCATCAACTGGCGAAAAGACAGCGGCACATTTCAGTTTCTAGAGCAGTTTGCTGCGATTTGGGAACAGCAAGAACGAGGACTTTTCATCGACAAAAAGGGTGTCGATGAGGTTATTCGCGAGGTTAAAGAGCGTTCAAGGCCTCCTGAGGTAAAAGCAGCTGCAAACGCCAGAAAACCAGAATCAGACGTCTCTAAGCCCAACACCCTGGACAGCTTTTTGACAGGCAAAACGAATCCGAGCATTGAAAACGCTTTAGAGGCAGGAACACAGTCCGAAATTTTAGTCGAAACACAAGTAGAAAGCTCAGTATCACCCCTGCGAAGCGATTCTTCAGAACCGTCGCTCGACTGGCAGGCATACTACAAGTTCGTCGACGCACAAACACACCAGAACTTTATCTACGATTTGACCACCAAACAATATCGACTCAGACCTGCAGCGGCCAAGAAGCAAATTTTGCCGCATGTGGAAACTAATGTCTCGCTGTTCTCGACGCGCTACAATATCCTGAAGGACCGGGTTCTGCGAAATGAGATGTTTCAAGGCGGCGATGAACTGTTCAACCCGCTGTCGTCAATGGCCAGTTTTGGAGGCGCAAACGATGGTAAAACCTCGCAAACCATGACCATCACTCAGATCAAGAACCTGCTGGGAAGAGACGGCAAAAGTTTTCTACTCCTGGGCCTTCTTCGACCCAACGCCAAGGGCAACTGGTCACTCGAAGACCCTTCCGGGTCCGTGGAGCTGGATTTGAGTCAAGCAATACCTGCAGAAGGCACGTTCTACGTTCCAGGTTGCGTGGTATTGGCAGAAGGCATTTACTACTCTGCCGCTCGGAAGTTTTTTGTAGCATCTGTGGCTCCCCCGCCCGGAGAGAGAAGAGAGGAAACTTTGGAGGCCGTTGGCAATTTGGACTTTCTAGGAGTTCACCAATTGTCGAGCTCAAGCTACACATCAAGAGTGGACAAGGACCTGAAAATTAGGCTACATTTACTTGAAAGGGAACTGACAGATCATAGGATTGTGATACTTGGAGGCGATATGTTTCTGGATCAGCTTCATGTGATGGAGGCATTGCGCAAAGTCTTCACGAAATTAGACAACGACCCGCCCATAACAATAGTACTCATGGGATCATTTACGTCAACACCTGTATTCCCTGTCATGAGCAGTAAAAATATCAGTGCCACCACTGCTTACAAGAATTCATTCGATGCACTAGCACTTCTACTATCGAATTTCGAGAGACTAATAAACGAAACGACTTTCGTATTTGTTCCTGGGGCCAACGATCCGTGGACATCAATGGTGAGTTTAGGCTCTACAGGGTTGTGGCCACAACGACCCATTCCAGGAAATTTCGTTCACCGAATCGATAGAATTTGCAAGAAAGTGTTCTGGGGATCCAATCCCACTCGTTTCGCGTACCTCTCTCAAGAACTGGTCCTTGTGAGAGATGACTTGAACGCCAGGTTCAAGAGACACAATATTTTATTTCCAGCAACACTGGAAAGCGACGACGAAAATGACGACGAGGGCAATAGTCTTGCGCGGGACTTCTCAATGCAAAAAATCCGCGATGATGAGTATGAAAGTATAAACCAGTTGGTGAAATCTCAGGATCAATTATCGGCAGGAGTGCAAGAAGCCCGTAAACTGGCCAAAACCATCTTGGATCAAGGTCACATTTCTCCGTTTACCACTTTCATCAGACCGGTAGTATGGGACCTAGACCATACGTTACAACTTTCTCCTATACCAACAGCGTTGATTCTATGCGACACTACCGCTTCCCAATTCGAAGTGACCTATAATGGGTGTAAGACCATAAACACTTCGACATTCATACACAAACGAACAGCGAGGTACGTCGAATACAGACCGGCTCTTAGAAAAATGGTGCAGGAGGAAATATATTTCTGAAGGCATATGCTGTGTGTCAAAATAGCGGTTCAGTTCTTCTCGCACTACGGCACTTTATTGCTCGTGGTACGGATATTTCTTGAAGGTCTGCGTAACGGATGCAGGCATGCAGTAAACAGGATCGATTTCGACCAAATTGTCTTTGCCCATCAGACTCAAGCCTGTCACACCAAAGCAAGTGTGAAAAACATCGACCTCATTGCCGGGACGATCGCTGATTCCGCCCCTTTTTGGGTCTTGTGAATGCAGAATGAACTCTCGAAGCTTGTCGAAATCAATCCAATCCCGTTTGCCGATGATGGCCAAAGACGACAGCACCCACCAACTGTAGCACACATCTGGTTGCTTGCTGGGACGTCCGTTCAGCCCGCCCTCTGGAACCTGCCTTTCGCAGAGCCACCACGCTATATTTTCCATCTGTTCCGGCGAGAGAGCATCGAGTTTATTGACAACGGCCAGCGCCGCAATACAAGTCAAAGACATCGCAGCGTGGCTCTCGGCCCCTGGGCTCAATCCAAATCCCCCGTCAAAATTGTAGCACAGCTTGACGAATTCGACTGCTGGATCTACCACTTCGGGTGTCAGTTGACCTAGGATGGACAGCGCATTCAACGCTGCGTATACGAAACGCGTGTCGACTTCCCCAAAGCGATCTCCCTGGAAAGAACCATCCGAGAGCTGGTTGGACCTCAAAAAGGCCACGCATTGCGTCTTCATGTTGCTGCTATTGCTGCTATCGCTGTTGTCACGGCCATCGCCCGGTTTTTCCAAAAGTACATCCAAAGCATCGTAAATGGCCAAAATTTGAATTCCTGAAAGCGTCGTTAAAACGTGCGCATCGTGTCCCGGGAAAGCTGCAAATGCACCAGCTTTAAAGTCCCAACAGCTCCTCACAAATGCAATAATCTCACTTCTGTTAAACGTGGTTTTGGAATCCAGCACACACAACGCTGTAAGGCCCCAATAAACACCGTTCAAACGCAAGTGTTCCGAAAGCCAGTATTCGTAGTCATCGCGTTTCGAATCTAGCGACGCAATGTAGCGGATATGGCTCTCTTTGTCGAGTTTCGACATGTTTGTTCTGTTCTATGGATTTTGTTCGAATTATGCTGTTTACATGTCATCATCTCATCTCATTATTTGAAAAGTTCAATGACAATAACAGATTTGACATTTTATCGAACAAAGCGCGTGTTAGAAACGTTCAATGAGCAATATGAACGATCGAGTGGAACTGGAGGATGTTAGAATTGATACTGGTTTTTTGAACGAAGACGGAGCGCCTGCTGGGGAAGTTTTGAGGTTACTGAAATTCTACCGAGAAGAAGTGCTCCACTTGGTTCCTACGAGCGATTTAGAGGTCCAGGCGACACTTGAACGTTTTGGTGCGGTGTGTGTAGCGGAGGGTGAGTCTTTGAGAGATCGTAGGGAGAGATTGGCGGACCTGGTTTTCCAGAATCCCACGATCAGAGCTCAACTAGTGCAAGATTACAACAATTTGAATCCAAAAGGGGAGGGCGGACCAAATCAGATGGAAGAAGATGATGACGAAGAGTTCTACACGCCAGCATCTGAAGCCCTGATACAGGCCCGGCGGTTTTTGGTTCGAGACTCGCTGGACAGGGCTCGCAAAAGATTGGAAGCGGAAGCTGAAAGAGCCAGCGTGCAAGGCACACAGGACACAATTTTGAGCAGGCGAGTTTTAAATTCCCAACTTGCTACGTATGAGCTCCAGGGGTCCCAAGTCGTCTCCGGACGACCCGTTTCGAAAGTCGCATACGCGCCTGACCAAAAACTCGCTGCAACTGGAAGCTGGAAAGGTGACATTCAAATTTTGAATCCAGACACTCTACAAGTTGTACGCAGCATTGAAAATGCACATGAAAATAAAATAGGCGGTCTGGACTGGGACTCGACTTCGCGATTTCTCGTCTCAGGCGGAGCAGACAATCTTGTAAAGCTCTGGGAGCCTCACTCGGACGAACCCAGCCCTCGGGCTGTCTTTAAGGGCCACGAGAATCGTGTTGCAAATGTTAAATTCCATCCTAGCGATAGGTACGTTGCAAGTGCCTCCTTCGACATGACGTGGAGACTTTGGGACGTGGAGACGCAAGCAGAACTGCAATCACAAGAAGGACACTCCAAAGAGGTTTACAGTCTGGATTTTCAAGGCGACGGCTCTCTTATTTGCAGCGCCGGACTAGATTCCATAGCACGTATTTGGGATATGCGATCGGGCAATTCGATCATTGTTCTCGAGGGCCACGCAAAGCCCATCTACGGAGTAAGCTGGTCACCCAACGGCCACGTCGTAGCTACGGCTAGTGGGGATGGCACTGTTAAAGTATGGGATCTACGAAGCGAAAGTCAACCTTTCTCCATACTGGCGCACAATAGCATCGTGTCGGACGTGCAATTCGAGAAGAATCACGGACGATTCCTTGTCTCGAGCTCCTATGACAAGACAATCGGAGTGTTTTCAGCAGATTCATGGCTCAAGCTTGCTACACTAGAGGGGCATGCGGACAAAATCCTTTCTGTAGACATAGCCCGGGAGGGATTACATTTACTGAGCTGTGGATGGGACAGATCGGTAAAAAAGTGGTCATTATATAATTAATATACAGTTAATTCATTACAATCTTACTTTTTGTGTTTCATATGATGTCTATGCTTGGAGCTTTGCACTGGATTTGCTGATCGAACTCTTGAGTAGGGTATTTTTTTTAACTGTTCAGTCAAGGTCTCCATCTGTTTCTCCACGGTCTCTAAAATAGCTTTCTCATCATTTATCTGCGATCTCAATTTTTGTATTCTATCATGCGATTTTCGAGACAGCACTTGGTCTTCAACAAGCCCATTGTCGATCTGTTTTTCCAGCTCTTTTATTTCTTGTAAAAGTTCTTCCTCCTCTTTTTCAAATGCTGTGATAGCTTGTTCTGCTCTTATCAGCTCCTCTGTCATATACTTCTCTTCTGTTGCCTTTGAGTCCGCTGATCTCCTTTGCTCCTCAACTTCCTCTTGAGTTTCTGCAATCTGATGGAGAAGGTCTACTAAATTCTCATACTCAGGCCCTTTCTCCCGTGCAACTCCGAGAAGCTGCTTAATTTGACTTTCAGTGCGATCTATCTCGTAATTCACACCCTCTACCCGACTTATCAGCCTAGCACTTTCTTGTATATTTATTGCGTGATCTTTCCCGGCTACATGAGCTTTGTCCTTAATGTCGTCGTACTCTGCTTGGCTAACTTTCGCACGTAGAGCTTGACTTTTATCTGCAGCATGAAAGTCATTTAGCTCAGAAGTTTGTCTTCGGAGTCTGCTGTAGGCCTCTCCGATGGCCTGTATAAGTTTGTGAGTAAGTTGACCACCCGAGAGATGGTAATTTGCTGCGCCGCCATTTTTAGCGTTTGTGATACCCGTGAGCTGTGCCATATCTTGTTTAAGCGAGTTTGTGGAATAGTCATTTTTTAGTCTCTTCACTTCGTAGTAAGAAGGGGTCTGTGAATCCTTCAAAAACGCTGAGTTGGGCTTGCGGCCACGTTTGCGACCATTTTTCAAAGCCTGAGCAAGAACATCGTCAACTTGGCTATAGCGAACTTCTGTTAGCAGAGATTTTTCAACATCCATGGGGGTGTAGGTTTTTATTGGATAAATATCTGGTAGGGGCCAAGGTATACTGGGATCTTCGAGCCACTCGCGCATGTACTTCAGACCTTGGGAGTATATGGGCCGAAGGTCTGGTGGCAAAGTTCCTACTATGTCACGAAGAGCTACCACAGCAGCAGTGACCTTGACCAAATATTCTCTCGAGCCAGGTTTCAAAAACTTGCTGTGGTATAATTCGCAGTGGTCGATGGAATTGATCGTGGTGAGTCGCATTACCGGTGCCTTTTGTTCCGGGCCTTTCTGGGGTCTATTTTGGGTGAGGATCTGCTGGACGTGCGGCTTTGATATGTCAACGGACGGGTCTAAACACAATAAAAGATCGAAATGAATAGCGGGGTCGATGTCGAAAACGGAGGAATTTCCAGGCAACTCGTCCGAGGGGAAAAGATGGCATGTGCACGAGTGTTTTCTAGGTTTTTGCTTAATTTTGATGCACTGACCAGAGTAACGTTTAATGTTGACTTTATTGCCAAGAAGCAGCGCTTCCAAAAGATCCATGGTTCTGCCAGATCGGCATACCAGTGCTGTTTCTGTCTTGTAATCCTGGATGAGACTGATCAGATCTTTTAAAACTGCAAACTTCCCACTCGTTTCTGCCAAATGGTTCGGGATGTCCTTGGTGATCAGCGATTTCGGTACGCAGTGGTCTATCAGCAGGTACGGGTGTGTCGCAACGTATTGGCTGTTAAGACACATAGTTCCCATGGAGTACAGCACCACGTCTGTATTGTAATCTTCTGTCTCGTAGTACTTCAAAATGTCCGAGTAATGCAGTGAAACGATCTGCTCGCTCAACTCTTTTTGGTAAAGACACATCGGCGCTGGAAGCCAGTAATCGCCAGAGACGTCGCCTGAAACGCCCATTGTTCGAGCATCAACAATGGCAGGCTCTGGAACCGTGTCCAATATCTTGAAAAGGTCCATTTGAATGGCAGGATTGGCGTATAATCTCGTGTGCTCGAGCGTGGGATGTTGAATTAGACTTTGACGATACACATCCAACTGTTCAAGATGGTGTTCTGTTTGTCAATTTAGAAAGACTGTGTACTCGAGAGTACTTTTATTCGTATATAGCGATGTAGTTTTGAATGTGTTGGTGAATCGAGTGAAGATACCCAGCAGTTAGTACCTGCAACTGGATATTGAGGTTCGTGGCTGGAATGATTGCTAGTTGCCTCAGATTTGTATTTCGCTCGCTTTTACTAGTATTTTTTCCAGTGAAGTTAGTCAAAGCATCTCTGTCACGTGACTCAGGCGATTCAGGGACCATTACATCCTTTTCGTTCGGGTTTATCGAGACGTGTGCTACGTTTTCGTATCGGCTACGTTGACTGTGCCAGCCGATAGACTACTAAGTGAGGCCCATTTTTCTCGGTTTTATAATTCAGCTCGATTTTAAACTACTCGCTTGAAATACATATTCCAGTCGCTGACAGAGAGTAAATAGTAATCTTTGAAATTCCCAGCTTCCGGTAATGAAGTATCAAGCATGTTTAAGTACACTGAGTCTCGCTCTTCATTGCAAAGCTATAGAATTATTTCTGTATATGAAGTCCATCTGATTGAGAAAATGACATGAAGGTACAAAGTGATCTGGCGACATTTGATATGAACCAAGTAAATTTGTAACGATCGATTGACCGCTCTTCACATATGGTTTCTCTGCAAGCGACTGGAAGCAATGACGGGGACTACATCAGGTCAAACACCGCTACGAGTCTGGAAAGAGAGCATCAACTGCGTATTTTACTGTCGCCAGATCACGTGATGAATAATGGATCGACGTTACGCCATATATGACCTGCGGTGAACGACAAACAGAGGATCGAGTAGCCGAGCTCCAGAGGCTCTCTCGCATCCTTCACTCTACCACGCAATATCAGATTCGGACGAGCAGTGCTTCTTTCAAACCCAATCGTTATACAGTATCACTTAATACGCGCTATATGAAGGTTGATTTTGAATAACTTCCAATTATCTGTGCATCTCACTTGGGTGAATATGCCATCGAGCCACCAAAACACTCCCAAGATGGGATATAATAGCACGGAAACTGCTCAATTGAGCAAAGGTATGTCAACTCATGATAACAGGATTTTTTCGGTCAAAAAGTTGGCTTTGGAGGGCATTTTACTGACCATTTGAGTACCCATGGTACTCTATATATGATTAGACGAAATAGCGCTTTATGACAGACAGATTAGACTTTGGGGTCTAGCAGCCCAGGCCCGCATGCGCAGTGCAAAAGTACTAGTCGTTAATCTGGGAGCTTTGGGCACAGAAATCACAAAATGTTTGGTTCTTAGCGGTGTCGGATCGTTGTCCTTGATCGACAGCCATGACGTTGACAGCCAGGATCTTGAATCCCAATTTTTCGTTGGGAAAACTGACGTGGGAAGCAAGCGACTAGATGCAGCGGCACCCAGAATTCAGGATATGAATCCAAGAGTAGAGCTTTATTTTGACAAGGATGATTTTCGAGACAAGCCAGACTCATATTTCCAGCAATTTAATCTAATTGTGGCCACAGACCTTCACAGCGCAGATATTATGAAACTAAACGCCATCAGTAGGCGCTTCAACCTTCCGCTCTTCGTAGCGGGGCTGAACGGACTTTCAGGCTACATTTTCGTGGACCTAATTCAATTCGATGCAACTGATGAGAAATTGAAGAGCTCCGTAGCCACCCCGCTAAAGCAAGTTTCACAAAACCGTGAGGTAATAGAGGTTATTGAGTTTCTCAACGAAGAGCAGAACAAGGTGTATGAAAAAATCGTTACACGGAATATCTATTCTCCATTCGAGAAGATGTTACAAGAAGGAACTCTAAAGGGCAAACTCACAAGAAGACAACTTAAACGGCTCACCAATGCAGTTCCGCTCACTCTCGCTCTACTTACATATGCAGATGGCGCTGCAGTCATCTCGCCACCGGAGTTGAGGGAAAAGGCTGCCGAAAAGTGCAGTCAACTGGGACTGCCATCCGAAAACTTGCAAGAGACATACATTGAACAATTTGCAGAACAAGCAGGTCTTGAATTTGCACCTGTAGCTGCTGTTGTGGGTGGTGCAGTGGCCCAGGATGTGATCAACATTTTAGGGAAGAAACAATCGCCTTTGAATAACTTCATTGTGCTGGACGGTATAACTTTAGATATGCATATTTTCGAGCTTTAGATCGCTGAACATATACCAAGTGGAAATTTACAATGCCTCGCTTTCCATGTACCAAGTGACTAACGACACACAAAGTTGAACATTTGCAAAGTGCTTACCTTGAATGTCAATATGTACTTTTCCTACTTGATGGGTCTATAAAGTGAACAACGTTTGGTTGTCTCTTCTTTCCCAACACGAACGAAATACCTAATAAGGCCTATGCTTACAAGGACATTCATGTCATTCCGGATGAAGTGAATATGTTATGACGTGACCGTTTGCGGCGATAGTTTCGTTTGAGAGCTTCTTCAAGTTTGACCGCTGACCGTTACCTCCTGCAAGTGAACCATGAAATTTTGAAGTGAAACGTCATCTGTCAATACGATGGTCGAGCCGCCTGCAGATTGATCTTGGTAGCTATCTGATGGGTTCAATTTAGATAGCAAAAATCTGGCCTGAGAGCCACCAGCTTCTGTGTCGATAAATCTTGGCAGTGGGAATCTGTCGACCAACAATTCGGCAGCTTCGAGTTTAGGTTCTTCTAAGAGGGACTTGAAGTCCGCGTACTGAGGATCGTCTTGATAACCCGCTTTTCTCCATTGCGCAATCTGTTCACCATGGTAAATCAAAATGTAGAAGAAAGTGTCGAGAAGTAGAATGGTGTTTGGTTTCACGGAAACGGAATCCAGCAACACTGGTTGAGGTTCTTCCTCCATAAAAAATGCGGTCAACGTAGGTTGGATCATAATTAGGGAATTTGTGGTATCTTCTCTGGTGAAAATGTGTCTGTAGAATGCGGTTTCATCAGGAGAGTTGTTGAATACACTCAAGAACTGAGATCTTCTCAAATAATAAGTGAATTGTGGATACAAGGAGAAGTTGGGAGCCAGTCTGAAAGATCTTGGATCATCTTTATTGTAATCCGCGTATTTCTGGCATAATTTGATAAGGGTCCTGTCAATCCATCTGATAACATCAGCGCCGTCGTCGGATTCAGCCTTGTGTACTGCGATTCTTGCCATCAACACTGCAGCTGCTTCTTGGTCGAAAGATGCAGCGATAGCTGGAGAACCAAATGGTAATAGTTGATTGGCCACGGTAGTCACTCTTACACGGTTGGTACCCGAGGCGTGTTGGTAGTTGGTCACAAACTGCGTGTAGGCTAACTTTGGTCTATCGCCGCCCATCACACCAGCAGAAGCAACTGTAGTGTTGGCAATTTCGAAAAATACCGCGTAGGAATGATGAGGACTAATAGAGGACATCTTCCATGTAGAAGTTCCGCCCACACCTATTTCGGAGTCACTTATATTGACCGCGTCTGTTTTCTTAACAGGAGAGGCGTGACCTATTAGACCTTGAACCTTCAAATCTCTACTGGTCTTTACCGACATGTTCGCGTTGAACGCCATGGTCAAGTAGCCCTCTTCGTCACTGGAGAATAGTCTCAAGAAAGACTGTTTGAAAATCGAGGTAGAGAAAGCATCCGTCAATAGTAGTACACCCCCTGTGGAGTCTGTTAGCTGCTTCATTTCTGACATACCAACTTGGTCGTAACAACCTGCAAAGATATCCACTGTATGACCATTCTGAGCAACTCTATCGGCCAGCAAGCTGTAAAACTTGGTGGCTTTCTTAAAATGCTTGGCATTGTCAGAGTCAATGTCATGATGGGATCTCAGAGGATCCTTCAATTCAGAGGAAACGACAAGACCAGGTGCCAAAGTGCCCGGACCAGATGCGAAAAGAATAATTCTCGCAGCCACGTTTTTGTAGCATCCTTGGAGAACCAGAGACGCGATGTTGAGCGCGGAACCAGTGGCACGCAAAGGTCTGTGGCCAGCGGGCACAGACCACTGGTCGGGAGATAGACTTTCTAGCAACTGCGTTAGTTTAAACTCAACTTGTTCCAGGGGCAGGAAAAAACGGTTCAACGAAAATGGAGTGATCTTGTTCAGTTGTAGGTTAGCGGCAGCGGTGGGGCCACCAGCGACGCCGGGGGCGCCCGATTTCTCACCCGTGAGCATCTCGACAATCTGCAAGAGCTGGTACTCGCGGTCACCTCTAAATACATTGCACTTGTCGATAGTGTCGCAGGATATGTCGTGGAGTTGGACCACGTTACCGTAAGTGATCAAACCGACCATGGCGTTGGGTGGGAGCAGGGATAGCGAGGCGATGATCGATTCTTTCAAAGCTTGCAAATTCTCCTCCTCCGCGGTTATGTCGACCACGAAGAAGTACACTGGGGGAACCTGGACCGGTCTGTTGGTCACATACTCAATTGTGGTGTTGCTGAGCTCAGCTGGCATGTTTTCCTGGCTCATGTTGGCGTAATGCGCGGGCAGGTGGTTTCTGGAGTTGCAAATTGGACAAGTCCATGCATTGGACCGCAGATCAATTTCGCAGTATGGGTTCAGCACAGCTTTACACTGCGGTCCACCACACACCACCGGATTGTACGACATGACCTCCAGATCCTCTTTTTCCTTGAGTGGTGTGTATAGACACCCAACAGGGACCACATTTTTGTTGGCGTCCGCTCTGCTCGCGGGAAACACGTTCCACGAGAAACGCACGCCGTTGATGTCCTCGTTAGCCTCGAAATCCATTGCTCACACAACACACACAATCTCTATCGGTCTAAAACTATGGTTCAAACTCGGAAAAACAAGCACCAAAAAACGGCAAAAAACGTAATTTCGAGGTCGAGATACAACTCAATGCTCAAAGCACGTCTTCGGAGCTGCTGAAAAACTCTCTTTTACACGCCTAAGTGGGGGTTTGACGCCTACTTTTTGCCCTTTTAATCCGGGTTTAATTCAACAAGATGTGTTTACTTCTGTAGGAATTTAATAGATTTTTGACATTGGGAGGTTTGCCACCGTGGAAGAAAACCTTGGGATCAATGTCGTTCCTTACGAGCTTGCAAGAGAGAGATCTAAACGGTTCGATCTATAAAGTTTAAAACCAGGATTCGGTGGTAAGTTATTGAGGGCTTGGGGTGTGTGAGTGAGAAAGGCTGAGGCCGGATGTGGTTTTCAAAACTTAAAAACTTACCGAAAAGCAGAAGACTTTTGGAAGAATTGGCAAGCGAAACATCATATCACGTTATACGAGTGTATCATGCGCACTTAAGATCGGGAATCTTAGCGAACAGACTGCTTGGCATTGTTGTTGAGTTTTGGGGAGGCAGGAGTTTTCCGTGTACTTTGGGGTTGTTTCGCTTTACTACTAATTGTGTTAGATGAACTAGGTGAAAATAAGTTTTCAAAGATTAATAATGAATATGAAGGATGTGCGGCATTGTGTTGGCCAAAAGGGTATCTGAGTAGACATGTATACTTCACACAGACTTGCATATTAGCCTTTGTTGTGATGGTCCTCGATTTTATAGACCTTTCAATAAACGTTTGCCCCGGCCTCATTATAAAGGCCTGGCTCACCTGGCCCACCATAGCAGAGAAAATGCCAGGAAGGACTTATTAGAAATGCACTGGCAAGAGAAAGACGGTCGCCAAACTTTGGTTGTGTTCAAAGATGCAGGTCGATTGTCATTTACTGCTCAAATCACTTTGTACTATTCAGTCACTCGTTATAACATTTCAGCATACAGGCATTTGTAACTGTCAACATAAGAAATCGTGAAAGATGGGTACCCTTTCATTCTGCGTTGAATGATTTTTTTGTCTGTAAACTTCATTCCTTCTGAGATTCAAACTGCTGGCGATCATCTTCCTCCGTGTAGCTCTCAAAACTTTATACTTTATTGTGACGGTGGCATTGTTTCACGCTCATCGAGCCCGTTTTGTTACAATGTGAAGAACTATAAGGATCATTAGATTATGCGCACGTTATTACAGGCATTTATGCTAATTTTGGGGGCCACGTATATCGATCATCTTAGGGCCAAACGACACATTGGTACAAAGTGATATCTTGAGAAATTCATGGATGCGTCAGCAAAGCAGAAAGAGCTGCCCACCAGAGAACCTAAACCTGACACGGTTTCACGATCCGATCTAGTGGCAGTGACTACCATGTGTTGTTTGTCGAAAGTATGCTCGAAGTTTTCGTAATGCACCGAGTAATTGCCAAAAAAAAGCTTTAACTGACACTGCAGGAATTACTTCAGGATATGAAAAGTGCTATAGAACATTTATGCCCACATCATGCAAATTACGATTGACGGATACGAGTAGTGGGTCGTTCAACTCGCACAAAAATACATGTTTTAGAACACATCGACAAAGACCCTGAAGAAATGATTCACTTAGTATCATAATCCGAAACATCTCGCACTAATAACTGAAGTTTAATCTACAGTCTGGACAGTTCTTGAGATCTAAAAAAAGGCTCTTAAAGGCTCTTAAAGGCTGCTGCGCACGACTCGAAAAGATCATGTTGGAGTTCCAAGAGTTTAATGAGTGAACACAAGCTTACAGGGCATATTCAGCTGAAGTCGATTGAGACCAACGAAGTTGTTCAAAATATCAGCCAAACCTAAAAACTTCTCCACGAATTGCTGATATTCATTGAGAGGAGTCATTTTCTAATTTCAAATCCCGGCCCACGATTCAATGATACACTTTTCAACATGAGGGTCCGTATGCTATATTTTTCAACCGCATTATTATCAAGTTCATTTACAACATCCTGAATCTCTATATTCGCAATTAAAGCTGACGTAAACCTGGTTCCCTGACACATCCTTTGTTTCTGATAGAAATAAAGTCTCCAAGCTGTACTTTTAACTATACCTGTAATACAGACGTTGGATTAACTAAACTGGGAAGCAAAGTCTACGTAACGAAAACTGAAACTTTAGCAGGGTACAGAATCCTCTCAATTATATACCCTCTCGTCGTTTCGGTCATCTGGTCTTCCACTGGGGCAGAAATCGAATTTCGAAAATTCTGGCGTTGCTGACGTAATGTGTTCGACTCGAACAGCTATAAACGAGGTTCCATAAAACTGAATTTTCAGAATACAAGAACACCATCCCAACATGTAGCACTAGTGGAATCCATCAACTCTTGGTGCTCCAGCTCGTTGGCAAAGTTCACGTTGCTAGACGAGTACAGTGTTTACGTTTCATTTCACGTGCTAACGAGTACTCGCATGTTTCACTTATTTAGAATTCCTATAGTATTCGTATTAACAGTAATTCCAGTGCAGAACATCAACCAAGGGAACTCTTAGGCTCACAGCATGAATTTGAGGGAGCTTCAGGTTGTTGTTGCCTGCGTGGCATCAAGGTTCGGTACATCTACCGTGTTCCCGTTCCTGCAGCAACAATTGGACAAATCCGTGGAGTTTTCCACACCAGTGACATCCTATAGAAGTTTGCAGGAGGGAGTCTTCTTGCTTCGAAACGAGTTCCCACTATACTCTGGAGGTGTGGTCCATCACGCACCGCTACTTGTGGCTCTCATATCGGTCTTCAATAGCGAAACTATGGTGTCGTTGCTGTACGCTTGTGCTGATGCCCTTGTAGCTTACCAGCTCATTGCCATGGCCAAATATTTCCGCAGCTCTTCGCTGCCCTCCTGGGTGCCGGGTGCCCTGTACGTCATCAATCCTCTAGTGCTGCTTTCGTCGGTGTCCAAATCCTCCATCGTTTTCAGCAACCTGGCCATTTCCACAGCTCTGCTGACGGCTCTTCAGGGCAATTGGGTCTGTTCGGCCGTTTCAATCGCAGTAGCTTCATATCTCTCGCTGTACCCGCTGACACTGATTGTGCCACTACTAGCGTTACTGCGAAACCACAAACTGAAAACTCTCTCCACCGCCGCCGTAACATTAGCTGCGCTTCTTCTCTCCAGTTACAAACAAAATGATGAGAGTTGGAACTACCTATTCTCTACCTACGGTGTTATTATGACGTTCAGCAAGATCATTCCTAATCTAGGTCTCTGGTGGTATTTTTTCGTCGAGCTATTCGAGATGTTCATTCCGTTCTTCAAAGCCGTCTTCAACCTGTTTGCGGTATCGTGCATCATACCGTTTTCGCTGCGATTCCACAAGCAACCATTTTATGCCTTTTTGCTCTGCCTCTTCTGGATAACCCTTACGAAACCGTACCCGACTCTGGGGGACGGAGGGTTTTTACTGAGCTTCATACCTTTTTTCAAGCCACTTTATGGATACTTCAGATACTCGGTGATTTCCACGCTGCTTTTCATTCACGTCTCCGTCTTGTCGCCTATTTTTTACCACCTGTGGGTCGACTTGGGCTCAGGCAATAGTAACTTTTTTTATGCGATTTCGCTGGTGTACGCTTTGGGTTTGGCCACTGTGTTGGTAGATTTGGTTTGGGCAATGTTGAGGATAGAGTACGACAAGGGCAAACCAAATCTTCATTTGAAACTGACCCCAATATAGTCTAGCTACGACTGACTATTTTCTCTAATTTGCTATTTAAAATATGATGCTTTCTTATAGATTTTGCGTGTGATCTCGGACTCACAGCAATTAAGCATCTTATAAGAAATGGTCTTTGCTTAACAGATCTAAAATAACGGCAAATATATGCTGACGCGAGCCATAGTTCAAAATATCCGATTCTGGCCAAACTGGGCAATATTATCCCTAAATTATATGCTTTGCTTCACCAATCTGACAGTCTGTCCAAAAAATAGTCGGGGGATTCAATGTGTGTCATCGCGGACTTCAGGTGTGATAATTCTACTCGATTTTTTATATTCCGACCTATTGCACTCTACATAAATAGAACATGGAATAAGACCAAAAACTGTTTTGTTGCAACTTTTATCATCCTGAAACAATGTAATTATCCGATTGATAATAAGTCGTGAATCACTTCACTGTAAGCTCGAGCTCTCGACGAAGCGCTCGGTGAGTGTCTAAACTGTTAGCCATTGTCGTGCGAAATGCCATCATCACTTTAAATGCTATTTCAGATGGTACTTGTAAATAGGTATACTACAAGAGAGAGTTGAAGTAACCAAAAAGCTGCCGACCCAATGTCAACCGTATGTGACACTGATTTCCGTGTGCGATAATCCTCACCTTCAACTTTTATACTAACTGCTACAAAAGCTTTCGCCGATCAATCCTAAGCCATTTCTTCGGGACCTCATAAACAAAAAGATTGTTGTAACTTTGAAGTTCAACAAGACCCAGTACAAGGGCGTGCTGGTTTCCACAGATAACTACTTCAATCTTCAGCTATCAGATGCGGAGGAATTTATTGACTCACAATCTAAGGGCAAAATAGGTGATATTTTTCTCCGCTGCAACAACGTACTGTGGATTGGTAAAGATTTATCAGAAAAAAGCGGTAGTGTTTCGGCTGATTCTGCACCTGCGGAGGCTACCAGAGGAGCGAATGCTGTCTTAGAGGCCCAAGAGACCGAAATTTCGCAGGATGCAGCGCCGCCACAGACAGCCACCTGAAAAATGTAAATATTAACACCTGTATAGTACGATTTTAGCGCATTGATGACTGGAAAGCGAATATTCTACAGACTCCTCGGGTTGAGTGGCGACTTTTGTCGTCCTTGATTGGAATCATGAGCAAAGATTCATTGCACTGCGAAATTGGTAAAGCGATCGAAACCATGGGATGCAAGAGAAATGTTGAGTGGGATGAGATGAGCTTTCGTATTTTGGTAATTCACAGTGTCAGCAAATCTAATTAGATGCCCGTTTTTCAGAAATCGAACTAGGCAGAATCGAGCCAGCTTATCCATCTAATTTTGTAAAAACTAGTAATAATAATCGACACACACAATTCAAGTAATCTCCCCGTCTGTCGATGTAGCTGCCGCTGTCATCGCCGCTGTCGTCGTTGATGAATGATATCTGTTCTGGTTCACGTGTTCTATTTTTCAGCTTCCATCTAAATTTCGGACCTTCAGTACACGTTAACATCTTTTCCATCAACAATACCCCCGTAAGTATACACCAAAACAAGCAAACATGGCGATTGAAAACTCCGTGGTCGTTCCCGCCTACCATGAAAAACTGAATATCAAGCCGCTCACCACTAGGCTCTTTGCTGCGCTTGGAAACCAGGGCTCTAAGACCACAGAACTGATTTTCGTGGATGACAACTCCAAGGATGGCTCTGTAGAAGAGGTGGAGGCTTTGCAAAAACAAGGCTACAACGTCAAAATCATTGTGAGAACCGACGAAAGAGGTCTCTCATCTGCTGTGTTGAAGGGATTCCGTGATGCGCAGGGAGAATACTTGATCTGTATGGATGCAGACCTACAGCACCCTCCAGAGAGCGTGCCCCAGTTGTTCGACGTGTTGAGAAAGCATGCCTTCGTTCTGGGCACCAGGTACGCTCCAGGTGTGGGAATTGACAAGGACTGGCCCTTGTACCGCCGTGTGATCTCATCTGGCGCTCGTATGATGGCCAGACCTTTAACCACGGCCTCGGACCCAATGAGCGGATTTTTCGGTCTCCAGAAAAAGTATTTGCTCGACACCGATGCCAAAGACATCAACGCCCAGGGTTTCAAGATTGCCTTGGATTTGTTGGTGAAGTTGCCTTTGCCCCAGAAAAAGGCCATTGGCGAGGTGCCATTCTCGTTCGGTGTGAGAACCGAAGGTGAGTCCAAGCTTTCCGGGAAAGTGATCGTGCAGTATCTGCAACAGCTACAGGAGTTGTACGTTTACAAGTTCGGCGCGAACAACTTGGTTCTGTTCCTCATTGTCTGGATGATCTTGGCTGTGTACGCTTTTTACCAGCTGCTGGCACTATTTCACTAGACTGAATTTGTAGTGTGTACAAGTATTGTAAGAATTCATGATTTCGCCTTCGTGAGGATAGCATTAAGTATTGCATTTCACGAGCAAATGATCCACGACAGAGCAGAGAGAAAAAAGGCATGAACGCGATGGTACGATTAGAAGTTATAGCAAGCTAAGAGAAACCTGAACAAGTGCCTTGTCACCGGTCAAAGGCACGAATTTTTAAGCTCAGAGTTCGAATCTTAGCGCAATAGGTCTTCAAACGATATAATTGCCGCAACTTAGAATCCCCACCATCTCCAACGCCGTATAATTGATCTGGATCAGGCGATAACTGGTCTCTACCTGCGCAGCCTAAAAAAAATAGGCTACTCCATACAAACTTAAAGGTATTTTAGCACACAAACGTTTCTATCTCAAACTGTGGTGGGTTCTTCACCATAATGAATTGACCATTGTGCATCACGTCGCGTGCTCATTCAACGCCTTTTCCGGTTCGATCTTCATGTATAAAGACCTTCCATCAGTCGTTACAAAATGTCAAATCCGCCCATGCTGAACATGATCATATGTGCTTCCCAGCGTCATTTAGCACCAATCTGTCATCTAGTCACATGATATCTCAAATTTAAAAACCTGCGATTCGTGCTCGAATTCTAGCGTCGCGATGAGGGCATAAAGGGAGATTCAGAAGCTTTGAATTTCCGTTGCCGTGTGTCAAGAGTCCAGAGACCTGGATACTGACACCAAAGAAATGACTGTCCTATTTGAAATGTCGTTCGTCGAAAACAAGAAAATAGAATACGCCGTCTCTTTGAATTTTGAAATCGAAACACACCATGCGAAACACCAAAAAACGATTCAGTCAATACGATTATCTACCTCTGGCGTCTTGCACAGTATTAAATGCGATTTGACGCTGGCGCGACAATAGAATTCATGTCACGTGTATCTCGATCTTCTACCATTTTTTATCACTATATACGTCTGAAGCACAAGGGTTCCCCGATAATATATAGATTCCATCCCATACATCATTGCCTGAATCAGGATTCGCTGTCAATTGCTGAGCGGGCAGCCCCGTACGTACACAAAAATGCACAAATAAGGGGAGCGCATATTAAGATCCTGGGACTATAAAAGGCCGAGGGAAATGAAGGGAAATGGCTGGACATGAGGTGATAAACCAACCACTTTCTCGAGAGATAAATCGTGTAACTTCGGTGAAAAGGGGTTTGGGTACAGGTTTTAAGGAGCTAAGATAGTTTTGTAGGCGATAAGTGAGTTCCTGTGCGAAAGTAGCTACTTTTCCCTCTTTTTTTTACAAATTTAGAGCGCTTATTCGCTCGTTCCTTCATATTCGCGATCTATGCCGTTGCGTGAGCTTCTCCTGCGTGTCTCAGACGCGGGAGAGCCGCTAGTGAGCTGCTCGTACGGGCAGGGCGTTTTAACGCTGCCCAGCTTGCCTCTTTCAGAGGCTTACGACGGGTCCCAGCCCTTGTTCACCATCAAGCTGGTTATAGCTGGTGGCTCGCCCCTGGCGCGCGACGGGTTGGTGTGGACGAATTGCCCTACCAGCAGTAAGGCCGAATTTGTGCGCGACCAGTTCACCAGAAACAAAATCAACGCTACGTTCCACCAGGATTCCCACGTCAAGATCGAGGTGTTCACTCCCGGTGCGTTCTGTTTCTACTTCTCGTTCAAAAACGAACGCGACGAACTGGAAACCACCCGGCGCTTTTACTTCGTCTCGCTCCCTAGCCTCTATGTCTCCGGCAAGCATGTGCCGTTGAACTCTATTGCCATGCAGAGCGTAGTCTCCAAATGGATGGGGTCCAATTGGGACCCTGTTTTCGAGGAAGTGGCCTCTAAAGGATACAATATGATACATTTTACTCCGTTGCAAACAAGAGGGGAGTCGAACTCGCCCTACTCCATCTACGATCAGCTTGAGTTTGACCCAACCTATTTTCCAAACAATTTCCAAGACGTGCAAAAAATGGTCGAAAAGCTGCACAAAAACTACGGTATTCTCACACTGACCGACGTGGTTTTCAATCACACCGCAAACAATTCGCCCTGGCTCGCAGAGCATCCAGACTCTGGATACAACCAAAAGACAGCGCCTCACTTGACCAGTGCAATTGAATTGGATGCCGCCCTTCTCCAGTTCAGCAATGAACTTTCCAAGCTTGGACTACCTGTCGAATTGCATACCACCAAAGATCTTTTTGCAATCATGGATGGCATCAAAGCGCATGTGCTAACGTCTTTGAAACTTTGGGAGTTCTATGTGGTGGACTCCGATACCACACTAGAAGATATCGATTCTTTCTGGGACCAGATATCGCATGAGACCATGGAGATCCCCGACAAAGTGAAAAATGATATGGTCGAATTGTCAGCATTCATTCGCAATAATGCTGCTTCAGACAATTTTGGTCAGTTGGGAGAACGGTTTTCTAATAAACTAGACAGCATTAAACTCGTTGCCATCTTAAAGTCTCTTTACGGGCAAGACTTAAATGATGGGGTCATTGAAGAGGCTCGCAAGATCATTGACGAATTGAACTTGCCTCTATATCGAGAATATGACGATGACGTAGGGGATATATTGGAGCAACTGTTCAATCGTATCAAGTACATGCGGCTTGACGATCACGGCTTGAAGTTGGGCCTCATCACGCCAGAATCCCCTCTGATTGAACCTTATTTTACTCGCTTGACCGGAAGTGACGGCGAACAGTATGCTCTAGCTAATAATGGGTGGATCTGGAATGGTGATCCATTAGTCGACTTTGCATCCAACAAGTCCAAGGCCTATTTAAGGCGTGAAGTAATAGTTTGGGGTGACTGTGTCAAATTGCGATACGGGTCCAAACCTGAAGACTCGCCTTACCTCTGGGAAAGAATGTCGAAATATGTGGAAGCAAGCGCTAAATTGTTTGATGGATTTAGAATTGACAACTGCCACTCCACGCCATTACACGTTGGAGAATACTATCTGGATCTTGCTCGAAAGTATAATCCGAACCTTTACGTTGTTGCCGAGCTGTTTTCAGGGTCTGAGACAATGGATTGTTTGTTCGTTGAAAGACTTGGAATATCTTCTTTGGTGAGGGAGGCCATGCAGGCATGGTCAGAAGAGGAGCTTTCCAGACTTGTCCACAGGCATGGAGGCAGGCCAATTGGCTCTTACAAGTTTCTACCTCTAGATGAATATGCCTACCCGACTGATGCTAACAACGATAATATCAAAGATAACAAATTGGGCACCCATCTCGAGGTTAATATCCCCAAAATTTTGACTGCGACGCCTCCGCATGCTTTGTTCATGGATTGTACTCACGACAACGAGACACCAAATCAGAAACGGACAGTCGAAGACACTTTACCAAATGCAGCACTCGTAAGTTTCTGTTCCTCTGCCGTGGGATCCGTTTATGGGTACGATGAATGTTTTCCACATTTATTAGATGTGGTTGGAGAATCAAGGACTTATGAAGTCAATCCCGGCACCGGAATATCAGAGATCAAGACTCGCCTAAACAGCATCAGAGAGCAAATAGCCAGCGGCAGTGCTGAAATAGAAGACTCCGAAATGCACGTTCATCATGACGGTCAATTCATCACTTTTCAAAGAAACAACGCCAAGACAGGAAAAGGGTGGTTTTTAGTTGCGCGGACTAAGTTCAGTCAAAACTTAAGTGAGCAAAAGCTCCCAAAAGTCATATTTAATGGTTCTCGGTGTGGGCTGGATTTCGCGTACTCGCTCGTAAAAACTGGTGACGTAAATCAGGACGACAAATCAATCAAGGGCATCCCTACTAAACTTCAGAAATTGACAAATTTTGATGTCCAGTATAATGAAATGGCACAAGAGTCTTCTATTGAAATTAATGGCGATTTCCCTCCAGGCTCCATTGCTGTCTTCAAGACACAGCAAATTGGTGTCGACGATACCTTATTGGGGTTTTTACGTTCCGGTGCTCTGAAAGCTTCAGAAAAATTGGATCTGTATTCACTAAATTCTCTCTTGTTTCGTTGCGATGCTGAGGAACGTGACATGAGTGCAGGCACTGTCGGCTGCTACAACATACCCAATCATGGCCCCTTGACCTATTGTGGCCTTCAAGGGTGGGTTTCCGTCTTGAGACATGTTATATTCTCTAATGACCTTGCGCACCCACTGAGTGAAAACTTGCGCTCTGGTCGGTGGGCTTTAGACTATGTGGTTCAGAGGCTTGACTTCTATAAAGAGAATGAAGGGGTTGCCGAAATGCAAGAATGGCTATCCTCCCGTTTTGAAAGAGTTAAGCATGTCCCATCATTCTTGGTTCCAACTTACTTCGCCTTGGTTATTGGCACAGCTTATCAGGCGTGTCGTTTCAGAGCACTCAAACAGATGTCCGAAAATTTTGGAAACTCTACGAGATTTGTTCAAAGCTTGGCTTTGACGTCTGTGCAGATGGTCTCAAAGATGAAATCGACGTCTCTTTTACCACAAGGGAATGTCCCTTGTATGGCCGCTGGGCTCCCTCATTTTTCGACTAATTACATGCGTTGCTGGGGTAGGGATGTTTTCATTTCGTTGAGAGGTCTGCTACTTACAACTGGTCGTTACGATGATGCAAAGGAGCATATTCTGGCATTTGCGAAAACATTGAAGCATGGTATGATTCCCAATCTTTTAGATGCTGGTCGGAACCCACGCTACAATGCCCGTGACGCTGCGTGGTTCTTTTTGCAGTCCATTCAAGATTATGTCGGTATGGTACCAAAGGGAGAAAGCATTCTGAAGGAGAAGGTGTCAAGACGTTTCCCTCTTGATGATACATACATTCCGGAGGATGATCCGAGGGCTTTTTCACACGAGTCAACTTTAGAAGAAGTGATCTATGAGATTTTAGCGAGACATGCCAAAGGCATTAAGTATCGCGAAGCTAATGCGGGACCTAATTTAGACCGGGTTATGTCTGACAAGGGATTTGACGTCGAAGTGAACGTGGATTGGTCAACGGGACTAATCAACGGCGGATCTCAATACAACTGCGGAACATGGATGGACAAAATGGGAGAAAGTGAGAAGGCTGGTTCGAGCGGCGTACCGGGAACTCCGCGAGATGGTGCTGCGGTTGAAATCAACGGTCTTTTAAAAAGTGCTCTAAGATTTGTTATTGACTTGCATAGCAAACAGCTTTTCAGTCATGCAGAAGTTGAAAAAGCCGATGGTAGCACAATTAAACTGGCAGAATGGGACAAGTTATTGCAAGAAAACTTCGAGCGCAAGTTTTACATACCCTTGACGCAATCGGAGGACGGCAATTTTGATATCGATTCCAATCTGGTTAATCGACGCGGAATCTACAAAGATCTGTATAAATCTGGGAAGGCCTACGAGGATTATCAGCTAAGGCCTAATTTTGCAATTGCAATGACGGTAGCTCCGGAGCTTTTCACACCCGAAAAGGCCGTGAAGGCTCTGCAAAATGCAGACGCTATCATCCGCGGTCCCGTGGGTATGCGGACTTTGGATCCTAGCGACTATAATTATCGTCCTTACTACAATAACGGCGAAGACTCTGAAGACTTTGCAACATCCAAGGGTCGTAATTATCACCAGGGCCCGGAATGGGTTTGGTTGTATGGATATTTCATGCGTGCGTTTCATTACTTCCATTTGATCGCCGACCCACATTGCCAGAGCAAGGACGGGTGCCATCCATCATCGTACTTGATGCAACAGCTATACGCCCGACTTGACGGTCAAAGACACGGGATTTTCGGAAGCCCTTGGGCCGGTCTTACAGAACTCACCAACAAAGATGGTTCATTTTGTGGGGACAGCAGTCCTACCCAAGCCTGGAGCACAGGATGTACCTTGGACTTTTTTTACGATTTATGGAATGCCGAGAAAAAGGGCATCAAACGATAGATGAGTGAAGCAAGTGTTTCTGCTAGAATTTCTATAACATACACAGTAATTCATATGATATGAAGACTAATACAATTAAAGACGGGACTTCAATCACCTCGGCGTATTGATTGCCACGAATCTCGTTTCAATTAATGGATTAAGAGCATCATGTATACAATGGTTTTCGAAGTTGATGCGGCATTCTGAAGCTGAGATACACCTAGAACTAGGTTATAAAGGAGCATATGTCTGTATATATAGCTCTGAAGAATTTGCTCGAAAAAGAGTAACAGAAGTCTTTCAGGCCACGAGCAATGACAGCCGATGTGTTTGGCAAAGCTTGATTGGTAATCTTACAAATAATAAAGCAAGTTCCGACGGAGTCCATCTGGGCAAATAGCTGTTGCACTGACAGATATCGATTCTCGTGATAACAGCTACAAAGGGAAAGAGTAAACTGCTGGGCTGAAATTTCGCACGAATAACTAGACAGCATGAATAGTACGCCGAAAGCTTAGTGGTTACAGTGTTGTAGTCGACTAAGATGTTCAAACTGCAAGAAGGTCTGAAGTAGTTTTCACTAAGCCTTTCATGCACAAGCAACACAATGGACTCGACTAGGGTAAGAAGCACAAAACGAGAACAGTAAATGCCATTTTCCTTGACTGAAATGGCAGTAATAGAGGACAAATTGTCAAAGTGTAACTAGAATCATTGTGTCGAAGCTGTATCCTCATGGGTGTCAGAGCTTATTGGAATGTAGCGTCAATTTGAAGGCTAGAGTAATTTGAGATACTTGTGACTCTCAAAATGACGGGACCACTCGAAACTGATCCTATTGTAAAACCGACACATGCGTTTACTTATAGTGTACCTCTACGTCCTCAACAGGATCACAACATCATGTTTTGTAGCCGATTAGGACGTATAGACTGCGATCTGATTATCACTATTTATTTGTCAAAAGATTTTCCAGTCGCTGGTAGATTGGTAATACCCACCGTCCACCTTGTGTGACCAAAAACGTTCATTCCATCGGATTGTGCTTTGTTGATCTCCACTGAATAGGACAGTGTTCATTTTTCAAACGGCAGAAATAAGCTCGTATTTATATTTTCACCTGTGAGCACCGTTTAAAAGCGTGGAAATAAACCTCTACTTGTGGTTTTTGATTCCATGGGGATAGCACTTAAGCGACAGTATTGGCAGAACAGGACGGTGCATTGGAGTGGAGTCCAAAATGTCAAAGCTGTGAGCGGTTTTGACAATAATATCACGTGATTGAATGACAGACGACAGATGACAGAGTAGTTAATAATTAGGATTATAGACATTTTTGAGAGTCTAACCGTCACGAAGCCCATTAAAAAGCCCCCACCTGTTGATTAGGGCTGCTCCTATCGTATTGACAGTGACTCACGGAATGTTCCGCGATTTTTACCGATAATCTCTTAAGAACTATTCTCCTGCTGCTTTCAAAATTCGAGGCTTCATATTAGCGTTCAACTTATAAGGGCATCCCTCGTTCACAAGAGGAAAACATCTGGTATTGTAAAGGACAAAAATAGAGAAGGACGTCCATGCCGACTTCAAGACGCCGAACCTATATAAAAACCAAGTCTCATTTCGCATCAAATAATTTAAACCAAGATCTGATTGATTTCGATATCGCTGCTTTGCGAAAAATGCGAGAAATAACACCGAATCCATACCTCTCCCAAACACTCAGTATCGAATTTTCTCTCGGCGGTTTCCCCCATGTTAACGCGAGCTTTCTTCACCTGAACAGGACGAATCGGTTGTTTGACACCTTTTGAAGGACTCATCGTATCACTCTCTACGCAACGCGCGCCCTTCATTATAAGGCCGAGCTAGGGTGGGTCAAAATACGCAATATTAAATACCAATCCTAACCCACAAAAGATTCTTTCTACACACCACTTAAGGCCTAAATCCCAGCAGTAAGGGCCTGAAATCTCTGATTTTGGCTAGCTCGACTGTAAAAGGCGCTTTGGGAAGCCTATTAGAGAAAGACCAGCTTGAACTGGACAGAATTCGCACGTCATTTTGTGGGCTCTGCGAGTCTAAACAAAATTCGATGAATTGACGAGCTCTAGAGTGAAAAGACAACTTTTAGTATGGATAGACAGTTGTGGGAGTTGGTAAACAACTTCTTCCTCAAAGCATCGCTGCTGGTGTGCCAGTCGAGACATTACAAGGGCCGTCCAGCATCGGAAAACACCACAAACACAAACAATTGGTTCAACATCGAAACGCTAGGAAATGCAGAACTGGAACGCGAAATGGGGCCCTGGACGTCGTTTGACGGGTCCAGGCCCGTGCCACCGTTGGTGATAGAGACGTATCTAGATTTAACGCATCTGAGCGCGTCGCAATCAATCATTTTGAGGGACCAGGACGGCAACCCTTGGAACGTGTGCAAGGGCACCAAAAAATCGGAAATCATGCTGGAACGGTGGCTCATACAGCTTGAAAGCAATCCAGACGCTGCTAACGCCACTCGTGGCGCGGGCCTCGAGCCCTACACCGATATCCAGGAGATCTACCGGCAGCTGATCTTGTTGTTTCGATACCTGTACACTTTAGTGGGCCTACTGCCGGCAAACGACCTGAATATCCGACTTTTTAAGCCCGTCACCACGTCAGGGATGACATCCCCCGTGCACGTCGGCTCGCGAATTCTAGATGGCACCAAACCTATTGTTTCAAAGGGTAGAATAGGGCTTAGCAAGCCTCTCATTGCCACCTATTCCAACGTCATCAACGAAACTAATCTGCCTGCACATTTGGAGCAGCGCAAAATTACACCCATTTTAACCAAATACGGCTCATTGAGAATTTCTGTGTCGTACAGGCGCGATACAGACTTTCAAGTTAACGACAACGAAGAATACTATGCAAATGAATTTGGGAATGCAGGTTCGGTTCCACGTCCAGTGCGTGCCTCTGTGCCTGCGGCTACCAATTCTTCGCTAAGGAGAGTCTCGATGAGCAGCCAGCGGTCAATGTCCGTTTCGCCTAATACTAATATAAGTCCTAACCTGTTGGACCATTCACCACAAAAGCGAATGACAGCACCCACGCGTCAATTCCAGCCGTTTAAAGTGGGCTCAATCGGTAGCGGCTCCATTCCACAAGTGATTCAGGGTAATAATATCAGTAGAAACCCCTCTGGCACCTCCGTCGTGGCCGCACTGAGGGCTCAAAGATCTAGCAACGGCTCCATCACAACGGCTTCAAATCCATTACACGAATCGCATTTAGAGCCTTCAAGCATAGGAAGTGGCAGCCTTTCCAAATATTCCTCCTCTTTCGGTCGTTTACGCCGTCACTCCAGTGTAAGAAGGTCTGACAGCGTAGAAAGAACACAAAAGCCTGTTAAATTGAACGATTCACCATCTGGAGATCTGTTAGAGTTCATGAAACTCTTGGACGAACGAAAGGAGCTGAAAACCAAAAACAACGACAAGACTACCAAAGTTGATATGACAAGTTCACTCCTGAAATTTCAAGGCATGAGAAATACAAATAATAACCTGAGCACTGACCTCTCGATGTCAATGTCATTGGAACGGCCGCCGGTCGGCCGACAGAGAACTAGATCAAGATCTAACTCACATTCGCCAAATTCATCATTTTCACCATCCATACAATATTCTTCTATTCCGATGAGGCTGTCTCAAAGCCGCTCCAACTCGTATAGGAAAGACCTTCTCGATGAATACTCTAGTGGGAGAGGCTCTACGGATAAGCCGAGATCACTGATTAGTAACCTCAACGAGAGCTTGAGCGATGCCCATAAATCATCAATCCGCGACAGTGCTATTGAGGACGAAGATGAGGAAGACGATCTATTGATCGGGCGGTCCACTTACAACCATCAACTACCCTCTGGTAGGAATCGCTCAACATCCCCTGGCTCGATGCGCAGCGTTTCAAGCTCTTACAGCAGGAATCAGCTGCCGTTCAAATCTGTGGTAAATTTTTCCGGTCCCACAACCATGGCTACACCAGCACATGCAAAGTTGCACAAAGCCATTGTTGCAACATCCCCGGAATCTCATGGCACCGATGTTGAGCCCAAAAAAGATGACGAATTGAACCACGCAGACGAAGATGACGAACTGCTATTCTTTATGAGTGACATGAACCTTTCAAAGTGAGAAGCGCACCAGCAATTAGGAAGCAAGATCTTTGACTTTCTGGTAGGTGAGTCTAAAACCAGTAATTAAAAACATTTTAGACATGATCTTATGATACACAACCATTCCTTGCTACCTTTATTCTTAATTGGTGCGGGAGTTTTCTAGATACAATTCGAAGTATAACACAATCACCATGTACTACTTTTCAAGATTGTCCTCACCCATTGGATCCAGCCCAACCTGCGAGCTATCCAAGTGCGCTTTTTGCCCTTCGCATTCTCGTTCCTGTAATATCTTCAGTTTAAGTTCATGAATTTTGTGCTTCTGAACATGCAGGTCGTACCTTTCTTGAGTTTTGAACGTTCTATAGCACTTTGGATAATGACACTTGAGCTTCCTGCCAGCGGAATTGTGTAGCAAAGACACAGAAGATTTCCCCGTCTCCAAGTATTTGCGTAACGTAACCTCAGTTTGTATAGATTCCAGTTCATTATTGTGAACATGCGTTGCTGACTTTCTAGAGCGTTTTGATTTAGTGGAATCGGTAGTGGGTAGCTCGCTGGGCTTAAATTTTTGACACATTTTTTCTTTCTCAAGCACTTCCGAGACGAGCTCTTCATGATGCTCCATGTAATGTGAAATCAAATCCGCCTTTTTAGCGAAAAACAGATCAGGACAGCGTTCACACTTCCAGTTCTTGATTACCGTCGAAGTGTCGTGAATTTTCATATGCATTGCCAGACCGGACTCCCCAACGCACGCTTTGCTACATATTGGACACGACAACTTCGGATGGTGCTCCTTGATATGTTGCTGCAATGCAGTCCAAGTTTTAAAAGCCTCAAAGCAAGAGCTGTGCGTGCACTGGTATTTGTAGACTGAGTCAGGATTATGGTGCTTATCGATATGGGCCCTCAAGCGATATGGACGCTGGAATTTTTTACCGCAGTGTTCGCATGTAAGCTTCTGTAAGTGAACTGATAAGATGTGAGACCTTAGCTGAGGATGCTTGTAAAAACTCTCAGAACAGTTCTCGTACGGGCACTGGAAAGATTTGGTGTGTGTGATTTCATGCCTGCGTAACTGCTGCCGCGTCGTGAACCCTTTATTACACACGGAACAGCTAAAAGGCTTTTCCTCTGAGTGAGAGACAAGATGCCTTTCTAGATGAGACTTACGGGCAAAGCTGCGATCGCACTGAGGACATTTGAAAGCCTTTATTCCCCTGTGGACGGTCTCCTGATGTTGCGTTAGTTGTGATGGCCTGGAAAAGGCTTTGTTGCAGCCCTCGTATTCGCATATCCAAGTCTTAGCCCTACTGGAGCTCGAACAAGTGCTGATCTCTGACTCAGAATCTAAATTCAAGTCCAATTCAATCTTACTGTCATTGACGTTCGAATTAACAATGACATCGTTTTCTTGCAAACTTTTCGCCGTAAGAGCCTGCGTTTGTGCACCAATTTCGAATTTATCTTCAAGCAACGGTACAGAATTCATATACGAGTCACCAGCGGTGCTCATGGCTCTATTATGTTCCCCAGCAAGCTGTGAATATTTTACGTTCTCTAGCGATGACTTACTCAGCATTCGAAATATTGGAAATTTTTGGACTAGGCCAACTAGATGAACAAGTAGATAAATTTGACATTCCAGTAGATGGCCATGACAGATACGGCAGGAAAATGTGTGATTTTTTCCCAACGGCCCCATCGAATTCTAGTGTTGAAGCTTTGATGCTTTTTGTTGAAATAAATGATAGGTAAAGACAGAGAACTAGTCGAAGCATGTATGTGCAGTCATTTTTGGACGGGATGCTTCATTACTGATATTCGAGGTGCTCTGTTTGAAATGAAGAATGATATTATAAGTGTGCACTAGCCTCCTAAGTCTTTCTTCTCGAGTTTTGTATGAATTGACTTCAAAACTCTCACAATGATTATTCTTCATATGCGTCTTCTTCGAAATGGACATCTCTCTTCACAGTTTTCTGCCATCTAGTCGACTTTCTAGTCGTTCCATTTTCTCTACTCAATTGTCTATCCGATATCACCTTGAAAAACTTTTCAATAATCAACTTCAAGCACGATACCCAGCGAATCCTATTCGAAGCACAACAATCCTATAAGTTCACGGTTAAGATGTCGGATTACGAGGAAGCGTATGTTTAGCATTTCTATGAATTTGCAGGGATTTTCAATGGGACTTTTTGCGACTTTAGATTCGGAATAATTCTTTTTATTAACTTACAATGATGATTCTCGTAGATTTAACGACGGACCAGAACACTTCGAGGACTTCGATAATGAACACTTCTCTGATGCGGAAGTGTATGACGCCCCAGAAGAGTTCAAAGATGGCGAAACAAAAGACGAAAATGGCAAGACTATCATTGCCAGTGGTGTAGGTGCCGATGACTCTCAGCAGCAACAAGAAAACAATCGTAAAAGGACATTGAGAGAGAAAGCCATTCCTAAAGACGAAAGAACCACCACTCCTTACATGACCAAGTACGAAAGAGCCCGTATTTTGGGAACAAGAGCTTTGCAAATTTCCATGAACGCCCCAGTTTTTGTTGATCTAGAGGGCGAGACAGACCCACTGAGAATTGCAATGAAAGAGCTGGCTGAAAAGAAGATTCCACTCGTGATAAGAAGATACCTTCCTGATGGCTCTTTTGAGGACTGGAGTGTGGAGGAGCTCATCGTGGACCTGTGAGCGAAAGGAAAATAAGATACACCACTACTGACATATTTCGTGATGATAGTAGTAGAAAAGTTGAGCTCACCATGTACAATATCCCAAGGAGCCTTAATAAAAGCTTAAAAACCATGCATAGAGATCGGCTCTTCAGGAGCAATTTTTTTTCTTCTTTCTCAGATGCGTGTAAACTAACGCATGGACTTGTAGATTTTGAGCCATATAGACAAAGGTCTAGCGTAGGTGGGGGTCCGGCGTTGATCGTTCTGTTTATCGTGTGTTTCGCAATGTAAACTGGCGTATAAAAGTCAAACTTTGCCGCTGGTGTTTTTACTTGAGCTGGAAGCTTTGTGTTGATTGGCTTAAATATTCCCTTTGAGGGCAGTTTTTGACGGGGCAACACCTTGTAAATAGTAAATACCCTCTTCAAGGTTTTGATGAGGCACTTTTTTAGCTAGAAACGGTGTTTAAATGAAAGCGGTTTCTGAGCGACGAGCCAGGCCAGTGGTGCTTCAACGAAAAACTAGGATCTCGAATGCACGAAGAACAACGTAGTCAACGTCTATACCATACGCCTTGAAATTGAAGCCAAGACTTCGACAAATATACTGCTTTAGGCGAACGCTCGCGTACAGTGACGAAAAGTTGACAGCCCGGTAGAGGCGACAACTTGTGAATGATCCCTTTCTTTCTGGTCTTGTGAAAAGCATACCAGTTATCAAGTCTCAACTCTTCTTGGCCCCCGTAGCTATGTGGTTCTGAAAGGTTCACTCCACAGTATTCAAAAACTTTCTGCCTTTGAAGATGCGTTCCCCCGATAACTGTGTCACGGAGTACTGCTTCAGAATTGCTTCGAGGAGTTCTGCATTATCAAATCCTGCGTCTTTCAGATATTCTTTCATCTCACTCACATCAACGTTTAACTCGTGGCTGGGCTCATGTTCAAATGCACGCAGCGCGTCTGACAATTCTTGCTCATCGAGTAATTCACTTAGCCTACCACCAATTATGGTCAAGAATTCAGGAAAAGTCAATTCCTCTGCGTTTTCAGCTGCCAACATCTCATCAACTTGTGATTCCATGTTGTTTTTCCCCAGATTCGCATACGTTTTAATCAAATCGGACTTGGAGATCTTCCCGTCACCACCTTCGTCTATGAATTGAAACGCATCTCTAACCTTTTGAATTTGATTGTTTGAAAACTGGGAAAAGAATGCAGACTCACTGCGTTCCATCATTGAATCTTTCACGTTCAAACTATTGAAGTGGAGATGATCTACAATATCGGTTTACAGAGATATAAATACAATAAGGGCATATTCATTAACCTCAGCCAATCGACCTTGAAGTCACGTGGCTCTTTATCTTTCTTCAATTGTAGCGGTTCAGAGACATTGCCTCACTTATATGAGCTGTTAGTATGACATTTTATTGTGTGATTAGCTAAAGACTATTATCTTGCCGCTTTCGAAGGTGCGGAAGTCTACTTCTTAGGCGTTACTTTTATGAATCGGAATTCTTCATAAATCCCATGATTCATGTGAAGTCAATTCCTCCCAGTGGACCGACCCTTTGGAGCATTGAAGCTGTCGAGGCTCAACGAGGGTTTGATGACTTGACATAGGACGCTTCTCGACGAGATGAATCCCAATTGTGGGTGAGTCTGCATTGCCTTATGTTATCACTTTGTATTATTATGACACACATGGCCTGCGGACGTCTGATCAAGGCAAGAAAGCTAAGGAAGGAAGTATAATAATGGGATATTCTAACAATGAGACTGCTGGACAGTTTATATGAAATGGCAATATTTGAAGAACGTTTCCAAAATATACGGAGAGATCACGGACTTTTAGATTTCAAAAGAGATGAGGCCTTACAAATTCTTTGGTTTTGATTATTGGCACATCAATTACTTTGAGCACGGCTAAAATTAAATAGCTTGTCTGTTTGTGAGCTCTCTTCTACCCTGGTTTTTATTCGTGAATGCGGAAACCTGAATAAATGCACCGTGCGGTGAACTTTAGTACATCTCAAGACTGTATTTTTGCTTCATATTACTTCTTTTTTTGCCGCACGATACCATTTATTTATAGTTTCAGGGACCGAATCGAGAGATTCGGTTTGTTGTCGAAGTTAAGGCGCGAGATTTCACCTCACTTTTATGTTCTTATAGTAGCCTAATGACATGACGTTTGGAAGATCCGAACGAAGAGGCAATTGACATTGAAAGAGTACAATGTGATGCTAGAAACTCTACCAGGCTAACGGTGAACCATCTCAACGCCTTGAGAAACGCCGTTTTCGAGCTTCATGTTAAAGAGATCTGTCATGTGATATTTAAGTGCTTTTCATTAAAGGTCTAAATAACAATTCTTGAACATAATAACGTAGCGACCGAACCCACCAGAGTTCTCGAAGTGCCCATTGCCATCAAACAGCAGCCTTTCATCGATCAATGGCAGAACTCAAACAGCATTTGAAAGATGCCAAAAACTATTTGGCCAGTGAGGACTATGAATACTGCGTTGAGAGTTGCCAAGAAGCCTTGAAAATCGACAAGAACTGCTATTTTGCTCACGTATTCTTGGGTAAAGCTCTTTCCTGCACCAATGATCTTTCAAACTCGAAAAAGCACTATTTGGAAGCGATAGATGTAGATCCAGAAAATCTACTGGCCTGGAAGGGCCTTTTCGTGCTATTCAAGATCAGCAACATTGCTCCGGCAAATGTGTCGTTCGACGAGTATTTCGATTTATGTGGGAAGTACGCTGAGCTGCTGCTGCAGAAACAGTTGTCACTGGTGGACCTTATTAATGACATTCGGAACTTCAAAAACTTCTATAGAGACTGCCAGGAGTCATATTTACGCCACATGCGTCCTGGGACCCCAACGGCTGAGATCCTGTCACGACACCTAATACCACCTCAGGAAGCGCTTCAAGGGCTGCTCAACATCGTCAGAGCAGACGAGCAGCAAAAGGTGTCCAAGCTTGTGAGCCGAGAAAGACTGAAAATCAGCGCTAATCAGCCAGACTACGATCTGAAGGTAAACTCTATCGCATGGGAGGTGTACCAAGATTCAGAGGTGGACGAGCTTTATCAACAACTGATCAACATTACTGACGATGACCAGCAACGACGCGACAATGAAGCCAAGTGGCTCGAGTATCGACTAAAGGTGTTAAAGTCTATGCCAACAAACATGAAGCATCTGTTTTTCATGAAAGTAAAGGGTATGGTTGAGGATATGGTTGTTGTAAACCACGACTTCTTGCTAGCATGGCAGCTATATTTTGAGTGGCAAGACTATTCGAACCTTAATGCCATCGATGTCAATGTCATTTCCAAGTTTATGAAAAAGTTCCCCAAGGAGCCATTAGCAGCCGTTCTGTACGCATGGGTATGTTCAGAACTGTCGACTTACAACTCGAAAGAGTTTTATGAGAGAACCTTTCAAGAGGAAACAACGTCAGGGGCTGCTTCTGCCTCAAACGCCATATTATTGGATGTGGTTGATGATGAAGTGGACGAATTTGAAAGACAAAGGTTGCAAGACCTCGTCGATCCAGGTCTTGAAGAAAACTCCTATGGTCTTTCTGAAGAAGAAGTTCTTCTTTCGCTTACAGAAAACGTCAAGAAAACTCAACAAAGTATTCTGGCGCACCGGATCGTTTCTCATTACTATTTATCCTTCCATGAATACGAATCTGCTTTACAATATGTCAAAGCAGGTACAGTATTGTGTGCTCATAATGTTAAGGGATTGGGTGCGCACCTCAGTAACTCTAAGAAAGAACTTACCTTGGATTTGGCAACCACATACACCTATTTCGAAGCACCAAAAAATCACTCGACTGCGCTTGCTTTGTTTGATAAGCTATTGTCGGAAGATAGCGATAATGTAAACGCCAAAATGGGCAAAGGTCTGATTTTCATAGAGAGGCAGAAGTGGGAAGAAGCCTTCGCTCTTTTGAAAGCCGTTTCTGAGCGTTTCCCCGATAATTATGAGGTGCTCTCTGAGCTGGGATGGAGTGAACTAAACTTGGGCAAGCTAGATCTTGCAATTGAGAAATTCAAGTATATTCTGAATAACGTCGAAGGTTCTGACTTGAAGGTGCTTGAGTTCAGATCTCTCAATCATTGGAGAATTGCAAAGGCCTATATCAACAAAAACATGGAAGATGCCGGCAAAGAAATGTCTTCTGATAATATAAAGCTTGCTTTCAGGCAACTTGTGCAATCGGTAAAGGTCAGCGAGAACTTTGCTCCTGGCTACTCTACGTTGGGTGAAATATACTCTGGAAACTATAAAGATCCAACAAGAGCATTCAAGTGCTATTTCAGGGCTTTTGAGCTGGACCCTAGTGATCTGACAGCTGCGAAATATATGTGCGAAAAGTATTGCGACTTGTCTGATTGGACCCTTGCGGCACTCATCGCTGAACGGGTTATCAAAGCGGGAAAGTCAAAACGAGCTCTGCAAAATGTCAATTGGCCTTATAGAGTCCTAGGTATTTCTTGTCTCGAGAGGCAATCGGAAGAGGAATCAATTGAGTGGTTTCAGTCTGCATTACGTGTGAATGCGTCAGATCTGGAATCATGGATTGGCCTCGGCCAGGCCTATTACTCGTGCGGCAGAGTGGAGGCATCCTTAAAAGTTTTTGAGAAGGCACTTGAGATTGATTCTGGAAATCCCCATGCATTATATTTCAAAGCCCTGTCTTCCTCCAAAATGGGAGAGTATGAGGAAAGTCTCGAAATTCTTCGATCACTTACGAGCACCAGACCGACAGAAGAGAGCTATCAAGTATCTTTTGTCGAAACCTGGATTGAGCACTCGACTATACTTCATTCCCAAGGGTTTTTGACGCAATCCGCAGCCACTGCTGCCGATGTTATACGCCACATTGAAATGATCATTACAAAAATTTGTCATGAAAACCAAGCGGTATGGCTAGCACTCTCTAAGGCATTGAGAATGTTCTGTTTGGTACAGTCCCAAATACACTTATTGCCTTTAGAGAGTTTGGTGAACATATTTGACAATCTGGAGCCTAAAAACACAGAGGATGTCGATCAAATTGACGGCGTTCTATATGCCTCGCTTTTGTCTGATCTCGATCAAGATAACGTTCTTATTGCCGCTAAATTCTTGATATTGTCAGTCAAGTACTCACTGGCATCCAGTGGCTATGCGAAGTTATCGAGGACCGTGCGTGCCTCTTTGTGGTACAACTTGGGGATAGTGGAACTAATGTCGTTCCTCATCTTGAAATCAAATGCATACAGGGATGCAGCCATTGCAAGTTTCAAAAAATCAATAGATTTTCAGTCAAACACAGCTGAAGCGTGGGTGGGCTTTGGTATTGCATCTATAGATTTGAACGTCCGAGTTGCCCAACATTGCTTCATCAAAGCATCTGCGTTGGCACCAAGAGATACTAGTGTCTGGTATGACATGGCCGTTTTAGCGTTGAAGTACAATGACGTTGAATTCGCAAAAGATGTTCTAATGAAGTCACAGAGCATCGCGCCTCAAGATTCGACGCCATGGCTTGGTTTAGCTCTGGCAGCTGAAAAAAGCGGTCTTACAGGAGAGAGCACCAGGTTGTTCGCCCACTCTTTTGTACTTTCAAATGGCAAGTCAACTGCCGCTCAACTTCTATACGCAAAAAGCGTTCTTCGCATGAGGGTTGGTAGCGATGACGATGAGAGGGACCTAGGACCATGTCAGGAACTGAGTGCTGTGGCTTATGGCTTGGACGAATATCTGAAGAAAAACCCGGATGATAAGTTCGCTCTGCAATGTGCAATTCTCACGCTCGAAAGATTACATCATTTTGGAGAAGCACAAAAACTTTCGGAGCGTCTTCTCGATATTTTAGAGAGAAGATTTGAGAAGGCGCAAAACGACTCAGAGCTCTTCAACTTCGCTGTAGTAAAGTCACAGATGGCTCGGGTATATCTTGGTTCTAAAGCGTACGACTCTGCGATTGAGAGCGCAGATTTGGCCCAGGGGATCTTGAGCGACCGAGACGACGAAAGGGCGAGGAAATCTGTCATATCAAATTATGCTGTGATGGGGCTGGCTCATTTTTTCTTGGACAATTTTGATCAGGCTTTGGAACACTTCACAAGCATTCTCCAGCAATCCAGCGACTGCAAACAGCTGGTCATCATGATTGCCAAGGTTCTCTACAACGTTGACTCCGAAGAGACCCGTGATGTTGCCTTGAAAGAGCTTTTGGATTTTGTCGATGTTCATGGACCGGACCTGATGGTGACACTAACTATATCTGCTATTTCAGTTTTAGAGAGCCGGCCGGACGAGTTGAAAACAATTTTATCTGAGTTGAAAGGTCTGTCTCTGCAAACCCTCATTCTGGACAAGCATCGTGACATTGCATTACTCATCGACAGAGTAAATGAGAGAATGTCCAGCAAAACAGACTCCGCGGACAATTGGCGGATGACGGCATTCTTCTTTCCTAATGACCCCAATTCCTGGCAAGCTTTGGATAAGAAGGTTAGGTTACGTGTATCTACAGACGGGCAGAATAAAATTAGCGCCAGAAGGATGAGCAGCTATTACTGTGCGTTGGGCAATGTTTCCAAAATCCAAAGAGGGCTATTTATCTGTCCCTGGAACACAGAGGGGCTTGCTAAACTTGAGGGCTGTTTTTGAGAAATGATTGTTTTTAATGCATTAATTAGAGTTTTCTATATCAAAAGAATTTGAAGACTTCCCATAAGGAGAGTAGTCTCGCGCTCCTGGTTAGGCCATTTAATTCGCGCTCATTGACCATCTTTAACTGGTTGAGTTCGCTGGGTAGTAACAGCTCGACTTCCTTTCCCTTAACATCGTCACGGTTTGCTTTCTTCAGAAGCGTTGAGTTTTCATTTTTGAGATCTTCGATCTTATGGTAAAGATTTGCTATGTTCCATGTTAGATTTTTCAGCATAAACTCATAAGCATGCTTTTCGTTGTTACGAAATAAGAAAACCGACCTGGAGGCAGCTCTATCAGCTGTTCGCGGCACCTCTTGAATTTCCACGGCGTTGTATTTTATCAAAACTGAAATCACCGACCTGATGTCCTTTTCTTTCATTAGAGCTGTCGCATTGATCACTTTCTCTGATGCGAGTCTATTGTCACACACACAGCGGAGAATTCTGGCTGCAGATGGTCCCAAAGTGAAACTGATCAAAGTTTCGTAAACAGAGGACTTTAGCAACGGTAAAAGTCGCGAGTAGGGTACGAAAAACTGGCCGGGTTGTGACTCATGAAGAAAAGGGATGATGGAAGTTGAGAGAAGTTTCAAATGAGCATTGACTAACATCACCGAGTGAGGATCATCATCGTTATCATCAAAATCCAGCATCTCATCGTCTTTAAGCTCGCTTTCTTCCGCAGCATCAGTTGGTAAAGCGGGGATAACAAAGCCATCTTCTGTTTTAACTCTCTTTGCAGATTGTGATTGGTTATTGTTTGACCGGGGCCTTTTCAACTGAGAGGAGATGGTGCCGCGCAAATCTACAGAATCGGGAAGGAGTCTAGCGACGTCAGTTGCACTAACATTGGCACCTTTTGTTTTCTCCTCGGAAATGGTGAGCTCATCATGCATAGCTCTCTGTTCATCAGCATCTTGAAGCAGACCAGTCTTGGATAATGGATCGATCACTTCCGGCGAGTGACGTTCCGTTAGCTGGAGAACTACTTTGTAAATTGCAGACGGAATTGATCCCACTCTTGCCGCAGAAAGCCTCACTAGCTGCTTGGATCTTCTAACTTTCAAATAGGTCTTCAAGTTGAACGTCAGTGGCACACTATCAGCGACAACCCTCATGGATGTTTTGGGATCCGTTTGGATGAGAGTAGAAGAGGCTGGGGGGCTGAGAAGCTTGTCAAACTGCTCTTTTGCTTTTTGTTTAGCGTCCGTTCTTTTCTTGAGATCTGATAAAGTCGAGGTCTTAGGAATGGCGTTGTACTCTTTCGTATAAAGGCGAGCCCACAAGTCCCTAATTGTCGCATAGTCGGTCACAGTGAGAGGTGTCAAGAATCCAGCTTCACAGAGCTTAACGAAGAACGAGGAAACTAGCGTTGGCGAGTCACTGGAGAGACCTGCGCTGAGGTATGCTTTTACAGTTAGTGATCCTAACGCCAATACATTTTGCACAATTTGGGCCGCTAGGTCAGCTTTGAAAACTTCCTTTATAGTTTCAACAATCTCTCCTGAATAAAGCATAAGCAGCATACCGTCTTCGCAGTAATAATAGTAAATAGTGGAGCGTCCAGATGCCGCATGAATGTCATTGCAGTACTGTACGCAACGAAGTTGAACTAGTGACACCAAGATCCGTTTAACACTTTTCAAATCCATCTCTGACCGATCACTTAACTCCCTGGTTGACATGCGACCTTTGGAAACAAGGATTTCTATGATAGCGGCAGCTCTTTCTCCTAGGTGGGTACGACATAGTTCCCTGTACAGAAATCTTTCGGGATTGGCGCCACGGGCTTCCAATGAAGCTACAGATCCGGATATAGGTTCTTCATTACCTAGCGGTTCTGGGGTAGTTGAACTGGTGGCCATAAGGCTTTGTAAGAGCTTGTGAGGCTGTGCAAACTTTTGGATCAGTGATGCGATGAGCTTGAGTATTATGAGTTCCACCAAAATTTTTCAGATCACTATTTTCTTTAATGACACGTTGATATTCGGAAACGTTGTGACACTTTCGAGTGGCATAAAGACTTTTGAGCCTCTGAAGGCGTGGGTGAGCCTGTGCTTCGGAAGCCGTCTCAATGGAGTGTAATAACAACGGGAATGTTATCTGGTTAGTACAAAGCTAGGGGGAAGATTGGCAAATTAACTTGATAGAGTACCTTCACTTTATGATTTCACAACTTGAAGACATATCAAGCTTTCAATTTCGGCGAAGTAAAACAGAATTGCACAACTAAAGGGGTAAATGACTAGATCGATTAAGACATTAGGTGGAAAGTCGGATTGTACATTTTATATGTGTTTTAAGGTTTACTTCTGGAGCTAAATTCGTGGGGTGGAAAAGGTCACTCTTGGTTGCTTTAAACATGCATTTTAATGTAATTTTAGACTGGTTTGAGCCCCAGAGTGATGGTAACCTTCAGTCGTCTTGAAGAAATGGCGCGTCAAGGCAAATATGACATTATGGTACGAAATGACATACTGTCAAAATTAAGCTCAATCTGAAGCTTTAGCATATGACTCGCTGTGAGGAGATGGATAGTGGTTATGATTAGTTTCCGATTATAGTGTGTGGATTTATGGTTTGCATGCTCAAATGAATCTCTTATTTGTCTTATATAAATCTTTTTGACACCTTTTTTTGGCTCGTAAGTCAGTGTCAGCGCCAGAAAACAAATAGGTTTCCTTATCAATCGTGATATCCTCCATTTTCAAGTTCTAAACGTCGTTGAAATGTATAAACGCCTGATTTCTAAACCGCCACCATGGTCTTATGAGATACACTCACCAACTTTTTGCATTTCTAGTAATCACACAAATTCAGATTTCCCCAGCTTGAATTAATTCGTATAAAGAACGCTAACATTCCTACATAGTGTTGACCTGTTAACGACTCTATTTCTGCAACTTCAAAACTACTTCCCCGTGAATCTGGCACCGATCATTCTCCGTCACTTCATTTTGTATAGCATTAATATTACATCAAATCTTGCCCAAAAACTTCCGAAAAACTGTCATTGAAATCCTCAGAATTTACTCAGTACGTTACTATCCCATTGATGTAGATTCTTCCTCTCAGGCGCGTCTCACACTCGTTCATTTTCCTCCACCAATCATATCGCTTTATTTCGTCTACTTTCGTAAGTAATCAATTAACCTTCCTAATGAAAGATTTTCTATAACGATATATCCATCAAGACAAGAAGTTCAACTATTTTGAAGAAAATAAGATCGTGTCTTGAGGTATTCTATAATTCTTCTAACGTGTTTTCCGGTTTGAGCAGTGGCCGGATTTGATTGGGAATATTTGCGTAACTAAAATACACAAGGTTCAGCCGCTATGATTGGTTCCAGAATGAGAATGCTGGCCGCCAGACAATACCACATTTCTGCTAAGGACAGTGCCAGCAAAGTTTCGACTCTGGCAGTCAGAGTACACGCTGGTTCGCGTTACGCAACCAAGGATGGTGTGGCGCATTTGTTGTCGAGATTCAACTTTCACAACACTGGAAACAAGTCTGCTTTGCGTTTGGTGCGTGAATCTGAGCTTCTAGGTGGTCGTTTCGAGTCCTCTGTCGACCGTGAATACATCACTTTGAAGGCCACTTTCTTGAAGGAGGACTTGCCATACTACGTGTCTGCTTTGGGAGACGTTGTTTACAAGACGTCGTTCAGACCACACGAATTGCCAGAATCCGTGCTTCCAGCCGCGAAGCACGACCTTGCTAAGGCTCAGGCTTGCCCTGTCAAGATCTCTGAAAGCTTGCTATACAACGTCGTTTTCCGTAATAATCTCGGCAACGCTGTGCTTTACGACGGCGTGCAAAAGGTCTCCCTTGAGGACATCAAAACCTACGCTGACAAGGTCTACACCCGTGACAACATCGAAATCGCCGGCCTGGGCGTCAACGAGGCCGACCTCAAGCGTTTCGTCAACGATTCTTTGTTCGCTTCGTTGCCTCAAGGCACTTCGTTGGCCAAGGAAAGCGCTCCCAAGACTTACGTCGGTGAGACCCGTCTAAGATCCAGCAAGGGTGACTCTGTCGCTGCCATCGCTGTTCCAGTCGCAAAGGCTGACTTTGCCACCTACGAAGTGTTGGCCACTTACTTGACCTCTGCTTTGTCGGACCTTTCGTCTGTGATCTCCAAGGTCAAGTTCGACTCTTACTCCAACGCCGGTTTGTTCTCGCTATACGTGAAGGGCCCCGACGCCAAGGCCGTGTCCGAGAACGTCCAGAAGGTTGTTTCCTCTTTGAAGAAAACCCAAGACATCTCCGTCGCCAAGGACGCCACTGCCTTGCGTTTGGCATTGAAGTCTGAAACCGAGCCTTTTGTCGAACAGCTATCTCTAGATAAGGTCAAGGATTTCAAGCTTGGCAAGTTCAGCTACGTTGCCGTGGGTGACGTGAGCAACTTGCCTTTCGCCGACCAATTGTAAGGAGGCGCAATTGATTTCAAAAAGCACGTATCGCCAAGCATACTTTGTTTTACGATCTGCACTGTCCACAATCCCAGAGCGCATACCGATTATCACCAAATGCGATGATTTTAACGTCTAAAAACATAACATACACGACCTGGAAAGTTTAGAAACGAAGAGAAACGAATTTTTGCGAGCAGAGCCCACGATGCAAATGGCGCTTACGGTAACAGTTTTTAGGTCCTGCTGCCCAGCTCTTTTCCTCGTCGACTCCACTTCCATAATATAACGAGTTATGCAAGAATCTGCAACTCTTAGTTGAATTTTATTTATTCCTACACTAAAGCAACTTTTAAACAAACGACGCCCATAATAAAATTAAGCAATTATTGAGCGCTATTCTCAGTCATTACTCAAATTGTACTGACCTAAGGGTCACTTCCTTGTTGTCGAAATGATATTTTTTTGTTTTGACAGCGTAACCTGCATTTAGTTCTTAACTAATATGGGTGCAAATTGTATATCGATTTTGGGATTTAAACCCTCAGAGTAGCACAAGTCGATGAGCTTGCCACTTTCATGATGGATAGTTCTTGCTTGTAGTAGATGGTTGCATGACATAAATCTCCAGAGCCATGACTAGCTCTTGGAAGACCCTAGCTTTGGCTTTCCACTCAAAACCAGTATCCCAGTCGTTACAACTGCTTATTGCCTGTGTTTCAGAGACCAACCGCTTTCCCTGGATGTATGAAGATGAACCTGAGTCGTCGTTCTATTCAAAAGCTTGCGGTGGTTATATGCCCTATATGCAAACTGCCATGAATTGTTACGTATCACTGACAGAAGGCGCAGATCTCTCTCTTTTCGAGCAGTTGGATAATTACAAAAATGCGTGCAATGCGTTGACCGGCACAAACTTTTCTGAGGTCGACATTCAGCACATTTGGCGCAACGGTACACATTTTCTGCAAAACAGTCATATTGTGGGCGGGTTGGAGCGTCTTACGGCGCCAATTGTGTTGTCGGAAGACGTGATTTCCGCAACATACCTATACTGCCGCTACACATTCTACAATTTCGTCGCAGCCTTCAATTTCAACTTGGTGATCAATGGTACTGTGGCGATTTTGATTCTGTGTGCCATTTGGGCCCGTGTTTCTTCTTCTAGCACCAAGTTCGTGCGACACGTACGATCGAAATATCTAGTTCCTGCGTTGTTCGATACGACGCACCACACCGAGAGTACAGCCCTCTCCTTTTACAAAATCTTGTTTCCAACAAGAGGCGAAGCTCTTGCCCTGTCTGTGTTTTTGTTGATCAATACAGTGCTGGCGTTGTACAACTATCCTGTCGTGAGCTCCAATATGGACACGAAACTCTTCTTTATGGTCAGGTGTCTCGCCAATAGGTGTGGTGGCCTGTCATTTGGATTGATACCCTTGACCATTTTACTGGCGGGCAGAAATACGCTACTTTCACAGCTCACTGGCATACCGTACTCTAGTTTTCTGTTTTTTCACAAATGGGCAGCTCGCACCATGACGTTTTATGCAACAATGCACTCGCTGCTGTGGATTTTCTATGCTTGCGTTCGGCTGAAGATGTCTTTTTGGGTATCTTTCTTCAACTTTGACTATTGGACATGGGGCGTTTGGGCTGCACTCGCAGCTACTGCCTTAATATTCCATTCTATACACACCTTCAAAGCAAGACAATACGAGGTTTTTCTTACAATCCACATTACGTTGGGTATTATTTTCCTTGTAGGGTGCTTGAAACACTGCGCAACTTTTGGGTGGTTAGGTTGGATTTATCTAGGCGCAGGATTCTGGATGTGGGACAGGGTAGCCAGATTGTGGAGAGTGCTTGTCAATTTTGGTGGGTACAAAAACGCATTTGCGTATGCTCTACCTGCCCAGGACGAGCTTTTCAAGATCACCGTACCATACGTTGAATCTGAAAGATTTAAGTTCTTCCCAGGCTGTTACGGGTTTATCTACATCCTTGAGCGCAGGTATTTCTGGCAATCACATCCTTTCACGCTCATGAGAAGGAAAGATAATATTGAAATTATCGTACGCGCCAAGGAGGGCATTACCAGGGACTTGTACGAGCGACTTCCCAGTGACGGCACGAAAGTGCCACTTAGAGTCGCAATTGAAGGGCCTTACGGTCACGAAGCGCCGCTAGAGTCTTATGACAACGTGTTGCTGATAACCAGCGGTGCAGGGGTACCGGGCCCGATCAGTTACTTGAGCAAAGCTGTCGAGAGGATGAGCGAACGAGGAAACTACACATTTGTGTGGATTGTCCCAACGGAATCGTTTATGGACACCATGAAAAGCTCACTCATGAGCATCGGCGAGACAATGCGTGCAGGATGTTCTAAAAGACAAATCAAAATCCAAATTTTCGTTACGCGACCTCAGTTAGACGCTAGATTGTCAGAATGGAGGCCCAAAGAGATAGATATTTACAGATACAAGCCAGACGTCGCAGAACTTATAAGCACGTTTTGCAAAAACGCATCTGGGAGTATTGGGATAGTGTCATGTGCGAACCCTGGACTGGACGATAGAATACGGCGGCACGTTTCGTGTGAGATTTTGAGCCATGACGCCCGCATTGACTATTTCGATGAGTTACAGGTATGGTGAGTTTAGCACGTTTTAGTTGCTCGAAAACTTGAGTCTGGCATACGCCGCCTTGGGGAAACATGTAGAGTTGTTCAAACAACGAAGTAATAGATGAGGATGCAGAGCATCGGAATGTTCGAATGCCAACTAAATATACATCGTGTATAGCCTACTGGCTTATCCACATGTGACACGGTTTCATCATGAAATCCATTATATAGCATTGTCTGCCCTATAGGGCTATAGCCACAGTGATGAGGGCATGAAGTTCAAGCTTTCGAGTGAGGATAGGCAAAAGCGAATCACAGAGTCTCGAATCGGTGGAGGTACGATCGCTCCTAGTTGTGCAAATACCTGCTACAGCTAAAAATTCGTAAAAGTTTCCGCTGCATACATTTGCGAGCTGAACTCAGGTTCAACAATGCACAGACCTCATGCGCCTATTTGAGAAAAGTGGTGCCTTTTGAGGCGTACGCAACATGCACGGTACTAGTACTGTTTGAGAAGCATCTACTTTTCGCTGCATTACTTAGCTGCATAGCCCAAAGAACAATGAAAAATGGTGTACAACCTCGAGTTTTTCTGAGCCTGCAAATTTCTCATATTCGAACAATGGAAATAGCCCGCTGAATGCAGAGAAGAAGTGTTCAACCCACACAGGATAGAAACTTTCACAGCTTTGCTCTATGATGTGCCTTCCAAGTAGTGCAGTGCGGTCCGCAATCAATACGACTGGAAAGTATCGGTATTGCAAGGGTGGGAATCTGGCCGTTTTAGATGTTCTGGGTTTGACAATGTATTGAACAAGAAGCCAGATTTGGAAAGTGAAGGCAGTGAGTGGTTTTCGTGAAAACGGCGCTGAGTGGAATGTAACTCTTTCTCCTGGAATCCCTTTTCGAGCGCCAATAGGGTGCGTGCAAGGGAAGGCGGATCTTGTGGTCAATCACCCATTGGGGCAAAAGGTACCACTAGGAGACTTTGACAACGTTGGAAAGCAATGCTGACGATGATAACTCGATTTTTGTCTGGCGAAGTAGTCCCTACCTGATATGTTGGCGTCTTATTCGACTGACCAAAATGTAAGGTTATCAGCCATGACAAAAAGGAGAAGCACGACACTGTGTGCGTCTGAATGGGAGCCACCACAAGTGGTGATGAACAATGTGCTATCGACACGACGCGATAGAAGAGTGTCGTTGCCAGAAGGTCGATGACACCGAGGATGTCCGCTTGCACGGCACGTGTGATGGACACATCAGAGTTGATCTCGAAGCTTCGACAAAACCGCCTCCAAATAGACAAAAGAAGCACACATCTTGAAGCCGGTAAGCCTTACACGAGCCTGAATTCTCGTACAACGACTAAGCAGAATCTATAAGGAATAGTGGTTCAACTTGACGTCCAAAGTGACATCAAATAATCGGCCCAACGTCTTTCACAGCTCAGCGTCGTACTTATATACAAAATACCTTCAGCTTGTCCTGTGTATACGAAAACCACTACAACAACCACTTCTACGCGTACATGATGTCTTTGCGGAACACCACGCAAGTGAACGATAGGCAAGACGATGTGCCTGTCGGAGAACTGTTTGCACGTGTGAGAATTGCTTGGAAGAATTGCTCGAAAACAGTAAGTTTTAGGCACGTTTCTTGATGCAAGGAGTGTTTTGTAGTCCATGCAAGGAATGTTTTGTAGTCCATGCAAGGAATGTTTTGTAGTCCATGCAAGGCGAATTTCTCAGGAGCCTGAAGTTGACTCAGAGCAAAAACACCGAGTACCGAAAGAACTCCATTTGGCGCGTCAAAATCGGACAATTTACAGTTCGGATTGCCACACGTGAAACCAACCTCTCTATTGCGTCGCATCGCCTTCAAGACTCCGTGACCACTCAAACCCGGGACATTCCCTTGACTGTTAGCCTTCCGTATACTCAGCAAGTGGCGGCGATGCGATCGCGGACGCGAACAACAGGCGGATAATCCTCACTTTTTCGCAGCTACCGTTTGGCCCGATTCTTTCGAACTGCAACTTTTTCTAGCACTTCTACTACAAACCACACTACGCTCGCACCGTGCCCGTTACTGGTTCCTTTCTGGCGTTTGACCAATTTCAACGGTTTGATCCCAAACAACCGTCGTTCACATTTTTCAGGAAACCGAGAAAAAAAAGAAAGGTTGAATAACCAATAGGCACACGAATGCAGAAGAATATTACGCATTGTTCTGGAAGGCTGGCCTGCAGCGTTGCTCAGCGCGCCTAGATCAAAAATCAAGAGTGGCTTTTACAGTTCCCAGTGGTATTGGTATAGTCCAGAGGTCTTGAGAACTCAGTGACAGTGTCTTGGTGCCTTGGTGACTCCGAGCCGGGCAAACCACGATACAAAATCATGTTTAGAATCAGAGGAAAAGAGTGAGAAATACAAAGGACTCACACATCGACACACGGCTATCACACCAATTGACCGGCTCTCTGTCTCTCTCTCGGAAACCCTCAAATTTTCACTCATCAAGAAAAAACCAGTCACTACGAACGGAAAGAGAGACGTAATTGCCCTCTAATGCAGTGCGTGTTCCGTACATATAAGATGCGTCTACTGCGCATAAACCGGACGGAACTGCAAGAGACAAGTGTGTTTAGCGACGGTGTTTGGCGTCATTATTCACCGTTCTGACAAGCTGGGGCGCAGAAGATTTGGGTAGAAGGATCTTGTTATGGTGGGGTGGGAGAGGTGGGCTTCCGTCGAGTTACAGGCTAAGGCATTGGTCTGCCGTGTGCACAAGGTGTACGAAGAAGATCTGACAGGCGCAACTCGAAAAGAAAACATTTCAATAAACAACAGCAGGCCTAGATCGAGTGCGATGGCATTAGCACTCAGGCTTGTCGCGTTTCGTTTTAGGCAAGCGGAATGCTAAAAAGAGACATGGGACACTCCAGTAATCGTTAGTCCGTAAACGTTACGTTCGTAGCGTGCTTTTACATGGTATGCTCAAAAGAAAAACGGCATCCAATTCAACCGTCCAAGACCGGGGAAAAGCGCGGTGTGGGCTAGCGTTAGAAAGGTATATAATGGTCCACGTCGTCGCTGTCCTTGGAGTTCGAATGATCCCTTAATTCTTCCCTTAATTTTTGTCTTCTCAGAACCAGAGATAATCACACCCTTCAAGCACTAGTCTTCGAGTCCATGCGCTACCTGTGGGTTCTCTCGGCTGTTGCCGCTTTGGCTAACTCGGCGGATGCCTCTCCTCTGCAAAAGAGATGCTCCAACCCAAAGCAATTCTCTGGCAATTCTCAGGGCCAGAAGAAATGCACTCAGATCACCAATGGCTGTCCCGACTTGGATTTCACCTGGAATGCCAAAAACCAGGGCAGAATGACCTACAGCATCACGGCCAAGTCCGTCAAATGGGTTCAAGACAATATCTACGAACTAACCATTCACGTGCAAGGTCAAAAACAAGTTAGCATCGACTGCATTAACGACTTGAAAATCATCGGCATCAATGGACCTGACGGCGCAACTTTTCAATTGCTTGACAAGCAGCACAACATCCAACTTGTCGACAGTCCTACCGACTACGATGCCACATTCCGGGTTTACGGTCAAGATGACGTCGAAAACTGCAGGACTTGGATGCCTAACTTCCAAATTCAGTACGACTACAATAGCCAATGTGATGTTAACAGCGCTCAGTCCTTCGACTTGATTACCGGGTGTAACAACTACGACAACCAAGGCCATTCGCAAACTGACGCTCCTGGATTCTACTGGGATTACCAATGTGGCACCTGTCCAAGCTCTGTCACATCTTCATCGTCTCTATCATCCTCTGCCAAGCCAGCAACATCTACCAGTGAGTCTTGCACCACTGTTAGTCCAACCACGATATCCGGTTACACTAGTTGCTCTCCTGGCCCATGCCCTTCTCATTCGAGCTCAGCTTCATCTAGCCCATCTTCAGAAAGCACTGTTCCAGAAACCTCCACCAGATCGCGCACTTGCACTCGTCATACTGACTCGCGTACTAGCACTCATCAAACCAAGTCGCGCACTTGCACTCGTCATACTGACTCGCGTACTAGCACTCATCAAACCAAGTCGCGCACTTGCACTCGTCATACTGACTCGCGTACTAGCACTCATCAAACCAAGTCGCGCACTTGCACTCGTCATACTGACTCGTGTACTAGCACTCATCAAACCGACTCGCGCACTTGCACTCATCATACCGACTCGCGCACTTGCACTCATCATACCGACTCGCGCACTTGCACTCATCATACCGACTCGCGCACTTGCACACGTTCACATTCTACCCCTTCTTCTGACTCCTCCTGCACCACTGTTCCAGGTACTACCGTTCCAGGAAGCACTGTCTCTGGCACCACTTACCCAGGTACTACCATTCCAGGTACTACTAGCTGTTTCCCAGGACCATCTAGCTCTGCTCCTTCTAGCTCGACTCCAGAAAGTTCTGCCCCTGTGTCTTCGACTCCAGAAAGCTCTGCCCCAGTTAGCTCGACTCCAGAAAGTTCTGCCCCAGTGTCTTCGACTCCAGAAAGCTCTGCTCCAGCTAGCTCTACCCCAGTGTCCTCGACTCCAGAAAGCTCTGCTCCAGCTAGCTCTACCCCAGTGTCCTCGACTCCAGAAAGCTCCACCCCAGTAAGCTCTACTCCAGTGAGCTCTACTCCAGAGAGCTCTGCCCCTGTGTCTTCGACTCCAGAAAGCTCTGCTCCGGTCAGCTCTGCTCCAGCTAGCTCTACCCCAGTGTCCTCGACTCCAGAAAGCTCTGCTCCAGCTAGCTCTGCCCCAGTAAGCTCTACCCCAGTGTCTTCGACTCCAGAAAGCTCTGCACCAGCGTCCTCGACTCCAGAGAGCTCTACTCCAGTGTCTTCGACTCCAGAAAGATTTGCCTCAGTGAGTTCGACTCCAGAAAGCTCCACCCCAGTAAGCTCTACTCCAGTGAGCTCTACTCCAGAGAGCTCTGCCCCTGTGTCTTCGACTCCAGAAAGCTCTGCTCCGGTCAGCTCTGTTCCTGTTAGCTCTGCTCCAGTCAGCTCTGCCACATCTAGTTCCTATTCCTTTACCTCATTATATGGAAATAGTACATCGAGCTCTGCTCCATCGAGCTCTGTTCCATCAAGCTTTGCTCCATCTAGCTCTGCTCCATCGAGCTCTGTTCCATCAAGCTTTGCTCCATCTAGCTCTGCTCCATCGAGCTTGCTCCATCTAGCTCTGCTCCTTCGAGCTCTGCTCCATCTAGCTCTGCTCCATCGAGCTTTGCTCCATCTAGCTCTGCTCCATCGAGCTCTGCTCCATCTAGCTCTGCTCCTTCTAGCTCTGCTCCATCGAGCTCTGCTCCTTCGAGCTCTGCTCCAGTGTCTTCGTGCTCCACTGTTCCAGGTACCACCGTTCCAGGAAGCACTGTCTCTGGCACCACTTACCCAGGTACTACCATTCCAGTTACTACTAGCTGTTTCCCAGGACCATCTAGCTCTGCTCCTTCGAGCTCTGCTCCATCTAGCTCTGCTCCTTCGAGCTCTGCTCCATCTAGCTCTGCTCCTTCGAGCTCTGCTCCATCTAGCTCTGCTCCAGTGTCTTCGTGCTCCACTGTTCCAGGTACCACCGTTCCAGGAAGCACTGTCTCTGGCACCACTTACCCAGGTACCACCATTCCAGGTACTACTAGCTGTTTCCCAGGACCATCTAGCTCTGCTCCGTTGACTTCTAGTTCTACAACTGTCGCAGGTGCTAGTACTGTCAGCTCTGTTACAATCAGCTCCAGTACGTCAGCCTTCGGCTCTTCGAGCTCTGTCCTATATGGTAACAGTACTATCTCTGTCACCTCTGCCCCATCTAGCTCTGCCTCATCTAGCTCTGCTCCATTGAGCTCCGTTCCTGTCAGCTCCACCCCAGTGAGCTCTATTCCTGCCAGTTCTGGCCCAGCCAGCTCTGCCCCAGTCAGCTCTGGTCCTTCCGGCTCTGCTCCAGCCAGCTCTGTTCCAGCCAGCTCAGCTCCAGCCAGCTCTGTTCCAGCCAGCTCAGCTCCAGCCAGCTCTGTTCCAGCCAGCTCAGCTCCAGCCAGCTCTGTTCCATCCAGCTCTGCTCCAGTCAGCTCTGCTCCAGTTTCCTCTGTTCCAGTCAGCTCGGCTCCAGCCAGCTCAGCTCCAGTTTCCTCTGTTCCAGCCAGCTCTGCCCCAGTTTCCTCTGTTCCAGCCAGCTCAGGTCCATCCAGCTCTGTTCTAGCCAGCTCTGGTCCATCCAGCTCTGTTCCATCCAGCTCTGCTCCAGTCAGCTCTGCTCCAGTTTCCTCTGTTCCAGTCAGCTCGGCTCCAGCCAGCTCTGGTCCAGTTTCCTCGGCTCCAGCCAGCTCTGCTCCAGCCAGCTCTGCTCCAGTTTCCTCTGCTCCAGTCAGCTCTGGTCCTTCCAGCTCTGCTCCAGTTTCCTCTGCTACAGTCAGCTCTGGTCCTTCCAGCTCTGCTCCAGTTTCCTCTGCTACAGTCAGTTCTGTTCCAGTCAGCTCCTCGCCTGTGTTATCGAGCTCTGCCGGCTTCACCGAAAGTGTGGTAACTGTCACATCATCTGGTGTCGAAACTATTTACACCACGACCTGTCCTATTAGTGAAGTTACAAACCCCGCTACTTCATCAGTTTTCACCGAGAAGGTTGTAACAGTCACTGCTTCTGGTAAGACCTTCACTTCTACGACAACATATGCCGCAACATACCCTGCACAGACTGGCTCTGCCGTTGCTACTCCATCAACAGCTTTCACTGTGACACTTGTTACAGTCACCGAGTCTGGTGTCGTTACGTCTTACACAACGACCTGTCCAGTCTCCGAAACTATCAAGCCTACTACTTATGTCGGAGGGACCGTGACAACTTTGACTGGTTCGGTTACCGGCACTCCAGCTACTGCTAACGGTACTCCAGCTACTGCCACCGGCACTCCAGCTACTGCTAACGGTACTCCAGTTACTGCCACCGGCACCCTAGCTACTGCTAGCGGAACTCCAGCTACTGCCACCGGCACCCTAGCTACTGTTAGCGGAACTCCAGCTACTGCCACCGGCACCCTAGCTACTGTTAGCGGAACTCCAGCTACTGCCACCGGCACTCCAGCTACTGCCACCGGCACTCCAGCTACTGCTAACGGTACTCCAGTGACTGCCGCCGGCACTCCAGCTACTGCCAGCGGCACTCCAGTCACTTCTACCACTGATTTGCAAACCCAAGCTGTATCTACAAGTGCCTTCACAAGCACTCCAGCGATCTCTACCTACGCAGGATCGGCAAATGTCGTAAGAGCAGGTTTGCTGTTGGCCCTACCTTTGGCCTTGTTGTGATATTGAATTGAATACCCCATACTCACTACAGATATACACTAAATATATATTAATCAAAAACTCTTGTATCTGAGCTCATTTCTTGACTTCTGGGACTTCCCAGTTTTTATTCATATTTGAGATGGAAGGAAACGGTAGCGCCAGAAAGCTACAAACTAGAGATGCACGTCAATCGTATTTTCAGGGTCCCTCGGCCAAAAATGTCCAATTTTTGGCTCGAGTATGGAATGTCAGGCGAAGTAAAGCAAAAGAACAAAAGTTTGTCATCATTCGAATTTGATTCTAAAGTGGAAAGTTCACTATCAACAAATTACGACATATAGGTATGAAGTTACATATTCATATACAGAGATGGAATTTTGTCTGAAGAACAATGAAAGGAAACAAAGCGATGTGGTGATTCATAGCTGATTAGTCTTACTAATTTAAAGTGTACCAATTAGCTTTTTTGGGCGTTTTTCAAAAGATTGACAGCCAAAAATACCGGCAGATTGATTAAAAGACATCACACGATGAAGCCGGTACAACGGTTAGTACGAGCCTGCCATTCTAACGGGATATTTTTCTACCTTCTGGTAAGTTTATCCCATGTAGTACAGCAATCGTGACAACGAGTGCGTATGTCTTACATTTGCTCTAGGACACAGACACTCTTTTCTCCTGAATTTAGCACAGGCACTGATGCGTTTTTTGCAGTGTCCTGTCGGGGGTCTTTACCGTAATTCGTTCTTCTTGCGAGAGCTCTTGTGAGGTTTTTTGTGACCTCATACTCTGATACAGATGCTGCGGTGGGATTTTACCTTGTAGTCTGTAGATTTGAATTGCAAATTGAAGTGAAAGCACCATATTCGTAAGCTACTGCCGTCTATCGTATACGTTTTCAAATACATTTTCGCGTGGGCACTGGGCACTGGGCCCCATCAAAAACTTGGATCTTGTAAACAGATTGCGTTGCCCGCCACGCCGAAAAAGTTGTATTGTTATTCTCCACAACAGCGTCAGTTGTCATTATGTCAAATCTCAACTATCTGAACCACTACTAGCATAGCCAAAAGACGGAGGGTTCAAGAACTTGACTCCATGAGGCTCGAGATCAAACGTAACGTTTACTAGGTCTCACACGCAGATGGGGACGTGGCACCTGAACAGGTTTTTTCCAAAAAAGTCTCTTCGCTTGCTAGGGGTTGTCCCTTAAATCCAGGCCGCACGCGAACCCGCAATGCGTTCCATTTGATGCCAAGACTCGGTGACAGGGAATGATCAGAGGTAGTGGATTTGCCCCACAAGCATTTGCAACAGCGCGATATGAATGCGGAACTCCAATATTTTTTTGGCAACCCTTTGGTATGTAGTGGTGCATCCCCAGGGAACATTATTCAATTCATCCCATACTTTTTTTTGATATTCAGTGCCGTGTAAGTAATGATATTCTACTTTACCCACTTTCTTGCCGTCAAGCAGGCTCTTGATTATGAATGTATGATGAGAAAAGTTGTTTTCAAGGTCTTCTTTTCAAGTGTATTTTGTTTTCGAGCGGCGAGACCGAACGGCGAGGAATTCCATCATGAGGTCAAGCAGGTTTGTTGCGTCCTTTCATAAATTAACGTAAACGAAGTCGTTGGTCCGTTCATCAACAGCTAGAATACAACATCCAGCCCTTCCCTTCAGCCAAAGTGTAAGTCGAGGCGTAATTCATTGCTAGTGACTCTATATGCCATTTTATTTGTCTACTTGCTTGTTTATTCAACATTTTTATCCTGACATCATCAGCATTGGCGTTAAATTCGATTTTCAGTTAGCTAAAAGATTAATTAAATGTCCAGTGAGTGGTGAAGAAGCTACACCGTGAATTCTCTACCGGTAAAAAGAGCGTTGCATTCGTAAAAATTTTAGGATATGTGCCAAATATAGTTTGAGCAATGTACGTATGATTATTATGACAAGTTTTGAGCTCATTTTATGTCTATTGTCAATTACATAATTTTGAGAGGAAATGACAAAATAAAACAGCTTAGCGTATTGGTCTTTAAAAGCTCACATTTTTTGCCCTGGCGTTTCTCTGCAATGTTAATTCCGCCCACACCTTCTTTTTTGCCTCCTCAAAACTAGTTTCGGTCGTAGCATTATCATTGGTGGCACCAGCCCGGTCGAAACTATCCGTTCCTAAAACATGGTCAATAGACTTTGTAGATGATCTCAACTCCAGATCCAAATCGCCGCCTGAGACCTTTTCATTTTTCTCTGCTGCCCATATTGTCACCCAAGGCACCAGGAGCTTCGCAGTGACAACCTGTTCGCTTCGATATAAAACCAATGGCACCAAAAGCTTTCCCAATTGAGGAAAGTTACTGCCATATTGCGAGGATATCAAGGAAACTCCCAGCGCTGCGGTTTTAACAGGCCCACAAAACAAGATCGCCACGGTATCCTTTTTGTTGTAGTAGAATGGACGCAACAACCGATGCGCGATGACATAAGCCTTTCAGGAAGACCTTGAAGATTCGTTGGGAAACAGCCTAAAAATTATCCAGGGTCGTGCACACACAAAGCATAGCACGCTGAAAAAGAGTTACATGTCCAAGTTGAAAAGAAGAACGAAAACAATGCAAACACTGGGCACACTTGTGAACGCATGCTGGTAAAACGCAGTGGAGAGGGAATTGAGCATCACAAGGAACAAACAAACGCTTCCCACTTTGTTCATGCCTGCTTGGATGAAAAGTTTTGAGCGACTTGACCGACAAATAGCGGGACCAGCACCGACAGCCCAATTTGTTTCATCACGTTGGCGTACACGGTGCGAACATTGGACCCGTTGCTTGGATTTCCAAACGCCAACAACGAGGTGCTTAGATACATTTGGACAATGACAGGTGTGACGAAACCTCCGAGAACGTTTCCGATAAAGACCTCACACAGACAAAGGAGATCGTTGCCTCTTGCCGCTTGAGTCATGACCACATTAGAGGCTACCGTTGTGGGACTTGCCGCAGTCAGTATCATACCCACCAGCAGCCAATCATCGATATTGGAGTTCCCAGAGCCTTTGATGGCACAACAGAAGCCAAAGATGATATAAATGGTAACAAGAAAACTCATTAACAGCACCACAAAATGAGCTCGCCAATTCGACAAGCTAACGCAAAGCTTTCTGGTCGACATGCTAAGACCATTTGCAGGAATATTACGGCCACAGCTCCGCACTCGATTGTGTATTGGGCCTTGATTAGCCCCCCTTGGCGGGCAAAGTTGGGTGCAAACCGTGCAAGGACAACAAAGCAAGCTAGGGCAATGGAAAACTGCTGCGACACAACAAGTTGCACTATTTAGAATTTTAAATTCTGGATAGCAACACCGTCATTGCAGCTAAGGGAAGCCGTGAGTGTGCTTGTAGGAGGATTTTATACAGTTATCCTGAGAGCTGTTAAGAAAAGCAGCCCCATCGATGTATCATTCTGGGTCTCGTGCAAGAACGTGAGCTATGTATTTAAATTCTTCGCGGATTCTGCGATGGATTTTTTAGGTGTTGGTCATGATGGATGCTACGGTGAGTAATTTATGAGCAGACATTCGGCTCCATCGGGTACTCGGGCCGACGCTGTAAATTATCACGATTTCGCTTAAAAACGACAGGAAATCGAGTGAGTCTCAGGCCTCCAAAGCTAGATTTGAACCCTGGAGAAGGGACTACGATTTTTTTTTTTAATTACCAATGATCTACCATGTGTGGAATCATGTTATGTGAAATCCAGTGATTCACTGCGTTATGGAAAAGCTGTGAACTATCAAGACGACAAATATCGTGATTTAAAAGTCATACCTGCTTCAGAAACGGGTCGCGCGAAGGTCACTGCTTCGATTCCATACTGTTACTTGTTTGCCGGTTATCAAACTTTTGTCAATCAACTTCTCTATCAAGTTCTTATTAATTTGGGCCAAAAGTTTACTTAAAGCAAGTAAATGTTAAACAAGAAATAGATCTGCACCACTTTTCAAACAATTTTTTTCCACCAAGATCTGGACGCGGTAGAAATGGTCTCGGGATTTTGGCGAATATCTTCAAAAATCGATTCCAGGTCGACTTCTGTTGGGCGAAGATACCTGGTCTTTTTGAACAGTTTCCAAAATGTAAAGAGACCGATTGCGAGTGGGATAATAAAGTATCTGGTGAAGAATGATTCAATGTTAAAATGACCATGAATGAAGTTGTAAAATCCTCCTGTCAATAGAAATAATAAGGACATGATGCCAGAAAACCACGCTGCAAATGGTGCAAGTCTAGTAGAGTATGGCAAATCTGACCGACTGTAACCTTGTGCCTTTAGGGCTCTGTCCATGTGAATGTGGTTCGCAGATATCAAAATCCAGCGTAAAAGTGTGTTTGACGACACAAGCTCTTGAAACCAACTGAACACATTCGCGGAGGAGCTCGAAACAGACATATATGACAACGGAAGGAATGCAGAAATAAAGGCAATTCCAACATAAGGAATGCCTCTCTTGTTTGTGGTGAGAAATATTTTTGGAGCTTGGTTTTTTGATGCTAGAGCAAAAAGATTTCTAGATCCCTCGACAATGGCCAAGTTTCCTGCGGACCAGGCCGAAGTTAGAATTATAGCATTGATGATGTGGGGCAAAACCTTGATGTTGGCTCGTTGAATAGCGATAACAAATGGGCTCGATTTGGCAGTACCAGTACCAGTTGCAATTAACTCATCGTTGTATGGTACAATCAAAGTCAAAATGAGAACAGCTACAAGGTAAAGGACGATGATACGCACAAAGACGTTCCTCGCTCCATGAAAAATTGCATGTCTGCTGTTTTTGGTTTCACCAGCTAGAATAGCAATGTTTTGAATACCAGAGTACGAGTATACGACGGACGAGAGGGCTGACCAGAAACCCACAAATTTTCCAATGTTTCCCTCAACAATGTATTCTGCAAAGGGCCCTGGGTCCCTCCAGTAACGAAATCCTAGCCTTTCTTGCTCCGTACCGCCAAGATCTATGACTAGTCCCGTGACAATCAAAATTACAATCAAACAAACCTTCATCCAACCAAAGACATATTCAACCTCGCCGTAGAATCTGATGGTGTATATGTTGGTAAGGACAAATAAAACTCCAAATATCGAGATCCAAACTGCCGGGTTGATATCAGTCCAAAAGCGCATCACAACCGCTGTAGCAGAGAGCTCACCAGGCATCAAAGATGAATACGTGGATATCCATCCAAAGGTAAAGCCCACTGACTCGTCAATGAACTGTTCTGCGTGTCTGATGGTGGCTCCAGTAGCCGGCATAAACGAAGCAACCTCGGCAATTGCAATTTGGTTGCAACCCACCACAATTCCAACCACAACGTAAGCCAAGAACATACCGGCAGGTCCAGCCTTTTTTAGCGTCCCTCCTGACGAGAGAAACAAACCCGTTCCAAAGACACCTACAAGCGTTAACATTCTAATGTGACGCTCTTTCAACCCTTGCTTCAACCTTGTTCTATCATTGTGTAAAACGCCTTCTTCGGCGGCATTTACGGCATGAGGCGATGCCGAACTTAACTCGGAAGTCTCGGAGACCTGAACAATTTCAGCTGCTTTGACATTTTCGTTCCAAAGGTTTTCTTTCTCAGTGGACATCTTTGGTGTATCACTTCACTACAAATCAAGATCTCTCCATCATGAGCGGATTTTTTGAAGCTAACCGGAAGCTTTTAAAGACAACAAAAGCCATTCCATCAACACGGCTTTGATGACTACAATAATGGTAATATCAAAGATAAGTAAATTTCATAACGATAACAATGATTGCGCACTAATTTGAGAAAAAGAATTTTTTAATTATGGCTTCTTCAAAATGCCATTCTGATTTGTTTTTGGAGATTGCGATAAAGAAAGCAGGGTCGTGGATCTCAAACCTGATAGCTGCTAAGCCAAAAGGAAAAGGAAAATAACAAAATCTTCAACCCTGCAGATCTTCCGCAATGCAATTAATTCTCAAGTTGTCAACTCAGGATATGAACCAAAGTCCCATTATCCTCTCAAAAAAGTCGTGCAGTTGTACGCAGAAAACCATAAAGCTGGTCGGGTGCAGAAGCGTAGTATGGTAAGCAGTAGGAACTATGTCCTATTAACTTCTGATACAGAACGCTTTTCGGATCAGACACTGTCAGCCAAAGCAGAAATAGAGTTAAGAAGATCATTCTCATGTCCTTGATATTACCACGCACGTGACATCAACACGTGTTTTACTGATGCTTTAGGAAGTTACTTTCACAAGTCGAATTCTTCTTGCAGTCGAGTGCATGCAGGTTTAACGGTTACAGTATCGTGCAAGTCGCTATAACATGGTCAAAGAATAGACCGGTTTACGTCAAATTAGATACATATAGGAACATCAGCGCTTTTCATGAAGGAAAGGGCTTGTGGTTTTACTGAGAAAACTTTGACAGGAAGCTCCAAAGCTCCTCTCTCAACCATTTGGAGTCAGCTCTAAAACTGTTTGTTAACTGATTGAGTTGCTACGCACTCCATCATGCAGTGTTCTAAAGCTTCAATTCACATGTATAAAATTTTGTTTTCGATCAAATTTAGTTGATCTAGTATCGAATTCTTGGCTGTACCCCCTATAGCTGATCTTCTCTCCACGCTGCTCTCGAAGTCAAACACATCATGGACGTCCTCCACGAACCTAGGATCAATGTTTTGCAGCTCTTCTAAGCTCAGAACGTCTATCCCACCATAACCTAATGCATCGGCGGCTTTAACGACTCTTCCTATTATGTGGTGACATTCTCTAAAAGGGACACCTTTTAATACCAAGTAATCGGCGAGATCAGTGGCTAACATGTCCGACGACAGGGCATTTTTCATATTTTCTTTATTGATGGATAGCGTCGAAACAACTCCTGTGGCAATTTGTAAGGAACTTTCAACGGTGGAAAGAGTGTCAAATAGTACTCTTTTGTCTTCTGTTAAGTCCTTGTTGTAATTTGAAGGCAAGCCCTTAACTGTCATCATGAAGCCGGCCATATTTCCAAAAATTCGACCACATTTTCCTCTCAGAAGCTCTAGGCTGTCAGGGTTAACTTTTTGTGGCATTAAACTTGATCCAGTTGAATAGGCCTCTGAAAGCTTCAAAAATGCAAACTCAGCACTAGAGTACAAAATCAAGTCCTCAGCCATACGCGACAAGTGTGACGAAATGCTAAATCCCAAGTACAGTGTATCTGTAATAAACCCACGGTCTCCCGTGGCCATCAAGGAATTTCCAATAACTTGTGCAAAGCCGAGCTGATCAGCAAGTGCTCTTCTGTCAATCTGAAAAGGGTTGCCAGCCAATGCTCCCGCTCCAAGTGGGCACCTATTAGTTATGTCTGTGGCCATTTCTAAGCGTTGAAGATCATCTGTCAACTGCGTGGCATATGAGCTCAACAGGTGGGCCCATCTGATGGGTTGCGCTCGCTGCAAATGCGTATATCCAGGCATCAGCACGTGAATTTCATCGCGTGCGCGATGAATTATGGTCTGGATGAGAAATTTCAAGAGCTGGCGCATCTTTTCAAGGTGGTCGAGTGTGTATAGGCGCATGTCTGTAGCTACTTGGTCGTTACGCGAGCGACCTGTATGCACTTTACCGCCCAAGCTACCAATAATCTCCGTAAGACGTCGTTCATTGGCGGTATGGATGTCCTCATCTTCAAATTTCTCAAGAAAAGTTCCGCTTTCCCATTCTGCAAGCACTAATCTCAAACCGCGGTTGATTTCATCTAGTTCGATTGCGGTAAGAATACCTGATTCATAAAGTGCTGTGACGTATGCCGCAGTACCTTTCAAATCCTCGCGGTACATGATTTTTCCCAGAGGAAAACTTCTGTTGAATACAGCCATAAGTGGATCTGTTTTTTCTGTGAAACGTCCTCCCCATAGTTGGGCTGATTCGTTTGCCATTGAGTTAGCCTTGTATTGTGACTGACCTACAAAATTGTTAGGCATCGCAAAGTGGACCGCTATATGTGTTCCCCGTTTGATGCAACTTCACAGTGAAAGAAGTTCAAGAGATGTCTCAGATCGCTATCATAACGATTTGATAGATAACAGAAGCACATATCGCGGTGATGACGCAACACCTCGCTTACTGCTGCCATTGTTCTCCTGCAGAAAGCTGTCCTGCGTCTCAATTGATCAAAGCAGGTTTTTGATACTGCAAAAAAAGGCAAACCGGGTGAGAAGTATTGATCTTGGGATCCACAAGTGGTGTAGAAAAGCATTCTTGTTTCCATATGTCCCCTTCAACGCACTCAGACTGTTGATAAAGCTTATCTTATCTGCTTTTATGCTTCGAAAGAACGTGCTGTTCGAAAAACTTGCTTATGCTCCAAGAACATTTGGACAGAACATGTAGATTAACTGCAAATAACACGAGAGTACATCGTTGAATTGTCGTGGTTATGACATGAACCTGAATAACACCACGTTAATGTTCGGTGACTTGGGTTAATCAATTATGGATATAAACAACTTTTTGACGAAATTCCAAACCAAGATATACCCAGTTGGAGCTGGAGTGTTTGCATCAAAATTACAAAGATGAAGACAAGCAGCCTCGTGCCACGAGTTCAGCTGTTTCACAAAAGTAGATCTTAAAAACTCATGAGTACTGTGTTCTTCAAGCTTCAGCGACTTTCTATCATCTACCCTCCCTTTTATCTCCTATTCGAATAAAATCACCTCCTATTTTAAAAATTTTTTTATATATTCCTATCGCTTCAATTATTAGTAACTATTCCTTTCTTCCCTCTTTTTCAACACGTAAACTAGTGAACTTTCCCCTTCTCTTAACACAGTTTTTTACCTCTCTCGATAACTCTTCATTATTTCCCTCCTTGATATTACACTTTATTTACCATTTATTACGAGTACGTTGTGTCACTTTGGAAAAATAATTTAGATTATCTAACATATCTTGACTCATTGCACTAATCAAACAGCGGGCAATATAACTTATTTTGGATGGATTACGGACCTTGGCCTTTGGCCCAACGTTTGAATGTTGTCTGATCAAAAAATTAACAAAAATAGCATAAGGCTTGAGCCGTACTTAATTGGTGAGTTGTAGGAGTCAAAAAGTGTAATATCCAATTACTACAGACAGGTAAACAACAAAGAGCTTACCTACTTATGTATACAGTGTGAAAAAGAGCAGATGGATGATATATGACGTGCGAAAAATCTGGTGCCCAGTAATACGCAAATGTACTGTATTGACGATTGTTAAGGCATGGCTCGCGAACTAGCTGCCAGTACTTCGAATCAATTCTGCGCAGGTACAGAATATGCCACATTGCTTCAGCTTGTTGCAGAGCTCATAACACGAACGTTACATCAGCTGCTAATTTGACTCGCAGCTTAGATGCTATTTCATTTTTATACGAGACTGACTCATCGTCCTTTTTTGACCCGAGGGAGCTATAACTTTTCGTTGTGAGGACTTTGTTCCCATCTATTTTGTAGGATTCGTTGTTATTCTTGGCGCGGCGTTACGAGCGCATCTGGTTGAAACAGCAGAATTTCGAGGCCATGTCTCTGAGTATTGTTAATATATAGAACCTATGGCATTTTAGCCATTTTCTATCTTTCCAGTGTCAGCTTCAAATAGTGAAGTTTATCGATGCATTTCTAAGTTTGAATAACCTAAACACTCTATGGTAGTACGTCTATATCACCAATATATGGAGTTCAAGCTCAACTTAAAAGGCAATAGTGTCACCTTTTGTCAGTCAAAGCCTTCTATCGGGTAGTAGTCATCAATCGCATCAAAAATTTCTCAATAAAATCGAGTTCCTCCCCATCCTTCATAAGTCAGTGAAGATCGATAGCCGGATGAACTTTTGTTGAATGCTTGCCTATGAGTAAGTTGATTCTGCCCGTTTTCCTCAAGTTTTGGTTTAACCGAACGGATTGAAGTCTTTATCGATAATCGAGAGACCGTTAAGTTCATCCAATAGATTTTTCGAAGTGATTATAGTAAGCTGACTTGTGAATGACCGCTCTGAGCTGCCCTTCGTGGCGTTTCTAACCTAGGGTTAGAATTTTTTGATGAAGTAAAAATCTAGATTACAGTAGGTTGAGATAGGACTATAACTTGCAATGAGGGTGAACATCTAGTTTGAGATGCCACTCGTTTAGCTACCATATTCAGATCCAAAACATGAACAATTGATTGTGGACGTTTTGAGATTTGGTCGAGCATCAATTGTGCCTACGATACGCCCTAATACCATGCCATTTAACACGATATCATAACAATTACAGTCTGACGGTACAGAGGTCTCTCGACTTAAGGTCTTCTCCAACCATCAATTTCTATTTGATCATTGTTTTCCTTCAAGTCAATGATATTGCGGAGGTTTATTAAAGAGCACATAACTGCGTTTCACTGTCGCATATCATTCTTAAACTCAGCTGCTACCTATATGCATGTGAAGACCCAGATAGGCATGGTCAGTATCTAGTGTCTAAAAATGTTTGAATTACCGAAAGTATCGTATGCCAATAATTTACCAATCAGAATCATCTTGCGGAACCCCCCTCCCTCATTCTTTTTGAAATCATGTTAGAACAAATCGAGCAGTTTCAACTTATCTGCATTTGACATTGTAGTCGGGTACACGCGCGAAATGTCCCCAACGGTGCTTCTATGTCCAATCGTGCAGACAGTTTTTGAGAATCTCTCGAGGAGGGGAATCTTTCTAATCTCTCCTGGGTCCTAAAAACTCCACCCTAAGCAGTATGATTTTACTGATAGTAAAAAGAGCTATTATCTCTCCTCTGTGTGAACGCCTAATCTCGGAAACATGATGAAAACAAAAGAATCCTTATGGATAGTGTCAGTGATACAGATAACCGCTGAAACTTGCCGCCTTCTCCTAAGAACAGTTCACTAACACGCATGAGGAAACTTGGTTCCTGGTGGCTTTGTCACACTCAAGGCAAGCCTGACGCTCCCTGAGATAAGATAACCCGACTCGCTTGAGGTTGCCAACACCTCGTCTCACTTTTGATACAGATCGAAGACAAGGAACAGAGGACATCTCACCTAGGTGTGCACGTCTAATGAAGTACTCCAGTAGTGACTAAAAAAACAGCATAAATTAACCGAAAAATGTCCCATTGGTACCTTCAAACAATGCAGCTCACAGCTCACCAAACTTTCCTCCTCACCGATTCCACACCAACATGGCATCTGACAAACAAGAAGGTGAGGTTATCACTTCGGTACTAAGCAGTGAGCAAATAGCAGAACTTCATGACGTCAAAAGCAGAGATCTGGCTATGGGGAAGGCAGACGAAGCTGCCCAGTTGGAAGTGGACGCGTCTTCCGATCGGCGTCTCTTGTGGAAAATCGACCTCATTCTGTTAACTGTGATCTCGCTAGTATCGGCGTTTCAGTACATGGACAAATCATCTAGTAACTACTCCTCTGTGATGGGCATCAAGAAAGACCTTAAGATGGTTGGCAATCAATACAGCTGGGTCGGTACTTCATTCTACCTTGGGTTTCTGGTCTTCGAAGCCCCATGCTCTTGGACTCTGCAGCGTTTCCCGCTGTCCAAAATCACGAGTGCTTACATTATCGCATGGGGCTTGCTGCTGTGTCTGACCTCCCTTGTAAAGTCTTTCCCAACTTTTATTTTGACTAGAACATTACTGGGTGTGCTAGAGTCATCAATTACACCGGCCATGGTACTGTTTATGTCCCAATGGTACAAAAAAGAAGAACAGTTTTTCCGAACCTCTATTCTGGTTGCCTGCAATGCCGTTGGCGGATTAGTTGGTGCCTCGGTATCCTACCGCTTGTACGAGCGCCAGCTTGCTGGATCGCTGTCCATGGATGCATGGAGGATTTTGTTCATTGTTGTTGGACTGATCACCATTGTTACTGGTCTTATGGTCTTGTTCATTATACCCGACACTCCGTCCCAAGCGTGGTGGTTAAACAAAACCGAAAAACTTCATGTTATCCAGCGAATCCGGTCAAACAAGCAAGGTTTTGGCAATCGGCACTTCAAAAAAGAACAGGTTTACGAGGCTTTGGTTGATCCCCGTCTTTATCTCTATTTTTTTCTTCAAGTTTCTGTTGCTATTCCTAACGGTGGGTTCTCCAACTTCAAGGCTTTGATGATCGCAGGCTTAGGTTATGGTAAGGGAAAAGCACTACTGATGGGAATGCCTACTAGTGCAGTCTCTATAGTTGGGATGATCTTTTTTGGCTATCTCTCAACCATCAGAAATCGTAGACTGGACATTGCGCTCGCTGGTCTATCACTTAACCTCATCTCTGGTTGTCTAATGGCGTTTGCAGAACCCTTACACGCCCAGTTGGCAGGCTACTACATTTTTGGTATCTCCCCAATTCCTTACACCTGTATCTTAAGCATGGTTGCTTCCAATAGTGCAGGCCATTCTAAAAAGGTTTTTATGGGCGCAATTTCTATGATAGGTTACTGCACCGGCAACCTAATTGGACCTCAGACTTTCCGTGAATCTCAAGCACCTCAATATCAAGGCGCCAAGACCGCCATTGTTGGCTGCTATTGTATTGCTTTCTTAATCTTAATAGCAATCTACATTGTTAACGTGCGTGAGAACAAAAGGCGTGACGCCTTGAATGAGAAACTTCCCGCTGAAATGGTAAACTCGGAGTTTGCAGATCTCACCGACTTTCAAAATCCGGAATTCAGATATGCTATCTGAAATTTTCGCCTCGAGACCTAAAATGATATATATCTGAAGTTCTAGTTCATTAATTCTATGCAAACAAAGGGTTATAGCAGTATGCTGAGGCCAATTTTTGACCTGAATATAGTTGTGAGATAAGCAGTATTAGTGAGGAAGCCACATTGCGCTAAATTGGACACCTCTGTATCACCGAATATGTGTTGAACGCTGTTGCCAAAACTTAGTAACTTCAACACAAGAATGATATCATTGCCGCAGGTGTTTGCAAAGTGCTGCAAAGCGGCTTGACATTATTTCAATGGAGGGTCATATCGAGCATATATCAATATGCCGTACTTGTTAAAATTACCAACGGACCCTACGTATTATACCTAAAAGTAAAACAAATTTGAGGAACAGCGCACCCACTTTTGAGCCCACATCGACAAAAACATTGAAACACGGTGACACTCAAGTTCCCACGAGCTCACAAAGTATGTAAATCATCAATGAGTTACTCGTTACGTACACAGTCACATACCCATCAGGTACTCATTTTTCTCTATGGGTAAGTGAATTGCGCCATTGTTTACTTACCCCTAGTTACCGATTACCTATCAGCGTTTCCTCGAGTTACTCGTTGCACATGACTGACCCATGTCTATGGCACGTGACACTCCATAGCTTGATATGCATTTGGCAATATCGCCGCTGAGAATGGAGTAAAGGTGTTGAGCGCGCTGATTTTCTGTTTAGGTTTCTGGATTATCGCGATGTTCACTTTAGCGCAGGGTTGATCATTAGAAATATTTTTTTTCCGCATTGTAGCGGTCAATTCCAGTTTGAGGTGGTCTCATGTAGCATTGCGTTATGTGAGGTACCCAAAACGATAAATCACACGAATGAAATGCCCTGGACGGTGCACCGGGATGGATCTTACTCTTAAAATCAGTCGGAGGTGTCTTGTTGTACTTATCACTTTGTACCGCAGTGTCATCTGTGGTCCACTTTAACGTGATGATGAAGCCAGGCAACAGGACAGTCCCAAGTAGCAGTCTCTGCAACCCTTCTATTTGCGCGTAGCCGAGACTATCATTTCTTCGTAATGGAAGTTTTGGGTTTTAAGATATTAAAGTAACAACTAGCTTTTGTCGTGTAAATTATGATGCAATCATTTGGGTGCGCCTCGCAGGACACGCAAACGGATCCTTTTATTGAGCTACAAGTGTCTTAAATTATCTAACTATTTCTGTTCAATCTATATGTAACATCACAACACTGTATATATCGTATCGGTCGCCTACATTCAAATTCCGACTGCTCAGATCTTAAGAATCTGCTTTTTGAGAGTTTCGATCTGTTTCAAAACAGCGCTTTTAGCGGTACCCCCAGTAGCGGTTCTTCTCTCAACAGAAGCTTCAAAGTCGAAAACATCAACAACGTCGCTGTTGAATCTGGAGTCGATTTCTTTATACTGTTCGACAGTCAACTTATCAATACCCGACAAATTTAGCTTCTCTGCCTTGCTTACAGCCTCACCGGAGATGTGGTGAGTCTCTCTGAAAGGAACGCCCTTTCTGACCAAGTAGTCAGCCAAATCGGTTGCCAACATGTCCATTGTGAGTGCGTTGAACATCTTTTCCTTGTTGATAGCTAGAGTGGAGATGACACCTGTGGCAATGAGAATGGAGTGTTCGACAGTGACAAGAGAGTCGAACAGAGGTTCTTTGTCCTCTTGCATGTCTTTGTTGTAAGTGGAGGGAATGGATTTCAAAGTCATCATGAAACCGGACAAAGAGCCAAAGACTCTGCCAGACTTACCACGAAGTAGTTCCAACGAGTCTGGGTTTTTCTTCTGAGGCATCAAAGACGAGCCGGTGCTGTAGGCGTCCGAGAGCTTTACGAATCCGAACTCAGCGGTCGAGTAGATAATCAAGTCTTCGCTGAATCTGGAGATATGGTTCATGAAAAGGGAACACCAGAACATTATTTCAACCACAAAGTCTCTGTCGGACACAGCCTGCAACGAGTTACCTATGCAGCCATCAAAGCCCAGCTTGGCAGCTATGTATTCTCTGTCAATTCCGTAAGGATGGCCTGCAAGTGCACCACATCCCAGTGGCGACAAGTTGAGTCTTTCCTTGATCTGCTGCAGTCTTTTAAAGTCCTCTGTGAAGTAGCTGGCATACAAATTTAGCCAGTGAGACCATCTGATGGGTTGAGCTCTTTGCAAGTGGGTGTACCCGGGCATCAAGACGTCGATTTCGGTCTCAGCTCTTTGCAGAATGGCTCCGATCAGGTCGCACAGAATTTTGCCCATGTTGTCGAGAGCCTCGCGACAGTAAATTCTCAAGTCCGTGGCCACTTGGTCATTTCTAGATCTGCCAGTGTGCACTTTTCCCGCAATGTGTCTGCCGATAATTTCGCCTAATCTTCTTTCGTTGGCAGTGTGAATATCTTCGTCGCCCTCCTTATTGACAAAAGAGCCAGAGGCCCATTCCTCGCGAATGATTTCCAAGCCTCTGTGAATCTCGCTTAGCTCTTTTTGGTTCAAAAGCCCGACTTTGAGCAGGCCCTCTGTGTAGTGCTTAGAATTGTTCAAATCACCGTTGTACATTTTTTTGTCGTATGGCAGCGATGCATTATACAAATGCATCAATGGGTCTGTTTTTCCAGTAAATCTACCACCCCATAGCTTCAGTTCAGATTTCTCGTCAGACATTCTCATTAAGCTGATTAAGAATGAGCCTTTTACTTCTTGATCTTAGCTCTTGAACCCAACTTCATGCTAAACCTTGAAGGTTTAATACTGATTAACTTCGTTTTTCTGTATTAAGAGCATACCATTATCTGTTTTTACTTTGGGAAGGACCACGCGGCCTTATCAAGATAAAGAAAGTTGACGCATTTTATGATAGTAAAACACAGGCCGTTGGGAAAGAAATAGATATCCGTTCTTCGCGAGAAATTGGAATTGTGACGTGAATGCCGCTTGTTTTGGGATCAATGCAAACTACCGTCGAGTTCTGCGTTTTCGCCCCTTTTTTTCTGATTAAAAAACTCTAGATGTGCGGAACCAAATCAGTCACAACGATGCCAGAGAACTGACAGGCCCCGTAAATATGAAATGAGTTTGATTGGGAAACCATCACTGGCTCGCTTTTGTTGCTCACTTCTGATGGAGAGGATGGAATAAAGAACACCTGGCACCTGGCGCTGGATCACGTGATAAACAGGCTTTAAACCTCTGCGGACAGACAAGTTCAACTGGCCGGGCACGGACGGATGTTCTTTGCAAGCAGCGTGTCTATTATCGACCACATTGTGTGCTCTTTTAGAAATTAATTATTCGGCTTGCTCTTCGCAAAAACATTTCCTGCCTTTTTCGTCATACGTCATGGTACGCCTGGCCGTGGACGACGCAGGAAACTAACAGAAGCAGAAGGTTAACTTGAGTCCAGATCCGTCGCGGGAACGAGATAAAGTTCTCGTCTTTTTCAAAGATCGTAAAGTTCATCGGCTGCCAACAATGGCTTGCATACTTTCACAGACCCTCGAGAGCTTCTGGCGTCAGAGCTTTGCAATGCCAAAAAAACAAGACACACTGTTCAACGCTGTTTGCTGCAATTTCAGTTACAGGAACTACGATAGGATCGCCTTCTGCCTCGCCATTGGAGAAGTTATGAACCGTTCGTAGTCTAATGTGTATGTGTCTCCTGTGCCAAAATATCGTGCCTCTGTCGTGGCTTCGCCAGACTAGATATATAAACAGCACATAGTAGGGACAGTTGGCGAGCAATTAGAGCTCGATTAGAACTCCCATCTGATCCTTAGTGATTTTGTTCGTCAATATGAAGATTAAAACCAAGCTTAATCCCCAGGTCTGGTGGAAGCATGTGGCTCCCAAACATCTCTAGCTGGATTCACTAAGAGTCGCTCTTATTCGAGGAACAAGTGAAATAAGCCAGGCACTTAGCCACTTTTTAGATGATAAGGGCGCCGAGGTGACGGTGGTGGGTCAAACGTTCAGAAAAGACAAAACTGCCATATTTACTTCATCGAAGCCGATTTAAAGCTAATGTCTGAGGCAGAACGAGTGGCGCAGGAGCTTCTCTCGCTGTCCTCCAACCTTTACATTTATTGTGCGGGGATTATAGCAGCGTCTGAACAAGAGAAGACAGTTGAAGGTCTTGGACGAGACTTAGCAGTGTCCTTTTTACATTGACTGGATATTTTCGGCACTATTCTGTCATTACTGGACAAGATTCAAAAAAACGTTTTGGGGTGACCTCGAGTATTCATTATCGGATACCTTGGAGCGGGAATGGTGTGGAATCCAAGCAATTTCAATTCGGAACGTCAATACAGTACGATGCAAGCTCATTCAAACACAAACGCTGGGAACGAGGCACTGGTCTCTGATTGTACAGCCCGAAACCCCAAAGTCAGTGTTTTTGATTTGAATTCAGGATTAATCAAGACCAATATTCGGAACAATCTTTTGAGAGCTAGGGCGTCGTAGAGGGCTTTATAGGCTACTAGTTTCCAGATGTGACCACTTACGCTAAGCACATTCGGCCATTATTAGTGACGCCGGACATTGATGAGTATATCCTGAAGTTTTCTAACTGGGGAGGTCAGGCCATATATTCTAAAAATTTCTTCAATCAGCTTGTCGAGTGGCTTATTGCCAAGTCTGAGGAACTTCTGAAGACAGCAGGTGCTCACTTCAAAAACAACACCTCTCCCATTTAGAATCAGTATGATATTTGAGTGATTAAATCGCTGGCAGTCATATATGTGAAAATATCGACTGAATCAGAACATGATCAATGAATAGTTTGTCTTTGTCTAATTTCATTCAATGTTTGTCTTTGACATGATTGCCGTCGTCAATTCAACTACGTCACGCTCACTCTATGACAGATCCAGCGAATTCTACAATTAACTTAACTTTAACATTCCTGACATGTCAATTTCCTCTAGGAAACTGACTCTCTGAAGAAAAGCTTTCCCCATGAGTACCGTCGTTGGAA